GGGCAAGGTCGAGGTCGATTCCAAGGACACTATGGGTCAGACGCCGCTGTCGTGGGCGGCGGAGAACGGGCACGAGGCGGTGGTCGAGCTGCTGCAACCAAACACCAGATAGTTGATCTTACTGAAGCTCCACCCCACCCACCTCCTTACTATTTGATTTCCTCATATACTTTGTGATATAGAGGTAGAATATGCTAGAACATAGCGTTGCTTAGAAACGCTTGAGGCATCTTAGAAATTCGAGCTTTGAAATTCTAGCTTTGAAATTCTAGCTTTGAAATACACCTTTGCTAAGAATTTGATCTGCTAAGAAATCAACCTAAGAGCTTAGAGTAAGAGTATGTTAAAACTCGTATCTCGCCTTTATAGTAGTAAATCTTCGAGCATCTTCTAATCAGCTGCCTTATAGAAACACGTCTTAAAGTTTTGCTACAGCGAAGCTTCGAACATCTTATCAGCTAACTTATAGAAACACGTGTTGAAGTTCTGCTACTTAAACGTTAGCAGATATAGACAAACGCATCTGTTACGCTAGCAGGGAGGACGGCCGACCCGCTCTGGCCATATTGTAGGCTTGTGAGGTGGCGATTCTGTAGGTGTTCTCAGATAGTTGAGTTGGTTGACTGGAGGCATGGCCAAGTTGAATTGCAAGGCTGGGGCTGAGGTTGGCCCGCTTGCCAAGACCCTGCACAGCCACAGGGTCAACAGCCACTTTAAGTAAATTACACCCAGATGATTGATTATGTGAGGCAGGGTTGTTCTCCACTAGCCCGGATTGGTGATCGCTTCTATTGGACGTACCAACCTGCGTGGCGACCTTGCATGAATTTGCGCGCCACAGCAGACACTAGGCTGATGATGACTTCTCAGCATCGTAGGGAGGTTCTGATGCTCGGATAAAACCCTGTTATCAGTATTTAGAGTGGTAAGAGCTTTATAGTGGTTCTGTGGAGAAAGAAGTCTATTATGCTATGAAAGAAGGCTCTCTACAAATTAGGCTTAAAGGCGAGGATGCGAACGTAATTTTTAGGTGAGAGGGGTCCTGGATGTTTAGGAATAGCCACAGTACACAACTTTTACAGAACTATTGCAGATACCGACGTGTGCACGGAGTGTGAGTTGCTTAAAGTCAAAGTACCCCTTATATTTCTCGGCACGGTGGGTTTCTCGGCACGCAGGGATGGACGTTATCGACTTTTTGGAAGGCTTGAAGCTCACATTGGAGCATCTGAAGTCGTATGTCGATGGAAACACCACGGATAGCCGCGCATCCAGCATATCCGACCAGATCGAGAAGATCAAGACTCCCTTCAAAGCCTTTCAAGAGACTGTGGAGAAGTATGAGAAATCTTTGGGCGAGGCGTCAACTAGAGGACGGTTTGAGAGGGTGTCGACAACGATCAAATGGGCATTGAAAGAGATTTCGGGAGATGTTGAGAAACTAAAAGTGGCTATCATGCAACCAATACAGATTATCAATACTCTTCTTTCCCTTCAACTCTTGTAAGTTGGTTTTACCAAAGTTCTTTGCATTATCTCTGAGGTTTGAAGATCATTCCATGAAACTTACGAAAAGAAGGGATGTGCTCGGGAAGCTTCCGGAGCAGCTTCTGAATCCTACACAATGTGGACAGTTGATTGCAGCTATACATCTTGCAGAAATACCCGCAGAATTGGGCCAAAGGATATTTGCTTTGAGGCAAGTGGCCATCGACCAGCATTCAGAGTCTCAAGCATCGCATGAATTACAAATTCAAGAGCTGGAAGGGCTAAAAGCCTCATTTTCATCTTTCGAAGTCAACATGAAAAATGCTATGGATGCAAATACTGTAATCCTCGATGGCAGAGCTCAGAGAACCCTGGAAACTCTGGAGCAGATCATCCAGAAGCTCCCTCAGTGTCTCACATCGAATCAACTGGAGAGTTTGATCCAAGAGCAACAAATGACGATTATGGAGATGCGAGAGACACTTGAGAACAGATTGACCGCCTCTACTGTGGCTTCTTCCGCCGAAGAGTCGACATCAACATGAGTAAATGGCGCTTTTGTTGTGAATGCTTGCCACTGGGCTGCCATGATGTTTTCATCTATCGCAACAGGTGTTGCCGAGAGTTGTATTGCGGCAAAACCTGTGCAAAGGCTCAAGGATCACGGCCATGTTCCTCCCCAGTATCATCACACGAACTCCTGGAGCATTCCCGAAACTTCAAGTCGACGAGACCAGAAGCCTTTGGTGCCCCCAACGGCTCCCAATCACCTTATGATGGACGCCGCCTTCGACCCCATTATCCGCAATAGCGCGCTATGCTGTCTGTCGGAAAGCACCACTGGAGGCGGCGACATCGAGCGCCTCCTCTACTACTGCTGTCAATGCGGTGGTGGCCCAAATAGCTCCCCAGGCTGTCCCTTATGTGGTCACAAGCCCACTATCAGCTTGGGCCTCAGCGTCTTTGTTGATCTTTGGGATAAAGATGGGCTATTAATGAGGAACAACAAGACCAACGACATACCGCCAGTTCTGTGGTTTGTGCCACTAGACAACACAGTAGTAATCAGGGATGTGCTCGAGTACAACGTTCGTGTATATCTTGGCCACAATGCGACACTTCTGGGCCAAACACTTGATGGGGCAAAGGACCTGAGTACAGACAGATATGGTTCTAGTATCCGCCGTGGACGGATAGGCCCTTTTCCGTACATCAGCCTCGAAAATGATAGTCCATCTTACAGGCCCGTCTCTGGGTTCTGGGTCAAAGCATCAGCTGCCCCGACGCTAGACCTGGTCAAAGATTCGCTAAGCGATACCAAGACATGGTATCGGGAGTAGAGACAATATAAAAGTATGAGAAACGTTTCCAACCTATTGATTGGAAAGGCTGATGCTGACGTCGGAAAGATCAACACCAGAAATCGTTGAAATACCAAGATTCAGAAACATATCGTCGCAGATGTCGTACGCACGCTGCGACAACCAAGAAAGAAGAACCCACAGTTACAAACACCAGGGATTTCATTACTATGAGAATCCAGGACAAAGACATCCGCTACGACGTCCTAGTCGAATGTCTGAAGCTGTGGTTCGGGGGTCACGATTACTCAGTATCCGCTATCGCGCCTGTAAGCTAGATTGCTCCTACATGTCCAAGTCTTGCTAATATTGTCACAGTCAAGAGATGAGCACTACGAAATGAAACTTCTAGAAAGATTGCTCCCCGTAAGTACACAAATCAAATTGGAACTTTACAGAAAAGCTTGCTCACCGACGCGGTTACAGGAGCACATAGAGATTCTGAAATCTTACTCACACCAAAAGACTCAGAGTGAAAAGAAATACTAGGAAAAGTTCGGAGTGAGGGTCTCGTAACAGCACCATCGGCCCTCAGCTACTTCGCGCCCATGGACCTTCCAACCTACGCCCTCCCCCTCTCGCCACCGACCCACCGCCACCTACCCGCACCCGCATACCCCACCGATCACGGGACCTCTCCCCCTCTCCCCTCCCACCTCCTCTCCTCTCCTCGCATTGCAGCCGAGGCGCAGCCGAAACCTTCCCACCACACTAGCAGTAGCCAAATCGCGGGGAAGTGGGATGTGGGACACCACCACGCTATTTTAGCTTGCAGTGCTAGCGGACACCGTAGCGGAGTTCCCGGCGGGGGATCTGGTGATCAGCGGACGGGCCGATTGGGGGAGATTTCAGCGCTGGGGTCATTGGATAAGAGACATTTGCTGCTGGATGGTGGGAGGGGACGGAGGGTTGGTGTTTACGTGATAGATAAGAGGAGGGGATTAGGGCTTGAGCGTTATGAGATGGGAGGAGAGGGGATTGAGGTCTGATTCGTGAGAGTTGGAGCGAGGAGAGGTGGAAGAGAGGCGTGAAAGGCCCGACTACCGTAATTTCGGTAGGCGAATGAGGTGCAGTAATTCGTGAGGAGAGCTAGTGCTCACAATTCGATGGTCGATGCGTCTATGCCTCTTTCCATGGTGTTTGCGAGGCTCAGGTTGGGTGAGACGCCACGATGGGAGCAAACTTTGGCAGGGGGCGGGGGTATCCTTACGGGGTGAGGGATTAATGTATTAAAAGCTGGGAGATGGGCGGGCTATCAATTGAGAGAAGGTGTTTCGCATGGGAAAGTTTAAAAGACGGTAGGAAGCTTGGTGAATGTAGTCGATGCTCACGTGCTTACCGGCACTATTCGCGGACGAGTTGTTGTTGTTTGCTACAGGCACAGGTGCCTAGAGGTACATTCTTATACATATGCACCTCAATGGTAGTCGCGCATATTGATTGACGAGGTGCATAAAGGTATGTTGCCTGATACTGCCTAGGCGACAAGGTTCTCTTATGATAAGAGGCTCACATGCCTTCTAGGCAGTCTTACTGAAACAGTCCGCCAGCTGTTCACGTGAGACAACACTGCCAGTATTTCTGAAAGCTCGTGTTAACACGTGAGGTGTCAGCAGTCCCTCAAACCACGAATAGCCTTTCCAAGCCTATAGCGCCACGCTCTAGGCCCTCCAAACATGCGCCAAACGAGGCGAAGTGGAGATCTCCCGCTGGTAGGATGCGCGGGATTTGGGTGGATAGGCATGTGCTATTCCAAGGTTGGCAAGGAAGCGGGGCTGCTGTATTGGAAATGCAGGATGGAAAGATTGGCGTGTCACAATGTTGAGGTTTTGCATATGCGACGCAAGCTGGGAGTGCGTGCAGCTGTGTGTCCTTTTGCGATGGGTATGCGTAATCGGGGAATGCCGGGTGGGTGTGATGGTGAGGGGCGGTGGAGATGCTGATGGTTGTCCTGGTAGACTAGCGGTCTTAAGGCAGTATGGCCGATGGAGAACCATGGCTCTGATTTGCTAATTTTACCTCTGGTGGAGTTTGACTGGTTCAAATGTTACGCAGGTAACTAAAAGAAATGGATACTTACGTGATCCACGTTTGTAACGTATGTCTCAATTGGAACGTCAGCTGAAAAGATGGGTTCAGTATCACACACCGTCAAACATAAATGGCAAATACTACACGTGTGGGGCAGAACCGGTTCAGCTCTGGCTAAAGATGGTTGAAGAAATGGCAACGGCAGCGGCTGCAGTTCCCTTCGAGGAATTGACGTATAGCCGTTGACCAGCGGGCAGACGTTGCGCAGGGAAGGGGAGCGCTTCACGCTGAGCGAAGAACCACGGGAGACGCGTCGAGGTATCAGGGGACCTGGTGCGGGGTTTCGGAAAGGCGGCCAGCTCCTGCGGTGTCGGTCCATCACGGAAGAGGCGTGGTGCCGGGGCCATGCCCGGAGGCTGTGATTGATCGTACCCGTAGCGCCCTGAGCTCTGGGAAGGTCTGCAGATGGTGTTGAGAGTCGAGCATCAGGGGCTCCCGCGTGGATCAATGTCATATGTCATGCCTGCAAGTCCTGGGAGTCGTGCAGCCCGGCGCTTGCATACGGGAAGCCCGAGTCTAAGAGCATTCGGTGCTCTTCTGTATTCGGGCTTAGTTTGTGGTTCGAGAGCGATCGTCGACCTCGTGCTGACTCTAAGTAAATACGTGGCGCAAGTATACCCGATCTATCCAGGTACAACTAACGCGATTGATACTGACAGAACAGCCGAGATAATGCACGAGACCACAAGGGTAATTGCCATGCCTTCAACTCAATCTGCCAAGCGCCAATATCTCTCGGGTGCAGAAAATGGCGCGGGTGAAAAAGATGGTGGATGCAAAATAGCTTTAAAAAGACAGCCGTCTGTGCAAGCGAGCTGGCTACGCAATAAGACGGCGCTTGAGTACGAGGTTGGAAGATAGTGTCGTCGTGCACCCCGGTTCCGATGTCATGCGTGAGGGTTTCAGGCGTGACGATTGATAAATTCTCCCATTTGAAGCGGTGATTGGCTCTCGTGGAGGTAGTAAATCGTCCCAAGCCCCGATTTTCTCTTTTAAGTTGGTCCAATTGGGACCGTGCCACCAATGACTGCTCCTCGAGTAAGTGCCGAGTTGATGTGAATGCTGTGTGTCTTGCGGGTGTCCTGTGGTCGACGAACACGGAGGAACTACTCCGTCTTTCGACACGGAAAGCGTGGTGTGGTGGAGTCCCTAGACAATGCGAATGAGGTGATGGGACCCGAGACCGAGGCTGCAGCTGAGACAGGAGAGGGTTCGGTGCGCAGTCTGGCGTTCTGTGATACCCTCAACCCATTTTCAAGGTCTGATTCGTGAGGGCGTTCTGAGACACAAGCTTACAAGGGCGTGGTACCAGAGCTGACTGAAAAACAAGAGCGTGGATGGTTCGGAGAGTAGTGCCTCGAGTCAGTGCCGTCGAGTGGCGAACATGCCTGATGAGAACGCAAGATCTGAGATTGGATCGGGGAAGGCACGAGGAAGCGCCATGGCGGGCAACAGGAATCTCGGCACAGGAAGTGGGCAGAGGTGCCTACAGTACAACGGAGAGGGCGCGTCGGACATTCCTTTGGGCGGGGATGTGTGAGGGAGAGCGTGACGGAGTGACTTTGAGGGTTGAGTTTGTGACACGAGAGGTTAGATATGGCGGCCTGAGTGGTGGGCTCAGCGTGACGGTGTGCCTCTGCTGGTGGCCCACGACGGCAGGATAGCTTGCCAGATTTGGCGGAGTGATGTCCGGGGAGCACCACGCTGGTGCCGTGAGCGGCGGGAGATCATCCGGCGTCGTCTTTCCCAGCAGCGCGGCCGCTTCGGGTGCACACAGCACCCAGCGCTCAGCGGACCGGCGAGGGCGAGCAGCGGAGGGCGGAGGGGCAAAGACTGAGGCCGCGTTGCGTGGATCCACGTGGCGGCGGAGTGAAGGCTACGATGGAGGCATCGAATGACACGCAGCAGCTCTCCCACACCTCAGACCGATGATGCGGTCCATCACCATTTCCGCAGTGCCCGCCGCCCATTGGCCGTGCGACGGCACCTGCAGCCGGGGGGCTGGCGAGCGATGGGCCGACGGGCACAAACGTCGGAGGGCCAAAAGAAAGCATCGCCCGTGTGATGAGATGCGTCCACGTGCAGCGGCGGCGCAGAGAGCGACAGGGCTGGCCGTCTTGGAGTCAAGCTGCGGCTCTCGCTGCGCTGTCGGGCGCGGCTTGGGGGTACCTCTGCGCAGTTTGATAGCACCACAGCATTGAGGCCCCGTTGTGTCGCCATCGCCAGGGCGTGATTGGCACTTCGCGCAGGCGGCCGCCTAATCTTCGTATCTGACCAAGCAGCGGCATCGCAGCGGTTGCAGAGGGTCCCAGGTACGGAATCCTCGAGCCCTGCCGCTCACCGTTCAGCAAGGAGTGAGGTTGAGTGAATGCATGGCCGATCGCTGCGCGCGAGGGCCCAAACCGCCGCCTGGGCCTCGCGGTTCCCGCTTTTCCCCTCTGGCGTCCCCGAGCGCCAGATCGCCAGCACCAGCGAAGTCAATCCAGGCGAGCTTGTGCGCCCTGGGGCCTGTGGCGACGTATCGTGAAGCTCCTGACAGCGCCAGGCGGGCGAAGCTCGACGACGGCCACCCGCAACAGGCCGCGAGCCCCGGCTGTTCGCACCTGGTGGCCGCGAGCGACTTGCCGGCGCAGTGAGGCAGTGCTGATTCGCTGCCGGGGACGACATTGCCAGACGTCCGGGATTCTTAGCGGGCTGCAGTGGCGGACGGACACTGTGCGATTGGCGCGCGGAGAGCCAGCCTTGAGGTACCGGCAGGGCTCTGCTGCATGGCCCCAAAAGCTCCCGGGATGCAAACGGGCCCGAACTGCACGCGTGCCTTCGCTGTTTCGAAAGTAATGCCGCTTGCCCTCAGCCTGAACAGCCTCTGATTGCCCGAACTTAAATGCGCTGATATGCCGGCGGCGGTGCTGATAGGCCCGGCGCGGACACTTTCGAGGCCAGGGAATCGAGTGGTGATGTGCCGGAGAGGTGGTGGTGATGGGCGACGAACCATCACGTGCCTCCCTGACGCCTCAACACCACATCGGGCGTTGAATACCTGCCATACCGCATTGGTCAGCAGGCTAGGCTCAGGATTCGCAAACCAGACCCAGGGTGTTCGTCGACGGCGCCGTCAAGCCACGGGCACAGGCCCCCCACCTCGCGGCAGACCTGCTTCAGCTGTCCAGCTCCACGCTGATACTGGCGCCCGGGGCCCACGGATCGCAGCGCACTCCCTGTGGCGCGAGAGGGAACACCCATGCCTCACAGTCGCGGCGTCGTCGTGGTCGCATGAAAGAGGCCCGTTCGATCATGGCAACGCGCACGCAGCGCGCTCTCGAGACAATGGGCCCTCCGCCAGGCGCGCGCAGAGTGGTGGAGGCCCCACAGGCTGAGGCCACCGTCACGCTAGATGCTGCTATCGCTGCACCAGAGTCCGTCGACTGTGCGACCCTTGGCGGGCGCTGCTATCAGACAGACGCGCGCAGGGAAGCTCCGATGGGCTGTGGGCGCGGTGGTCGCAAGTCACCACTCACCCTCTCCCGTACCCCCAGGTCTCTCCCTCCTTTTGCCCCGTTCCCTCTGCCACAGCACCCACACAGTCCCATTGCTGCCACCCCCTCCCGCGCTGAGCCGTCTGCCCCTCGCCGCGCGCTGCATGGGCTTATCATTGGCTTGAGCTCCTCAGCTTTCCGACAGCTGGCGCGAATTGTGGCCGCGACGACACCACCCACCGCCCTCTCCATCCCATTGGACTTCGCCGTTTTTTCGAGCGCGGGCCAGTGACCGGCGTCCTGGACAGGGCCGAGCGGCTAGCGGCGTCGCCAATCCCAAGTTCCCAGAGTGCCAGAGATCAGAGCCATCAGAGCCACCTTATCCGCCCGCGCGACCCTCACGCCCATACCATATCAGCCCGCCTGCATCCTCAACCACCGCTGCACACCTCCCGCGGACAGCCTCCCCGCCGCGATCACCCGTCTCTCCCGCTCCATCCCTCGTACATCCTCATCCAGGCCCCCTCTGTGCGCTGCATTCGTCTGTCCGACTGCTGCGGTTTGTTGGGCTGGCGTGGTGCGCATCCGTCGTTGACTTTGCGCCATCCTCCACCCAGCTGCGTTGCGGCCTCAGCACCATTCACGAATTGACGACCCCCGCCGCTCTAGAATCGCGCACCTCGCCCTCGCCCTCGACAGAAGCTCCGCCAGCCGCCGCATCGAGCACCAGCTTCTTCGGCACATCTCGCCGCCCACGCCTCGAACGGCGCCGCCAGCCTCTTTGTCTCAGGCTCGCCCGTGACAGAAAACGGCCACGCAGAAAACGGCAGCGCCAGAACAAAGGGAAGCATGGCCGGTGGGCCGAGTCCCAGCAGCACTAGCCCCTCCAACTTGTCCAACAGCAGCCCGTTCCTCCACGGCTCCTTCAGCTCTACATCCTCCTCGCCGCCCAAGCACCCGTACTCCTCGCAGACCAAGATGGCCGCCGACGCGTATCCCGGATCGCATGGCTACAGCCTGCCCACGCCCATTGGAGACAGACGCGCGCTCGACAAGAACGGCATGTCGCTGCTATCCTTCAGTGAAGTCGAATCAAGCCCGGACTCGAAGGGCCCGCCCGCGATTTTCCTGCGCAAGTTGCCGAGCAGCAGCGATCGCGAGGCCGTGCGCAACATTCTGCTTTTCTCGCAAGACATGATCGACTGCGAGCTCGTCCCGTCGTCAAAGCCCGAGGACAAGGGCTTCGCCTCCGCTGTGGCCAGATTTCGCTCTATCGAGGGCGCCAAGGAAGCCAGAAATCTGTTGAACGGAAAGCGCAACGCCTCCAACGATGCCAATATCATTGTCGAACTGATCCAGGACGGCCTCCCAGGAACGATCGGGTCCAGGAGGAATACCGTGGACAGCAACTCAGGCCGCCAAGGATCCGTTTCCGCCGCGTCTGGCATCTCCTCCAACGGCCAGAGTGCACGCCAATCGTCGCGATACAACGGCACATTCCAGCACATGGAGAAGATGTCCCCGCCAAACGGAACCCCAGGTCTTGGCAACGGCGAGTTCCCCGTGCAAAATCTGTTTTCGCCCACGTCCCCCGTGAGCACGTCCTTCAATCATCGCAATCTCGGCAAGTCGGTCATCAACGATGAGGCCGATGATGAATCAGATGGTCTCCTCCAAGAGACCATCGGGTTTGCTACCGGCAGCCAGCAGTCACAGGCGGCCATACCTCGTCGAACCACCAATCCATCTATCCCAGTCTCTCGTTTCTCGGCCCTTTCACTCAACACTAATGGCACTAACGGCATGGCTTCACCGCCTCTGCCCAACTACTCTTCTCCCCGATCGGGCGCACCCGTTCAGTCACCAAGCACGACGCTTTCGGCAATGTCGCCTCATACGACTCCGTCTTCCTTGAATAATCTTGGACCTAATGCCAGCTATCAGCAATTTTCTCAGCATTTCCCTAGACACAACTATCCACCCGTTAATCCAGCGGACCAGAATCCTCCGTGTAACACTCTTTACGTCGGCAACCTACCTATCGACACTTCTGAAGATGAGCTAAAGGCGATGTTCTCCAAGCAACGTGGATATAAAAGACTGTGTTTCCGCACCAAGCAAAACGGACCTATGTGTTTCGTCGAGTTCGAGGATATCTCATTTGCGACCAAGGCTCTCAACGAACTTTACGGCCACCCACTGCATAACAGTGTCAAAGGCGGGATTCGCCTCAGCTTCTCCAAGAACCCTCTCGGTGTTAGGACTGGTCAACCCAGCAGCATGGGATGTGCTACCCCACTCCAGCAATCCTCCGTGATGCCCGGGTTTGGCGGAAATGGTGGCAGCCTAACGCCTGGCTTCACTACTGCTACTGGCCCACCCCCAGGACTCTCCGTCCCACCCGGACTCCAGACAGCCTCATCTGTGCATGCCAATGGAACATCGAACTTCGGAATGTTTTCGAGCGGGGGCTTTGGAGTCAACCATAACGACATGGCCAGCCCGATTAGAGCCCATACGCAGCCAATGGGTGGACTTGCGACTAGTGTCGCAGGTAGCGCTTTTGGCGGTATGGGCGGTAGGTTTCCGACCTACATGATGGGAGGCTGAACGTACGACGACATAGAAGCTTATGATGACCTAGAAGCTTATGACGCCGTGACGCCTGACGATGCTACGTAGGAGTTTTGGGGAGCATTCGCCCGTCTCAGTGCGCATCGTCTTTTTCTGTCCGTACACTGTTGCGTTATATTCTGTCATTCCAATCATTGCGTGGTGTCTTGTTTTGGGTTTGAGGGGTTCTTTTATCCTTTTCGTTTCTTGTTCTGGCACGGGCATGGGTAATGGCGTGAAACTCCATCGAAGACACTGCGTCTTTTCGGGGGTGGGCTCCGTTTCAAGCATACAGCGATGATTCCCCCTTGCGCGTTTTTTAGTCTAGGGCTTTTATTATTTGCAGGGAGCTGGGCGCATTCCGGTGTCAAACTTCGCCCCCGTCTCCTTTCTCCACCAGTTAGGAGCATCCTTTGGGTTGCATTTGCCTGTCGTTTCACTGTTTGGTGTCTTTTCGAAGGACAGGAAAAGTGTCTGGTGCTCGCAAGGGATTTTGTGCACATGGGAACTAAAGGATATGGAGGAATTTTGTGTTGGAATTCGGGGAACACGCCGCTTTTTGAATAAGGTGTTTTCCATCATTAGTTCGTTTTTTTCCGCTTTCTACTTCGACTTTGGCCGGCATTGGCTGGCTTTTTCAGCACGCACTTCTCGTAGCAGGTTTTCTATCCACTTTGGGTCAGTTCATCTGCGACGGAGTTTGTTTCATTCCAATCGGCTTTTGCACACATGGTATGGCGCTAGTAACATCGCGATATAAGTGCATGGCTGGATCGAATTCTAGGCTGAACAGACGTTCTCGTCATGTTCTTCGGTTGCATGGCGGTCGCTTATCTTCTGGTTTCGTTCTAATCTATTCAACGTCTAAGGGGAATAGGACTTTGCACTTGTTCAACGGGGGAATACTAGAGTCGCATCATACCACTGAGGGGGTGTCTGGAGTATGGTGCGATGGTCCTGTCCTTACAGCATTTGGTTGTTCCTTTGGCATTTACTGGATTTTACAATTTTCTCTCATGAGGGAGACGTGGGTCTTGTAGTAACAGCCTGCTAGCATTCAATTAGGGGGACATAGAAAACAATCATGTGCAAGGCTTCAGAGAAGCAAACTCTTGCATCTGAATTGAGTAACGTGGATTTTCCGTCTTACAAGTAATTAGCTATAGTCTCATTCCTACAAGCTTTCTCTCCAGATTTAAATGAACTCTTACTAAAGCCACTCTGACCCTCCATGTACACAATAACCTACAGCATCAATAGACCCACTGAATCAACCCATGGACGTGTCATGATGTTGCAAAGGTGTCACTGCTCCAAGTTCTGGGTACTCGTTCAGGATGTCGTTTCATGAAGAATCAACCTTGATTTACACCAGCCTGTGCAAATATGGCTCGACATCTACGCTAACAGCTACAATGAGTGTTTGGTTGACGTTGGCTGATCAGCGGAGACAAGCACGTGATCCTGATTTTGTCCTTGGCACACAGCCAACTTACGAAACTTCCATCCCAAAATCTACATCAGCCTCAACCCACCCTTCCATCAACTCAACCGCCCACGCTTCTTGCCTGGCTCAATTGCCATTGTACGCATTAAACACGCCCATGCGGTAACATACTCATCAATCTCCAAGATGCCGCCCCGGTTACGTCCCCGTATCTCTCTCCTCCCATCCGGTCCTACCCCTACCTCCCGCCCGCAATGCCTCCTCCGCCCGTCTCCATCACATCGCCATTTCTCGCAAACAACGCCACATTATGAGAAGGCAACGCGCATGCGGCGGAACATGTACAAGTGGATCAATGGCCCGGGAAAGGTGTTTCTCGAGCCCCTTCCCGGCTCCACAAACTATATGAGCGCGTACGACAAGGATGGGAACCTCCTCCGTGCTCGGAAAGGAGGCGACGAGGAAAGCACACCCGGCTCGGAAGAGGCGAAGGCGCTAGAGGAGGGCAAGCAGGCTGAAGACGGCTCGGAGAAACCCAAGTCGTCGGAAGAGGAGCTGGAGAACCTTGATGAAGCGGCTGTCGCGAAGAAGGAGGAGGATGCTAAGAAAGAGCAGATCGCGAAGAGTATTCCGCCTGAGGGCAAGCAGGATTTGCAACCGTTCCCGCTGAACGCACAGTTTGTTAGCCAGCCGGTGCTGAGCGAGGAGCTGCGCGAGGCGATCTGGAAGAGGGTCATGAAGGATGGTGTGAGCTTGCCGACTGTCAGTGTGGAGTTTGGGGTTAGTAATGAGAGAGTTGGTGCGGTGGTGAGGCTGATGCAGATGGAGAAGGAGTGGGTTGCGAAGGTATGTTCTCGATCATTTTTCTCTTCCTTCCACGACACAATGCAATGATGAGACACAAAATTATTCGATTAGTCTTGAAGACACATACATGGTTAACAATTTTTTGCTATGCTCTTTCTGAACCGCATTCATATTTTCAACTCTATCTATCGACTCACAGGGAGGAATTATCGCTAATGCTTGAGAATCTATAGGGCAAAAAACTTGTCAGACCATACGCCGAGGCCGTTATGGCCATGCTACCTAAGACTCCTTACGTGGCCAAAGGAGAGAATAAACGCCCCGTCAATCACGAATCCATCAACGACCTCATCGTTCACCCGGCCACAAAACAACAGCTCTTCGTACCCGTCTCCGAGTCTCGGCACTTCACACGTGAAGACGCGGCAAAGGCGTTCCACCACACACTCCTGTCCGCCGACGACCGTATTCCGCATCCGGAACTTGTCGTTTCGGAGCGAGAAGCGCAGCTCGGGCTGTCAAACTCGGAGAGAGTTGCGGCAGCGAGTGCGCGTATGCTGGTAGAGAGGCAGCGGAAGGCAGAGAAGGAAGCGAAGAGGAAGGAGTGGGAGGCGAAGACGATTATGAGGGTGCCGGGGAGGAGATGGGATTTCGTGTTCCAGGATATAAGTGTAGAGAGTGTGGGCAAAGATGGGAGGAGCGAGAAGGGTGTTGGTTGGAGATACGGAATACCACATGAAGACAGGAAGAGGGGACAAGTCAAGATTCCTACGAAGGTCGATGGATAGGTGGTGTATCATATTAGCAGTAACGGTCTGGGCCAGAACATTTCTGGCGGGCAGGTAGCGATTGTTGTATATCCTGTAGGATTGTATCATATCGGCAGAAACTGCCTTGTATCCATTTGGTTCTGCGGTTCTTGTATTGTACGATTGATTCTCCTGCTGAACGCGAAGGCTATTCGAGGAAGCCGCATCTTGATTAGCAAGCCCACATCTTATATTCGTCGTACGGCCAATCCCCCGTGGAGGCCGCGCAGGTTTCGTCCCCCATGACCCAGCAACTATTGTCCAGCTGGGCGCCTATCCACTCGCTTTTGATATACACTTAGGTTGCATTGAAGCAGCCCTTTCCCTCTAATATGTACAGTACCTTGACGTCCCAATGTGGGGCAATCCATTAACGGTACTGCATTTTCTGGCCGCCCCTCTTCTCCAGCTTTTGTGACCTTTTGCTAGCCCCTCCCTGGGGAACACCCGCACTGTCTGTCATGCCCGCCATTCCACCCTTTGCGCCCATGAATGTCGTATACGCCAGCCAGCCGGAGTAGAGCGGGATGACAACCTGTCTGGAATCAGCTTCCTGTCCTCAAATTACAACCATGTCGTGCAAGTACTCACCCACCACCACCACGCCCAGTCCCCCAATACGGCCACCAGGATAGTGCACCCATACGTCCAGTAGAGCACATCCCACATCCACTCCGTCAACCCCTTCGCCTCGAGGTCATCGCCGCTCTTTTTCAGCTCCTTGCGTTCCCCGGCTGCTCCAGAGACGTAGGTAGGGCGCCCAATGCGCTCGAATTGGAATTGGATGAAAGCCGCGGGCAGCCAGAGGAGGAGGTAGGTGATGAAGGAGTTCCGCGTGAAGGAGGCGCGGAACAGGATGAGGCGCACGAGCAGATAGAAGGCGTGAACGGCGAGAGAGACGGAGAGGGTGCGGTTGAGGATTTGGGTGTTGCGCGCGGCGAGGGTTTTGGCAGCTTTTTGGGCCATGATGGCGGCGTTGAGGGGTGGCTGATGGGATGTGAAGGCCCGCTGTCAGTTGCGGTGGGACACTGCTCCATGTATTTTCTTGGACGTGGTTTTCTGCCACCGCCTACGGCAGCAGGGCGTTACCACAACAATAGATGGCGCGAGCCTTCAACTCCAGCTAGACACCACGGCGCCTGCTCTCGACTCCGACACGACAGACATGCCCGCCAGCTGCAGCACTCCGACGCTCTGCAGTCCCCAGTGCTGAGAGACCCCCCAGCTTCGACTTTCTGCGCGGCTTGGCAATTAGCTTTGTCGAGCGTCCTCTCCACGCCGGGAGCGTCTATCCTCCAGCACCACCGTCAAGAGCCCCGTCCCCTGTCTCGCCCTGGGCTTGGAGAACCGCATTCATGCACCGTACCAGCGGACCGCTCTCTTCTTACCACGGTTTCGCCTTCTCTCAGGCATCGCGCCAACACTATTCACCAAGCTATAGCGCCGTCTAGGTGAAGTCCGCCACTCTCTCACGAGACCCGGCTGCCCACACGTCGACCGCGACGCCGGTAGCTCGTCAGAAGGACCTCACCTCTGCTGCTGGCCTTCCGATCTCTTTCTCACCAGCCAGCTCCTGGCTTCGATCCAGCTACAGCACCACAACAATGCCGCCCTCCAACACCAGCATCGCAGCCCAGCTGCGCCAGCTGATCTACTACCACCTGGACAACGATCTCCTTGACAACGCCCTCTTCCTCGCCGGCCGCCTTCACGGACTAGAACCACGCAGCCCCGAGGCAGCGCATCTGCTTGCTCTTTGCCACCTGCGCCTGGGCCGCTACAAGGGCGCCTACGACTACGCCCGCGACAAAGGCCTGCGGGGCTCGCACCTGGGATGTGCCTATGTCTTGGCGCAAGCCTGTCTGGGGCTAGAGCGGCATGCAGACGGCATAGCGGCTCTGGAACGCGCGCGGGGCCTTTGGGGTGGACGGAATCATTGGAGTAAGTGCGGCTTCAGCACAAGAAAAGGCGGATGTGGGTCGCGCAATCGCATACTGACATATGCACAGACAAACATTCCGAGACCTCGAGACGACATTTGCCAGATGCGGCGGCTGTGAATTGCCTGCTGGGTAAGCTTTGCAGAGCGCAGGGCGACATGAAGAAGGCGGTGGATTGCTACGTCGAGGCGCTGAAGCTGAATCCCTTCATGTGGGATGCGTACCTTGATCTGTGCGATACTGGTATGTGCCGTCCTTCCCGCAATTATGCGTGGTCTTCTTCACCGTTTTGTTCAAACTTCTGACGATCTAGGCGCTGCGGTGCGGCCTTCCAACATCTTCAAGATGACGCCAGAGATGCTTGCGTTTCTTTCTCACTCAGCAACGAATGGAAATGGAAACGGCTCTCCCCCACAAATACCACCCAATGAACCACCCCCCGCTCGAACGCAGTATGTTGCGACGCCCATGGGGAACGACCCCTTCAACCCTTCAATCCGCACCGGAAATGACATCGGACTCAATCTGGGCGGCTCTAATTTATTATCAAAACTCAACGGAAACGTTGTCACTAATGGAAATGGAAACGGCTCTCATTACCCGGATCTCGAAACCCCTACCTCTAATGGACAGAATTACGATGACGATGTGTTAATGGGCGATGTCGGCGGAGGACCTGTCATCAACATTCCCGGGAATGAACCGCCGCAGGCTCCGTTACGACGGCAGAGGACGATACAGCAGTTTGCCTCGGACCCGGGCATGGAGGCGCCGAAGATGAAATCGATTACCACGAGACACAGGTTAAAACCTGGGTCAGACGATGCAGGTTCAAGGGATGCTACGGAGATTCCGAGACCAATTGGACAGACTAATCATAAGAGGACGATTTCAGGACATTCGGCAATGCATTCGAATCAGTCTGCAACACAGTCGAACTCTGCGTTGTCACTTGATCCTACTGCGGCGCCTCAACGGAGAAGTGTCCGGTTGTTCAATCAGATCAAGGAGATCAAGCCGTCGAGTATGAGATCGGGTTCATCTGCGGCAGGACGAGATCTGGAATCAAAGGAGAGGAGAGAGCTGAGAAAAGCAAAGGCCACGGGTACCAAGGGTCGAACTGGGCCGACTTCTACGGTTGGAAGAGTTGTCAGTGGGAACCGGAAACCGGTCGAGCTCACGGATCATAACATGAAGGATTCAAGACCTGCGAGTGTGAACGCTGGAGCGTTTCCACCCAAAATAGCCCCAATACCGCCTCCGTTGGACTCCGGCCGAGAACGAGACCAAGAAGTACTGCAATGGCTGTTGGACCTCCTCTCAAAACTTGGAACCGGGTACTACCACATGAGCCGCTACCAATGTCAATCCGCGCTCGCCGCCTTCCTCTCCGTCCCGTCGACTCAACGCGAAACCCCATGGGTCCTCGCGCAAATTGGCAAAGCCCACTACGAGCGCTCTGCCTACACCGAGGCCGAAGAAGTCTTTGCTCGCATCAAGAAGATCGCGCCCTCGCGCATGGACGACATGGAAGTATACTCCAACGTCCTCTGGCAGCTGAAGAAAGAGACCGATCTCGCCTACCTCTCCCACGAGCTCATCGAACAGGACCGCCTCTCCCCACAAGCCTGGTGCGCAATCGGTAATTCATTCTCGCTCCAGCGCCAGCACGACGAAGCTATCAAGTGCTTCAAGCGCTCCACACAGCTGGATCCGCGGTTCGCGTACGCGTTTACGCTGCAGGGACACGAGCACGTTGCAAATGAGGAGTTCGACAAAGCGCTCTTTGCGTACCGGAGTGCAGTGAGCGCGGACGCGCGGCATTATAACGGCTGGTATGGCTTAGGACAGGTGTTTGAGAAGATGGGCAAGTACGAGATCGCGGAGAAGCATTACCGGGCGGCGAGCCAGATTAACCCGACGAATGCCCTGCTGGCGGTTCGGATTGGTGCTGTAAGTCTTTTTTTTTCTTTTTGCGCATTCCGCCTTTCTACATTTTCCCATCTATTTTGGCTCTTCGCATCACGTACTTTCCCATAAAGTCGGCTTTTCGAGATTTGAGAAACGTTACTAATAAAAACGCAATCAGGTCCTCGACCGCCTCCGCAAAACCGACCTCGCCCTCCTGCAGTACACGCACGCATGCGACCTCGACCCGCGCTCGAACCTCGCGCGCTTCCGCAAAGCACAGGCGCTCATGAAGCTGCGGCATCCGCGGGAGGCGCTGGCTGAGCTAACGATCCTGAAGGATCTGGCGCCGGATGACGCGAATGTGCATTTTATGCTGGGCAGGCTGCATAAGATGCTGCGGGATAAGCAGACGGCGATTCGCCATTTCACGATTGCGCTGAATCTGGATCCGAAGGCGGCGGGGCTGATTAAGGAGGCGATGGAGGGGCTGGATGAGGAGGGGAGCGAGTGGAGTGAGGGGGAACGGTGATGATGATGATGGCGGGGAGATGGGGGAAGGGGACGGGAGGGGGATGATTAAGTGTGCCCTTCAAGTGTGGAGCGCTTTGAGCGAACGGCTTAGGCTTTATTCTTATGAGTATGGGATGCGCATGAGGTTTTTTTTTTGGCGAGCGTGCGTGCGTGCGTGGCGTGTTTTCTTGTTCTGAGATTTTTTGGTTCCGTTGCATTCGTGGGTTGCATTGGTTGGCGTTTTTTCGGAATTCTGGATTACCTGCCCCCTTCTTGGATCGGTGATTGTTTCCTGGGGAAGGAAAAAAGTGGGTAGCTATGAGTGGAGTGGCTAGTTGGGTTGGGAGATGAGGGCACGGCAGTAGGCACAGGGGAAGCTGTATATTAGGTAGTGCGAAGGATGTGAGATCTTGCCTTTGCGTGTGTCTGTGCTTTTGGTGTTGGGATGAGTGATGTCGCGATGGATCAGGTAGGGTAGAAGGGGGGCGGGAAGGGCATCAGGTGAGTTTCTAAGACACGTGATTGAGCAATTTGGCGCTGATCAGGGACTAGGATTTCTATCGTATAAAAGGCAGCGAGGTGGCTGGGTTTCTGGACAGCAGAGGTTTGGAAGTGGGTTCGATAACTTAATCAACCACGAATCATGGAGTCGGGGTGGGGGCGTAAAATACAACATGGGAGACCACAATGGCTCTGGGGTCTTGGATGGCGCTGTATAATGGCACGAGAAGCGGTGCATGGTTCGGTGGGAGGGGAGGCGTGTGTGCAAACCATGGAGACCGATTTTGCCATGGAGTTGGGTGGGAGGTCGTGTGCAACAGACGACAACGATAATAGCGATGGAGTGGGAATGATGGGGAGGTGGTGGTGGTGGTGGTGAGCAGCATGCTAAAGAGATGATGAATGGGCGCATGAGATCAAAATGCACTGTGAGTTGATGGAAGTATTGGTTGAGAGTAGTGCTAATTCATACGGGCGTTTAGGGGGAGCATGCAAAGGAGACGGTCATCACGGTCGCGCGGTGAGTGCACCCAAGGTCCTCCCCCATTTGGCGGTAACCTCCACCTTGTTCAGCACGCTCCCGATTCTCTCCCATCGGCACGCCAGCCAACCGGATTTTACTCCATTGCGAGGTTGGTTTGTACCGGTTCACACATGCAATGTTTCGACACACTGTTTTTAACCTGCACCGATTTCCTGGCCACTGAAGAGCGGTTATGGGACTTCTCCAGCGTAGTTTTATATCGAAAGGAAGCACGGGCATAAGGAGCCGATCCGAAGTCAGGTGATGTAGTGGATATATCGTCGAGACGCTATTCATGTACGTAACTCCCAGCCCAGAAATATGCAGTGTACCTGCAGCCTGATTGTTGAGTTCCTCTATCGCACTCTTCAACTTTTCTAGGTTAGCGCTGGCTAAGTGAGGTTGTAGGAATAGTGCTATTTCTTCACGCTGGCTTGGATATATCGATGAACATAGTAACGTGCGTCCTTTGCCACGATCGGATGCATGTGGCGGATGACAACCCGCGTCCCGGCCTCCATCTACATGCTGCCATAATACCTCCATAAACTAATCTAAAGAGGATGTTTGGACAAGTCAAGCGATCTCGTCCTTACAGATCCTCCCAGCCTCCAGTCAGTAGTGTACGCTCTCTGCTCGACCTCCGTCACGGATGCACGTGGTGGAAGCGTGCTCCTATTGTGGCAGGCACGGATGCGTGTGGCGGATGCACGCTACTATGCGGGTAAAGCGACCACAAGGACCCCAGGGGCGATGAAGTGAGTGTTGGACGTATAGTTCAACCCGACTCGTGACATTAGTGAACACTGAATAGAGGAGATCCTTCTTCAGTGTGCCTCTAGAAGATAGCTTTGAAGCGAGAAAGAGGAGCTCGCTCTGTTAGAGCTTTACACTTGTGGGTGAATGAAATCCTTCCAACAGACCTCCAGCTTCTTGCCACTGTCAGAAATGAATCCGGGGCAGTCACGGTATAGACGTTCGCTGGCACACCGGTGCTGCGTTCAGTTGCAATCATGGCAGTTCATGTGGTTCATTTCTTTTTGCCATTTTTGTGTACCCCAAAGGAACTGATTCGAGTCCGAGGTGGCGCATTCTCTTTTACCTTTTTGCATTTCGAAATCTATGACTACAGTTTCGAGGCTGCGTTCACTAGATCTTCGTTAGCCACTCCATCTCGCCACTCTCTCTATGCGCAAGGTATCCGCTTTAGACAAGATGGTTTTTCGCATAATCGCATTCTTTACTCGAGTATTTTACACCCCCCGCTAAGGAAGTGACTAGCAACGAGTCTTAGTGAAATGAATTAGCTTGAACGCAGAAAGCCTTTCAAGACTTCAGCGCGGCTCGTGTCGTCAGTGTCATCTCACCGGGAGAAGAAGTTCTTTCAAACCACCTCTGGACAATGGCTTCGGAACGAGCAAGAGAAGCTCGCTCGACGATCTCTCAAGTTCAACTGTTTCTAAGTTCTGCGTTCAGTTCGAAGAGCGTACCGAGGGGATGCATACTGAAGTCCTCCCGATTGTTGAAACTAGCTCGAGCATTGTCTAGCTAGGTTCTAACCTAAGAGAATCAGGCCTAGTGTGGCGACGTATCAGTATCTGTATAGTCCCAGAGCCCACCATCTTCTCTTCAATCAATCAATCGATCATACCTTTCAACACCGATGACGGCAGACGGAAGTAAACGAGTTATTGAAACACCTCTATATCCGAGTCCAGGCCTTCCAACTTCAGCATCGCCAGCGAGGTGGCTACTAGATATCGGCTACGTCAGCTGCCATCGTCCCACTCCATCACCGGTTCAGAGCAGTACAACATAAAGGTTCGAAGTATTCTGAAAGGTCTAGGTCCGGATGTAAATACATGGAAAAGTCTATCTGAAAAGCCCGTTCGAGCTGATCTTATTGTCATAGGAAGAAGTCGCGGTATTGAGCTCGACTAAGTCCTAGGAGGTGCATGCGATCCCAGTACTTAGTGTTACGCCCTGGGAATCTGCGTTCTCTAATTTTTGTTTGTGTATCTACAGTTTTGCCTACCAGCTGTAATAGTAATTTGCTAAAGATTCTGTATCTCTTACAGAAGTATCTGAACTAGACTTCTCGAGGACGTTTACGCGGTTTCGGAAACTTACCCTTAAGCTGACTTCTTAAAATCATCACAATACAACCAAAGAATCAATCACAAATGCTGTACCCATTTCTCAGGCGTTGGATGCTTTAGTTTCTTTTCTAGAAGACTTGACCACATCAAGCCGCTTCTAACAGCGTGGTCTGTGGATACTCACAAACTCGATAGCCAAAGCTCCAATTTTCCCTCTTTGAACCCTTTTTATCTACACCCTAAAACTTAACGCCCGCCGAGCCAATCTGAACAGACCAAACATTATCTGTGCTCGAGTTGCACTATGTACGGAGGTTGTATTATCGCTTCCTAAACATCTACATAGTAAGAAAATATAGGACCTAGGGGTTTGTAATAACTATCATCCAAGCTCCTTACTAAGGGTTGAATTCCTGCGAATTTACTACTTAATTTCGCACGACTTTACATGCGCTCGATGATATTACAGCGCTTGTATTATCACTCACGCTCCTCACTGAGGGTTAAGAACACTTACTTTGTCTCATCGCTGGCATCTGCGCCTCTTCACGTGACCCGAGATGGACGCCTGCATGTCCGCCCCCAAACCGTGAGGGGACCACATTGAACAGCAGCCTTCCCCACTTTCTCATGTCGAAGACTAGACATCACGGCGATGCAAGCTCCCTTTCCTAATCCGAAAACCAACTATGCCTTCAGACACAATATACGGGACTTTCGAACCCGGACCACCGCTGGGAGTTGTAGTCATCGAGCGAACCCGCCGTCAACGTAGAAGAAGCTGCAAAACAATCCTCCTATGGCTTTTCTTCAAGATTCTCATCGTGTTTGCGATAATAAGCACTTTCTTGTGGTACTTTGCTGCGTTTGCAGCAGAGCTTATTTGCTATACGAATAGCTTTAGTCCTCCTTTCCCGCTGCCACCAGCCCGCGACGACTTCAAGAACCAATCGTTCGCTGTTGGGTTCGACTTGACGGCTGGTTATGCGTAAGATCATCCTCGAGCAAGATCACGTTAGCGAAGTGCCGGATTTAGTAAGAGGCTGATAGCACCGCTGCGATTCTCTTCAATACCGGCACAACAGTAGACGTAGCCCGCGTCGAAGGCACACCCGAGTACAACAGCGTCCTCGCCCGCCTATCCCTCGAATCTTCAGCCCGCGCAACAACGTACGCGAAATCCATATCTACTCACTCCAACATGCTTACCTCTTCCCCCATCCCAGCCCCCCTTACTACAACTGCAACGCCCAGATCGCAGACCTGGGACGCCAATGGCTCCGATATTTCCGCAAACGCAGTGGCCATCCCGCATCTTCTGACGTCGCCGCTCTCGCCCACATCCTCACCCGCCTCAAAGATGAAACGAACACCGTTCTCGGCTCCCAGGGACCGCTAGAGCAAGCCTTCCTCACCATCCCACCCCTCCCCGGCCTCTACAACGAAGCCCTCCTCGACGCCGCCGACGCCGCCGGCGTCCAGCTGCTCACGCTGCCGCCCTACATCCACCGCTCCGGCGACCAGGCCCAGTACCCCGTCACCACCCTCAACGCCGCGTTCGCGGGGATGTGCCTAGGCCTCGAAAACCTCAACATCACCACCCCTTGCCCCCACGATGGCGATGAGGAGCCGTGGTCCGACGCCGTCTTCTCCGTCCTCCTCACCAACGCCGCGCTCGCGGCCCACGTCACCCCCCTGGCCTCCGCGCCGCACTACTACGCCGCGAAGGGGGTTGTGGATTTTGCCCTTGGGCTCGCGGCTTCGGCCGCCGTCGACGACGATGAGGCTTACTGGCGCTCTGTCCGTACCGCGCTGCGTCGGGCGCTGGGGTCGTACTACATCGGCGCCCGCCTTGGCCGCGTCGTGGTGTATGGCGAGGCGGCGCAGCACGACGTCTTCGACAAGATCCTGCGGGTAGAGGTGCTGGCGGCGCAGGAGAGCGCGGACCTGGGGAGGCGGCCCGTGTTTGTGCGGCGGGATCCGGTGTACGCCGGGGCCAGGGGCGCGGCGGTGTTTGCGGGGTATTGTGGGAGTCTGCCGGCGTGGGCGAGCTGTTTCCCGGACTTGAGGCCGTCGCCGCAGGGGTGGTAGGGGGTGGAGGTGGTTGGCCCTGGGATCGAGGGCTGGATTGGGGTGCGTGCTTGGACGACGTGTAGGGAACATCCAGTCTTATGATTTACGAGCCGCGAAGTTGCACGTGGATCTTGCGAATTGGCGGGTCGGCGACGATGCGTAGGAGAGCTCAGATTTGACCCTGAAATGTGTAAATCGGCCTTGCTATCTAGCGGGTATGTTAGCACGACTTCTCTAACATCGTTGGAGAATTGTAAGAAACAGGAGACGTCTTATCAATGACTGGAGCTTCTAAAGCGCTTTATCATCTAGAAGTGAGCACTTACTTACTATTCCCTGATTTCCTTCAATAGGTTCTCGAGAATCGTACTACGGAGTGGGTGTGCCGTTTAGATCATCCTGAGACCCCCCCTGGGCCACTGTTGAAGTTCGAGCGTTCCAGCAATCGAAAACCTACCAACCAATATGACCAGACCTCGAAGCCTTCGAGTGGTGTTAGCCAAACTCCCTTATAGGTCCTGTATACACAAAAGTCCATCTCTTGCTATCGCTTAAAGGAAGGTGATTCCACCCTCCCTCACCCTTCACCCTCTTCCCCATCCCCATCATCCCCGTCTCCCTTCCTCCAATAACACCACAGCCCCTCCAAACTCCCCAACCCCCCCTTCACCTCGAACTTCGGCACCACCGCTCCCTCTCTCCCCCTCAACCACTCCCTCGCCACCTCATTCGCTTCCTCCAAATACCCCTCCCCATCCCCATCCCCACCCCCATGCGTCAACGCCGTCATATCCCCCCGTATCAAATTCCCAATATACAACCTTGGATCGGTGCCGGGGAGAATAACAAGATTCAGAATCCGCCAATCCACAAACGGAACATAGAGGAACGAGCCGCGCGTGAGGTGAGATTTCGCGGTTGAGGACTTGACGGCGATGCCGAGCGTTTCGAGGAAGTGGTGGTCGAGGGGGGTGTAGAGGGGGTCTTGCGCAAACAGCTTAGTCTCCCCCGTCTTCTTAACTAAAAAAAGGATGTTAGTTGGGGGTTTTGGGCAGCCGATAGTTGGTGGGGGTAAGGAGATGTAAATACCCAGCTCCACCACATCCACAAACAGCACCAGCTGCCACAGCGCCCTGGCCCTGTTCTCCCAGTCTAAGCTGAAGCTCCCCGTCCCGAAGGCCACCGCGGATGTGATGCCCCACCCCGCATCCCCGTCCCCTTCGCCCTCTCCGCGTGCGTTGGCTAGGAGTTTCAGCAGCGCGGCGCGGCATTCGCACGCCCGCCACACGCGCTGCAGCTTCGCGAACTCCGCGGCGAGGTTTGCGACGGCCAGGCCCTCGACGACGCGCTGGGTGTTGAAGGTGCCCGGCCCGTTTGGTAGGGTCCGCGCCATGACGCTATCGTTGTACTCCCGCGGGGTGATTGCCCCGAGGCGCAGTTGCGCGAATGCGGTGGCTATATCTGCGTCGTTTCGGCGGGGTTGCGGATGCGAGGGGTCCTTGCGGCGCGCTGTCCCAGCTCTAGAGCTTGGGGACTTGTGGCTGTGCGAGTTGGGGCTTGGACTCGGCGATTTGTGGGTTATAACGCTCCACCCGTCGTCGAGCTCGACTTGGACGCGTTTGGAGGGCATTGGTGGTAGGCTTGGGCCATCCGGGTCTTTGCGGTGGGGATTGGGAGGAGAGGGTTCTCTGGGATCGATGTTTGGGAAAATCGTGAGGTTGGGCTGGGTTGGAGTTTGTATACTAGCAGTGTTAGTGTTGCATGTGGGGAGTATTTTGGAGGGGTCGGGTCGGATGGGAAATTTGAGGATCGCGAACTTCAAATTTCGCCCCTCCCCTCCACGGGAACGGGACGATGAAACCATGCACGTGTTTGCGGCACCCTGCATATCTTGATCTTGTTTCGAAACATCTCTTTACTTTGATCTCACATTCAAATCGGTCATCTCGGTTCTAGTTACAATCCACACGGTAACTAACATGAACAGCGCAGGAGCTCGACGGCTCGCTGCTGGTATTATAGGGACGCTATCAGCTATCATCATCCGGTCTTTCCACCTGAAAGCAGAAAGAAGCAAGCCGCACGACATGGACTCCCCAGCGCCGTGCTATATACAAGTAGCGCTGTGAATGCGGAATCGTCACCCTTTCTTCCACTGTGGCTAAACCCCGAATGCGGAACCAGAAACCCACAGATCAAACGCCCGGCCCCCCGTAGATACGCCAAATGCTATACAGAACCTCCGCAGACCAAACCCGCAAATGGATATCTCTTTCTTCGATCTCTCTTAAATGTTTAAAATGGCGAAAGGCGAGTTTATAACCATACCCATGCCGCGAGCGAAAGCAGCGACGGCGCAAGAACGGACGCGTACGTGTTTAGCCGCACAGATGCAGAGCCCGCGGAAACAAGGGCTGAGGTAAAGACGTTGTTGAAGGTGATCTTATCGTTTGCCCCGGAGGAGTTGAAGCAGTTCTGGGGCGTGACTTCTTCGACATCCTTGGGGTCGGCGAAGGTGATGTCGACGCACTGCCTTACAATTAACATCTTTCCATCGTCTACATTTAGTCGAAAAGATCGGTTGTACTCACGTTGTAAAGCGACGCTCCGTGCTGCGCGGCCTCAATAACTTGAATCGTCGCATTGTCGCCAATAGCCGGCGTAAAATTCGCGGGCAAAGGCACCTGCGGCAGGCAGATTGTGCCCGGGTATTCAAGATTCGAGGGGCCGACGATTTGGAAAACGGGCAGCATGGTGTGCGACATGTTCAGCGGCTCGTTGCCGTAGCCCATGTTGAGGTAGATGAGGGCCAGTGAGTGGCCGGGGAACCAGCCGGGCTGGATGGCAATGGCGCCGCCGCCGACGGGCCATTTGGTGCGGTTGCGGGAGGTGGGCATGCCGCCGCCTGGAGGATGTCATTAGCAGCTGAGGTGGTTCGAGGTGTGCGGAGTGTGCTCACATGGATACATCCATTGCATGCCGTAGGGAAAGCCAAGGGTGCCATTGGTGTAGGTTATGCCCAGCGAGCCCGGAATGATGTTAACGCTGCCCGGCTCGGTGCCGTTGGTGTGGATGTTGTCGCCTCTCCAGCCGGGATAGGTGATGACTGTGTGGGCGCTGGCGATGGCACAAGTGGCCGCGAGGACGACGATGGATCTTAGGGACAACATGGTGGTGGTTCGGTTGCTATGACTGCTATTCCAAGCTCTTTCTTCACGGGATCCGGGGCGGTAGATGGGGTTCTTCAGGACATGCAGTGGACTCGACGACGAGCGGAACAGGGCGGGGGCTTCTGGCACTTATGGGAGGGCAGCGTTCTCGTGCACCCCAGCCAGCTGTGCGCCTTTTCCGCCTGCGGGTGGCAGCGAATGGCGGCGCTCGTGCGCCCAGCAGGGCGGCATCTTGACCGGCCAGCACGCAGGAGCCGTAGGAGTTGGGCGTGCAGCGAATTGGCCGCCAGACAGCATATTGATAGCGCAGGGATGGCGAACGGGACGACGGCCACTCACAGCGGCAACACTCTCCAGCTCTGATGGTGGCGCGGGAGATCTAGCCGGAAGCACGCAGGACAGTCGTCGGGCCGGGGACTTGTGCAGGTCGACGCCCTGGGGGTGTCGCCGATGATTTGCTGGCCATGTGACGGCTCTGCAGGCGTCGGCCAGGGGTGCGCCGGATCCTCTCCACCACAGCCCTCTAAGCGCCGACTGATATGGCCGTCTCCACGCTGTGCAGCACACTCTCAAGCGCGCGACTCTGAGTGGTGATGTGATGAACACGTTCGCATCACGCCGCAGCGCAGCGGAGCTTGCCAACGGTGGTCGCAAAAGAGGCCGCCCGCCCACTCGGGACCCTCCGCTGCCTTCCAGACGCGCGCAACAGCGTCCTGATGTGACCGACAGGTGATACAGAGTGACTGAGGACGGCGGGCGTGCAGAGCGGGGGAAAGCCTCAGCCTTATTGCGTAGAACTTCGAAGCGGGACGTGAAAGGGGGTGCGAGTTGCATCGTTGTCTGGTGTTGAGGTTTGATGCTTCCAAGCTTCATTCGGGACTTCGCGGTATTGGACCGATGCGATGTGATGAACGTTTGGAGTGTAGCGAAAGCGAGGCGAGACTCCAGACAATACCGCCGACGACTCGATAGACCAAAGGAAATATTGATCGTTACCTGTCAAGTCGCATAAAGGAGTCATGGCACGGTGGTGTTGAGGTGGTGGCCGAATTAAGGTGTCGTTAGCAGATAGTCCAGACCCATGGATGGCCAGCGGCCAACGTGACGCCGTTATTGGCTATCTTCAGTCAATCCACGACTTCTCCTTTATGCGCTCTTCAGAGATCAATGAGAATCATCATCACCAGCAGAAAAGTTATAGTAGACAGTTCGGTGTACATTATTCAATCCCTCCTATCCAAAGCGCCGACGCTGAATGAAGTAAATAATACAATGCACCATCATCGACGCCAGTAGCCCATCCCAGCACACCCTTAGACCATCCCAGCCATCTTTTCCACCCGATTCTGCGCACTATCCAACATCGCCTTCTCCTGCTCAAGCATCCTGTGAATAGTCTCAACTTTCTGTTTCCGGAAATCTGACGACACCATCACGTGTCCATTCCCATTGAGCCCAGCATCCGTTTGCGAAGTTTCGGCATCCTTGGCTTCATCCAGTACTTGCTTCTTGATCCGCCTGACTTCCTCTATGCGTGCGAACGTCAAAGGCTCATCGCTACCCTGTTGCTGCTGCTGCTCGTTGACGGCTCGAGTCATCTTCTCGACCTCTTCGATCCACATCTGCTCCTTCTCAGTGAGCTGCCGCGTATTGGTCTGGGCCAGCTTGGTCCGGATGCGGTCATGTTGAGCCATTAGGGCGGCCTGACGTGACTTTACTTCCTCGAGTCGATTCTCAATCTGCTTCTTTCCGACCGCCCGGTCCTCATTAGCGTCATCCTCGAACGTGTCATCGTCAGCTCCGATAGTCTTGTCGATCTGGTCCGCTAGTTGCGCAGCTCTTAAGATCTGAGCCTTGAACTCGAGCTTGAGGCGCTCGCACCGGCTGAAGAGATCGGATGCAGCAAGACCCAATTGGTTGGTTTCGTGACTTAGGATACGGTGTGCGTTGGTCATGATTTCGAGCGTAGCTGCTGACAGCCTGACCTCCTGTCCCAATGAAGACTTGTACCGGGCTGGCACCTTCTGATCCATGAAAGAGGTGAGTTGTGTGTTGTGGTAGAAGACTGCAGGTGCCTGGTAGATAGGTCGCAAAGGAAGATCCGGAATATCCAATTCTTCGCTGGCGGCACTACCCCTGAAAGGCTGGCTACCTCTCCGAGAATCAAGCGTTGCTGCAAGCGGCTGTCCGTGAACTGCTGTGAGGACAAAATGTCCGAGGTCTGCGACGTCGTATGCTACGCACGAGGCGATTCCGCGCGTCGCGTCTGGTTGTTGTTTTTCCGGGATGGGGAAAATCTTCTCTGCGGCCGACTGAGCAAGGTTGAGGAACCCGTTCAGTCGGAACTCGGCGCCCTCGATCTGCGCTCCGCTCAGCTCCCTCTCCAGATCTGGTACCCACGACAACATGGACAGGTGATACACTCCACTCTCGTCCGTCACGAATAGCGCAAAGTCTGTGCTGTCATCGATCGTGAACGTCGGGTGTGAGGAGAGTGGGCGTGCCTGCGATGAACTTGGAAGCAGGTGTACAGTCTCAACGACTAGCAACGTGTGTTCCTCGTCGCCTTCTTTTAGTGCAGCTTCTGGGTCCTGTGGGGTTGTTAGCGTCTGCAAAGAGTTGACTGAAAGATAAAACCCACCTCGCGCGAAGGTAGCCACTGTCCTTCAACCCCCTCGAGATCCAAACACACATGTACATCACAGTTGCTCGAAAGCAAACAAACAACGGATGCTGAGAGTCCCTCTGGGCTCCCATCATCATCGAAGCTGTCTAGATTGCTCAGGCCAAAGACTAGAATATCCGAGATTTCAAAATCCTTGGTGTCGTCCAAGTCGGGAGTCAGCTGGAAAGGTCCCTGGAGCTTTGGCAATATGGGTGTGCTCTCTGGTCGACTGTAGATCTCTGTGACATCGTCCAAATGATCATTTTCAACCACTGGCTCCTGGTCTAGGATATCCAGTAGCCAAGAGAATTGGGCCTGGGATATCCGCTGCTCGTTCGTGTTGGACTCTTCTTCGCTAAACGCGTTTTGAGATTCGATTGCGGTTGTCAGGTGCTGTAGAAGTGTAGACGTTCCAGGTGACTTAGTCACTTGCCATTTGCTGGGCAGAAGAGGGCACAAAGCGTAGACGTCTCCCTCTCTCATAGCCACCCAAAGGGTCATTGGAGACCACCCATTGATGCCTTCTTGTTCGAGCGAGCCTCCAAAACACGCTGAAGCCACTTCCCACTCGTAGGCGTCGGGAGAGAAGCCCTTGCTATGTGTGTAGCCCGACACGCTCACATCATCCTCAGTACTCGTCGCGTCGATAAGTTTCGTCAAATCCACCGCCACGGTAGGTTCACTGAACGAGTATCGATTGGTGCGATTCAGCTCCCATAGCCGCACCACCGCGTCGGTTGTGATTGTGACCAGACATCGCCCACGGTGACCGAGAGGGTGCCAGAGGACTGAAGCTATTGGGGATTGTTCTAGGACGTGGGCGGTTGGACCCAGTTGGAAGGTCTTCAGCTTTAGTGGGCTGGTGTCCTCGGTGCCGAGATGTGAGGAGTTTGGTAGAACTGCAATGTGGATGGTATGCGACGTAGCGATGGCCATGAACTCGCCCTCTGGTGAAATGACCAGCTGTTTGATCGCTCCATGGACTCCAACTCTCAGGACCTGGAAGCTATGATCAGTGCTTTGCCCATTGTCTTACAACAAACAGACTTACCCTATGTAAGACTTCATCTTGAACAGTACTCCTGCTCTGTCGCGATTGCGAATGTCCAAGTCTATTTGATTGCTCCTCGCTCTTCTCTTGTAGGAGGACCAGGTCGGACCACCGAATCTCGTTGCCCACAGCCACAAACACCTCTGTACCCCGCGTGGCTATTGTCTTATTTGGTCCGGAGTAATCCTGCGCAGCTTTGTAGCCGTTCGTAGCTTTGGAGGAGGCTTTTGGTGCGAACAAGTTAAACCCTGGTGAAGGCCTGGACAACCACGGCGGCGTGTAGCTGATGACTTTGGGCATCTTCGCGGGACGCGGGAGATGGAACTAATGAGCGACAATATAGTAGGAGGTATGGCGGAGGGAGCCAGTGGTGGGCGATGTAGTGGGAAGCTTTGCGCGGGGAGGGAGACGACATGAATGAACTGTAAATATGCACCTTGAAGTCGCGGTTGCCCAAGCTCGGGCCACTTCCAGCAATTCGGGAAAGAGAGACGCGACAGGCCGCATCCACGTCCGTCTGCGTTCACCTCACGACACTTTGCGCCTTTGCTTGCTGCTGCTTCACTGCTTCCTCTGGACACTGACGACCCGCGGAACACCCAGTGGCTCTAATAACCCCACCCATATTCTACATGCGCTTCTCGAGCTAGAAGCAGCCTCACGTCGCGCATCCTACTTTCACCAACTCTGAACGAACTGCACGAATCATGGCTCCTACCACCCGGAATACCGTCGATCGTATGGACAAGCCGAGCTCATACGCCGCCAGCAAGGTAAGAAGAGCTACCTGTCATCCGGCCCGATGCGCGACCCTTCGAAGTGAGGATGACTTCCTAAGACTATAGCTAATCAGTCACAGAACAAGCGGCGCAAGTACAATCGAGACGGCGACGATGGAGACCGGTACCAGCGGGAGCGAACACCAGAATTCGAGGATAAGCTGAGGGATGCTACCACGCTCTATGTTGGAAACTTGTGAGCTCGCAACCTAACACCCTGGCATCGCGGCCGCTGAACGATCACAGGTCCTTCTACACTACCGAAGAGCAGGTCCATGAGCTCTTCTCAAAGTGCGTTCTCCACTACCCTCCCCGAAAGCCTTCCCTCTAATGTGTGGATCCCAGGTGCGGCGAAATCAAGCGTCTGGTCATGGGCCTTGATCGATTCAAGAAAACACCATGCGGATTCTGCTTCGTGGAATACTACAGTCATGAGGATGCGTTGGACTGCATGAAATACATCGGTGGCACCAAGTTGGATGAGCGGGTCATCCGTACAGACTTGGATGAGGGCTTTTCGGAAGGTCGACAATATGGGCGTGGCAAGTCTGGCGGTCAGGTTCGCGATGAATACCGCGATGAATATGATCCTGGGCGAGGTGGGTATGGGAGGGCGCTGGCTGAGGATCTGGAGGAGTAGGGAGGTTGGGCGTGGCTGTGTGGTAAGAATCTTTCTTCCAACCTTGTCATCAGCTCGAAATTAATTTTGATGCAATAGTACATCAGACTTTTCCAGGAAGTCTTTGGACCATACTCAGATCCTATCCGATTCAAGCCATCTGCATTCAAAAAGGTAGTGGTAGGATACCCTCTGTATAACACAGGTAGGAAGTACGGCGTTTTTGGGAAAACTTCTATATTTTGGTTCCTCAAGGGCCTCGAATGCATCCTATAAAGCCTTCTAAGGTCTCCGACCCGGTAATGCTTGCTATGCAAAGTCTGAAGCTGTCTACCAGAATCGAAGAATCGGACTATCAAACCCCCTTCAATTGTATAGGTATCATCCCTCTAACCTTTTAGCTTCCACGTTCGAACTTGCAGACACGGCCTTCTGAGATAGCCCAGGAACTCTACCAATTGTTCAAGATGACGAGCCTCCATCTTGTTCAGCTCTTTGAAAGTGCATTGAAGCACCCATAGTAAGCGTCTACGACACTTTTGATGCTTGCTGTTTCCGTCGATCCAACGCGTTCACAACCTGCTCCAGCCACCACACATGGATCCGCGAGTCTCCAGTAAGTTCAGGATGGAAGCTAGTTCCAAAGACGTTCCCCTGTCGAACGGCGATGATATCTCCTTCTCCCGCGGCACGTGCCGTCTTCTCATCGTCTTTAATCGCAGTCGCATCACCCGGTAGCCTCGCCAACACCTCTACTTCAGCTTTGACTTCCTTTTTTGCAAGCTCATCAGCCGGCCGCTTCGAAGGCGCAACGACAGTTTCCTCCCTCTCCGCCTCTCCTGCCTGGATCCCTTCCACGTGGGGCAATATCTTCTCTACTACCGGCGCGCGGATGAAGACGCTTCTGAACGGTCTGCTAGCTTCGCTCCCTGACACTGCAACAGAGTCTTTCAGAAATAGCAAATCGATATTCGCTTGGAAACTTTCCACCTGTCGTCCGAAATGGTTGCGGTTCACTCTAACATCTAGTCCGCCGATCAACTCTTGGCCACCTTTCTTGGTACGATTCGCAGACTCTGCAAGCAGAATCAGGCCGGCGCAGGTGCCCCATGTTGGCTTGCGGATAACCCTGCGGCGTATTAATTGGGCTCATACACTCGATTTGATATCAAAATGGTGAGGGTGACTAACTTGACAAACTCGCGCAGCGGCTCCAGCATCCCCGAGCGCGCGGCTACGAGCGAGATCGTCGTGCTCTCCCCTCCGGGTATAATCAGCGCATCACACCTTCTCAGCTCCTCTGGTGTTCTGATCTCTAGAAACTCGAACTGCGTTTCTGAGTCATGTGCTTTGAGCGCAATCGCCGCATGGCGAAGCAGCTGGACATGCTCGCTGAACGCGCCCTGCAGCGCGAGAACGCCGACGGTAATCTTTCGCGCGCTGGGCATGCTGTGGGACTGTATCACGGGCGACAATAAATGAGGAGGAATTCGGTGACCGAAAAAAAAAGTAATTGCTGCAGGTCGGAATAAACTGACGGGTTGGCGACGGATGGAGGCTTATCGATAAGCCAGCCCATTCCCGAAATAGATTCCCGCGTGCTCGCATCTCCGATCGGCGAAGATCGAAGTCAGATCCAACATCCCCACCTCCACCGACCTCACGAAACGAACTTCTCCAGCTCCTCCTGAGGCCCCAGGCATCGGGAAAGTAGAGACCAATATGATGGGCGAGCCAGCACTCACCTGCTGGCTCCTAGACACGCGCAGCCTCTGGCCCGGCGAGCGCATCGAAGACTCCGTCCGTGATCTCACTCCCGCCCGCTCCCAGCTCCAATTGCACACCTAACTAACCTCACGCGCCCCGCGATCCAGGCTGCCGACGCCCTCCGCCTCGTCAGTCCCGAAGAACACGCCCACATCACGCGCAAATACCACATGGCCGACGCGCGCATGTCGCTCGCGTCCGCCCTCCTCAAGCGCCTCTTCGTGCACCTCTCCCTCCGCATCCCGTGGGCCGAGATCCGCTACGCGCGCAAAGGCGACCCCAAGCACGGCAAGCCGTGCGCCATCCTGCCGGACGGCTCGCGCGCGCCGCTCGAGTTCAACATCTCGCACCAGGCGGGCCTGGTCAGCCTGATCGGGTGCAAGCGCGGCGACGTGGAGCTGGGGACGGACATTGTGTGCGTGAACGAGCGCAACGATTACCGGGTGATTGACGAGGAGGGGTTTGAGGGGTGGGTGGATATGTACGCTGAGATCTTTGGCGAGGAGGAGAGCTGGGATATGAAGTATACGGTTGACTCGTTTAAGCTGCTGGATGGGACGGTGGTCACGGCGGCGGATATTGGGCGCGGGGATCGGTGTTGTGCGCGGGGGAGGGAGTTGAGGGCGATGTTGGACACCGGGGAGGAGGTGGTGTTCTCGAGTGATTTGCTGATTGAGGCGAAGTTGAGAAGGTTTTATACGTTTTGGTGCTATAAGGAGGCGTTTATTAAGTTGTCCGGGGAGGCGTTGTTGGCGAAGTGGTTGAAGGAGTTGGAGTTCAGGAATGTAAGGAGTCCGGCGCCGGGGACGGTGGCGAGGTGCTCGACGCATGGCACGTGGGGGGAAAGGGTGGGTGATGTGGAGGTGTGGATGCATAGGAAGAGGTTGGGGGATGTGAAGATGGAAATCCAGGCGTTTGAGGAGGAGTTTATGGTGGCTGTGGCCATTCAGCCGGCGAGCAAGTTGCCGGAGGGGGGGTTTCCGGGGTTTGTGGGGTTGGATCTTCAGAGGGATATCTTGGAGGTTGCGAGGAGTTCTTAGGGGAGGTGGCTTATTACGACTGGAACGGCATATGAGCGTATGGTAAGCTATCTTCGAAACTCGATAACATATTTCGGCGTCGAAGGGAAGAGGTTTAAGGGAGATACATGAAGCTGAAAAACCAATGCGAGAAAAGGATATCAACACCTGTATAACGGTTGTAACTCGTATTTTGACGAGATCAGTAATGGAAACACTTCAACATATCATCGCGATCGAGGACATCAAATTGTCTACAATGGTCTGCGACTGTTCTAGGTGCTTGGAGGGATATATGAACATCAACCGTATTATGTCATCTATGAAGTCGGCCCCAATTGTGCTTACTGTGGACGGACTGACTATGTCAGTCAGAATAAATACACACATCGAGACTTATATACATCATACATCAGATTCTCCCAACTTCCTCAAACATGCCGCTTTCGGGCCAGTTTGTTAATACTGCCCCTGACCTAGCTATTATAACCATCAAGGATCTTACATAAGACCAAAATCAGCAAGTTTCCGTGAAAGATTTAAAACTAGCTGCCACATGGAGTTAGACAGGTATTAGAAGGGTCCTCATGCAGAGCTCACCCTGTAGCTCCACTTCAGCAACGCATGATGTCCCGATTGGATACAAATATTAAAAAGACTGGTGATTCATGAATTTGGCATCATGGAAAAGGCCTGTCAAGAAGCTTTTACTCAGTTCCCCGGCATCCCTCGGCGACACCAGCGATGACGAGTGGCTGCCAGTGGCTGGTGCGTGATCGATGACGGACGGGGCGTTTCTTGATAGGGAGGGCTAAACCTTGGTGGAATTCATCGCGCCGCGCTCCAAGTCGCAGACCCTGATGGCGCTTCTTCCTGTTGTTTTCCTTTGCTCCGTCCACACATCCTCGCCTCGTTGCGATTCCTCCAACTTCATTGTCTCGTCTCCGGCCTCATCGTGGCTCTGAATACCTGTCGACATCCCTGGCCGTGCTGCAGCTGTCAGCCTGTCGCTCTCTCGCGTCGGAGTTGTGCCCGCTCCTCCAGCGCATCCGCTCCACATACATGACATCAGCTGTCGCTCGACCCTGACAGCTTCATCTTTTTCACTCTCTGCGATTTCGTCGGTCATGTTCATTGCGCCGTTTCAGAGTCCATAGTCTGTCATGTTTCATCGCCGGCGCGCTGCGTCAAATCCGGTGAGTGCCTCTTTATCTGTCGGCAGGAACAAACATCACGAGAGCTCCATTTGCGCCTGTCCAAGCTATCCTAAGCTATGCCTCTCAACATCACACTGACACCATCTCCTCATGCAGCCCACCCACCAGCCCTCGAATCCAAACTCTGCCGCCGCCCTAGCCGCGAGCCAAGCGTTCCTCAAAGGCCGCGACTCCAATGCCACCCTCTCCAATGCCGCGGCGGCGGCTGCCCTGCGCACCCACGCGACGTCGCCAACGCCGGTTGGCGATATACAGACAAAGCGGATGATCCGGAGAGGGTCGACGTCTTCACAGGGCAGCGTTGGAAGTAATCAGGCGCCCGGCTTGCGTAGGCAGTCCAGCTCTGGCTCGATGAGTGAACGCACATTTCGCACATCTTCGCCCAACAGGAGCAGCCCCGTAGTCGAGGCGGATCCTAACGCGCCTCCAGTGCCTGCAATTCCACGTGATGTCCCGAGTCCTGTTGCCCAGAAGCGCGCGTCCAGCCTCGAACCGGTCTTCCGCGGAGCCTCGCCGAGAAGAGGTAGTGGGAGAGGCGTGAGTGTTGACAGAGGAATGCCTGCGGCTGGCCGTGGCCATACTCGTGGTGGGAGCAGTCTGGCTCAAGTCCTGGAAGTCGATCGCGAGAATAGCATTCGGGGCTCCGTCAACTTTTCCAGGCCCATGTCTCCGCCGGCTAGTCCGTCGCCTTCTCCGGTCGTTGCTCCGGGTCGAGCTAGTCACAGTGGATGGTTTGCTTCGCCAATCGTCGCAAACAGGACTTTCAGAGACGACTCAGCTACGCGCCCGAAGACGTCAGACGGCGCTGGCATCAGAAATTCGTTCGCCCAAGAGTCGATTCGGAACGCGCCGGAAATGCCAGTACATAAGAATAGGAGCCAATTTTCCGCTGGGGTGGAAGGGGCTCGTCTGGCAAGCGGCCATATGGTAGCAAGGCCTACGGGAACAGCCGTGGACGAGTATGCTCGACCTGCAACTTCATCTGGGATTCAAGCTGTCGACCCTAAATCTCCAGGAGCGGTGTACGACCCATCCACGCGGAAGTTCTATCAAAGAGAAGCACCACAACCTACGTATCAAGAACCGGTTTACCATGAAGTGGAGCGTCCGCAGAGTCCACCAGTCCAACTAGAGGAGCGACCCGAGAGCCCTCCCATGCGACAAGATTCATCTTCGGGTTTCCAAACTCGGGCTGGAGCCTTACTTGCTAGAAGGAATTCCGAGGACTATGGCGAGAACGATCAAGAACAGGGTGTACACGATGCAAATACTAGTCGAAGACTAGATCCCAGTTCTTCTGGCTTGGATAGGGAGCATGCTCAGAATACACCCGTATCGACTGGACCACCCACTACTCCCGCACAACCGAGGACTCAAACGCCGACTAATACACTATCTGCGGGAAAGAATGGCAGCATACGCGGCGATAGACCTCAGTCTCTCAGTCCAGGTCGATCAGCACATTTTGCGACTTCATCAGTCGAATTGCCGAATGGATTCAAGCATCACCCACCACCAAGGTCGTATTCACCAGCAAAGTCCGCCCTCAAACACTCACCGTCTTCTTCCATCAGGAACAACTCCCCTGTAGTGATAGCTGCAAGAGGAGCTCCAAGTGAGACGTCAGATAACATGTCTGATGACGGTTCCAGGTCCACTCCAAGAAGAAAGAAGAATGTGCGAGTTAGCTTCGATGACGGCTTGGTCATTGCAGGAACTTCTGCTTATGGCGAAACATCGCCGTCGTCGCCAGACAATGATATTGATGATGTCATGACGCCGCGCCCGGCATTGCCATCTTTTGGAAGTGTCCGGGAACGCTCCAGACGGACCGAGGATGATGATCTAGCCGAAAAGGTTACTGAAACCATCCCATCTTCAATGTCGACGTCTGCTAGTACGATCGGAGAGCCACTTGAGTCTTCAAATGACCATGCGTTAGCCGGCATCATTGCTCATGACTTCGCATCTAAGAAGAGGGCAGAACCTTCTTCGCCTCAAGAGGGAGCTCGCAAGAGTATCCTACTGGACCCAGTGCCTCCGGAAGTGACATCAGTTGAGGGCTCAGGTTATGTCTCCGATTCGGAACAGAGCGTAGCTACTCAAGATGAAGGACCAATTTCATCACCCAAGGGGCCATTCATTGCACCAGCAACATCGGAGGCACCACCCAAGTCGACACTCGAAACTGTCAACGAAAATCCACGCGGAGAGATGGCAGTGCCCGATATTGCCATTCTCCCTGCTACCCCTGGGCCTGAGGACGCACCAGAACCTAAGTACATGATGCCCGGAGGATTCCCTGACCAATTTGAGGAGACACGCACTCAAGTCAGAAATCCAGAACCTGCGAATATTGAACCAAGCACAAACACTCCATCAACTGGCGCCGAGCCTGTGGAAACGATCAAATCAATCGCTTCCCCTCCAGCTATCATCCCTTCGCAATCTATAGTCGCTCAAGAAGAACAGTCACCAACTAACCAAGAGGAGCCCGACAGCGACACGAGCAGTATCTACAGTGATGCTGCAGAAGATTTCTCAGACGACAAGGCCCCATTTGCTTCAATTGACGCTGTTGTGGAAAGTCCGATTTCGAAGCCAGTTGGAGGTCTTGCCATAACAACCCCCCCAGAAAGTCCCGGCATGCTAGCACCATCCAACGCAAGTCGCGCTATTCAAGATACTGTTACCGCACCCTCTCGTGAGGAAGCGAATTGGAATGATGCAAGAGACCACTGGAATAACTTGACCAAGGCGCAACGAGAGACTGTGGGACGTGAAGCAAAATCCGAACCGCCAACGGTATTAGCAGCAGCACCTGTTGTGCCAATTCTACAGCCTGCCAAGGCGAGAAAGAAGAATGTATTAGCTGGTGGCGCGTTCCAAGGCGGACCGCCACCGGCAACTGCTCAACCACGGAAATCTGCATTGAAAAACTCCATGCGCCAGGCCCATGAATCGACGGCAGCTGAGCCTCACATCAGGAAGACTATGAGATCAGGGCCCGGCTTCCAAGGAAACAATGCATCTTCGGCTTCAGACACCCACATGAAGAAAAGCATGAGGGGTGGTGATACTATGCGATCGGGCATGCGGAACGAACCAGGTCTAGCTGCATCGAGATACAGCAGCCCGCCGGCGGTTCGAGAGCCTCGGGGCGCTCTGCAGAAGAGGATCATACCACCAGCAGCAGCACCCGCTAAGAATCGCCCTCAATCGGCATCTGGACCTCTTGGCACCTCCGCAAAGCCACCTCGAATGGCTCCTCTAGGGCGCACGTTTTCGAACGACGATTCAGACCTTTCAGACAGTAGCTTCAAGAGGGAACGGCGCAAACCAAAAGGATCAAACGGGGAGAGGTATTCCATGAGACGATCTATGAGAGGTGGACCACCTCCTCCATCAGCTCCAACGCCAACCATGAGACCACAGTCTGCCCACGCGCAGCCTTTGTCACCACCGCCCACAATGCGGACTTCGATGCGGCCCTCTTCGCCAACGCCAGAGGCGCAAGCAGGCCTCAAGTCTTCTCGTTTCAGTATCAGGTCGTTGTCACCAAGGGGACGAGGGATAGGGAACTCAAGGCGGAATGGCTCTATCGATGCAAGTGTATCCACTCTTCGAGCTCAGTCTGAGAGACCTGGAGTGAAAACGGGTGGGTTCGGCAAGAGTTCGAAGGCAAAATCGCCAGCACTAAGCAAACCTGCAAAGCGGTTCCAGAGCCGCTTCGCCGACTCCAGTGATGAAGACGACGACAGGCCGGCAAGGTTTCAAAGCCGATTCGCGGATTCTGATGATGAGGACGACTACGTCTTACCAGCTGGATTGGCTCCCGTCCGCGGCATCCCAAGGAAGCCAGGGGAAGAAGACGGTGACTCCACTGACCTCTCCGACGAAGACAGCAGCACAGAGAGACCCGCTGCTAACAAGGACATAGAGAAAGGGGCAGCGACCAACGGCCAGCCATCTTTCGCATCGAGCACCCTCCGCGACAGCAAGCACGCCGCCGACCCGTCCGACAGCCAACCCATCAAGAAGGAGAAATCCAAACGCGGCTTCTTCGGCCTAGGCAAGAAAAAGCACTCCACCACCCAACCCGGCGACTTCGCCTCCCAACCCCTACCCATTCCCGAACCCCCTCCACACGCCGTTCGCTCCGAACCTCAAGCTCAGCGCCCGCTCACCCCCATCGGCGAAGACGAGAAAGTCTTCGATGCCGACTCCCCTGATACGCCACAGAGCCCCGGCAGCATTCGCAGCCCCAAGCTGCAACGCCGCAACACGCCGCAATGGGGCCGCTCGACTTCGGACTCCTGGCCTCTGCCTCAGCCCCCGGCGATCGGGCAGGAGGTGAGGCCGGCGAGCTCAGATGGGGTGTTCCCGAAGGGCCCGAGGGGGCCGAGCATTCTGAGGCCAACGTTGAGCAAGCGGCATAGCTCTGCGGTCAGTGAGGCGCGCATGGGCGTTGACCCGAAGACGGGGAAGGAAGTGGTTGTGGGACGGACGGGGAAGAAGAAGAAGTTCCCGATGCTGAGGAAGGCGTTTGGGTTGCGTGATTGAGAGGGAACAACGAATTCGTGAGTCGATCTAACTGGTGGAGGCGGAGGAACTATTTACCCCCATATGACGAGGGCTTTCCATGGCTGGATTTCCTTACCTGTTGTTTCGTTTGAGAAGAGGGACTATGAGGTCCCCCTAGCACAGCACCCGGACGATTCGGGGACGACAGAAAGGTGTAACAGCACAACCTGTGGCTTTCTTTCTTCTTTTTAATTTTTGGCAGTGTTTAGAGCGCGCATGGTGCGATGCGATGCGATTGGAGATGGATGATACCTCAGATTCCCGAGAAAGGGGACTGCTACTTGCTGAAAACTGGACTACATTCGCTTCTTTGTATACAATTTCGATAAGGTGGGCGATTTGAAGTGGTTCTTACATAATTTATAATCGAGTCGATTACGCATTTGTTTGATTTGGCTTTCTTTTGCTTTTGGGGGTGTGGGTTGCAGGTGTGGCAGTGACGCCTTGGGGGTCAAGTATATGCTGAAGAAGAGCGCTTCGTCTACAGCCACCTTAGTCAGGTGGGCAGCACCTCCGCATCTCGTGCAGCCTCATTCTGCTGTGCTTCAGCTCTGCATAGTTTTTACTACTCTACGGGTGAGGACCCATGGAGTATTAATTCACACGGCATACGGTCGCCATTTATTGAAAACTCCTGCTGCCACCTTTGTAGTAACGCGTACTTAGTTCTTAGTCATTAGGAGAAGATGCTCTGTTCCAATTGCAGCGTTATCGAGCTAACGGATCACACTAAGAGAGACATTTGCAGATGAGGTGGCTATTTGGTTATGCGACAATGCTCGCACTCAAGAAGTGCATATGAATCAGCTGATGTACACCTGCGATGAGTGTCAGTACACAGATCTATCAGAAAACGAGCTTCTCGACGGCAGTGAGCGATGGCGTGGGATCAACAAGCTATCCATGAACGTATTCTTCGTCTATCGCGGAACTAATCAAATTCACTTTGACGTACTGGCTGATAAGCGTAAGTTCGCGTCAACACAAGGTTAAGCACTCTCAACTCACTTTGCTTCTATCTAGGTACACCGTTAGCCCGCTACCTGCGTATTCACCGCCGACCGGTTGCTGGGCAGTTCCTTTCTGCTCCGAACCTGGAAATTGTGCGAGCCTGGGTCAGTGAATGTGATTCTAGTTCACTACACACCACACGTTGCGATCTTGACACATTCATCCCCCGCCGTTTAGTTGAAATCAAAGAAAGTGGGAAAATGACTCGTCTTCTTATCACATCAGACGACCCACGCTTCAAAAATTCACAAGATGTACCGCGCTATCTCGCGCTCAGTTATTGCTGGGGCACGCAGAACACCTTGAAATCTCATTTACAGCTCAACAAGTCGACATTGGCAGAGCTTAAAACCAGCATCAACACGAACAAAATCGCAATCACACTTCAAGAGGCTCTGAGAGCGACCTATACCTTGAGATACCGGTTCATATGGATAGACGCACTGTGAGTGCATGCACTTCTGCGTGGATTCAACACTAACACCCTTTTAGTTGTATTATTCAGGGTGATGAGAATGATTGGCAAACAGAGTCCGCCTCCATCAGTCGAATCTACGCCTCTGCCACAATAACTTTAGTCCCAGCAGCAATAGAATCCTGCGATGAGGGGTTTCTGGATCGCACAATTCCGCCTCTTTTGCTGGTTTCGTTCAGATCATCACACAGGCCAGATCTAACAGGAAACTTCTATCTTCAAGCGACTAATGCTGATACCCACATTACGGAGTCCTACTGAGACATTCAGCGCCGGAGATGGAATAAACGAGGCTGGACATTTCAAGAACTGTTGGAATCTCGACGACTCCTGTACTTCAGCAAGACGATGTTACACTATAGCTGTCAGACTGTAGTGAGAGTTGAGAGTAGAGAAGAAGCCACGAGCGCAACGGAAGGTTTCTATACTCCTTGGGCTTGGACGCACAAGGAGTTGGGAGTATCAGCTTGGTTTGGTGCGGTCCGGGAATATTCTGGAAGATTGTTATCAAATCCTTCTGATAAGTTACCCGCTATATCGGCGCGAGCACACGACATCGCTGCACAATCTCAAAGCCAGTACTTGGCTGGCTTATGGAGGGACTCATTAGTCCTCGGTCTCCTATGGTACTGCGTGGATCCTCAGGTTGACAAGTACGATAGTGATACAATTCCTACGAAACCCAGATCTGTCGAGCCCCATCATGGAGCTGGGCGGCCGGCGATGGTACAATTGATTGAATTGGATGTCTTGATGAAGCTACCGACGGACGATCTTTAAAGGTTGAAGCAGTTGTGTTAGACGCTACAACTAAGGTTCTGGGGAAGAACCCTTTCAGTGAAGTTGCTGCCACCAGCCTAACCCTTAGGGGAAAGCTACACCATACTGGCTTAGGAAGCCATAAGTTGAACTATGTCCTACTTTTTTCTGATCTTTGGCTGGAAAATAGCAACGCCTATTCTTTGGTCCAACAAGATCAGGACATAGAGAACGGATTTGGAGTGTTGAACTGGAATTCCCCTCTGGACGTCCTGGATCACATTCGTAACGAAGGAATCTGGATGATTATGTTGGGGAAGTGGCGCGGCAGAGGTTGGAATGATTCTAAGAAAGGTCATCCTAAAAGATTTCACCATCTCGACACGACTCAAAGACAGGCTCTTATCAACGTGTTGGTTTGTTTTTCTTCGTTCATGGAGCAGGTGAATCTTTCTTCCATGATTGCTCTGAGGAGGAAGTTACTATTGTTTGAGATTCTTATATGTGAATACATCTTATGAAGAATTAGACTTGTCTTGCGTTGTTTTCGACTGAGTTCTCTTACCTCGCAATCAAACTGAAAGACACAAGAATCTGCTGGGCAAGACCTGCTCATACTCAATACCAAAGCTGTTGCTACCACTCTATTCGGCAGAGATGAGGAATTCCTTTCATTTTTTTGGGCTCAACTGACCATCATAGTGAAACTATTGCTACTTTTGTATACGGTATATATATGAGGACTACAGATGCTAACGAGTTTTACGGCACTATCTAGCTACTTAATATAATATATAAATAAATGCTACTAGCTGCTCTAGCTTCCACTACTATAAGTCTATACTAGTAACTACTAGAATCTAGTTAATTTTTTACTTAAATAGTTAACCTCCTTTACTCCTTTTTCCTATTCCGAGTTAGTGCGGGGCTCAGCTATCCGCGTGACCACTAAGCCACCTCTGAAGTGGCGATGAGATCGATCCGGCAGGGAGTGACCTCTTTCCGGGTACCAGAATTGCTGGGTCACATGCGTTAAATGATCTGATCTGCGGGAACATTAGGTGTGAGGCGGATAGATTGAACCCATTCACGTTTACAAGGCAGGCTGGTGGATGCACGCATGCATGAAACAGTCAATTATAGATGGATGAGCAGCAGATTTGAAGCATTGTAAATACACAACGTCCCTGCAGTAGGAAAAGGGCGGTGGAGCCCGTTTTGGTAACGGGTGCCTAAGCAACCAACCATGAGTGCACAAGTACCAGTGGTGAGCATCCAGGTGCAACTTAAGCGTACCGAGACCAAAGTCTTCGTCGAGTGGTCGTCGGGCCGAAATCGAGGTGGTGCGAACCAATTCCCAACGTGATCCATCACAGCCTCAAAGTCTGGTGGCTTACGAAGCTGGATAGGATGGGACGAGGTATTTCGCATTCGAAGACCTCCACATCGTGACCGGTCTGTACCGCCGAGTCACGTTGCTGAATATTTTGTAAGTGGCAGCCCTTGTAAGTTTATCCGAGCTATTTCAGTTTGTGCGTCTCGATCACAGCTCTCGCGAGCGCATCATCCAAATCATTTCTATTGAATGCCGGATACCTGTCTAAACAACGTGTCCTGAGCACGATCTCTTCAAATCAGTATTAGCCAGTGTTCACTGTGGCCCGGGAAGGACAGGTACTCGCCATGTATCAGCCTTGATACGTCAATGGATATATGTGACGTGTTATGGCTTCGGGTGGTGTAGGCAATATTATTGGCGAATATCCCAAAGCAGCTCGCATCTTGGGCGGTTGCTGTGAAATAGTGGTGTGCGGTGCTGGAGAGACATGCCAGATCGTGTGGCGGCTGTTGATGTGGTGATTCCTCCAAACCGTCACCACAAAGCGTGATGAGACCTGTCGCAGGCAGCCCTTGAGCATTGAGCAGTCTCGCCAGGAAGGATCCCGGATGCATTTTGACGGTGACGATGCCCTGAGACCCATCAAAATCCATCCCTATCGTACGAAAGTATCGGGCAACGTCAGAGGCGTTCAACCAAGCACAGGACAACCCTCCCGACCATGACCTGTCCACATCGCTCTCAAGTGGCGGCTGAAGCAATTGATTGAAGTTGTCGTTTAAGATCTTGTTCAGGAGCGCTCTGAGCCCTTCACGCGTGTGGAAATCGAGGACACGGTTGAAAACTCGGTAGAACTCCATCGAGCGGTCCTCGGCAGTGCATACAAGTCGTAGACCGGCCCGTATTGCTTGGAAGTGCAGCCTTTGGGCAAAGGTAGGATTGGGCGGGTCCATCGATCCCGGAATCCGCAGCTGTGACATGAAGTTGACTGTGTTGTTGTGAGCCGGCACAAGCTCGCAAGGAAAGCTTTGAAAATCCGATGGTTGATTAGCTGCTTCCCATGGCGCAGCGTTGCGCACAGATTGAACTACCGTCTCTTCACGTTCCGAAGTACCAGTGTCATGCGGCCTGTCAAGACTAATCTCTGGGGCCAGTGACCCCGTGGTCATTGAACCAGAGCTGTGGCAATCACTGACGGTCTGGTCGTCTTCCTGAGGGACATGTGATACTCGAACAATGGTGATGAAGCGTTCAATCGCTCTCTGTACTGCTTTCGTCACCTGCGGATTGTGCTCAAGCCATCCAGAAGCAACCAACTCATCAGTCAAGGTGAGGAAGCATGCGTTCAAGCCTTCAATCGTCTTGTTAAGACCGGCGATCTGCGCATTCAAAGATGTTATGGTGTCTTCCTTGCGTTGTCTGAAGGCTCGCTGAGCACGACAGGCCTGAGTTCGTCTCCGCTGTGTGAACTATCAGCATCCCGTGTCCACGCACCAGCGCTGGCTTACCCACCTTAGCTGCGATCTCGTCTAGCTCCGAAACCTTACGCTTTGGTTTGTGTTTCTTGGGCTGTCTCTCTTCCACCCTGCCCCGGGATCCATTTTTGTGATTCATAGGGCCCGGCTCTTCACCCAGAATGCTCTTCACCGGGAATCCAGAGCTTCGGTCAACAGGACGGTGTACTGAGAAATAACCTCCGGCTGGCGGGATGGCTACTTCGCATTCGCGCCAAGAACAGAACGAGTTACAAATCAGAGACCTGAAGCGATTACTGATCGGAGTCGTGGCTCAACATGCGGTCTCTTGGCAACGAGCCTCCCTGGCACCCCGTCAAGATCGAGCCCAAGTTCCTAAGCGTCGTCAAGTGGAGGGGCTGTTGTGGATAAAGCTAAAAGTCACGACAGTTGTTTGAACCGGCTGCGGCCTGCTCTTCGGCATGCAAGCAGGCCCTGTTTGTATGACGGATTTTAGGGTGGCTGTTGAGATTTGTCCCCCGCCCTGCTCCTACATCTTCCCCCTTTCCAGCCCTGGCCTCCTCACCTATCTCTGTCACTGGGTCTATCACCATGTCGCAATCCCCTCCACAGTCGTCTTTGAGCCCGATCCGGCCTCTGGCAACCCTCATCATTGGAAGACTTCTCACATCGAGCGTCGTCGGCTTCAACCTGTGCTGCATGATTGCAGTGATTTCAGTACAGTAACCAACTATTTTGGCAAATACTGAGCAGGAGGAGGATCCGATAGACCTCGTTGAAGCAAGGAACATGGCTCTTGCTACAGAGGGACTGTACGCCGCGTGCACTCCAGCAATGGCGTGGGAGTATCACTTTGGAGATAGGCCAGTTTTCTACGTGAACTAGTTGCACAGGCCGACGCTTTTCTCGAGTCTCAAGGCTGGGCAGAACAGCGTCCTAGGCGGGCCGCAGCAGTGACGGCTTCAAATGCTTGGAGAGAACTCGCCCCGCGCAAGAGGCAGCGACGCCAGTAGAACACCCAGAGCGGCGTCGGAATCACCATGGGGTGGTGACACTTGGGGGCTTGGGACGCTGCGTGCTTATGCTGAGGGTATTGAGGTTGTGACGGCGGGGAGGAGTATTGCTATGGGTGGGTCTGAGCGAGGAGAGGTTACAGATCACCCGCCTCATGCTGATGTAGTGGTTGCGCTGGGAGTTGAGAGTGCATCGTTGAGCAACATTGTGAACGCCAATGATCACTCCGCTGTCTGCAAGACCTCTTTCAAGCCACATAGCACTTGGTAGTTAAATGTACTTGACGAGCATGAGATGCTTAGTGTTGACTTCGAATTACGAATCACGGTCGTCGGGTGGCCGTTTCAAAGACACTGGCCGGGAAATATCTCCGCCATGATGTTATGAGCTTGTTCCGAGTTCGAAGTCTCATCAGCGGTGTTACTAAGGCTCCGCCGAAAAGCATTGCGCGATCGACAGTCAGCCCATTTTCGTTGAGAGAGCGCCCTTCAGACGATGAGCGCCATGCGTAGGCCTTACTGAGGTCCCCGGTACACAGCTAGCCTTACTGTCGTCCCCGGTACACAACTGGCCACGACCGCAAAACCTCAGCCGTAAATACTAAACACAAGGTGGCTTGCGGTAGCGGTCGCCAGTAGCCAATTGATGATGATTTCAAATCGAATCCATGGCCTGATAAAAGGGGCTTCAACTGATCTCCCACCTTTTGTTACCCAACTCCTCTTCAGATCCGTATTGGATAGTCACCCTTCACTCATATTTCGGCCGGCATCGTGTCATCTCAGTCGCAAACTTGTTTGTTGAACCTGAAGATGGAAAAGAGACCTGACTCTCCACCGAGCGAAGCTGGAGTGAACGTTGAGCAACCTAGCAACGCCGCTCTCAATGTCAGCCCCAGATGCGACATTCCCGCTTGGAAATGGATTTCCACATGCGTTGCGTTGTACTTGGGAGCTCTTCTTTACGGTATGTGCGCGTCTGGCAAGGCTCGACGGAGCGTCCGCTGAACTCGCAAAGGCCTTGACACGACAATTGCCGCTGATGTCCAAGCGCAAGTCTACGAAGACTTGGGACATATTGAGAACCTGCAATGGATTGGCCTTGGATTCCCAATGGCATCTGCTGCGACCATCCTGACGTTCACCCGAGCATATGGACTGTTCAACGTGAAGGTCCTACTTATACTAAGCGTTTTCGTGTTCGAGGTTGGTAGTGCCCTCTGCGGTGCTGCACCCACTTCCAGTTCCTTGATCGTCGGTCGAGTGATCGCGGGTATTGGTGGAGCAGGGATGTATCTCGGGTGAGCGATTGAAATGGGGTGAAATCTAGTCAGATAACTTACGGCGCGTAGTGCTCTGACCTACATATCCATGTTCACCACAAGATCGGAAGCCGCCGTATATAATGCTCTGATTGGGCTCAGCTGGGGCGTGGGATCCATCCTCGGGCCGGTGGTTGGTGGGGCGCTCTCCGTGAGCAACGCAACCTGGCGTTGGGTATGGTCGAACCCTTTCCCCGGATCGAAGCTTGTGTTGACCTCGTCCAGGCCTTCTATATCAACCTTCCGCTCGCGGGCATTCTCTCTCCTGTATACATCTTCGTCTTTCCCTCGCGCAATCCTCGGCCTGATCTGACCAACAAGGAGAAGCTCGCCAGCGTCGACTGGGTCGGAGCAATGCTTAACGCTGCCGTCTTCGTGATTTTCACGACCACCCTTAGCTTCAGCGGTTCGACATACGCCTGGAATTCTGCGGAATCCATCGCTCTCTGGGTTGTGCTCGGGGCTTGTCTGATCGCGTACGTCGTGCAACAAGCCTTCTCGATCTTTACAACCGACGAGAACAGGATCTTTCCCGTTCATTTTCTCAGATCGCGCACGCTCGTCCTGTTATATGTTGCCACCGGTGGTGCAGGCGCCGCGCAAGCCATCACACTCTATTACACCCCGCTGTTCTTCCAGTTTACCCGGGGCGATTCGGCGCTGCGTGCGGCCGTCCGCCTTCTGCCTTTCATCTGCACCTACATCTTCTTCGTGATGGCTGCAGGCGGCTCGCTTCCCGTCGTCGGCCGATACAATCTGTACTACCTTGTCGGCGGCGGTCTCATCGTGGCCGGAGGCGCGTTGCTCTTTGCGATTAGCACAACTACATCCAGCGGCCGGATCTACGGGTGTGAGATTCTCGTAGCGGCAGGGCTTGGTTTAGCTTGGCAGAACGCGTACTCCGTCGGTACGGCCAAAGTCTCCTCCCCCAAGGACGTGCCGAAAGTCATCGGCTTTATCAACCTCGCGCAGCTTGGCACCATTTCAATCTCCCTCGCAATTGCAGGATCGCTGTTTCAGAACCTGGGATTTCATGAGCTCAAAAACGCCTTTGCGGATTCGAGTCAGGGGTTCCCCGATGACTATATACGATCGGCTCTGGCCGGTCGTATATCTCCAGTGTTCTCCTCCGCTGATCAAGGCATCATTCATGTTGCCATCGTGGCTGTCGCGGAAACCATTCGAAAAATATTTGGGCTAGTTGTGGCGGCGGGAGCGTTGGTGACGGTGAGCTCACTGCTGATGAGGTTTGAGAAGATAAATCTGGTCGTTGCTGCTGGTGGCTAAGACGGAGCATTGCGCGGCCGCCAATGTCTCATCCTACATGAACTGTGAACTTGTCAGTGTGGTTCGCTTGGCGGTATAATGCTACTGTCAGAGGCGCGCGAAAGGGACGTTTTGGGTAACACGCCCTGGGCACAATGCGGCGTCTTTTTTCTTTATGCAGGGAAATTATAGCATCGTCTAAAGAAGTTAGACTACATTAGTTACAAGCTTTAACGCTATAGACTTAGTATTGTATAGGAAGTTGCACAGGACGTAGGTCGACTGACCTGCCCCTTTACCTCGGCAGACCTAGCTTGGCACCCCACAAAGAAAATGCCACGTCAGCTCAACTGCCCTGCAGGTCAGGTGAAGTATATAGGAATGCATTCGAGCCTAAAAACCATACTATCTGCCTAGGTAAGGTGAGGTAAATGCATTCTTAACGTATTCTTAATGCATTCTAACCTAAAAACCTTGTTATTTGCTTAAGTAAAGTAAATGTATTCTTAATGCATTCTAACCTAAAAACTTTGCTCTCTGCCTACCTAAGGTAAGGTGAATGCGTTCTTAATATATTACAAGGCAGGTTAGACGAGGTATTAGTGTAGAAAGAAGGAGGTCGGGTGAGGTTTTTAGGGTGCCAAGCGGGGTTGGCCGAGGTAGCGGCCCACGTCAGCTGAGCTGTACGCTCTCAACGAGCTGTTCAGTCTCGACTCAGGATGTGCTCACCCCAGCACAGCCACAGCTCAGGTTTGAGCGCGAGCAGCTCAGTTCCCTGAACGGGAAAGGAAATTTCTTGGGTGCACATTGGGATATCAAACTAGCTGTTCCATGACAGCATGGCTCGAAGTGCTGCGGATGAGATGTTGGGCGAAGCGTAGAATAAGCCAACGGCTCCAATTGCAGATGTACACTATTCACCACTTCCCACCGTCTAACCCAACCTGGTACACTAAACTCCTTGAAGGATCGAGCCTCTAAACCCCCTCCCAAACCCCCTCCCCAAACTACGCAGCACCATACAACCCACCCCCCCACCCCCCCACCTTCCCTCTTCACCCATCTGCGACCGGCGAGTGCGCGAGCTATCCTGCAACACGCCTCGTCAGAGTCGGCGATCAGCGTTTCCGCGCCTCAGGCCCGCGGCATCCATTCACCGTGCTAATCGGCATCAGGCCGGCGGAAGGCCGAAACTGGGGGATTAGCAAAACGGCCCACGGTAAGGTTGTTGGCAGATTTGAATCTTATGCGTTCTGGGTAGGTCTAGTAGGGAGAGGAGAGCGAGAGGTGAGTGGGTAGAGCGGGTGAGACGAGGGGGGCGCATGAAGCGGGCGTGAAACGCATGATGGCCGAGATCGTGTGAAGCGCGGTGGGTAGCGGGAGAGACTGGGGAGGGGGAGGGAAACTGAACATCCACAGCGATGTGGTGTTTGTGTGGTCTAGGGGCCTGGGAGATGGCGTTAAGGTGAGAGTTTTCTAGAAGGTGAGTCGTGATGTGTGAAGGTTGGGTTTTTTGGTGGTCTGCACCCCTGGCTTCACGATCGTCAATCCCCAACTTCCCCTCCTCCTACAACACTTCTTTTCTTCGGACTTTAACTTCATGATCATGGCTTTGCCGCAAAATTGCACTCATTTCGGGGCCAGCAACAACCGTTACATCCGATCCACGCGCCCACAGTCTCACAGAATACCACGCTGGCGCCCGCGCGCCGCCCGGCCCGTTTGGGACTTGAGCCAGTTCCCGTCTCAGCGTGTATACAGACCCAAACCAGCCTTACGTACCGAGACAGCGGGGTTTCCACTTACCGGCCAGGCAAATCCGGGCGTTGCTCCCTTAGTTTAGGCCCCACAAGGCAAATATCTTTATATAATAGCCTGAGGATGGCGCTGGGAGAGAGCATTCAGCAGCTTCGAACAGTTTCTTTCCATCACATTTGTAATTCTCTACATTCCTTTGAGTTGATCTCAAGTCTATCCTTTATATCTTCTATCACGCTCTTTTGGGTCTGTGACTCTCAATAAAATTTTGTCCTCTTCCAATCCGATTACTTTATTCGAAATGGGGTATAAATTCATGACCGCGGCCTTTGTGCTTCTCAACCGTATGTCTACCTCACTATCTACATTCCTTCCTCTCTTCCATCTTCAAACCCCCTTCTATACCTTGCACCCATCCTTACCCCCAATACACCCATCCAATCACCCATCTACCCATTTCCACTCTAACACCCCCCAGTCTCCCTCCCCGCCCTCACCCAAGGCACCGGCACCCAATTCATCACGGGCCCCTGCGCCTCCGACGCCGACTGCGCCTCCGGTTGCTGCGGCTTCAATAGCGGCAAATGCGCCGGCGCCATCATCGCCCTCACGCGCGACGGCGGGTGCGGGTTCGGCGATGCGACACCCAACGGTAACGCCGCCGCAGCCCTGCGAGGGCAAAGTCCATCGCCCATAGCCGTCTCCGTCTCCGCCACCGCCGCGCCCGCAGCTACGGTGGCCGCAACTCCCGCGCCCGCTCCCGCGGCTACCGGTGGTAACGGCGCGGGAAACAAGGCGGGGAAGCAGTTCATCACGGGCCCGTGTACGTCGGATGCCGATTGCGCGAATGGGTGCTGTGGGTTTAATACGGGCAAGTGTGCCGGTGCGATTGTGGCGCAGGAGAGGGATGGGGGGTGTGGGTTTGGGGATGCGAGTCCGAATGACAATGCGGCGAAGGCGTTGACGGGGCAGAAGAATAAGAGGTTGGCTGTTAGGGAGATGGTTTGATTAGGGCGGAGAGATGGCGTCGAAGGAGGCAAAATATATAGAGGAGGGGTACCTTGTGGAGGAAAGGGGAGCGGACGCTGGGTGTTGGCTGTTGGCTGTTGGGGAGGGGGAGGAGAAAATTGGTGGTTTCTGCTTTGGGAATCGGTTGTTTGCTACTTCTGGAGGTTCGAAAGGGTATTCCGTTTGCAACTAGCCTCTGGGTCATGTTTGGTGATGCTACGAGTGAGTTTTTGGATTCAGTATCCAAGGCCGTGTGAATAACAGCTGAAACGCCGTCGACTCTCGGACTAGGGATAAAACCCATGGCCGCTTGCATGGTCATCCAAAGGGGAGTGCGTGATTGAAGCCCCACTACACGAATGTCGAGACCTCTTGGTCAACCCTAATTCTTTAGAATTCATGCGATTCAATTTTCGGCCTAGCACAAGTCATGCTTCTTCGCCTCAACTTTCGTTCCCGCTTCAGGCAGGGCCAGACATAGGCTATCGGGTCGAATCAGATCGTCTTCAATTGTATGCTCCTTTCACTTTCCTTGCACTCAATTGCCACCGCTCTTTTCTCGAAATTCGACTGTTAATAGTCAGATTGAACTTCATAGTACAAAATCGGTATCCAGCACTAGTCTTCCCGAATCCCGATGAGCGGATGGTGAATATCGGTGGTGGAGAAAAGAGAGATAGTAATCATACCGGAGTATCACAGAACAAGAGACATATATAGTAATCAGGCCGACTGCTCTTACGTCCCTTCTAGCCTTATGTTCCTCACACATGTAGGCCGCTTTACTCCCACTCATGAAGACTCGATCAAGGCAAGTGAAGTAGATCCGCAATGTGGGATCCGAACTCGATCGAAAACATCGTAATAATGTGGCTTCAGTCGAGTGGAAGAGATAGAGTTTAGTATTGTTGACGTAAAATATCTGCGCGTAAAACTCGAGACAGAAGCGACATTCCTCTACCTTCTAAGAAGCACGAATCACCTACAACGTCCGCGTAGAAACAGAGGGTGGAGATGGTTTCCCAGACCTCCGCCTGATACCTTTCGGCTTCGGCGGAGCAGGACTGGGTTTTGGACCCTTCGTCTTCTTCTCTAGTGATATCCTAGCCCGTGACACTAGATCCATCTTATCTTTGCACGACGTCTCCATGCGCAACACAGTTTCGCGGTATAGGGTCCCACTCGTCCAGTCGTAGCTGCAGCCGACAGCGCGTTGCATGCCGCCTTCGCTGCCGAGAAGCAGGAAGCAAACGGGAGGCCGAGCGGCTTCGAAGAGCGTGACTGTCATGGTGTTCGTGTCGACGAGAGTGAAGATCTAGATTAACTTTAGTGTATGAAGAAGGTCCGTAGGGCTGAGGAAGATACCTTTTGTTCCCCCAATTGACTCTTCTTCGCTCTCTCAACCAGATCCCGCACATCTGCATGCGTGGTCGGGTCAACAGGGATGCAATGGCCATCCTCGTACTCGTTGTCAACTTCATGGCGTGAGAGCGGAGAGCCGAAGGGATGCCATCGGAGTCGACATTTTCGATCTCCAAAGATGAGAACTTCGATTTGGTCGACTGGGAGATATCCCTCGAAGCCAAAGAGCCAAGGCTGAGTATTCCATAGCTTGCCCCCATACAGCGTGTGGATGAGTTTTGGAGCCACGAGCAACATCGGCACGGAGTAGAGAACGAAAACGATACCCCAGCCTTTGATGACGCGGTCATCTATGATGAGCCGTACCAAGTACCGAATCAGTTCAAATGTTCTTTGTTCGCGGTCATCAGAATCAATGGCAAATGGAAGCGTGTATTTGTTCGCGAGCCAATGCTCTTCCTTTTTGAGCCGATGGGCAATCCAGAGCAGGATACCACCAATAAGCACGGCGAGCGATGCAGTGTGAAGCATGAGCCGGACGAGTAATCGAGTCCAAGACCAGCGACGGCGGACGTTCACCGAGGCGAAGGACTTCCAGCGGACGTTCGCGCCTCGGGCACCGTCTACGATGATTGTATTGTCTTCGCCGATCCCAGCGATCTGGCACGTTGGGTATATGTCCCAGAGATTGACTTCGTATGCATCGTCCATGTTGTGCCATGCCTGCGTTGGATTCTTAGGTAAGATGCAAGCTAGGCGTTCGAGGAGGAGATCGCTATCATTTGCGAGGGAAAGTCTATACGAAGCGATTCTATTAGTACAGTCTAGGGTTTCGAGCCTGGCAGTGTTTGAATACCTTGCAAAGGCCTGAAAATCACTATCCGTCCGATCCACTTCCGGTCGCACTCGAAGGAGTCCCATCAAAGCATATGAGTGATCTCCCTCCATGTATTTGCCGTGCTGTCGTGAATACAGACACTGCAAGCCGAGTGTGACTAACTCTAGCCTGCTGAGGATGAGATTGCCCTCGTAATGGTCGATGAGCTGCCGAGATGCGTTTTGGTCCTTCCAAACTAATGGCGCGAGTTGGTTTTTTTCTAGGACAAGCGGAGACGAGTAGCCTCTTTCTAAATCAGCTGCAGTGTAGACTACGATAGGTTTGCCAGCGGGACTGAGGAGCACTTCCGGAAATGTCCAGAGGCGCTCCCCCCACTGTCGTAACATGCTGTCTCTCGTTGGCAAGGGAATTCGAGGGTCGTGGTTCGCGTGAGGTCCGACAATGATTGCTACTGCCTTGGCTCCACGAATGACATCGCTAAGACGGAAGACCTACAGCGGAGTTAGTACCAGATTGTGTATCCTAGCTAAACGTCTTCCTGGAATAGTGGGGAACGTACGTCGTCCTGAACCTGATCAGGATCTGGCATACAGGAACAGCCGATCCAAAAGGCCGAGAGACCTTCGGCTCGAGCGGCAGTCTCAGCGATGTCAAGAAGCAATTGACAGTGGCTCTGAGATTCGCTCGGAAACTGGCCGGTAAAGTAGGATATGAAAAGGTATGGCAACGGCCCCTTGCTGGATTGGTTCTCGGCGATCCAATCATCCACAGACACTCTATCAACCTCACCGAAGGTGGGTGAGGCTAGGTCTCGAATCACACAAAGGTAGCGTGGATGTAAAAGACGATTAGAGACCGGATTTGTCTTTTGAGGTGCATGGTCTGTGTGCTTTTTCGCCGCTTTTTCTTCGAGTAAATTTCGTGCCACCTAAGATACGGTCAGAACCCATTGATCAAGATGAAAGGCATCATGCAAAACATACCTTGGAGTAGCCGTGGAATTTGTAGGGAAAGCAATCGTAACGACCCCCGTTACGAACTTCGCCTTCCACATTTCCTGGGAAACTGATCTACAGCTGTTAGTTAGATGTATTCCACAATGGTTTCTCTTAGACATACCACTAGTATCAGAGCCATCGCAGCAGGTAGGTATTTCAGTAATGCGAGAGCTAATTGTGCCTTCGTCACCTTTTCCGCGTCATATGGGATGTGACTTGCAGGCCAATTGGCAATACGTAGATGGAAGGGGCTGATGTTGCGAACGAAAGTACGGTTCCATGTTGCATGGCTAGACGAATCATCATAGATAGTGTCTACCGCTTGCACAGTGAGTTTTTCCGTACGGCCATTGAACGGAGAAATGTATCTGTCATCGAGCTTGCCTTGGGTCATATGGTTAGCAGCGATGATCGTATTCGAGTAGAAGCCTCGAACCTTCCCGGAATCTCAACATAGAGTCCTTGTTTCGGTAAGTTGTCGTCCCGCCATATACCCATTGGGATGGTTTATAGAAGTGAGGATGTTTGAATTGGATGGAGCTTTTGCCGCTGAAGATGTGAAGGTACCCTTTCAGCGGAATTTCACGCTTCGGCTAGGCGTGCACGAGTTAGAACATGATAAATAATTCAAGGGCAGTACTGAATAATAAGATAATATTTGAGGAGACATACACCGTAAGAGTCATACTGCTCATCTGACACCGCCCTTTCTGCCGTATTAATGAAAGTACCTTTCTCGGCATCATCACCCCTTCGTCGGAACATCTGGTCAAACCATCAATAGATACTCAACGAAAAACTCCGTTGAATGCCTTTGCCCCTACCTTTACCCAGCGACCTTCTCTCTTGGGTGCTACCGGCGCGGCTTGAACCGTTTGCGGAGTTCCCATATAAAGCATTTGACTCGGTGGATATTGCTAGACCTGATGAGGAGGACTTCTTCCAAAGAATCCCAGGGAACTCACGTTCTGATAGTAATTGTTCGCGCCGTATTGAGTGTAAGCGGGATATGGGGACTGATATGGAAACTGTTGGCCAGAAAGTGGCGGGCTTTGATACGTGTTTGATGTGGGATATGGACTGCCGTACATAGGGTGGCCTTGTGACTGGGGAGGGCTCGTGGGAGCAAATTGCGTGTTTGAAGTTGGCGCAACATAGCTATTTTGATATTGGGCTTGTGATGGCTGAGGAGGCGGGTAAGAGCTCATGCTCGAGTGAGGCTGTGTTTGGGCATTTCTGTTTGCAGGATCGAAGTCTCCACCGTGAGCCTATAGAAAGCAATGTTAGACTCTCTCGATTCGTCACGGATGGTGTAAAGACTGTTAACTTACAGGAGCCGTGTTTGATGAGACCGGTGAAACATGGCCGGGGAGATACCCACCTCCATGGGGTATTCTTGAGTCAGCCATGATAGAAACAGCAAGAATTGGTCGAAATTTTCGTCAACTCTGAGATAGTGGTGCGTTAGACACCGATAAAAGATGGACCTGAAGGCGCGGCAGAATTGGAGGGCTGTCGCGCAACTCGGCTCTTGATATATGCCATCACACCCGTTTCTTCTTATTTTGATATCTCCATGCCAAAGGCGGGGGCGGAGTACTGCTATTGGTACCTCATGCACGGAATGTGAGTGGATGGACTGATTGTGATAAAATGCGGAATTCTGCATCAGGCTGAGTTTTATTTTAGGTTGCATTTCGGGTCGAAGAGTGCAAACCTAGAAATGCAGAGCCCGTGCAATGCTTGCTCCTACCTATCACGCTTCCTATCACTGTCGTATGACCTCGCCCTTTATGGCCCATTACACGAGGGCTATCGGCTTCTCGGCTGGAGAACGAAGCCACAATGCAGACCTTCCGTGTACTTATCAGGCACCCCCATGCCGATTCATCCTGTAGTCCGCGAGCAAGCTCACACAGCCCCAAATATCATATATTGTTATTCATATCCTTCTGAATGTGTTATTTTCAAAGTGAAGCTCGGCGCAAATCTTAAGTTAGGAGTTCCTTTGAGGAGTCCGCCGGAGCACGACTAGTCCAAGAACTGTATGGTGCAAAGGCAATGCCCCTCCATCACTGGAATCCACACACGAGGAGGTTAAACGGTTGATGGCGATGTTCCTGGCAAGGCTGAAGGGTTGCATCGTGTCTAGATGGTCGGGGAGGAGGTGGGGAGGCGGTCGAGGAACCTTGTCCGCAAAAGGGCGCTTGTCTCAGTCCGGCCTAGCACTATACTTTTACCATCACCTCAACCTCAGCCTTCCTGCACCCATCCCACATCACCACGCTTGCATAGTGTCCTTCGTTCCCACTCGCCAGCCTCGCTGTATCTGAGTGCAGGCTAGTGTCTGGGCCCTCCTTTGAAGGCAATGATTAGCCGTGAAGCAGAGTCTGGTGGCTTGCATTCGAGCCCAAAGCTCCTAGCACATGCGGAGTATCTATTCCAGTACGCTGGCTACCCCCAGCGACTGAAACTGGGTCCGCAAGGAATGTACCCTTCGTAGCGAGGTTTCTTTTACCGGCTTGGCGTCAGACTTCATTTTCGTCTGTAAGGGAACTGTTCATGACGAGATGCCTCCACTACACGCCCACTTCCCATGCCGTCTTATTGGTTGGCGGTATGAGCACCGTCACGGAGAATGGAACAGAGCTCGCTACACTATATAGTGGCAACAGAAATGTCCAGATGTCTGATGATCTGGCTCTGGATGTGTTCCAATGGAGTCAAGGTAGGAATTCTGCTCACAGCCCAGAATAGTTTAGTTTATACACCTCGCCAATGCTAACATGTCTATGAAGGAGTTGAAGTCGGGCAGTATCATAGTTTGCAACAGGTGTCTGCGCTGGGAGGCCTCCCTCCATGCGACTTGACGGTGATGTATGCTCAAATTCATGAAACGTCCGCGGCAGAGGCTAATTTACATGATCCAGATTTGCACCACTGGATATACATCTCAACTATGAGACGAGAGGTCTACCATCACTATTCAAATATTATGACTTTCCCAATTCCTTTATTCTGGAAAGGAAATACTCTGTGACGCAAGCTTTCGGCACGTATGAATGGAATGATGGCGCGACCTGTAAGTCGATTGCGACACCACTCAAGAAGTGCTTTGGGACGTTGCTCAACTTATCTAGGTTCATGGCTCCATTTTCTGTGTAAAAACATTCACATCGACCGCACGAGGTCTCCAGGCAACCCCGATAAGTGCGAGATCGTGAACGTCATCCCTAACACCATCGCACTTAGACAAGCAGATTATAGCTGGCTACGTTCAGGCTACTTGTTCAAACGTGTACCGCGGGTCTCCGGCAATATCTCTATCAATGGAAGCTCATCCAGCTCTACTACAACTCGAGCCCTTCCAGATCCCGTGACCCTCATATGCTTCGGAGCTCCAGACTCACTCAAGCAAAGGTGTAATAGATTGTTACAAGGGCAACTTTGGGAAAGGTTCCTGAATGATCCGTACACTATCCTCACCATGGTCGTTGAAGAATTATTTTTCCAGCTCGACCATTCCGCCTGGAACCTCTCAGAGGCATTCGGCACTATTGAACATGTACGCCGATATATATTTATAATTTTGTTCAGTCGATTTATAGCTAACTAATCAACTAACAGACTATTTTGACAAGTGCAGAACGTCCAGGGCAAGCGGCAGATCACGTGGATTTCGTCTCTCTCCACACGGTCGCTAAAGCCATCATCTATCTAAATGAAGGAGTTGACGCGATGCTTCTGACGCTAGAAGATATGGCAGCGACATATGATGAGAAGCTGAGCCATCCAGCTACCAAATCCGCCTCAAACTTGAAGGCTGAAATTCGCTATCGCCGCGGACTCTTCCGAAGTACACGACTACGTCTACAAAGCCTCGAGAAACGCATGTCCAACATCATCAACCTGGTAAGACAAGACCATACAACATCAACTACATCCGCACTCTACTGATACACCCCGAGTCCTTCAATCTAGTCACACAACAAGACAGCCGCGTCGTCCAGCGCGACAGCAGCGTCATGAAAATCATCGCCATCGTCACGCTTTTCTTCTTACCTTCCTCCACCATAGCCACGATCTTCGGAACGCAATTCTTCAACTTCGGGGATTTTGGCAATGGGAAGCCCGAATTTCTTGTCAGCTCCTATTTCTGGGTCTTCTGGCTGGTCAGCATCTGCACGACTGTGGCTGTGTTCGTGGTGTGGTGGTTCTATTATCGACGCATCAAGAGAGTGATTAAGAAGCGAGAGATGGTACATCAGAGCGGTGTGTAATCTAGAGGTTTGAGATACGCTTCTTTTCAATCCCCTGGCAAGACTTATCGAACACCCACTTTTAATTACAATCATATTGACAGCCTTACGTTTCTCGGCTTCAGACTTCATTCCAAATTCAGGGAAGGCATGACATAGGCTCTCAAGTTGAATCAGTTCGTCGTCAATTGTATGCTCTCTTCAACTTTCTTGCTTTCAAATGCCCCGCTCTAGTCTAGGAACTTAAGTTTCAAAGTACAAAGTCGGGATTTTCGTACTAGTCTTCCCGAATCCCGATGAGCGGATCATGAATATCGGTGGTGGGGAAAAGAGAAATAGTAATCACACCGGAGTGTCACAGAACAAGACACGCAAATAGTAATCAGGCCCACCGCTCTTCCGTCTCTTCTAACCTTACAATCCTAAGACATGTAGGTCGCTCTATTCCCGCTCATAAAGGCCCGATCAAAGTAAGGTAGATCCGCAATGTGGGATCCGAAAGAGACTAAAAACGTCGTCGTCTTCGGCGGCACCGGTGCGCAAGGTAAATCCGTCGTTACGCGTAAGTCTCCCACATATCCAATCCCAACAGCCCTAACACTCCTAGACCTCGCCGCTACAGGTCTCTACAACATCACAGTCCCAACCCGCGACCCCACCGCACCAGCTGCCCAAGCCCTCCTCACTCATCCCAACACCCACCTCCTCCACGCCTCCTACACCACCACAGCCGGCCTGCGCGCCATCTTCGAGCACCAAGACGCCGCCTTCATCTCCTTCAACTCCTTCGCCATCCGCGAGCCAGACGAGCTCTACTGGACCATCCGCGCGTACGAAATCGCCGCGGCGAGCGGGGTGAAACATTTCGTTTACTCGGGCGCGCCGAACCGGCTTGCGGCGCACGGGTACGACGAGAGGTTTCGGAATGCGCATAATGCGGTTGCGGGCCATCTGACGAGCTAGCTGCAAGCGCAGCCGACGGCGCAGATGGCGTGGACGGTAGTTACGAGGGGCGTGTATATAGAGATGTTAGGGTCGTTGCTGAGACCTGTACGGGCGGGGGATGGGACGTTTGTGTTTGCGGCGCCGATTGGAGAGGGCAGTGTGCCGCTGATGCCGTTGGATGATTATGGGGCGTTGGTGAAGTGGGTGCTGAGGTACCCCGGGGAGAGTGTGGGGAGGAGGGTGGCGGGGGCGCCGTTTGTGACGACGTGGGTGGAGCTGGTGGGGGCGTTTGAGGAGGCGACGGGGATGCAGGCGGTGTTTAGGGATGTGACGAAGGAGGAGTGGTTTGAGGGGATTAAGGGGTATATTGATCCTGAGGAGAGAATGCCAAGGGGGGTAGCGGAGGATGATGAGACGGCGACGACGCTTAGGAAGAGTTTTGGGGCGTGGTGGGATTTGTGGAAGTTTAATGAGCGGGATTTGGAGGCGGAGGGGAGGCAGAGGGGGTCTATGGAGGGGGTCAATCCGGGGAGGCCGAAGTCTGTTGTGGATTGGATGAGGAGGACGGGGTATGATGGGGGGCTGAAGGAGGCGTTGAAGATGAAGAAGGATGAGGAAGCGTGATTGACTAATGATACTAGGAGATGCGAACTATCCTGCTACTGTTTTACATTCTCTCTGTAAGACTTCATGCATTAGAGAATACTCTAGATAAACTAGCTAACACACCTAATATTAACTATTTGAATAAAGTAGTTAGCTAATTGAAACAGTCTGCGGGCTTGTCGGGCAATTTTATACGGAATGGTCCTCTCATTCGTGAACCAACATGGTAGGCAGGAGTGCTTCATGGTAACGGTTTGACACTCTTTTGGTGATGCCGAAACGTCGGCATGGGACGAGGGAAGGCTGCGATTTGACTCTAAGCGTTATGCGGTTAGCGCGCCAAGACAGGTCGCGTCGCAGCCCTTAAATATCGCCCACGGACCTCACCACAACAACCGCCTGCACTGACAACACAACGTCGCTTCGAAAATGGCCAGAAGCGCCGAGGCACGCCGCCGCAAGAACAAGTCCGACAAAGCTCGAGAGAAGCTCCGCAAGCAAAAGCTCAAAATCACGATTGACCGCAGCGTCAAGGGCCGTGGCAAACACTACACGAAACTGCGGCAACGCCAATGGGTCGACAAGATCAGGTACAATGAGAAGAAGTCCACCATGGCATTCTTGTTAAGCGAGCGGGTCAAGGAGCGTGTCCGCGCCGGTCAAGGGTATCCGCAAGCTCACCTGCTCGGCATCCCGCGCGAAGTCCGCCAGCAAATCCTGCTGAACGTCATCCCCTCCGATGTACTCACCGACCTCACGACTGCAAAGCTCCGGAAGTTCTGCCATATGCTTGCAGGCGTCCACCCGGTTATTGGCGCTGAGATGCCATTCGTCCACAAGCAGTACGAGCGGGAGCGTGTCGAACTTCTGCGCACCCGCAACCAGCAGTGTATCATTCCAAGCCGGCTAATCAGCGAGCTCCTCAACCCCATCGTCGCGAACCGCTTGCCGCAGAAGAAGGGAGGCACGGTCAAGTATCTCAAGTTGAAGAAGCAAGCCAGATATAGACCCCAACGTTGCTGGAAGTGCGGATGGCGCCACTACGGCGACACGGTTGTCTGCAAGCCGTACAAGCAACCTGACGACGACGATCTGGGAGGATGGGGAAAGAGTCTGAGGAGCCAAACTGAACACCAGATCGAGAGCTGGGGCCTTGACAACTGGCTGGCAGAGCGGAAGGTAGATGATCGGCTATGATGGGGATCAATCGCTTCACTTAAATATGACTGACCATTTCTAGAACAAACCTACTGTGTTTGGACCACCAGGAGGACCACCACGTGGAGGACCCCGTGAGTCAAATATAGCACCTCTTCTCGCTGGATCTAATTTACTAACAAAATGCAGCCGGGTTTCCCCCGGCGAGCTTCTGAGGCCGTCCGCCTGTTGGATTAGGTGGACCTCCGGGGGTACTCGGTTGGATGCGTCACCGATAACCAATAGGAATGGTTTTCTACCAATGGGAATGGTTCTTTACAAATACAACTTCATGGTTTTCACACTATCCAGTACCACGTGACACCCGACTCATCGGAGCCTTCCACTCTTCTGCCACTGCTTGGGGTGCCTCACCATATTGACGAAGCGTAGCGCGTTAGACCATATTCCTAGTCTGTGTACACTAATTCGACGTTGTCTGAGGTGACTGAACGGGTTTATCAGTCGTTCAAAATGACTGACTTCCATCTCTTTCAATATACTGAAAACAACTTGAGCCACCACAAACAGCGGCAGGACAGGGTACGCAAATCAAGATTAGCTAATGGTATACCAATAGATTTACCGAGGAAGTTCTCAATTAGAGCTCAAGGTGGCGAGGTCCAAAATGCTGTTGCCTGATCTGTTATTGAAAGGATCGGGGTTCTCGGAAATCATAGAGCAAGGCAGCAGCAAGCTCAAATAATTCAGCACTCGTCCACATTCGGTATATACTACGAGGCTAATCATTATTCCACCATCCACAATGAGCAAGAACCCCAAACCCTAACCTCCAATTGAAATGGAATCTTCAAGACCGCGGACGGAGACCTTCATGAGCGGTCTCGCAAGGTTCGTTCAACCTCTGAAAGAAAAGTCAATCTCGAACGTCAACTGCCGCCGAATAAACGCCATGACTTGTTCCATGGCCATTGCTAAATCCACCCAGTTTCCACAACTCTCCCCACTTCTCTGACGTGACCCTCCGCCTCCTCGACGCCTCCTCCGAGCCCGTATACTCTCTCCACGCGCACAAGCTGATCCTGAGCGCACAATCGCATTTCTTCGCAACCTTCTTCGACGACGAGATCCAGGTCCGCCCTCCCCTCGCTCAACTCATCACGTGAACTCACACATAGCCCACAGCAACGATGGACCCCCCAAATTGACATCCACGACGACGACCCCACCGCCTTCCTCGCTATGTTGGAGTACCTGTACAGCGGATGCTACAGCATCCCCACGTCCCCATCCAGCTCACGCAGCTCATCCCCAATCGAACTCGCAGACCCAGACCCCCCCGCAACCGCCCTACTCTTCCACATCCGCCTCCACGCCCTCGCAACCACCTACGCCATCCCCACCCTCCAAACCCTCTGCGCTACGAATTTCACCCTCGCCTCAACCCCCCCTTCCTCCCATTTCCCTACCCCCGCGTGGTTCACAGCGATAGAGCTCCACTACACCCTCCTCCGCCTACCTTCCTCCGCTTCCTCGTCCCCATCGCCGGCGCTGGATCCTATGAGCCTCGCCATCGCGCGCCAGATCTACGCACACCGCGCTGTGCTGCTTCAAGAGTCCAGTTTGGAGGTGAGGGTGATGTTGAAGGAGTTATTGGTGCGATTTCCGCGGCTGGGCGTAGATGTTGCGGGTGAGGCGAGGAGAGCGTGGAAGGAGAGGCCGAGGGGGGGGACGTTGGGGGCGTGCGGGGGGTGTGGGAGGTGGGTGGTGGCGGGTTGGGGGGAGGCGGGGGTTTGTTGGAGGTGTGGGGAGGGTATTGGGAATAGGGAGGGAGGGAAGAAGGGGTGTGGATTTGGGAGGAGGAGGGGTTTTGGGCTGGGGAGGTAGAGGGGGGCTTAAGGGGAGGAGTGAGGGGTGAGAGGTGAGATGGTGGCAGTGGTAATGTTTAATGTGTAATCGTAATGTCTGGTAGTAATGTTTCAGCAATGATAAAAGGGTTAATGACTTTATCATGATTCGCTACAACCAGCAGAGTTTTGTTCTTCGTTATTGAGCATAGGTAAATGATGCGAAATGGCTCAGACCTGTTCCCTTAAAATCCCAAACTCCTATCTCCTTACTCAAGCCTTTACACCTCCTTTGGCAAAACCGTCCACCTACCCAAAAGCACGTCCACAATATCCTCTTCTTCCTCTTCTCCATATCCCGTTTCATCTCCAACAGTCATACTCCCGCGAGAGTACGCCAATACAGGCCCAAGCACGCCCTGTCCGCAGTCTTTGACCAAATCGCGTTCCGTCACCACCATCTTATCCCCACTCTCCTGGTCTCCTTCAGTATCAATTCTCCGTCGTTTGAGACCACCCTCAAAGACAGAGCTTTCCTCTACCTCCAGCTCCGCCATCCTCTTCTTCCCCTTCCCATCCTTCTCCACCTCTTCCCCGCGAACCCCAGCAATCTCATCCAGCCTCACAGGCGTCAATACCCGGCGATCATATCGTATCGACCCAGGGTCCTCGTTAGAGCCAGAAAGGTTGCGGTCGTCGATATTCAAGTCGCGTAGACCGCTGTCCTCCATGCCGAATTCTTGCTCTGAGAGAACGCTGGCGTCGAAGCTCTGGTGCTGGGGATGGGCCGATGTGCTCTTTTCCACGGTTGAAGGGCTTTCCGTGTGAGGCTTGAACGGCGCCACGTTCCCGGCAAGAGCTCCGCTGCTGGTCCCCACGTTCTGAACTAGCTCGGCTGCACGTGCGGTGGCGAAAACAGTATTCGGTTCGTGGCTTACAGGCGGCTCACTCGGGGTAAGTTTTAGACGGTCATATTTGACTTGACCAAAGACGGGTTGGGGAACGGGCTCTTGAGGTGTTGGATCCATCACGTCGGAGAAGCCAGACGCCACTCTTTTGTTCGCACCTTTCCCCTTTTCAACGTAGCTCTGGACTCGTTGGCGGAACCCCTTCATCCCTGGTGAAGAGACAGTCCTGGGAGATGACGTTACTTCCCTAGTGAGTTTCGCGTAATGAAGCGGATCATCGTCTAATAGTTCGACGTCCTCAGTCTTGTTCCTCTTTGCTGCCTCTTGCAGAACCCTTTTCTCATCAGAGGAAAGGTGAGAATGGGAGCTCAGATGGCTGCGGAGGGAATCCGCCTGCACGAAACGGCGTGGACAGAAGGAACATTGGAACATCTTCGCGCAAGCTTCGCGCTCTGGACTAGGTTCACAATAGCCAGCGTTGCTAGCCGAGGAGCTCATCGCAGAGTCATAGGTATGTCCGCCTCCATTGCGGGCGACTATCCCTTTCGGCACACTGCCAAAGCCACGGTCAAACGGTGACGACACGACAGAGCTGCTGCCATGACTTGAATGAGATGTAGACGGGTAGGGTACTAGCGTTTCGGAATTTCCAGCCAGGAGGGGAGAGAATTCTGTTTCTTTTACGTCTGTATCTACGCGGAGGTCGTCTTCGGGCATACCGGTACGACGGATATGCAAAGTCTGGGAGGGATCGAATATAGCTGCGCTACCAAAGCTAGTGGGATTCTTCCCTTTCGATATTTCTGCTACTTCTGGCCAAGATTTCTGTGCGTCTTCAACGTGGAGAAAGGAGTCAAAATCAAAGTTTTCAAGCACATCAGGCCCATCAATCGGCGGGAAGTCGAGATCGGTGAACTCGTCATTGTCAGTCATATTGTCAACCGCCTGGAAAGATAGTCTTACCTCTGCAGGGTCAGCTCCAAATGGCGCACCAGATTTGTCCATGAGGCTTTGCTGTACTGGCGGCGCAGGGGCCGCAACAAACGTTTTCGCTTCCTCAAACGCCTTCTCAGACTGATCAGGCACGGCGTTATTATCAGCGGATGTCGAGGGAGCTTTGAGAATAGCCGATGACTCAAGGTGATCCGTATCCGTGTCAGGCGTCGCTCTCAGCCCAGGTAGCTCGGGGACGAGTTTTCTGCGAGAAAGGCCATTCATTTCCTCATCTTCCTCACTAATGACATCGTTGTCTTGCTCCTTGACTTCATCACATTCCATTTCGTCAGGGTACAGATCCTTTTGACTTTCGTCGTCATCCTCATCATCGGAAGTCTCCGTTTCGGTCCCTATAGTCTGCATACGCTCGAAGAGGGCGATAGTAGAGTTACGGAACAGGTCCGGAGTTTCTTCTCGACCTACGTCGAGGTCTTTTGATGTCAGGGCGTCGTTTTTGACCAGTGAGTAACGCCACTCGTACTGGGATTCTGCCATCTGGAAAGGAGGCAACATTTGGTTCGGGTTTTGCCCTTGCGGTGTCGCATCCTGGCCGTTGAGAAGCGTTTCGACCGGTTCTAAAAGCGCGATTGTTAGCTCCTGTAAGTGTTAATCAAAGAGTGACAGCTGGTAGCACATACTCAAACGGGTTTCCAAGCTCTTAACATATCCGCGCTTTGGTCCGCCCTTCTGGCGAACTTCAACGTAGGCACATCCATGACCAAGTTTGTTGCACGTGCCGCAGGTGGGCTTCGCGCCATCGCAGCGTAGCTTTTTCTTCCGACATATTGTACACGCTTCACGTTTGACACTCCTACAGATTGTGCGCTTGTCGGGGTCACTGTATGGACGCTTCCGCGTCCTGTTAGGGAATTGGTGACCCTCCATCGCGATAACTCCAATCATTGACTCTATAGTACCCGGCTCGGCATTGCCGCTATAAGCCGCTGAATTATTCGAGTCTTGGGATAGCATGGCTCCATTCGGCGAGCTGGAGAGCTGCGCGGCCTCGTGCACTGGTTCTACTCGCGCCGCCATCATGCGTTTCTTGTTTTGTTGCTCAAGAAGCCGGAGTTGCATTTGATAGCCTTGCTCATGGCCATCGGATTGGACGGCAGCGTCAGGCTCTTGTCTATTCATCGTATAGGGTCTCATGCCTCCTTGCTCAGGAGCCCGGAGCATTTCTGTATACTCCACTAGCCTATGATTTTGGGATTGGGCATCTGTGTCTGACTTTTGTGATAGTTGAGTAGGCTCCTCCTCGCGACGCGAAGGAGGTAAGCTACCGCTTTGGGATAGGTAATTAGCAAGGATAGCCTTTTGATATTGCGTTAGTCCTCGTTTCTGGGTGCCTTCATCTAGGTTGACGCGTTTGTGCCCTGCCATCTGGAGACGTTTCCTGTTTTGATCTTCGAGGAGCATCAATTGCGTTTCATAGTCTTGAAATGCTTGGGGTTGGGCGCCTCCGGACTGGACTCCAGTTACTCGCAAGCCTGACGTAGGTAGGGGAGACCTTTGCCATGGGCCCTGCGATGCAGCTTGGGCGAGTTTAGAGGAAGAGCCTAGATCTTGAGAACTCTGAAGAGGTTCAATTTTATGGTTGGAATCAAGTTCCTGGCCTGTCATGGTTTCATCTTGTTGGCTTTCCTTGGAGCCAGTAGTGTTGAAGTTCCTGAGTTGATTACATTAGCGATGTGTCATTCAGCCAAAATAGAGCTCAAAGGTCTTACCCAACATCGAATCCTCCAGTAGAGGCTCCATGCAGTCTCTTCCGACTGTGCTCATCTGCGGCACCCTGATTCCACACGGGCACGTCTGACTCAGCACTAGGTGGAGGGTAGAAACCCGGGGGTGCGTTCATTTGTTTAGCTGCGGCGATTTGTCTCTTCGTAGGGTGCTCGAGAATCATAAGGGACATCTGATAGTCGCGGAGCGCCTGATTCACAGGTTGGGGCCCGTACTGAGCCGCCTTTGCTTCCTCTTGCTGTTGAGTTTCCTTGAGGTGCTTCTTCATAGGACCGGGATATGCGTAAGAATAGTTTGGAGAGCCATTCCATGGGTTGCTAAAATCGATGCCGTTGTAGGTGGTCATGCTATCGTGGGCACCTGTAGGGATAGCAACTGACTGTTGCCGAGTGGACGCACCGTAGGCTCGGTGTTGCTTGGTGGCACTATTGTAATCACATTAGCAGTTGTCCTAAGATGGTCACAGGACAAAGAAAGACAAAGGACGGTTTCAGGTGGTTATTACTGCCAGGTGTTGCTCCAGACTGAAACTCACTTGGTAGACGGACGAAGAAAAGGACCGGATTTTGACGTAACAGTCTGAGGAGTAAGGAATTGAGCGGCTTTATACCTCGAGTCTGTGGTCTGTTCTTGCATGGGAGAGACAGAAACCGGGAGATAAGTACTCGGGTTGTCGTGAGTCCGTGACACTGCATCCATTGGATGAGAAGACGACATCGAGGGCGAGTGCTCTTGAAGCATGTGATTTGATAGCAGCGGGTTTCCTTGCGACGGTGGCATTGGTGAAGTCTGTTGATACGATGGGTATGTTCGCGTTTGCTGGGTCGGCATTGGTATCGACGTGATAGCGCCAGGCAAGCTAGAATCGTTGCGACTACTTGACGGAGGATGATCCACTCCTTGCACATCTTCTATTCGTACCATCTTCAACCGATTCCTATTCTCCTGAGGCCCACCACAAATTAGCTTCATCTGATACTCGTGTAAAGCATGATCCCTAGCTTGAATATCCATCCGGGTCTGGGTGTCGCCACTCGCATTCTCGTAAGCGTCGGCTACCTCATGGTCTAGCGTAGCGCTTGAATTCGATGTGCTCCTCCTCCGAACTTTGCCCTCAGGCGGAGATTCCAGGTTATGACGCTCCATCCTTCGTTTGAGAATACGATGGAACTGCTTAGGATTGACGTATAGGGGTGGCGCTTCTACTGGCCTATTCTTTATATCCGTGGTCGCAGTTCCGTGATTTTCAGATGAATCGAAGCCCTGAGGTTCCACAAAGGTCATAGGAAACTCGTCATCGCCCGATGCACCCGCCAAGAATGAATCAAAGTCAAAGTTTGCGAGAACATCGGATTCATCCACATCGGCAGAGTCGAGACTGGGTACACTAGTATTTCCCTTCGAAAAAGGCGGATTGATCGGCGTCAACGGCATTGAAGGCGTAGGAATTGGCTGGGACGCTGTATGCTGCATCGCCATTTGTTGTTGCATTTGCTGGGTTGCCTTCTGAGCAGTCTGTTGAGTAGCCTGAGCCTGAGTCTGAGCCCGAGCCCGAGCCTGAGCCTGAGCCCGAGCCTGAGCCTGAGCCTGAGCCTGAGCCTGAGCCTGAGCCTGAGCCGATTCTTGCTGCATTTGCATTCGCATCATCATTTGTCGCTGCTGCTGCTGCATTTGGAGATGCCATGTCGTGTGTAGAGTGACACTCTCACCAAGGTTTTCCTGTGGAGCAGCCATCTGTTCAGGGTTGCTCTGATTAATCCATTGGGAAATCCCCATGCGCGTACCACTTTGCTGTTGTTGCATCATTGTTTGGCCCTGTGCCCGCACCTTTGCGGCCATAGGCAGAGGTTGTATCTGCTGCTCAATAAAGGGATGTGTTTGTGGCTCCATCTGCTGGAGATATCGCGCTGCGTCGCCATGTTTTTGATATCCTAGGTCAGCCGGAGGTTTCTGAGCATGTTTTGGTTGTTGCAATTGCTGCAGATGCTGTCGTGCTTGTTGCTGCTGAGTTTTCGGGTGATAGTTTTCTTGTCTCATAGCGAAAGCTTCTCCTGGCTCTCCAGCATGTTTAACAGGCAACGGAACAACATCCATGGTAACGAGCGAGTCTATCGAAGGTAAAGTCTGCTGCTGCGCATATGGTAGAGCAGAACCAGGGTGATGATTGGCAATGGCATCCTTCGCCTTGTCTCTACTAGGCTCTCGGAGCACATCATTCTCAATCTTCGCGCGAAATCTGTGGTAGGCCTTGTGAAGCTGACGCTTGGAACGGCGGGCGGATGTGGCCTCCTCAACAAGGTTCCGGACAGACTCAATGCTCCTCAGGAGCTTTTGGACATGCTCAGTGCATTTTGAGAGATCCTCTGCGCTAATCGGTTCGTCTTCGCTGCCGGAGTCAGATCCGCCAATGGTGTCGTCGGAATCGTCGGACAGAGGGTCAGGGGTGTTCTCTTTCGTAGGAACTACCTTCTTGATCGATGCAAATGCTGCCGAAGGTGGATGTGTGATAAGGTTGATTGTGGAAGTCCTTGATGGATTTGTCGAACCGTGAAGGGTTTCGGAGTCGTCCAAAGAGATGTTATCGAGCTTCTTCTCCAACATGTTGAGGTTCTCCAATGATTGTTGATGACGTTTGTGAAGAGCGCGGATGTTCTCTCGCTCCTCACGAAGCAGGGAGGCTTCTTTTCTATGAAGAGTTAGAAGATGTTTGGGCAGACACGACGAATGACGAACCCTCTGGCCCTATCTCCGGCAAACGAGAGCACCTTGAGAAGAAGCAAAAGACTCGTCTTTAGACTATCCAATCGTCTTCTCATCAACTCAACTCTTTGCTCCTTGAGCGGCCAGGCCAGCCGGCCGAGAGTAGTGATGGTTTTCTTTCCATCTTTTCCAATCTTAGTTCGCTTCTCAACGACCTGGCGAATATCACTAAAGACAGTCTCGCACCGTTTCAAGATATTTTCTGCATCGTTGAGAGCTGCTTTAGAAGCTAAGCATTTCGTGTCTTCCTCTTTTAGGACGTTTCCAACGCTATTTAGCACGTTGGCAGTGAGAGCAACGTCACCAGCGATATCGGTGATATCTTGATCTGCGCGTGAGGCTGATTCTGCGAATGTGTATAGCGTAGTAGAGAGTTTAACACCGGCACCTGCAATACCAATGATTGACGCCGTAAGCCCTACCAATTCTGCCATGGTGATCGGGCTGCAGCTGTGAATGTGGCGCTGTCGACGGGACGATGGCGGCAGCTAGGAGCTCCTAACCCAACATTGTAAAGGCAAAGACACACTAAGAGACATTCGATTCACACTGAATGGAAGTAAACTGGAGATTGATAGCATTCTAGGAAATCAAGACGCGGGGGAGAGAGCTGAGACGTTGGAAAGGCTGGGGCTGTGCAGTCCGAACTTGATGCCTGGCGCCTCAATGCAGTGCAACACCCACATGATCAAACCGTATGTGAGTTTTCGAAAAACTGCAGTAATGGCATTCCGATAAGTGACCTATTTTCCTACAGCTTTTTGTAAACAGCTTTGCGGTTTGAGGCGTGGGGTTGCGAAGTCTTGGCAAAAGTGGGATGCAGGCACGCGGGGCATGAGAAAGGTGGCACTCTAATTCTAGGACAAGCTGTCTCGTGGGTACACTTGTCTGCCACTGCTTGGGGTGTTTCAATACATTTTCAAAAAATATAAACGGGATAGAAGCTCTTCGCTCTGCGATATGTAGAAACTTGTTGAAGCACTTCAAGCAGTAGTAGACAGGTGCACCTATGAGACAGCGTGGTTGATGAGTATCAACAGAACGTGGTAGTCCACAAACCCGTGAACTGTATACACACTATTCCTGTGCTTGTGTACGCTTGTTTAGCACCGCTTGAGGTCCTCTGGTATGTTATAATTATTCGGAATACCAGTTCTGGCATTTGTGACAGCTCACCGAGCCACCTCAGACGGTGTTGAAATGCTTGAGTGTGCCACTTTTTTCATGCCCCGCGTGGCAGGTGAGACGGAAGGCAGTGGCGAGCACTCGAGACGTCCTTCGCCATGCCAACGCTGCTATGGATCCGCTCCAACCTCAATATAGCTTGATATTGCATCATACAAAAGACTGTATCACATCTAGCTGCTGCAGTCGCTCCGGACGTCCTGTTATTTGCTCCTTTGTGGCCTCTGAGCCCCATCCCACTGACTCACCAGCGACTCATCCCTCCAGCACTCTAGAGCTTACCTGACTGCGCGCATTAAGTCTACGCCTCGTTGCCAGCATATAAGGCATCACGGGACCCTCCCTCCAACAGCAGACATGCCGAAGAAGCACAATCCGGTCTTTGCCAAACCTCAAGGCTCCGTTCACCCTTCGTTGGAACAGAGACCGATCATCTCCCACCCATCCGCCCCGAAGACGGTCAATGAACGGATAAATCAACTACGTCGGGAGCAAGCGCCGAGGGCTACGGCAGAGAGGAGGAATGAGATAATAGACGTGGTAACTCAACGCACCGTCCCGCCGGCGTTGCGGCATATCTTGAATATACCAGAGATTGACCCTCCGAAACCAAAGCCAGGTAGACCTCAAGGACAAGTTCGAACGCGACGTCCTCCCCCAGGCCCAGCACCACCTGCGAGCTGGCTAAGCCAAAGCCAATACGCCCCGTCAGAAGTTCGGAAGCTTCCAGCATACTTGAGAGACGGTATATCAAAATTTGGTAGACTTGCGACAACAAATGATGGAGAACGGGTACGTGAATAATCTTGGATAAACGCGTTGTTCCTGCTCAACGTGAATATTGTATCTATCGTTCACATTCAGTCGCTGTTAGGATGAATCTCATCACTAGCAATTGACTTCCCTAACCGCATCTCAAGTACAGCAGTTTTCAATTTGAAGGAATCGGAAACTTCGAGCCACTTATATACAGGCCGCTGATTATTTTGCAGAAACTACCTCGTTCAAAGAGTCTCGTCGACCTATGCCTCAAGACATTGGCGTCCAATTGGAATTGGCTTGCAGAATTCGAGCAACATTATCTTCCCGCCCTACCTGCTCATCTGAAAGAGCATCTAATTAGCTACTTGTCCCTTTACGGAGAGGAGGGCTCGCCGGACCTCAAGACCTTCAAGCTACTTTTTCTCAATGAGACGGAAGTTGATGGGGGGACTGGCAGCAGTGAGGTCAAGCAACTGGATCTTACCTGTCTGTTAAGTGACGCGCTCACGCTTTCGGATCTCAACAAATATGTGTCTCGCCAGCGCTCTACGGTCGAACTATCACATGATTTAAAATCGCCTCCTTCCGCTCCCGAGAAGCTGGAAGACGATGTGGCAGAGTCCTGGGAAGACGAGATCGATTCGCCTCATCCCACGTCTCTGCAGCCGTTCCGCTTCCCAAACCTCACCCGCCTTTCTCTTGCACATCCGGGCCACCAAGCTTCATGGACTGCGCTTCTTGCGACATGTTCAAACCTAAAACATCTGACCCACCTCTCTCTAGCTTATTGGCCCACCCCATCAACAACTCCCAATGCTGCCACTACATCCATGGTGTCCAAACACGCGAAACCCGTTGCTCTCGGCGGAAGCCACATCTATTCTCAGCTCGACGGCGACTGGCATGAGGCAGCAAATATCTTACGCCGACTCAGCCTCGTAACATACCGCCTCCGGTGGCTCGATCTAGAAGGCTGCGATTGGTACAAAGCGCTGACGTGGGATTCGCCAAGCTACCAGAGTCAAATAAGGCGGGGCCAAGTGAACAACCGTTCCGAAGGAGCGCTCAGGTTCCCAGACTTCTTTCAGGCTCCTGCGAATCACTCGGACAAAGACGAATGGGACGCCAAAAACGCCGGCATTCCCGGCCCAGACTGGAACGGCGCGTGGGAGCGCGTTGAGACTCTTGTGCTCAGTCAAGGCTGGGTGCCGACCAATATCGGTGCTATTCAAGGCCTACCATCCAGTGCTATAGCTGTACATCTTCTCAATTGGCTAAAGAAAAAGGAAGAAAAGCGCAAGGAAAAGGCTATAACGGTTTGGGAACGAAGCTTGAGCAGCTCGATGGAGAGGGTCAGGCTATCTAAGTCTTCGAGTAGTATGGGTAGTACCATGAGTCCGCTGAGAACACCCAGCGGCATCACATGTGGGCACTGGGTGGAGAAAGAGAAGGATATCAGAAATATCGAGGACCAGATCAAGCTATTGCGGAGGGCAAGCCGTGGGTTGAGGATCAGGTTTCTTCATGGCTGGGGCGAAGGTGAGGACGACAGCGACGACGACGGAGATGATGAGATTAGGGAAGAACAGATGTAATGATTCTAGGGGTGAGTTGCATTGTTTTGATCCTTCTGCGGTGGTGTCCGCAGGCGCTCCTTAATGAAGCGAGTTTAGCCCACGATCCCTCTGCTGGCATTATATGAAGAAGATTATCTTCTGTCTTTTGGAAGCGACCCGAAAGTGATGCCTACTGTTCTGGAGAGCGTGATTTCACGAGGTTCATGCATCCAAAACAACACCCCGCAGCATCCATCCATGGAGAAATGACCATTTGGCTCGTACCACAAAGACACTTGCGGTTGCTTTTTCAGCCTCGCAGCTCTCCAGCACGCCCCCGGCTTCCAAGGCGCTTGACCGGTGAAGCCCCGCTAATCTTGCATAGGAGGCTATGCCAGCGTGCATCGACGCAGCCTGTCAACCGTATCGACTTCTCAGGTCCACTGGCGCCTCACCCCTGCCTCGATTGGCCATCATCTCGAGGTCTTGTTCCCACTCGTCCATTCGCCTGAGAGGGACAAACTTCCAGTCACACCACACACCTTGGCAGCCTTGTCTGCTGTCTACGTCCGACTCCAAGTCTCAAACGGATGTCTCGAACCAGAGAGCTCACTCAATCTGATCACGCTTCTGTCTCTAACCATCAGCTGTAGGCAAAAATTATTACCCAAGCCCACGCTCACTGCCTGCTCTGAGCATTGGAAAACCCTGTCGCTAGTGGGAAGTCATCATACGAGGGATCGTCTCTGCCATCCACCAAAGTCGCTACATCATCGCACAGACGAAGCTCCACCACGTCCAAACCCGTAGTAAAGCGGGCGGCATCCAAAGCCACTCACAAGGTCGCGGCACGTATCAACGCGAAGCTCTCCAGAATACTGGAACCCTTCAAAGAGCAGGATGAGCGTGCTGAATCATCAGAAAGTCCTTTGGGGCCTTCTCATCCTTCTTCTGCGTCGTCGTTTGATTCTCTACAAACCTCAGGAAATGTGACTGTACAGCCGAGTACAACGGTATGTGTTGGTTACCGATGGGTTTTCAGCAAGGTTTTCGAGTCGGACGAAAAAGGCGAGGTCGATAAGGTCGAATTCGAAGATGACAAAATCACTCACTGGCAGCAGACGAAACTGCAACACGTTAAGGCTGGTGCCGGCACTGGATTTCAAGGCTGTGAGCTAACCTTGGACGCTATCACTACGTACAAAGGTCGGAGACTGTCGCCGATGAATGTGGAAGAATAGTTTACTAGAGGACCTTGCTTGGTGGCCCTATGGAGTGAAGAGCTCAGAGTTAGAGGTTTCAATTTCTCGCGACCTTCGAGAGATGCTCCGCCTTGGTCGTGGACGTCTTGTTCAGCAGGTGTTACTTGGAGCCGGCTTTGCACACTACCTCCAGTACATCTAGTTGACGTTGATTTTGCTGCTATTAGCCCCCTCACCTCGGCGAAGTACGAAACGCCAGCATCACACTCAGAGGACCCGTTCTCGCAGCCACATACTCAGAGCAGGAGCTTGAAGCATCAGTGGCGATTGAGGACATTTCCTCCGCGTACGAAGCCATTGACGCGCTGCGATGGCATAATCGTCCGGACTTCGACTACTCAACCAACGAACGGCCAGCCAAAGCAAGGGATTCTCTGACAGTACTATTCCTTGGCCTCTCTGTCAAACATTCTGCGTGGTGGCAAGGGATTGTCCTCCGAAAGGTTTCAGAAACAGAATTTGAACGAATAGGCCTCATAAATGTTTTCGGTGTGGAAGTTTCTCGGCCGGACTCCTTGTCCGAAGCTATGTCCGATGTTGATGCCCGCAGGGAACTACTAGATGAGTATATTGAATCGCTACCTATCAAGGAGCTAAGAATAATCTAAATAATGTGCCGTAGCAATGGGGCACCGAGCGGGATGGCTATCACGCCCGGACGAATGGCTCAATGGCTTGGGCAACATCGCCGCACTTACTATCATTCATCATTTCTTTAGGCACTATGTACTACTAGTTTGTTTTACTTTACCTCGTTCCCCTGTATGCGATACTTCTATAAGTCGCTGTGGGATCCTCAGATCAAGGCTTTTTCCTTGCTTCCATTTCTCGAGTGGGGAGATGTTTCTGATAGAATAAGTTGGGAGTTTTCAAGGAAAACGAATTGCAGATCGAAGGCACTCACGTAGACTAGCGTCCTCATATAAAATCTATTGGGGGCTTCTTTCTCTATACGACTCCAAGAGTCAGTAAAAGAATGATCATGGCGTTCGCGTAGCTGCACGGTAAGTGCTGCGCCACCACCAGCTTGACCAACCCTGGTCAGGTCCCCAGCCTCTCGCAGACTCCAGGCTCCCTCCTCTACTTTTTAACCAGGTCAATGTTCCTCGAATGTCCGCCTCGATCCCGCAATCTCCGTCAGCCATGTGGCTTCTCAACACCGACTCTCTGAATCTCGAATTTTTCGTACCTGGCCATGTCCCAAACTATGTCATCCTCTCGCACCGTTGATGCACTCAGAGCGCTGAAGAGTGCACCTTCGATGACATGACCAAAACTCCAATTTCAAACGTAGACAGTCCAGCACGAAAGAAACAAGGCTTTCCCAAAGTCCAGGGTGCTTGCAGATTAGCTGCGCGAGACGGCTACTCTTGGATTTGGATCGACAGCTGTTGCATCGACAAGTCGAGTTCGGCAGAGTTACAAGGAGCCATCAAGTCCATGTGGAATTACTATGCACAATCGAACATTTGCTACGTGTACATGGTAGATGTTCCCAATTCAAAAGCCGGCTTGGGCTAGAGTTTTCACAAGAGCGAGTGGTTCACTCGCGGTTGGACATTACAGGAGTTGCTTGCGCCTACTTGCGTCGAGTTTTATACAGAGGATTGGTCATCTATAGGTACGAAGTTTGAGGGGCATGAGGAGATTGCGGAGATAATGAGGATTGACCCGGATGTTCTCGTTCAGACCCAAAATATTGATCTATTCAGCGCTGCGCAGAGGCTTTCATGGGCGGCACATTGGAAAGTCACCCGAGAAGAAGACGAGGCATATTCACTTCTAGGTCTATTCGATGTTAATATGCCGCTACTTTACGGAGAAGGCCGGGAGAAAGCCTTCATCAGGATCCAGGAAGCAATTTATAATTCTACAGCCGATCACACGTTGTTCTTGTTTCGCTACAGCACGCATCAGGATGACCAGCCCTTATTAGCGGACTCGCCAACACGCTTCTGTGAGAGGAAAGATTGTACATCCTGTGTAGCGGACGTCGTCCGGTGTTTACCTTCGGATAAGCTGTACACCGACTTTATTGCAACTGAGAGGTGGTATACCCAAGCCCACGAACAAATCATGACGACCGTCACAACCTTTCGAAATGAGATTTCTACCACGCTTCCACTGCTGGACTATCAAGCCGTTTCCGACAAGCTAAAGTTCTTCACCGAAAACGAATCGCATACCGGAGTAACGCACGTGGCGGTTCTTAACCATGCGTTGAACAAACACATGAAAGGCGCTTTGTGTCTACTATTACGTCGAGGCCCATCCTTAGAGGTTTTCCATCGTATCAAAGCTTTCCCTGCCTTCCTGCCCCACTTGGGAGACCTCGCATCGGCGGTGCAGAAAACCAAGATCCTTATCTGTCCTGGCCCAGGTGCTTTAGGGCAGAACAGTCTCGTCAGCACCATCTTCTCCGTCGAGGAATCGTTCCTTGTTCGGGCTTGGAGTGCTACAGGCGGTGCACAGAACTCAATACTACCCGTACCCGGGCGACAAAACACGGACTTCGAGATCGAAACTGACATTCAGACGAGCAAGTCCGAGATTTCGAAGCGTGCGGCGCACATATCGTGCGTGATCGTCGATCCGCATGATTCAAGCTTGGTCGTTTCTGTGCGACTAATATGGATTGACAAGACGTGGTCGATTAGGGAAGTGTTTGAGACGAAGGAGGGAAAACGGCCACGTAAACAGCGCGCCTTGTTTCTTTCAACTGTTCTGGCTGATCGATGTTCCGTTCGACTTTCGAGTGGAACGAGGATATCGGTTGGGCTGAGACGCCTGCCAGCGGCTTGCCGTGCCCGGAGCGATGACACAGTATCGCGATATAGGTATCAGATTATTGTTAGACGCCTGTAAAGTGAGAGTCTTAGGGCTGCTTGAAAGTCTTCACCACATCAGAGAAGCTCGGGTTATAACGTCAAGTTTGCCAAGCCGTAACTCAGGCGGACGTCTGATCTTTGATTTTCTAAAACACTGCTCTACAGCTATTAGACACGCCTCAATACCATTACTCGATTCCGGAAGCAATGTGACGATCCTTACGCCACCAACTGTCTTTCAACGCGTTTTCTCTTCGTGTTTAAAGTTCTGCTTATTCTTCCGCCATCGGCACCACCATACAAGCAGCCAAATCAAAAGAGCGGTGCCGATAAGGGAGCCAACGACAGCCCCAGCGATCTTGCCCTTCTTTTCCGGCTTCGGAGGCGGTGGCGGTTGAAATTGGGAAGAGAGAGATTCGAGGTACATGAACGTAAAATCAGAATTCCGATGCTGTGGCGGAGGGAAGCTGTCAAAGAGATAGCAATTCTGGTATCCAGACTGAAGTCCAGCATCGAACAACACTGTAGCGCATGTCGAATTTGCGGTCGAGCAGTGCTGCAAGCAGTCATCTATGGACACCTCGTGGTACGTTGCTAGCGGCTGGGCCTCTGTGGTGTTCAAATTTCGAAGATCGCTGCACGAGGTTTTGAAGGACCTCCCGGCGTTGTCCTTGCGGACGGATGGGCTGACGCAGTCTACTTTTTTCGGGGGCTTGATGACGGCCTCGAGAGAATGAGTCATGAACTTCGTACTGCTGATCGGCTTTACATTTTCATCAAATTTCTTCAGCCCGCAGTTGAGCCATCCGCGTCCCTGAAGGTCTACGCCATAGGTTACGCGACTGCAGAGCGGGTGGTGCCCCGCACATTGATCGAGACAGTCATCTAGGGACTCCACGTGCATCGCGTCGAGAAAGTCGTCCGCGGAGTCGCCGGGGAACATCGCTCCACATAGCATCTTAAACTCCATGCCCGACCTTGCCTTGTGTGTGGATAGATTCGGATAAGGGCATACAAAGTCCGCACTTTGCTGCGTCGTTTGAGATGGGAAGACCAGCGCGGATACGAAGTTGCTCTGAACCGGTTGTAAGTCCGAAGCAGCAATGGATCCGTCCGTTAGCCAGCAGAATCTTCGGAGTGGATCCCACGTCACCCCAAAGCACGCCGGGTGATAGCTGGTGCAGCTGTCTATGCACTCTTGCAAGCTGTTGCCGTTGCCCCAACCGAGATCATGGCCGTTGAGGTCGTAATTGCAGTACTGGGTGTAGTTGAGTCCTTGTATTGACGGAACGACTGTTCCGTTCCTGCAATTGGTGGAAAGCCCGTCACGGGGTATATCTAGGAAGTATGAGCGGACCAAATCAGGAGTTGGACTACGACAGGGCGTACGAGAGTTAAGAGATATTGACATTCTCGTCTTTTCCAGCTTGTTATAAGGGAAATAGCTTGCAAATAAACGTAGTTTGAGCGGACCTGGATCTTTCTGCTGCAAGATGTCTTGCACTCCCGCTTCATTCGCAAGCATGTGGATATTGGAAAAGCTCTTTTATGATTTCAGATGGGCTGTGGGGAGAGATTGGTACACACAACCAGAACCGTGCTGCTGCAAGCGCTGGCATTCACGCGCCTGATGAAAAGCGCCTCCATGACTGTCGAGAGCTACAAGTGCTATAAAAATATGTCTCCAGTTTTAGGTGGCATTACCGGCAAATCAGTGTGCACAACTGTGATCGAGCTGGAAAGGCTGAAGTATTTACCGCCGGGCGAACATGTTGGCTTCTTGGCATGTTGGGAGCTGAATTGCAGGTGCTAGGGAAAGGGCGTTTGCCGTTTTATTTAGCGAAGAGGTTGGCTTGCTGGCTTGCCGGGAACCAGGGGAACCGAGTCCCAAGCACTAATTAAAGGAGTCGGCCCTTTATTTACCGCCGGGCCTTGGCAGGTATTGACTCTTCACCCGCAGGTTAGGGCGCTACGAGATCGCACCAATCGAGGCGCGTCGCTTAGCTCATCGTCTTGCTCCGATTGTATTCTTGGCATGCATCCCCGACGTCGACCATCCACGACGTCGACCATCCACGACGTCGACCATCCAGCGGAGCAACGCTCAGACTGTTTCAGGTGAGGTATGCATAACCAAAATTAGACTTCTCTGTCCGCGGCTGAGACGAGGCTGTAATAGTCTTCGCCCAATGTAGAGATGCGCGTAGGACTCGTTTTTCTGAAAGGAAAGGCTGGCGGATCAACCCCTCTGTACTGAGCGACATTTATACCTAATGTACACCCCTTGCACCTTTCGGCATGAAGCAAGAGTGACTTTTGATTCCCTAGTAGGTCGACAGATTTCAACGACTTAAAGAGAAGGATAATGGGAAAGCGTTTGTACTATCTCATTCTTTACCTGCAGCACTAAATATATGAATAGGAACGTGTTTGGAGTCAGTCCAGACAGCTTGGAAAGATGGGAAGGCCGAATTCCGAGAGACGAGGCTCGGTCAGTGGCTTGAGAAACGGTTTCCCGGATCGGAGCTTGGTGTAGCCACCGCTATTGTGGTGGCAATGTTCACGCTCTGCTTAAACTTGGTGTTTCTGCTGGTCGCAACAACCTTGCACAAACCCGGGTCAAATGGGTTGGGAATTTTGTTCGAAGGAGACTGCCGCAAAATCGATAGGGGTAATAAAGTCGCGCACGGCGTTATCAACGTCTTAAGTACCGTAAGATTACGCCGTCTAGTCCTGATGAAAGACGTGAAAGTGCGCATACTAACGCCAAACGGCCAGGTACTCATTGATCGGTCGAACTTTTGCATGCAGCTGCTGTCATCACCAACTCGGAAGGATATAGATGCCGCTCACAAGAAACGTCAATGGGCTGATATCGGCATACCGAGTTTTCGCAACGTCTGGAAGGGTCACATCGGCCGCTGGCGAATATTCTGGTGGATACTCCTTGCCATGGGTTCAGTGCCACTGCATCTATTGTGAGACTCACATGCTCATAAGATCAATCTCAACTGACTGTGCTAACTATATCTAGATGGAATTCTACCGTCATATTCTCTCCAATCGCATATCAGTACAACGAACTCACGGTCACGGATGGTTTCGTTCGAGGACTACCCTGGAACGACAAAGATTTGACACCTGTTCAGTTCTCCGACGAAGGAATAGGGGCAAATTGGCCAGATAACCTCCATTTTCTGCAGCAGGACTTGCCCAACTACGAGAAACTTGACAACGAACAGTGCCAGAAAAAATACGCACAGCATTTTGTAGGAGACCAAGCCGACGTCGTTGTGGTGACTAAACCAGCCGTGCCAGATATGAACACATCGACGGTGCTGGGTGGTGCAGCAGCCGGATGGGGTCCCTGGCCATATCAATGGCTCTGCCCACCCGAATCGCGCCAGAGTCTTGCCTGCTATGGCAAGCTTTCCAAGGCTGGAAACAACTGGGATTTCCCAGATTACACACATCCGAAGGTTGATTACTGTCTGAGCAAGAAGATGGAGAAGAGATGTAGACTCGAGTATGGATCTCTTCCTACCATACTCACTGTGGTGGCCAATTTGCTGAAAGTCGTCTGCTTTGTCGCGACATACTGGTGGCTAAAGCATGGAGCCAAGGCTCAGCCACTGATTACTACAGGCGACGCAATTGCATCTTTTTTGGAACATGAAGATAAGGAAACGCTCGGAATGAGCATCGTTGAGAAGACTGACTTCCAGAATGGTATCTGGGATCATCGATGGGCCCAAATCAATCCGATGCTTTGGCGAGAACGCGAGCGGTGTGCAGCCTTCCGGGCCATTGGCGTTAGTCGGTGGATAATCAGTACAATCTTGTAAGTATCACTTAAAGTATGCTAGCTTTCTCCGTCTGGAATCCTGACTCTAGTACTTAGGCTATCGGCTATTCCGCTCTTTCCGTCCATATTCCTAATCTCTAAAGTCCGCTGGCTAAAGAACGACCTCGGATTAAACAGAGACGCTATCCAGCAACTTGGCATCGGCAATCCAAGCGGACTTTTTCTATTCGGAGTATGGTCTGGAGACGTTCAGACGAACCAATCACTATCCCTCCGCGGTCCACCTTCCAAAGGCGTTATTTTGCGTAACATCGTCTTAGCTAACACTCCGCAATTCGCCCTCTCTCTGGCGTATTATGTATGGAACAGTCACTTAACAGCCATGATCGCTGCCCGCGAGTACACCGAGTACGCTGCACCACCTATCGAGACAACCGGCGTACCTCAAAATGAACCCAAACTCAGCCTCCGGATCACTGACCCTCTCGCAAAAACGGACCAGCGCGCTATTCATTTCTTTACGGTTCCATTCGGGTACTGGGCCCTAATCACAATTCTGTGGACGGCTCTACACTGGCTCGCCTCCCAAGCCATCTTTTTCACCCGCGTCGTTTCACTAGACCACTGGCTTGAGATATCAGAGTTTTCCATCAGCCAAGTAGGTTATTCAGTACTCGGGATGCTATGTTTCCTTTCAGTCTCGCTCGTGGTCTTTTTGTATGGCGTATGGATCAGTCTCAGAAGTTTCGAGAATCGTATGCCACTTGCAGCAACATGCAGTGCAGCTCTGAGCGCCGCATGTCATCCGAAACATTTCGATAAGAGGCATCATGAGAAGAAGGTTCACTGGGGGGTGGAGATCCCGAAGAGGGAGAACCCGCTGGCCAAAAAAGAAAGCGGAAAGAAAGTAAGAAGATGCACATTTACAAGTGGGGATGCTCATTACCCAGATTCAGACCGACGGTATGCCTGAAGTTTGTCAAGGAAGAAGGGTGCAAAGCCAAGAACGATATAGCAGGTTTCCTAATGCAGAATTTTTAGGGTTCGATAGCACTAACCCACAAGTGGCTAGCTCGTTCGGACACAGCCACCAGATAGACTAATATATGTAGGCGGTGGGTTCCCTTTAATCGATCAACGAAACGAACACAGTATTCCACCTTTCCCAGATGTTTGACTTGTCAGAGAAACAGTACTGCACTCAATGTTAATTAAATGGCAGTAGGGCGGTAATATCTCAAACAACCTTCGCACACGGGCCTAACCCTCTGCCGTGCTTATGGGCTTGTGGGGGCGAACTAACGAACCTATGGAAGCTCTTCCGTCTTACTAGTACCTGAACTCTATTTCACGTTGACACCCCGCACCTCTCCTTCCGCAGCTCTAACGTACATCTCTAAAATATCAGGGCTTCTAGTCTCCAGCCTCATCGTCTTTTCTTTCTTTCAGATCTCGCTTAAACTGTTCACACCCTTTTCTTTTAGCACAACTTTTCCTCCCTTAACATCATCTCTCTTCAAAAATGTCCACAACACAGCCCCAATCACACCCTTTCCCTACCTACCTCCTCTTCAAAGCCCTCGCTACTATCCTCCGCACCATCTACGTCCTCTTCCTCGCCTATCCCACCCCAGAACCAATCTCCACCCTCTCCATTCCCTCCCGGGCCTCCAAACGCACCATCAAAGTCCACGTCTACGCCCCTCCCTCTCCCAAACCCACTAAACTTCCCGCCCCCGCCCTTCTCAACTTCCACGGCTCCGGCTACGTCATCAACATGCACGGTTCCGACGCCCCCTTCTGCCGCCAAATCGCCGCCTCAACCAATCTCACCGTCCTCGACTGCGACTACCGCAAAGCGCCGGAGGACCCCTTCCCCGCAGCGCTCGAAGACGTCGAGGACGCGCTCCGGTACGTGCTCAGTCGACCAGACGAGTACGACGCCAGCCAGATCCACCTCTCCGGCTTCAGCGCGGGCGGGAATCTCGCGCTAGCGGTCTGCGGCGCACCTCTCGGAGACCTGGGGACCGGGTTGATCGCGGAGAAGGTGAAGAAAGTGGTGGTGCTCTACCCGCCGGCGGATCTAGTGACGAGTCCGGCGGCGAAACGGGCGCCGGATGGGAGTGCCGGGACGCTGCCCGTCCCGATCGCTAAGCTCTTCAACGCGTGCTATGTTGCCCCGGGGCAGGCGGTGGGGGATTCAAGGATCTCGATTAGGAACATGGCGCCGGAGGCTTTTCCTAGGGAGGTGCTGGTAGTGACGTGTGGGAAGGATGATCTGGCGTTTGAGGCGGAGGAGTTGGCAAGTCGGATGGCGGAGAGGGAGGGGGCTAGGGTGGAGTGGAAGAGGGTGGAGGGGGTGGATCATGGGTGGGACAAAAGCTGTAAGAAGGGGAGTGAGGATGAGAGGAAGAGGGAGATGGCGTATGAATGGGCGGTGCAGTTTTTGGGGGAGGTGTAGGGGGTTACGATGTGAAGAGGACGTTATCTATACAGTACATGCATACTTGCCTGGCACCTGTTTGGGCTGGTTCAGCTCAGCGCCTCATGCATGATCCGCATGACGTGCCAATATTTCAGGAGCAAAATTCGGAGCAACTGAAATCCCACGAATCGATTTAGCATGTCGAGGTTTAGGGGGCTTCGGCAGAGTGTTAGAGGGTGGTAGCGGATAGCGGTGACAAAGTTTATGTAAACTCACGCCCTCGAAATGGAGGTTAATGGATACTCCGGTACCTCTGCGTACTCCTTGATGGCAAAATGATATTACTAGAGACGTTGTCTAATACCATCTCTTTCAAGGTCTCCATTCCCGACACTTAATTGTCTTTTGTAAGTGACTTCTTGGAGTGAAGTACATAGTACTATCTTCCCTCACGTACCACTGGAAAACACCCACAGCGTTCAATTCACCGGGGAGAATTTAAGCTACGCTCAAAGCATTCTCAGCGACATGAATGCCTTGATGGGTCAATATCACATGATGCGAAAATTCAAGCGACACCAAAAATAACATTCATATATTTCTGGCTATCACGGGCTATTTTCTTTCTAAGATTGGCGCTAAGAAGCTTTAAGAAGAGCAATCTACGGCGCAACATTCATCCCGCCGCAGTGTGTCGGCCCTAAACCACGGTACTCCGGCTATTTCGGCTATTCCTAAACAAGTCGAAGTCGCTAGCGAGCTGCGAATGCGGGATAATGAGCTAGGAAATTTAACCCGACTATGGAGCGCTAGGCCCACAAGGGCATATTGAAGACGCCACGGGGCGAATAATATGCCGCCCTACATTTCAACTTCAGCCGAAATCCTGATCGGTTATATATATTGTAGTCGGTATTCCGTTGAGAAAAAATGTTGTTGTGCGCCTCAATCTCTTATTGAACGCCTTATCAAGTTTTTGTCGGCCAATTGATTCTCGGCAGGCATCATTTTACCACACCATTTTCCGACTTTCTTGCGCCTTTTTGATTGAGAATCAGGTGATATTCACGACACACCTTCGAGAAAGCGTTAAAAGACTATACTGTCCACACTAAACTAACGCCATCAATCTCCAACCATGGCTCTCCCCACAACCATGAAAGCCTGGCAATACACCACAACCAAAGGCGGCCTCATCCCCAACCTCAAACTCAACCCGACGGCCTCCTTCCCCACCCCCAAAGACCCCTCAACCCAACACATCGTCCAAATCTTCTCCACCTGTCTAAACCCCGTCGACGTCAAGCCCGCCGAAGGTCTCCCCTCCTTTATGCTCCCCAAGCCGGCAACGCCCGGTATCGACTTCGTCGGCAAGCTAGTCGTGCCCGCCAAGAACTCGGACTTAAAGGCTGGGCAGGTTGTATTCGGTGGAGCAGGGCTTAGTCCATTTGCGGGTGGTGCCTGTGCCGAGTACGCCATTGCGGACATCAAGGCTTTAGCGGCCCTGCCTGCAGGCTTGCGCGAAAGCGACGCTGCTACGATAGGGGTGGCGGGAATGACGGCGTATCAGACTATCGTGCCACATGTCAAAGCCAACGACCGAATTTTCATTAATGGTGGCTCGGGAGGTGTGGGTGTTTTCGGTATCCAAATCGCGAAAGCAGTGGGTTGTCACGTTACCACCGCGTGCTCGACTGCGAATGTGGAGTTGTGCAAGAGCTTAGGCGCGGACGATGTAATCGATTATAAGAAAGGGAGTGTGGTGGAGGCACTGAAGAGCAAGCCACCCTTCGACCATGTCGTCGACAATGTAGGAAGCGATCCGAATTTGTACTGGAAGGCGCACGAGTATATGAAGAAGTCGGCCAAGTTTGTTGGGATCGCGGGGGAGCCGTCACTGAAGTTCGTCATTTTCACCGCAAAGGTTCGGTTGTGGCCTGGTTTCTTGGGTGGCGGGAAGAGGAAGTTTGAGGGGTTCTTCGCGCAGCAAAAGATAGATGATTTGTTGAGGATTGCGGGGTGGATGAAGGAGGGGAAGGTTAGGGCGGTTGTTGATGAGAGGTTTCCGTTCGAGAAGTTGCCGGATGCGGTTCGGAGGTTGAAGACTGGACGGGCGAGGGGAAAGGTCATGGTGGATGTTACGGCTGGAGACGGGAAAGCATGAGGCTGAGTTACTGATGTTCTCGTTTTTTCTTTTGTCATTGATAGACATTGTAATGAAGTTTCATCATATAATTCGAATGGTTTGACGCGTCCACGGCCCAGCCTCCTTTGCTGCATAGAAGACTCCTACCCTCTCGAATTCTAGCAAGGTATCCTTCGCATTTTTTAGCCTGAGGACGAGACCGTATGTCTGAGCTCTTAAGTCGGTAAGGGGGATAGTCATAACTTGGAGTGCAATAAGCCGAGCTTGCTCCAAACCAGTATCCGTGGAGCTGCTATCGCTCAAGAGCCAGTCCGGGAAGAAATCAAGAATCTTGTCCTCTTCTCTACCACTAAACCTCAACCCATGCTTTCGTGTGTCAAATCGTGTGCGACGTCGTAGCTTGACAAGGGAAACCTCGGCGACAGGACCAGTAACATCGAGGAGACCAGCGTCCACCATGCGCCTTGCATCAACAACGTTCTCACCTTTAAATGGAACAAAAATCTGTTCCACTTTCATCTCGAAAATGACGCCCCTTTCCTTGAAGTTGACGTCTCCAAGTTGATATACGGGAGAAGGCGAATGCGTCCATTGACTGAAGCCCACGACCAGGATGGAGCGCAGTAGAGTAGTTGCTTCTCTCCCGGCTCAATCACTCTCCGCAGAAGGCCCAATTCCACAGAGACCAAACTCCACAAGCCAGCAACGTAGGGTGTTTGTGCTCTATCCTGGACTAACTCTGCAATGCCCGAGATAGCCACGAGCTTGTCGGTTGGGTACGTTAGAGCCCCTTCCGAATACGCGGACACAAGTCTATACCATCGCTGGTTGAATTCAATCTGCTCCCCCAAGCCGAGCCCAGAGGCAACTCCCAGTGATTGCAGAACATCGAGTGCTCCTCGAACACCACGTGAGGCAGACCGATCAATGTAGTTGTCTCTGCTAAAGCCTGCAAAGCTCAACAGTCGAGTCAAAATGTTCTCGTCGACCCAATCAAACAGCCGTCCATTGTGTACCACGTATGGCAACTTTTCATATCCAGAGCCCTGTTCATCGAATTCGGAGGCCTGCATAGTGTCGCATTCAAATAGAACTACGTCGGAGCAGAAATGAACGAGACGACGTGAGAGTAGCCTTTCTTGGAAAGCCCATGCTCGTTTGGTCAATGGTGCCGTCTCGACTCGTGTGTCGAAGAGTGTCTTTATCGACGGCTTGTGGGCCGAGAGATAGTATCTTGTCTTCTTCGAAGTGACAAGGCTCCACGTCTCTGAAGGGGCAGGCCGTTTCCGAAAGCAGCCTCCATTCGAGTCCTTTGATGCGGTCGCTGAAATGACACATGCTGCATTTGTATATACCAGTCTCATGGCCGAAGACTCTTTTGCCCAATCGTTCTCGCAGTCTTGCAAGATGCATAGAGAATCAATCCAGAGATACGATATGCCGAGATGGCGTGCGATGTAGATGGCGTCTTGGAAGTTCTTGGAGAGAGCATCGCTGTTGATTCCCTCCTGGGTCAAGGAGAGATAGTTCGTTGTTTCGAGCTTGTAGTCAATGGCGCCTCCCCAGCAATGACTAAATGCCACAAAATCTGGGACTGGACTTTAATTAAGTTCTGCTCCCAGTACTATTCGCAGATCAGGATTTTCAGCAGTTCCTACAAATAGCAGCCGCGTCGGAATAAAAGCTAAGCTAGAAGTCTGCGGCTTGCATGGTTCGTGTTTTCTACATTCTTTAATCCAACTGTTGATTTTCCCTATGATAGAAAGAGATCCTGTGTAATCTAAGACATCTGTTTCTTCTTGTAGAAGGCCTTCAACACAATGTGAGCTTACGCAATCAAAATCGAGCTAGCTATCCTGGAGCATATACCTTCAGCGATACAGAGCTCCTTAAACTGAGTTCCATTAGGTGCCTGGAGACTGATAAGAAACTGCAGGCCAAATTCTTTGCCGAATGAGCTCTTGCTGTGTAGCTGAATCCCGATAGCAAGACCGCCTTCTTGAATGGCTGATGAATGTCCGTAATTGCGTGTCGTTTGAGAGATAGCACCATAGTTTACATAAGAGCTTCCCGGATTAGCTTGGCTGCGTGTTTCCAACCTCTGGCTCGATAAGGCTTCACACAAAGGACATCCATGCCACGAACGCTGCATCTCCTCAAGCGTCGCATAGAATCGATGCGACTCTTTGGTCCGAGCGAACATGCTCCAAGATCCGAAAAGTAAACTGGAATGGCGGAGTCACGGCGGCAGTGGTCGCAAAGTCTCGACCTCTCGAATGGGTCTGCTCTTCGATACCGAGGGAAGCGGAAGATCCAGCGACGAAAAGTGCAAAAGTAAATGATCCATGACAGTCGAGAGATGACAGCCCAGAGAGAAAGGACAGTAAGTATAGCCACCATTGCGCCTACGAACATGGCATACCCGAAGAGCAAGGGGAAGAGAGCAATGCCAAGCACCCACGCTGCTCTGTCTTTCGAGGGCGCGAAGAAGGCCCAGACAAGAGCAGCGAAAAGAAAAGGACCACTCAGTGCTGCGACGCCTCTGATGTTATCAAAGTAAAACATAACCATCGCCCAGAACGTGAACAGGGAGAGAAACACTATAGATTCGTCATTCCGGTCCGCTGGCGCAAAATACCGGACCAAGAGGGCAGCGGTCCCAAAGATGATCCAGAGGAGCCATATTGCTCGTGAGTTCTTGGAGTTGCTCTTTTCCCATCGATAACGGCCACCGCGATAACGAAATGTTCTACTCATCGCGCCGACGTGGAATCCCTTATTTTATAGATGGCGAGGGCGTCCCGTTCAAAATACCGATGCTACTTCATGGTCTTCCTCAGACCGAAACTGTCGTGACACGATCTCGGCCGCTGCCAGAGGTGTCTAACTCGATCAGTGTTATGATTCTGATGAATACCGGCGTGTCGTTGCGCGCTCGGAGCTGATACTCGGTGTTTATGAACAGCTAAGGGCAGAAAAACTGTATCATGGCTGGAGAATGACAACAGCATGGAGACATGAAGATGAGAGGCAGCAATTACGGCGCGGTTCAGCTGGGGCTGTGTCAGCACGCGAAGAGCGGCTTAGAAGGCTTGGAGAAGCTAACCTAAAAGAGAACGTGACTATTCTAGCCTAGCTCCCTCTTTCGGTCGAGGAACAGCACTCATTCACGCATTGCAGCCACAACCACTACACTCACTCCCAGATGCTCTATTCGCTCCTAATTCTGCAGTCAGGATATATATCTCTCCGACGACAGTCTCACAAAGCCTTTTGGCTGTTTTTCGCTAGTCGGAGGAAAAGGGGCAAGATTAGGAGAGCAGTGGTATCTCCCCAGAGGATTAACGCCTGTTTCCTAGATCTCATTCTTCCCACGTTTAAGCTACCTAGCACCTCCTATGCCCCCAATACTATAGTAAATTACTATAGTGTTAGATGGTACTGTGTCCCAGGGAGATTTCTTGTTTCTAGGTAGAGATAGGGTCACGTGATATTTTCGGGTTACCTATACTGTTATACTCCTTACGATATTCGGACACGCGCTACTATATTAGGGAGGGGAGAAGAAACCAGAGCTTCTGGACGCTCGAAGGTTTCAAGCTACCTCCAGCTCAATCCGGAATCTGACCCTCTTCAATAAAAAGAGGGCTCTAACTTACCCCACTGCAAATGGCACCACTACAACAGCATTACTGAAAGAGCCTATTAAGTAAACGCTAATGCGAGCCATTTCTGTATCTAGGTAGGGCTTAGAAAGAGTAAAGGCGTAGGAGAAGTTCCTCTGCACATCCTTCCTAATCTAACGTTCCTCGAGTACATCCTAATGAATCCACATGCTCTATGACAAGTTCGAGCACTTTGAACCTTGCTTCTTATCCCGCCCAGATCGAGATCGAGAACAAAGCACAGGCCTTGGCTGGACTTCTTTCTGCAGTCTCAGCACCGAGAGGATACTCTCTCCTTTGCTACAACATAAGCTTCGGCTGCCCTAGGCGCGCGGTAGGTTGTCTGATCTGCGTCCTGAGATCTTATTGGAAGACCAAAATGCCTGTCAGCCACCTTACGTCCTCAGCCTTATCAGCTTCAGCCTGGTGCAAGTGTCCACAAACTCCAGCATACTCCTGCTGTGCGGGCTTAAATTTCTCAGATTCACTCATAGATCGCGCTGTATTGCGTTGAGCATGTCTACAGCGGCTGCTGGAATGACTTCGCCTAACGATTCTTTCGAGCAAAGGCTCGCAGATTTCCTGCGTTTCACGGGAAGGAGCACCAGCAGCGTAAGGCTCCAAAAACTCACAATACGTTTAAATTGAAGATTTATCTAGACCAGGAGAAAACTACCTTTATCCTCGTCATGGGAATGACAGGTTCAGGCAAAAGCACGTTAGTGCAGCACTGCACAGGAAACAACGTGCAAGTAGGCCATGGACTTCAGTCCTGTACGAAATTGCCTCCTATCTTTTCTTATCGTGGGCGTTGATGTGTTTTTAGGCACAAATGACCTTATAGTGTATTCGTTCTTCCATGAAGGCCACCATATCCACCTCATCGACACCCCCGGCTTCGACGACACGAACCGCTCGGACATCGACACGCTCAAAACAATAGCAACTTACTTGAGTACGTCTTTCGCCAACGGTGTACGTATCAGCGGCATTATCTATCTGCACCGCATCTCGGACAATCGACTCAGTGGGACAGGCCTCCGCAACCTGCGCGTGTTCAAGAAGCTCGCCGGATCAAATGCATGGCCAAACACAGTCATTGGAACGACCATGTGGAAGGCTGATGAGTACATGCAAGGGGAAGCACGTGAAATAGAGCTTTCGGGCGACGTAACCTACTTCGGAGACTTGTTGTCTCGTGGCGCGAAGCTTTTTCGAATCGCGGAGCATGAAACAGGAGCGGAAGAGCAAAGGCATTCATCGCTGCGTGTAGTCTCGCATTTGCTACAGCGGACACGAACCGTGGCAGTAATCGATCTCCGAATCCAGCGGGAACTAGTGGTTGACGGGAAAACGCTCGATGCCACCGCGGCTGGTCGGGAAGCCCTAGGAAACCTCTACCACTTGCGGCGTCAGCTCGCTCGCCAGGTCGAAATCGCACGCCATGACATGCAAGATGCTTTAAAAGTTCGGGACATAGAATCTGCGCGGCAACTTCAAGCCATTGAGACTGAATGCACTAGGAAGATAAGCAAGTCGCAGAAGCAGCAACAAAAACTGAAAACATCGTTAATGGAGATACACGATAAGGAAGTAGACAAACTACTGACGAGGCTGGGCGACATGGAGTCTCGACAGCGTGCTATACTCAAAAGCAAACAGTGGGAGCTCGAAGACATGGAGGAATCGCTCGATCTCATGCGTCAGCAATCCGCAATCGATGAAGCACGGTGGGAGAGACAGTCTCTGGACATTGCAGCTTTGGAGAGAAAACGAATCACTAACAATGAATTGCACCGGGAATGTAAAGAAAGCCTCGTCACGTTAAGGCAGCAAGTGATCCAGGAGAAGAAAAGCCTTAGATCAATAAGTCAAGGGAAAGGTGCAGTGAAAAATAATATTGTCAATGGTTTAGCGAACGGTGTCACAGCCGGGGCAGCAACTGCAGTCGGAACTTTGGGTAAGCTTCGCCCTTCTTCATTCCATGTAAAACACTATTTGACAAACGTCCAGTTCTAGGAGCCTTATGTGTAGTCTCTTAAAAATAATTACGATACTGTATTCCAGACGACTCTCAATGTTACCAGCTCGAACCGAAGTGCTTCGTTATCCACTCTTTCCAAGAAGCCATTTGTACCTCCGGTGCTTTTATGTATGCGGACCCATCTTCGTAAACCACGACAAAGTGATCATGCGTCAGGCTAAGGGCCGCGATCTATGGCACATAGAGATTAGTCAAGCTCAGCGTCACGGGTGGAGGACGGTCTCTTACCCTGATCCTCCCGCCTCTCTCCAGATTTTGATGTAAGCTACCATAGTGACCCTTGAGATCCCACACTTTTCGGCCTGGCAACTGCATAACATAAGCCCCAGACCTCCCAAGCGCGCAGACCTCGACCGCATGCAGATTTCCGGGCTTCACATAATCTATGATGTCCTGGTTCAACCTCGATGAGGTTGTATGTAGACCCTTGATGAAGTAATTTCCATTCGTCCCAAGAACAATTTGAGTGACGTATCCAATGCCGTTGTTATTCCAGTTGTTCCATGCAGAGGTGAACGCTGGATAGACTGCGCTGATGTTGCCCGACCAGGCGGCCTTGCCGTCCGCCACAGTCATCCAGGTGTCCTGTTCCCCCAAGGCCATAATTCGTTGGTTAAAATTCGACGTGTGTGTGATGTTGCCATTCGATGGTTGCCAGATTCTAAAAAATGCAATTAGCGGAGTTCGAGTATGAAGAGGGAAAGCACTTTACCCACCCCAACGTAGTTTTTGGGCCTCTAAAGTAGAAGGAATTTCCATGTATAGCGACGCTGAACTCAGAGCTAGTCTTTACCGTCAGAACGTTTCTTCATCGTACTTCGGTACTATCGTAGATTCCAAGGCTCAGTGGGAACTTACTTGGCATCGGCTTGAGGTGCTTCAGTCGTGACGAGTGTTCTTGATTTGAAGCCTTTGCAGCCCTTCTAGAACCTCTCTCTCGCGATGTCTGGCCTCTTTCGTCTGTTTTCTAGCGACCTCTTTCTCACGGATAAGTTTGGACTCCTGCCGTTGACGCTCTCGCTCTAGACGTCGGACTTCCTTTTCATGCCGGGCCTCTTGCTCCTTCATCTTCGCTTCTAATTTCTGATATTTGTCTTTGAGTAGTCTTTCCATATTGGTCTTCAGGTTCTTAGAAGAGTTCTCGAGCTGCGCGATCCGGTAATTGTATTCTTCTTGCAGCTCTGCCATTGCTCGGGCTGACTCCTTATCTTGATCATAGAGAGCTTCTTCTTTCTGTTGTTGTACCTCAGCAAACATCTTCTCAAACTTTTTACGCTCTTTGATGATCTCTGCCTGGACTTCTTTTCCTGCATCTGTATCGTCCAAATCCTTCTTCTCGTTCACCATTTGCTGTTGCAAGTCAAGAGTGATGCGGGCATTATCTTGCATGAGAGTTTGGATCAGTCCGAACGCTGATCTCGTGCTGCCTAAAGAACATATACGATCAGAAACGAAATACGAAGTATAGTAGAGTCGGTTCACGCACCTGAATGCCTGTAGACTTTACTCCCTTGGCTCACCATCCATCCCCAGAAGCCAGGCGTCGATATGAGCTCGCTCTCACGGGCCGCTCCATCAGCCTCACGGACGCTATCCCACATAGTAGTGGCGAGGATGACGTTCTTGAGCGCGTTAGGCCCGCAAAGTTTCTTGAACATGAAAAGGTTCTTCTTTGCCGACCCTTGCATCCGAACATCACTGATCCTATGCAAGTATATGATTCCATTCAGCTTGACCTCCGCGGCGTATGAGTCTGTAAGCCAGGTTGCAATCTCCCTGAGGACTTCGGTATCGCTTCGATTCGTGTCGTCAAACCCAGGTGTATCGACTAGGTAGACAGTAGTTGATCCGCTTATCTTGCAAGGGTAGACATCGACAGTGCTTGTGCCTAAGAGCGATGTTAATATGTTAGAAGCGCTTTGCTACAAGAGAGAGTCAAGAGCTTACAGGCCTGTAAATTATGTCCAATGGCTATCCTTTTCTTACAACACTTCGAGATGAACGTACTTTTGCCGGCCCCTGTCACACCCATCACAGCGATGAATACATCAGTAGGGCTATCCATCTAGATTAGCTACGTATCTCAAGTCCGGAGCGCTAACTTTACCGCGGCTGCAAGCCGTCCCGGAAGGACGCTGGGGTCTGTTGTGTGGACATCTCCGTCTGGTGTCATAGAATAGGTTAGTCGGGCAGCCAGCGGGTAGTACTAGTCGCAAGTAGTAGTGGAATAAATCGGGTCATTGTAACTTCTACCTGGCCTGGTTTATGACTCCAGCGGACAGCCGCCAAGCGGTTTCTCAGCCTTGTGATCTAGTTCGCAGCTGGCCAGCCGCTGCCACCAACACGATCTTGCATCTGAATGGCTAGGCTCATTAGAGGAGAAACTGATGTCGTCTAATCAAACCGGGCCTGCCACTTCAGCTGCGGGCGTAGCGCCAGTACTTCATTTCTCATTGGAATTTTGTAACTGCCTAGTTCCAGGCAGCTGAAAAGCTGCCGAGCTCTTCAGCCTTATAGGCGCCTATAGAAGCCTAATAATAGCATGCCGGAGCCTTTGAGCTTGATGTGAACGTTGCAACTTAGAGTGACCGTGTATCACTTCTGTGTTAGAATTGCCCCTGAGACCTCGTTCGATTCCCTGATTTTTAACCACCGGAAACCATCTTCCTCTCTTGAAATTATCGTGCATGCTGGTGATATACTCTCCCAGACCGCTCTTTCAATTTATCGTTTTGCAAAGAACTAGAAAACATGCACATAAACCTGCTTCTATTTAGCTTTTTACCCATTCTATGGATTAGTCATGATTAGGAAACCCACCTGGGCAGCAACCACCTATTGCAAAATCCGCAAGCCGACATCCAGACCCGCTATGCCAACCTCGATACCAAGCTATATACCTCCATACCAAACTATATAAGCAACTAAGCCAAAGCCCTCATCTAAGAAGGTCCAAGAAAGGCAAAAAGACCTTTCCCTTCCCGCTTTTCTCACCTTGCCTCAGGCTTGACTCCTCCACTCATCCGTCATACATGAGAGAAATGACTGAGCGCTTGCATTCGATGCCTCGTCCATATTGTACTGGTCGCTGGTGCCTTACCCCACCGGCATGCTAGTAAATGGAGGTGCGAAGCAATGCCGACGATTTTGCCTATGGGACGCCATATCGAGTTGGGGGTTGGTCATACCATCACGGCAATCATAGCAATAGCGAGTATGGCTCTCTCAAGGGAAAGTAAATCAAAGTAGAGGAAGGCGAGTACGAGGGAAGACAAAGATTTCACGGGGTCTACGCAGCATCGTTCTTGTGTGGTGAGAGATAGACGGGCAGTGAACTACATCAGGCATGATTGGCGCATCACGGAGCTGCTATCAACCAAGTTGTAGGCGTTTCAGGTAACCTGTTGTTATAGATAGCCCACTGCACAGGTTTAGCGCAGAGACGTTCGGCGGAAAGCACTGATAACTTTTTCCTAGATCTTTCCCTATTTCTATGTTACCTGGCATTCCTTATGCCCTCAATTCCATACGAAGAAGATGTGGCCTCAATATGGGCTATTGCAAAGCTATCTATACTGGCTGCTTATTTCGCAGAAGTCAAATGGTTCTGCGAGGCTGAGATGGAGGCAGTGCGCTCCCCGCGGAAATCCACTGAAGTTCAACACTTGCTTGGTTTAGATTACCTGCTTATCCGCTAGAAGGCAAATGGTTCTACGAGACTGAGACAGAAGCAGTGCGCTAGCTGCAGAAAGCAACGAATATGCGAACTTGCTTGGTTCATATCTCCTGCTTATCTCTCAGAAGGCAAACGGATCTGAGAGGCTGAGATGGACGCAGTGCTCTCTTCTTGCAACCCAGCCAACTAGATGGGCCGATTTCCCAGAAGCTTCGCCTCGTTATGCATCGGTTCTAATACGCCACTACCAAGGAAAGCATGTCTCAGCCTTGCGTTGGATTTCTCAGCCTCTCAAAGCGCAGCTCATGGAATCTTTCCTTCCTTCTACTGTTCCAAAAACTTACAGTTTTCATCTAGCTATGTGGTCCACGTTGCTCTCTAGCTCCCTCTTTCTCTGCGTTGTACTCACGCGTGCTCAGTCGTTATACTTTGAGGGCTTCTCATCATCCGTACTTTTATCCGACACCATATCCACTATCGGCAGCACTTTACCGTCCCCAGCCTCATCTATCATCGTTACCTTACCGACTCTTCTGCCGTGTAGTGATCCGTCCTGGCATCCGACTCCCGAGAATTGGGCCGCCGAAAATGTGGACCAAGAATTGGCAAATACTAAAGGTCTGTGGGGTTCAGGAACAACGTTCGTGGAATACATCGCGCAACATACGGGGCAGACGAGTCAGCGTTGTGGTATAGGATATTCCTCGACTTGCACCGTACCGGATTGCACTGGTTAGTATAGCACACTAACACATTTTACTGGAAGTCTCATCAACATGGTTAGCTTTTCAAGGTGCTGGCGGAGAGAAATGGGTGTATTTTGTAGCTGTGAGCATCGTTGAGATGAACTCCTTCCTTAACATAATGAACGTAAGTAATCTAAAAATACATTTCAATACCGGTAGACGAGCTTGTCGCTAAGAGGAAATGTTCTATTAGGACGGCATTAATAGTGGAACCACTGAACTGAGCTTGGTCATCGGAGACATGGCCAACAGTTTCTTTCCATGGGAGCCTCAGCCTTCGCACACGAACATCTGGCCTTGGATTGAAGCGGCTCTTAGTTCCGTGTTGGCATTTGTACCTCTCTTCCTCCCAGCGAAGCTCTTCGGTTCAGCAATATCGCAGAGCGCCGCAGCGTTTGCCAATGGTGGATTAGCAACCCTTTCGCCTCATTCCTCGGATCCTGAGTAAGACTTAATTCGTTACCCGGTTGATCCTTAGGTTCTAACAAACTCCGAAAGGGCTTACTATCTCGGCACTATGCAGCAACTCGGAGAAACTTTCAAGACCCTGTCGTATAACGCCACGTCGGGGCTGGATCAATGGTCTCAAAAGCTATTCGGTGGTGAGCCAGACGAATCCGGAAAGACGATTATGTAGGTGCTTCAATGCCCAAAAGGCTAAATACAACAACTAATAACGCTTAGAGACTACTTCGCCGGAGGTAGATTCACGCTCAGCTATAACATCTCTGACCCGACTATGGAAAACTTCTACTTCCAGACAATGGTATCTGACGTTGTCAACGACCAATGGAGGCAAGCTCTTATGACTGCGCATCAAGGTACAGAAATTCGCTTACCAATATCATTATAGGAGTGCGAGTGCAGACATTCCCACCAGACAGTTTGTAATTTGCACGAATGGTACATCACAATGCAACGAGACATCCTTGTATCACGAGGGTGAGCGGACGTGCTGCTTGTACAGGTAGGGAACTGAAACTGTCTATAAAGATACCCACGATTGACACATACTTTGGTACGCTCTAGCGTCGATTCAACCGGAGAATATAAGACGCCTCCTGGCTTAAACAGTCTGACAAACACTACCTTCAACATCAATGCATCGGTACTTATCCAGCATCTATTAAAATTCTACTCTCACGCCTCTCAAAAAAAACCCCCAGCTGCTAACTGTGATTTATGGGTTTTCTATAGAGCATCACGGCAGGTAGTCTTCACTCCTATCTCGCCCAAGGGGTTAACTACAACAAAAGCGATACAAACACAGAGATCGAGGCATCTCTTCTAGGAAACTCAAGCACGCAGGCGTTCACACAAGGGGTGGAGTTCCAAGGTCAGCAAATTACCCCTTCCCCTCAAAACGACCCTACTATTCGTCATCCTTGACCCACCTAACCGCTCCTGCGTGCAGGCGTCTGGACCATTCCCGTCTGCGATGTCGGTGAAAACGGAAACTGGGTTGCGAACTACGAAGTCGGCGCGATGCCATGCTGCTGCGGACCACTCAAGCCCTCCGGCCAAGGATGCACGGAGACGGACGATTTCATCATAGCGACGCATTTGATCGAATTTGGGGAATTCTATACCACCTGTAAGACGCAGTATCCCGGATTCATTGGACCTTCTGCTGCAGTGGGGTTGGCAGTCCCGTTTTTGAGCACTTTGCTTTTGTCGACGCTGGTGACCGTTTTGCTAGGGATGAGTCTCTCGGGATAGTAGATGAGAATTGCGTGCGACTTTGGCAATGGGAAGGGCGGCAGCGTAAGACGATTCAGGTGAAGAGGCAGCATTCTTGGTGCATCTTGGGGTTAGGTCGGACGCAAAGGGAAAGACTGAATTAAAATGTTCTCGACGCAGCCATATGATAGGTGTAAACTGGAAACCAGTTAGTGAAAAGTTGTACCGTCCCTTCCCTTGGTCCATCTTGAGGCCTCTGTTTAATCCCTTTCCCAATGAATCCTTGGGCAATCATAATCAGCCTGAACCTCCTTTCTTTACTTCCTTTCTTTACACGTAATTGCCGAGCGAATCACTTGCTCCTTATTTCGACCGATTATAAGTTTACATCACACCTTCGGAACCCACCCAGTGAGCAATTCTGACCTCCTTGGGGGATTGAAAGCGTGGCCTGTACGCTCTCATGGAGAGCTTGGAGGAGGTGGAAGCCGAGCGAAAACCTGAACAAACAGGCCGCATGGAGGGCTTGCTAGTACTCCGGGATTAACATCCTTCCTTCCACGATCCCATGGCTGTGAGCGTCTGGAAAACCTGTCAGGGCCTTGGATAAAATGGAGTCGGCGCTGTGGGGAAGTCTAAGAAAGCGGCGATGCTCACACCTATCTTCATAAACTGTAGCTGAGTATCATTCCATCTTGAATTCAACACTCAAATTCGATCAAACAAGATGATCTTTACCAACTCCTTTCTATATCGCCGGCTTTCGTTTCAAAATCAAGACCATCTTCATCATCAAGGTCGAGACGGAGGTCCCGCACACTCCTCCACAGAGCCATCGGTTGGAGGCCTACATCCTGTTGCTTTACCTCCGACACCCATGGACCATTTTTCCCCCATTCTTTTCATTGCGCATTGCGGTTGAAAAACCCACTCCGCCAACCACACCCCCCATTTGTGTTCTGTCCGGCACGTTGATACTCCACCTCCAGCAACCATGGGCACATCTTTCGCTCTGATTTGAAGAAATCATCACAAAACCCGTGTGGAAAGAAAGAAAGAGGTTCTCGAGCCCGCGAGTCAAAGACCTTATACCGAAACCCCCTCAGCATTCCCGTGACTTACAAGTAGAGTACTACGACAGCAGTCTGTGCACTCTCGGTTGCCACTCGTCCTGGCCTTACTCCTAGATCCCCGGTGATATGCTAGGTTCCGCTTATTCTGCCTTCTCGTGACTTCCACGTCTTCTATGAATGATGTAAAGACGAGGGACCTTAGACATCAGCAAAGACGAACACGTTTTTTGAGCTGAGTCTCGTGATGATCTCGTGACCTTCTCAGATCTTCTTCCGAGAGAGTATAAAAGCTCACCCGGACCTAATGTTTAATCTATTCAGGAGCTCGCTAGCGACGGGGGTGCAGTAAAAAAAACTTCGAGCCAAGGAAGACGTCGATGCTTGGAGTGCGGGAGAAGGATCAACAACGCGCAGGTTACCAGCCTATGGCTGTGTGTGTTTGGTCAACTTATGCCTATAAGATCACATCGAGGAGTGGTCGAAACGTACCAGCGCTGATACCCACAACCAGCCTTCCTTACCTCTGATAATCACCTCACTCACTCACTGCTCCACACCATGGCCTAACCTCTTTTCATTATCCTCATCAAGCTCCAAAGACCCCCTTCATCATCACCTCTCCACTCCTCCTCCACGTCTCTTATGAGACGAAGAATATATGGCTGTTAATCCCCTCCACGGACCCATCGTCTTCCTCCCCTTCCAGTTCAACCGCACCCACACCACAACTCGTCTTCAATGCTCGATTCAATCCCCACACCTCACCGCACCCATTTGACCAATCTCCTAGCCGATTTTCGATCCACTCCTCCCCCACTCATAGTTTCTCCCGCTTCTTCATTTTAACCAACCCCTCTCCCACCCACCCATCATATCCTTGACTCAGGCAATTCAAAGACCCCTCCCTCCCCACCACACACCCATGAGAAATTGGGCAAACAGCGTTGCTGAATCCAGCGGCCTATAGGACCGACAGGGTGAGAGAGAGAGAGTTTGATCCTACCCCCTCCCCCCTCCCCCTTCCCCCCCAACTCATATGCAGCGTCTTTTTCAATTTCTTGATCCACACCTCTCTCTCACCACCCCATTACTACCCTTGATCCAGGGAAGTTGAAGACACCTTCCCCCCCCCCAACCACACCCATCATTTGCAGCAGTTGTGGTTTTTGATCCAGCACCCCCAGCGCCCATGGGGAAGAGCTTGCCCCCTTTTTGATCCAGCTCCAGCTCCACAGCGCCCATGGCACCTCCGGAGTCCGGTTTTGATGAACCCACCACCGCCGCCCACTCTGAAGAAAGAAAGAAAGGAACTGAGAGAAAGGGGGAGGGAGGTAGGTTTTATAGTCCTCGCCAAGGGGGTTGGAGGGCCCGTGATGGGGGCGGTGCCATGCTGTCCCAGACCGCTCTTTCATACGTTTATGTTGTAGAGAGATAGAAGTTATGCATCCGAACTCACTTTTATTCATAATCATACCGCTCGTATCATGCACCATTTTGTCGGATGAGTTATGCAACCAGCAACCACCCAATGCAAAAAAATCCGCTTAACCCGCTATCCAAGCCCGCTCGCTATGCCGCCCATACCATGCAAACTACCAACCCCCCGCCCATCCAAGAACCCCCCTCAAAGACATCTCAAGAAGTCCCTACTCCTCCGTCAAATCCCCATACTCCCACACCCCCCTCCGCCCCTCCTTCGCCTCCTCCTCCCGCCTCCTCAACCCTTCCAACACCCCCCTATCCGCCTTCTCCCACGCCCTCAACTTCCTCTCCACCAGGGCCAACCCCTCCCCGACCGCATCCGCATTCAAGCTCTCGGCCCCACTCTCACTCCTCTTCGGATCAAACAGCGTAACCCACAACCCCCCGCCATCCCTCTCGACGGCATCCACATTCGCGACCAGCTGCCGATCCGCCGTCTCGCGCGCAAACCACGCCACAAACTCCGCCAGATACTCCGCGCTGGCCGGCAGGCTGACAAACGAGAGCTGCGCGTCCACGGCCTGCGGCTTCAGCTTCTGCGCGCCAAACTGCGCCGGCAGCGCGCGTAGTTCAGACCATGGGATCGTCTCCGCGTTGCCGAAATCCACGTACACCACCTCGGCCGTCTTGTGCTCGCGGTCGTTGCGCCGGATGCGCGCGCGGTACCACTCGTCGTCGGCCGAGAAGCGCGCGGACACGAAGTCGCCGGCTTTGGGGGGGCCGGCCAGGGGCGTGTTGTTGGCCGGGTTCTTGTGGAAGGTGCGGAAGGCGGAGCTGAGCTCGACGAGGGCGGCGGTGCCCGTGCCGATTTGTTGTAGCTTCAGGCGGCCCGTCTCGTCGACGTGCGTGATGACGACGTCGCGGTAGTCCTTTGCGCGCGCGGCGGGGGCGGCGGCGTCTCCGTTGGTGCCGTGGCCGTTGGTAGCTGCGCCGGCGGCAGCGTCGTCGTCGTCGTTTTCGGCCGAGGGGTCGTAGTCGGCCCAGAGGTTTTTGCGGGCGTCTTTGGCTTTCTGCTCCGCAGCGAAGAGCTCGTTGGCGTTGCCCGATTTCTCGGCGGAGTAGGCGTGGACGGTTGCGAGACCCTCCTCTACCAGTACTTTTGCGAAGTTTTCGCGGTTGATGTATAGGGTGCCGATGAAACCGCCGTTCTTGTCGCAGTCCTCGACGTCGATTTCGCAGTCGCGCTGGAGAGTCCGCCTATTGGCGAATTCGTGAGCCTCCTTACCGAATGGCTCACTTTTCTCCGTATCATTCCGAGCAGATCGAGGGGCACGAATACCAGACAGGACGAAGGTGAGTTTGGCGTTCTCTCGGGGAACTAGAACCGTGAAGCGGGATGCGGATTTAACGAAGTCAACAATGGCAGGGACCTTGTGTTGGCGTGAGAGGAGTGATAGCTGCCGCTTTGCTTTCTCCAAGCTTTCCGAATAGTCCACGAACTGCTTGGCAGCAGGTGCCTTTGTGTTCCACATGCCCTTACCTGCCGCTTGCGCCTCCGCTTCGGCTTGAATTAGGTCATCGTAGATGGGGCTGCGGTCCGTATCGTCCTGGCGATGCCGAATGACAGAGGCATACCCGCTTTCCACGAGAGTCAGGCCAATGTTCTTCCCGTTCAGAGTAACCGTGGCCATCTCACGCGCTTCGAAGCCGTCCGTCGCCGGCCTCTTTCCGTTGATGGCAAACTTAACATGCTTGCCAATCAGCTTCTTCCGCAGGAATTCCTTGGCCTCGGCGCCCCAAGGCGATTGTTTGGGATCTGATGGCTTTGGTTGCCTCACACTGCTAAGATTGATACGCTTCTCGTCGCCAGCCTTGTTCCGGAGCCAGAGTGTGTCTGCGCTCTGAACTCTGCTGACTACGGACTCGTTTTCAGCGCCCGTAGATGCTTTGGGAGCGGCAATGCCCTGGAACTGGCCCTTCCGGTTGTCCCTGGCCTCTTTCTCCGCTGCACGTAGTTCGCCCATCTCTGCCCCGAGTAATGTGGAATGATGATCGGTACAACGCGCAAGTCCTTCCTTTAGCAAAAACGGCGTGATACTTCCTTGGATGTGGTGCTTCACATTTGCCACAAGTTGGCCGTTGGGGCTGACGCCCAGGGGGGTGATGAAAACGTTCCGCTGTAACAGCCGGATCTCGACGAACTGCTGCGCCTCCTCGCCAAACGGTTCCGCGGGTTGCTCTTTGCCGTCTGACGGATTGGTGCGCTTAGTCGAGGGTGCGCGGATGCCAGCAATGAGTAGCATGGTCTGCGCATGTTTTGTAGGCGAGAGTTTGAGTCGAACTATCAAGCGGTCGCCTGACAGGACCTTTTCGACGATACCTGCGTAATATTAACAAAAGCCTCCCTCTCAATGCGAAGACTACTCTTGCAAACCACTAATATGATTGTAACAAAAATACATACCATCCACCTTCGCCCCCTTGTATTTCTCCACGAATGCTTTCGGGTCGGAGAGCTCGAACTCGCAGTCTATTTTGCCGGAACCCTCTCCCCATACACCCTCTGATTCTGCTTTCGCTCGCGCCTCGAGCATCTCAAGCCTCTCAAGGATGGCGGCCGACTCTTCGGAATCGTCTTTCCGGCCAGCATCGTCGCGGAGCTTGACCCAGCCTTTTTCCACGCAGACGTCGGGGAATTGAACATTGTTTGGCAGCTTTACGACGCCATATTCGCGGTTCGCGCCAGTGGGAATCTTGTATAGGACTTTGAAGTGGACGAATCTGCCCACGAGCTGGTTGCGGAGGAAGTCGCGGGACTCGAAGGCGTGGGGCTATTGAGGTTGCGTTGTTAGCCATAGTTCGCTATGATGTTTCTCAAGCTCAGAAAGAGGTCCGAAGAGAGTGTATGCCTAATTCCACCAGGGATCCATGCGACGGGTGTCTGCATATAACCCAAACTCAAAACAGAGCAGTCTTCGTCCTTGAACTTGCGTATGTTCAATTGAAGAATGTACCCACCTCATCACCCTCCCTCCGTAGTCTAGGCGCAGAGACAAAAGCAAGGCTGAGCGTGCGCTCTTGTTTCGGGTTGTTGATATTATGGAGGACAACGGTGTCGCCAGAGAGGACGCTCTTGACTTTGGCTTCGAATTCAGGCATTTTGACTAGGGCTTCCCAGGGATCGTTTCTGTAGGCTCGCCAGGGGGTAGACTGATAGTAAAGGTGTCTAATCATGAAGTTTGGTATTAGCGGAGGTAATTGAGCTGTGTAGTATTGCGGAGCAGGCGGAGGTGGTGAATTGAGCTCTCGAGGACGGACATAGAGACGGATGTACTCACACGAGCGGCAGGAGCGGGTAATGCTATAGGTAGGGTCGATTTGAAGAATTGAGGAGCGTGCGTGCGGAAGCTGTGGGCAAGTGGCGAGGAAGGAGTTGAGGTGAGCGGGAGTTTATGCAGTGTAGCGGTGTGGTGTGTGATTGATGATGTGGGGAGAAGGTGCCTCTACGCGAAGAACGTCACCTAAGCTTGGAGGCACTTTACGAAGTAATGAACACCCCGCCTTCAATGCATAATTTCACTAATTCTCGGAGGAATTCTAGTTTCTAGTGTTCGTCACCTCAAATACTCTAAGTTCTTTCATACCCTCCGATTTCATGGGTCTACCTACTACTTGCAAATCTCGAAACTTTCAATATATTATTCTATAGAGAGGGTAGAGATTGTGGGAGACTGACGATGGAATACACCATGACACGATGGAGTCTCTATTTAGAACTTCTCACTCAGTAAATTTAGGCAAGCGTTGCTCCGATTAGAAAAGCCCGCTTCTAAACATCTCACAAATCCGGAGCACATGTTTGCAAAAGCGTTATTTCATTCCGAAGCTACCTCAAGCCCCATTTTCACCCAGCCACCACAAAAAGAATAGCCCCTCTCTCTCAATCTACCGTCAAATCCAACCCAACCGAGCCCAGTCCAGTCCAGTCCCTCGCAGAACCGTCTCTGACTGTAGCATCATTTCATCACGACAATCTAAGCCGCAATGCCAATAACACCACAAGCCGGACGCGTGCCCGCATTCCCCGTCTTCTTGCTCTCCTCATTGCCGCCCCTGCCCAGGTCATCCGTGCCCGAGTGCACGACGACGGTGCGGCCAACCACGCTGTTGGGCCCGATCAGCTTGATGAACGAGTCGGTGACGGTGCCGGTGCCGTTGCCCTGGCCGTCCGTCTTGAAGTTGCCCAGGTCGCCGACGTGGCGCTCCTCGTCCTCGGGCGCGCCGTGGGTCTTGCCGTGGGGGTTGACTTTGGGGGTGAGCGTTAGCGAGGTCGTCGTGAAGATGACAATGTCTTGATTCTGGTGGGCGAGGGGTAGGGAAGAAGGGATGATGGGGGGAAAGGGGGCGTTGGGGAGGTTAAACATACAATGCGGTCCCGCGCTCGTGCAGCCATTGGTGTTGTCCCCGAACGTGTGCACGTGTATGCCGCGCTCAGCATTGGCGTCGTTGCCGGTGATGTTGTAGGTGATGGTAGTCGGCGCGCTCTCGTCGGCTTGCTCGAAGGTGACGGAGCCCTTGACGTTGGAGTCTCCTCGGATGACGGCGACTGCGATCGAGATTCATCAGCGCCAGTCCCAGTTGTGCCAGATGGTGCAGATGTTATCCATCCTCGGCATCATCTCTCAACGCAGTACGAGGAGAAGACGTAAGAGAGAGCAGTAAGCACAGAGAGCGAGGAAGGGGTAGAAGAAGGGGTAGAAGACGGGGTAAAGACAGCCATCAGGGTCCTCCCCAAACCCCGGGTGCACCATCATCGCCATCAGGGTCCTCCCTCCGCTCCCTAACGTGGCAACTTCTACCCACCCACTCCCTCTCAGAGCATGGCAGCAGAACGTGCTCAATCCCTCTCACGCCCCACCTTGGCTCCCTCCAACTACGGCCCAACCAAACCCAACAGATCGCACAAAAAGAAGGGTACGTACCAGCTTTAACCATGATGGCGGTATGGGTAGTGTGGGCTTGGTTAGGTTCTACGTTTCTGATGGTACAATGAGTTGTAGGGTGCTGAAATGGAGAGAAGGAAGGAGGAGAAGGCGTTTCTCGGGACTGCTTCCTACCCCTCCGATCCGAGGCCACCAGCCCCGCAGCGCAATTGCTCCGAGAGAGTGTTTTGTAAGGCTTTCGTCATGCTGCGTTACTGCATGCTATATATTCCACTTGAGCAGTTCAAAGTTCATTCGCTTTAGAGCGGCTGATAGGTTTCCTGACCCCGGGAATCAATTGCTATGAAGGATATATTATTCTCCTAGCACTGCTATCTTCCATATAGTTAGTGCTAGATAATGCACACATTGGCTGGGTGCCGTTGCAAACATGCAGAATGCTACCTAGGTGCCGAGGGTATGCCGTACAATCTAGCCATTCGCTTTTGGTAAGCTCTGTGCCCCTCTATTTGGTGCTTGATAATTCACCGGCCTCTCGGAGAGCGACTCGAAAACGTGACATGGATGCCATCTTGCACAATCATGCCTTTGTAGCATCGTCCGTAGAGCCTTTTAGAAGGAAATCGACCCTCACGGCGACAGTGGCTATCTGTAACGAGGTAGACACTATGCTCCAACAGCGAGTGGGGCAACAGCTCCAGTCATCAAAGATCAATCTTCTGCCACAAGACCCCACTAGCAAACAAGCCATAGAATAATGCAGTCTATTGTTTACGCATCAATTTCATAGCTACAAACCGCCTTCATTCATTCAAGCTAAGGTTTCATGCCAATTACTGCATTCTCGTGACCTGCAACCTCATCTCATTCTCGCACCTACTCCTGCCCGCCCCGATACCGGAGCGGAGGTCTGTCGTCCGCTTCCTGTCCACGCCACACTAGGAAACTTACGCCTCAATCTTCTTCTTCAGGATATCCTTCAGCGTCACGGCGTCAGCCGCGAACTTCGAGATGCCTTCGCGGAGCTTCTCGACCGCCATCTGCTCCTCGTTGAAGTCGAAGCGGAAGAGGGCCTCGTCGGCGATGTACGACTTCTTCTCGAGCTGGAGGCTGGACGCGCCCGAGGCGTCGAGCTTCTTGGGGACCGAGTCGGTCGAGTTGTAGAGGGCTTCGAGGAGATTGGGCTGTAGACGATATTCGTCAGTTCATGTTCTGTAGTTTTGCCGGTTTTGCTTTTTGCTTTCTTTTGGGGTTTGGGGGGAAACTCACCGCAATAGTAAGATAATCGCAACCCGCCAACTCCGTAACCTCACCCACGCTCCTGAACGACGCGCCCATGACAATCGTCTTGTAGCCGAACTTCTTGTAGTAGTTGAAGATCGCCTTGACGCTCTCAACGCCGGGGTCTTCCGAGGGCGAGTACTCCTTCTTGGTCGAGGCCTTGTACCAGTCGAGGATACGGCCGACGAAGGGCGAGATGAGGAACGCGCCGGCTTCCGCGGCCGCGATGGCCTGCACCAGCGAGAACATGAGGGTCAGGTTGCAGTTGATGCCATGCTTGGATTGCAGGATGTGGGCGGCCTGGATGCCCTCCCATGTCGAGGCGACCTTGATCAGGATGCGCTCCTTGGGGATGCCGATTTCTTTGTAGAGCTAGATCCACGAAATTTAGCCATACACAGCTATTGGAGAAGTGAGCGTGATCATGCGTACCTCGATAATGTGAAGAGCCTTCTCAACAGACGCCTTGGTGTCAAACGAGAACCTGGCGTCCACCTCGGTCGACACCTTGCCGGGGATGATCTGGAGGATCTCCTTGCCGAATTGCACCAGCAGGTTGTCGAGGGTAGCGTCGACTTGGGCGTCAACGTCGCCGCCCTTCGTCTTGCCGTACTCGACGGCGGCATCGATCAGCTTTGCGTATTCGGGCTTCTTCGACGCGGCCAGGATCAGCGACGGGTTCGTGGTGGCATCCTGCGGCTTGTACTTGGCAATCGTCGCAAAGTCGCCAGAGTCGCAGACGACAGTCTATACACACAGGAACACTGTCAGCGTCAAGTGCTATGAATACAGGCGTCGAAAATTCTGCTCGCGGGGAGCTGTCTCCGGTGGCGGGGTGGATGGCGGGGTAGACTCACGGTGCCAGTGGCCTTCAATTGATCGAGGGAGCTGCTCATGGTTGCGGTGGCTGTAGGGGGTGTTTTGGAGGTGAAGATTGGTGTTTATGGGAGAAGGTGATGGTGGGGCAGAGAGTGGATAGAAGTGTTGAGCTGGCTGCGACGTTGCAGTGACGGAGGCTGTTAAAGCCTCTCGTCAGTGGCGAGAGCCCCCCAAAAACAATGCAGGCAAGTCTGCCCGTGATAGGGCCATCTGGCGACCCCTCTATCAATCAGCATTTGGGGCCCTGCTGTCAGCGAACTGTCACACTCGGCCCTGCCACCCGTGGTCACTCGATCTGGCCTGATGCGCCGTGGAGATATTCAAACGCCGTCCCAAGGTTGTCCGGAGAGAAAGGCCGTGTTGCCTTTTGCACCCTGGAATTGGCTCGCAGGATGCATCTCCACGCCTTCCAAGCCTCTAATGCCACGGCCGCGGATTGGCAGAGTTGAATTGAGTGAACAGGTGATCGATTCCACCACGCTCAACGATGACCGCATCCGACCGCTCCAGATGTTTCAGACCATTTGTAGTTAGATGATCCTGTAAACATCTCGAAAAAGTCCAAACACCAAAATATTGACCATAGCCATAAACTTCTACGTGAATGTTGATATACACAACCACTAAGCCTTCCCCCACCCATCCTGCCCCAGCCACTCAAACACCTCATCCAAACCCACCTGCATCTTACTAACCCTATTCCCATCCCCCCTGGGCCCCGGGTCATTCAACATGGCCACCTTCCTCGTCTGATCCTTCCCCACCTCCAACACCGTTCCCCCACCCATCTCCGGATCCTCCATACACTTCAGCATCGCCTCGGCCACCTCCTCTGGCGTCGCCCACTGATCCTTCCCCTGATCCACAAACTTGTTCTTCTCCGGGTGCTCCGTCCACAGCGGCGTCTTGATCAACCCCGGCGCAACGCCGTTGACCCTCACGCCGATTGTCGCGTCGAGCGGCCCCAGCGAGCGGATGAAGCCGTTCATGCCGTGTTTAGCTGCGACGTAGAGCGGCGTGCAGAGGTTCGCGCATTGGCCCGCGATGCTGCTGATAATGACCACGCGCTTGGGGTTCGTGAGGGAGACCTTCGCGCCCTTGCTCGAATCCAGGAAATGTGATATAGCCAGCTGCGTTGAGCGGATTGGGTGCGTCAGGTTGATGTCCAGGCTGGCGTAGCTGTTGCCAGCCACTGGGTCTTTCGACTCTGGCGAGCCGGGCGGGTGCCAGAAGTTGCTGAAGTAGGGGTCGTAGACTCCTGCTCCGGGGCAGAGGATATCCAGGCCGCCGAATTCGGCATCGGCGACGTCGAACAGGCGGGAGAGTTGCGCCCAATCTGTTACGTCTGTTTTCTGAAACACCGCGCGGGGTTTGCCAGCTGTCTTGGAGGAGTATGTGTCGACTACTTTCTGAGCTTCGGGGCGGAGGGAGAGGTCGCCGAAGACGACGTTGCAATTCTTTGAGAGGAGGAGGGCAGCGAAAGAGAGGCAGATGCCTGTTCATGTGAGCTGTGTTCGATTAAGAGAAGAGTACACTTGGGCACTCACCAGATCCAGCACCTGTCACGATTGCTGTCTTCCCCTCTACGGAGAACGGGTGCGTATTGGCAGCGGTACTCTCGAGGAAAACTTGCTTCGACGTCGCCATGGTTGAGTAGGATGAAATGGATATTCGTTTGAGGATAATGCTTTGCTTGTTCGGGTTTCGGTGCCTAGGGTTGATGGATACCTCTTGTTGACTGTCTTCCGCATACGCTTTTATACCTTACGAGATGGTAGCCGACGCGCGACGCGTACTTGTATTGAGCTGTATGCATGACGTTCGGCATTCGGGTCAGTTCCTTTAGGGATCCCAGATATAGGATGAGGGGCAAGAGGGGTGCGGGCGTTTGGAGAAGCTGGATGGAATGCTAGCTCCCGCATGCCACGGCACCACGGCAAGGGAGCACGGGAACAGTTCTCCGCTTTACCTTCCCTATTCGTCCTCATACTGTATTGAAGATGATGCATCTAAATAATGATGCATCTAAATATGACAGCTGGAGACGTATAACGAAGCATGAGAGTCATATCGACGGATATCAAACGCAAGAGACTCCGTACCTCCTCTTGATGTGTGTAAAGCTATGTCCTGCTGGCCGAGGTCCTTTAGCAGGTTTGCCGATTGGGCAGAACGATCAGCATCCCAAAGCACTTATGATATTTGAGAAAAGGTGTACAGACACAAATCGAAGCACACGATGTCCAAAACAATTTCTACAAAAGTTTCTGTATTAAGCTATCTATGTCGGTTGGTCCAAAAAGCCTTAAGCCGCTTAACAGCAGCGCAACTGTACCAACAGTCTTCCACTCCATAATTATCCATTTTCTCCCTAGAGTCTCACTGCAGGCAATCCTTTCATATCGTCAACCAGACGCCAGTGATTGCGGCAGAACTCCATGACTTATGCAAGGGGGTATCGTAGTACGTTTACCGAAGCTCGCGGGAGCAACGGATGGAATCATTGCAAGATGCAACATCCAAAGTCGAGCCGATGTGAAAAAAAGTGCAAAGAAGTGCAGGTAGTGTACAAGAAAGAAAGAGAGAAAGAAAAAAGAAAGGCCAAAGAGCATCGGAATGCATCACTGACAAAACTTGTCAAGCCTGAGTATTAGGCTGGCTGCCGCATTGGACAGGCAATCTGTGGTCATGTGCGGATAGGAAGGCCTACTAGTGGTCCACGAGGTCTACATCCGAGATACGGGTTACTCAGAGGTTGAGTACTCTTGTGTCGTCGTTTAGGAACTTGCGGCGGTATTCCGAGAACCTCGTCGCGATGATTTCAGGGTCATTGGTATGGTGCAGTCGCAGATCTTTGATAATTGACTTCAAACCCTCCTTGAACTGCTGTTTCTCTGCTTCTGTGTTTCCGGGATTTGCAGTTCCGAGTTGTACAAGGACCATATCAGCTAAACAATGGATAAGTACGAGTTAGCGTGCGGACAGGATGGGATAAGGAAATCGAGGCAACGTCTAATACGCACCACTTAGCTCCATGTCGCGATAGTGCTGATAGACACATTTGTTGTCGTTGCATACGCCTGGACCCCATTCCCAGGGACAGAGTTCCTTCATTGGATCAATCTGATGGCTGTAAGTCATAGATCGATAACCACCTTGAACGTTCTTCGTATAATCTGGATGATTGCGGTAAGATTTGAAGTATCGCAAAGGACTCTCATAGGGTGCGAGTGGTCCGACGACATGGTTTGAAACCTTGAATTTTGAGTTAGCGATGTCGCATATTAGGGTTTAGCGACTTACCGATGCCGGATTAGTCGCATGAGTTGAGGGCTGCTCGGTAGGCTGGAGCTCTGCTGCCAGGTCGTCAGCAGTGGGGATAGGCTGCTCGTCGTGCTTCGAGATATGATGAGAAATGGTCTCCTCAGGCTCGTTATCGAGGCCTGCATTCGACGATTCGGCCATCTCGATTTCTCCATCCTCAAAAGGCGTGCGCGCAGGCTCCTCTGCTTGCGTGTGTCGCGACACACCGTCTTGGGCTGGAATATCCTGATCCTCCATGATGACGTCTTCGTTCTCCGTCCTACCTTCAGTTTGAGCACCAGGAAAGCCTTCCACAGGGGCTTCAGCTGCAGGCTCGGGGGAGTAGAAGTCTTCAGCATCCTCAGCATCTTCTGGAGTCATGGGTGCCTTAGAAGGAGTCGACGATACTAATGCGGGCGCGAAGGGAGCGACTGGTGTAGCGGGAGCGACAAGAACACCACCATGCTCAGATTCGTCTTCGGATTCGTCCTCTGATTCGTCCTCGGAAATCTCCATATCATCGCTTGCGTCGCTCTCCGTACGGTCTGTATTAGGGCTGATCTCATCACGAGCCATTCCGGCGTGCGAGTGCTCATCTTGAGCGGAAGCATTCCCGTGGCTATCGGATCCTTCGTCGCTAGAACTCGTGGAGCTCTCAACCTGGGGAAAGCGCTCGGTAGGTTCATCGGTCATCACGTCCTGTTCAGAAACCGAGATCGGGGCTTGATCCATGGAGGTGAGGGTCGTGGGTAACTGAGCCTCAAAAGGTCCCGCATTCCCCGTCGGCTCACCTAGCACCATTTCGTCATTGGTGATTGACGCGAGCATCTGATCTGGAGCAGTGCCTTGATTGACCACTGCGATGTCGTTCTCCACGGTCTCTGCTTCATTGACAGCCTCGTTGGTCATTGGCGCTTGACTTGAATCCAACGTCGAGGATTGGGCTGGAGAGGCGGCATGATCTTTGGTTGCAGCGGCCGCCATTTCTCTCTGCAGTACGATTGCATCCTTCATCGCCTGCATTTCCTCTTGTGGCATTCCTTCGGTGTCGATGCCGAGCGACTCAAGCTCCCTCACAAGGTTTGCCTGGACTTCGATACTCCGCGCATTTTCAGCCTCAAGAAGCTCCATTTGCCTCCTGAGCTCCTCCATCTTAGCCTTGCCGCTTGCAAGTTTGGCCTCCACCGATGGCAGATCTGACTGGATTTTTGCCCGACGTGTCTTCTTCCAGTCATCTGAACCAGGAAGCGCTGATTGCGTTGTTGGGTCTTGCTCTGATTGCGATGGTTTCGTTGCACTAGCCGTAGTTTTGAGAATTTCTGTGGCGGTGGCTGCAGGGGATTGAATAGAGATCGCAGTGCCTGTTGGAGTAGATACTCGAGGAAGGAATGCAGAAGCAGTAGCTGAGAGATTCGAGGCTGGGGTTGCGGGTCGACTATTTGCTGTGTGCTTAGCTTTAATTGTCGCTTTTCGCCTCTTCTCCACCTCCTCAATCTGCTTGCGCAATGCCGCAATTTCTTTTTCTTTACGCTCAAGATCATCATTCGACACTTGACCGCCTAGTGTCTGATTCAGAGGAGTTTTGCTGATGCCGGAGATAGCTAGCTTTGTGGTAGTGGCCGGAGATGGGAAGTTGGCCAAAGGGGGCAGCTTCTTGACGGCTTCCTTGGTTTGCGGCTGGCTTGCAGTCTTTCCTGATTGAAGCCCTGTATTGGCTGCACAGGCATCATCGATATCCATGCCATCGTCCTCCTCATCACTCAGGTCGATAACAAATTGTTCTTTGCCATGAGTGCTAGATTGTCCGAAAGGAGTAGATGGGGATGGTCGGACGTGCAATTGCTGGGATGATCCAACTAGATCCAGCCCAGGTATCTTATCGGATGCGGATGGCCAAGAAGGCTGTGAGTTGAGTTGTGGCTTATGCTGAGAAATACTGGAAGGCGTGGAGCTCATTACCGCTGCTGCTGCTTTGGAAGTACTAGAGTGGCCACCTGAGGGCAATGACGACGCCGTGGCTTGCGGCTGCTCCTGTCCACTTGCGTAGATCGCGGAGGAAAGTGAGCTTGAACGAGACTGCGGAGCGGGTGTTGCATCAGTTGAGACAACGGCTGGAGGAGGGTGAGCCGCCTTGCCAGATGGTGAGGCCTTACGAGCAGCAAGCGCAGCAAGCTTTTTCCGCGCGAGTTCGGTGATGGCTTTGTTTTTTTCGGCAGCTCGGCCTGGATCATTTCCATTCGTTGCCGATCGTACTGTAGTCGCAGGAAGAGAGTCTTTCGGTGGAATCTTGTCTAAGACTGAAAGTTTCTGCGGTCCTTCCACCACAGGCGCGTTCATGCCTGATCCAGTGGGAACTTGCACTTGTGGTTCCGTCGGAAGAGTCGGATTTTTGTTAGATCTCGCCGCATTTAATCGAGCGACGTACTCTTTCCTATCTTGTGCGGATGGGGCAGACGTGATTGATACGTTCCGATTGCTAACAGGCACTTTGGCTAAAACAGGCTTGGGTGGCAAGCTCATCGCCGTCTTTGCGGCCGTCTGTGAAGCGGTGACCTTGGGAGGAATCGCATGCGAAGGAGCTGCTGGTTTAACGGCTAGCCGCGATGGAGGAGCAACGGGAGCCATTTTCGCCGGCACAGCGTATTTAGGCACGGGGACTGGAAGGCCCAACTCCTTGTGCATGGTGCGGAGAAGCTCGGAGTCAAGGTTGGTCTTACTCACTAGCTCCTCAAAGCTGACACCATTGTCGTGGAACATAAGTACGACTTTCTTCGCCTGCTCGTGTACCTCTTCCAATGTTGGGGTGCGTTGTGTTTGCAACGTCGAGCGGGGCACCGTCGGGAGGCTTGGAGAAGTGATCGTCTTGCCCTCTGTCGAAAGGTGAGTGCGGTGAGGTCGATGAGGGTAGAGTAACTTACTGAGCATGCTAGCAGGACTAGACCGAGGTCGGCTGGAGGACGAATCATTCCGCTCAGTAGGCAAGACTTGACCTTTCACCGCGCTCTGCACAGATGGAGCTGGCTGCTTCTGAATCGCGCGAGGCAGAGCGGCACGATTGGCTTGCTGAGATGCGGGCGATTGCGACACCCGATCGCCTTCGGTCAACTCGCCTTCTTCCTTATCCGCCTCCGATATTTCCATAATCCGGTTATTAGTCGCAGTGCTCTTGTGAGGGGCAAATGGCTGGAAGCCTGCATTCTCAGACGCAGGAAGGGGCTGTCCGCCTTGCTGTGGTGGCAAAAAAGGGTTCGGATAAGAACCGTGTGGAGTGGCTATGCCATATGCATTCTGACCAAGCGGAAGAGGAGGAAATGGCGGTGGCGGCAAAGAGGATGGTTGACCATGCGCATAGAATTGATTCCAGAAGTCTCCGATGGGCGGAGGAGGAGGGTTTTGAGGGGGGTAAGGCATGCGGAATGGAGGGTGGTTGACGTTGTTTGACATAGCTGTTGGCGCTGAGACGCGTTTCTGAGCTGCTGCTTGTTAATACGAGCCGTCACCACAGTGCCGGCGCTGGATTTGCGAAGATACAGTCGGCGAGACGCGAAAGACTGTTGTCGAGTGTAACCTGGGAACGGCTCCACAACACGGTACACGTCCAGATCTTTCAAGTCATTACGGCGCTCACTGTGACTGGAACGTGTTAGTGATCCAATTGCCAACGAAATACTGCAAAAACACAGGTCCCGGCGGCGGCGCGGCGAGGCGCGGTGATGGCGATGTTGAGTTGGTGATGGAGGTTCGAGGTTGAACTTGGTGAGATGAAGGTTTAAGAAATCGCTGGGCGAGGATTAGCCGGGGTCACGTGATCTGATTCTTATTGCTCTCCCAAGTGACTGGATGCCACCTGTACTCACCACTCAAGATGATTCAGGTTAATCTGCTGAATGTAGACTAGGAAAGAGACGTGCACGAGCTTCACTAGCCATCCATCCATCAGTATTCCTATCGCTTTTGTGCAAGTTATGGACGCATTCTGTACTGTTCAAAGGCATGCCAAGCTCGCAGATCCCACGATCGCGCTTGCCAGCGGTTGTTGCTAGGGCAGCGGCGCGTGCTCGACACAACACGCCCATCGAATTCGACGCCCGCATCCCACCACACGCCCGGCCTCAGCTGTCGTGATCGCTGCACTGTACATACGCCCGTTGCACTTTCAGACGGGCCCTGCTTCCCTTCTCTCTAATTCAGAATGAGCTGGTCTTGTCCCGCTTCGCAATAGTAAACAAACGCAAAACTCGTCACCGCACGCCGGGAAGCCACCACCATGAGCGCGCCTGCTCAGAACGGGCCCAAATGGCGGAACAGCCCCTTCATAAGAAACTCTCCATCGCCGTCGCCTGGCCCAATACCTAGTGCCGGCCGCCCGAAATCCCAGCTCATCACCTCTCCTCTCGCCGATCAACAGCCGCAGTCCACGATGGGCCACGCACGGCATCAGTCCTTTTCGCAACTGAGCAGCGCCCCAGTGCCTTCGAGGGCTAATTCGACGCGTCTACGCTCCAACTCGAATCGCTACAGCACTCCGGGCGGGACATTCACTCCGGGATTCATAAAAGCCGAAGATGCGCAGGACAGCACGGAAAAGGTGCGAGGCATCGAGGGCGAAAGCGACTTCTCGGGCAAGCGTTATGTCTGGCTCAGGGATCCACAAACCGCCTTTGTGAGAGGATGGGTAGTGGAGGAGTTGGAAGAAGGGCGCTTGCTGGTGCAATGCGACAATGGCAGCGTAAGAACTGCCCCTCAACGTCAAGTATAAAGCTAACAATGGCGGCAGCAACGCGAAATCGACGCCGAGAGTTACGACAAGGTCAATCCGGCCAAATTTGACAAGGCCGACGATATGGCAGAGCTCACACACTTGAATGAAGCTTCAGTGGTGCACAACCTGCATATGAGGTACCAGGCAGACCTGATATATGTACGTTTCCCGCAAGCCCTTCTAAAGTATCTACTAACTCATGGAAAAGACATACTCTGGACTATTCTTAGTCACAGTCAATCCCTACTGCCCGCTGCCAATCTACTCCCGGGATTATGTCAACATGTATCGAGGGAGGAATCGAGAAGAAACGAAGCCACATATCTTCGCAATGGCCGACGAAGCTTTTCGGAACCTCGTAGACGAAGGGGCAAATCAGAGCATCTTGGTGACTGGGGAATCTGGTGCGGGAAAAACCGAGAACACCAAGAAGGTTATCCAATACCTCGCAGCTGTTGCTGCCTCTGATGCTCCGGGTGTCAAATCCAGTTCGCGAAACCTCTCCAACCTCTCCGAACAAATCCTTCGCGCAAATCCCATACTCGAAGCATTCGGTAATGCCCAGACTGTGAGAAACAACAACTCCTCTCGATTTGGAAAATTCATTCGAATTGAGTTTACAAGGACGGGACAAATCGCTGGAGCATACATCGATTGGTACCTGCTGGAGAAGTCTAGAGTGGTTAAGCTCAACGCAAGTGAGCGAAACTACCATGTCTTCTACCAACTGTTGCGCGGCGCCGACCAGAACATGAAGCGCGAGTTTCTTTTGAACGGCATGGATATTGAGGACTTCGAATACACGAAGCACGGCAACGAGGCCATCACCGGAGTCTCAGATCATGATGAATGGAGTTCTTTGATCGAAGCCTTTAACATTATGGGATTCTCCGACAAGGACCAGGTCGCAATTCTCCGCACAGTCGCATCAGTTCTACACCTTGGTAATATTTCCGTAATCAAGGAGAGCAGGCGGGCAGATCAAGCTGCACTTGAACCAGGAGCTATAGCGCAAGCGGAGAGAGTTGCTCGTCTACTCGGTATTGCTCCCGATGCATTCATCAAGGCATTGCTGCATCCACGCGTCAAAGCCGGCCGGGAATGGGTCGAAAAGGTTCAAACACCAGAGCAAGTCAACCTTTCGATTGACGCTTTGTCCAAAGGCATTTACGAGCGAGGATTCGGCGACCTTGTGGATCGCATCAATCACCAACTCGACCGATCGGGATCCGGTGCCGATGATTCTCACTTCATTGGGGTCTTGGATATTGCTGGTTTCGAGATCTTCGAGGAGAACAGTTTCGAGCAGCTATGCATCAACTACACCAACGAAAAGCTGCAGCAATTTTTCAACCACCACATGTTCGTATTGGAACAGGAAGAATACGCCCGAGAGCAGATCGAGTGGAAATTCATCGACTTTGGCAGAGATCTCCAGCCCACCATCGACCTCATAGAGCTTCCCAATCCTATCGGTATCTTCTCGTGTCTCGACGAAGATTCCGTCATGCCCAAGGCAACAGACAAGACCTTCACCGACAAGCTACACTCTCTTTGGGACCGCAAGTCTCCGAAATACCGCCGCTCGTTGCTCAATCAAGGCTTCATGCTCACTCATTACGCCGCCGAAGTAGAATACTCAACGGAAGGATGGTTAGAGAAGAACAAGGATCCTCTCAACGACAATATCACCCGGTTGCTTGCAGCCTCTACAGACAAGCACATCGCCAATTTGTTTGCGGACTGTGCCGACGTTGACGATGAGGTTGGGGCGACAAGAAGTCGGGTCAAGAAGGGATTGTTTCGCACTGTTGCTCAGCGCCATAAGGAGCAGCTTTCTACCCTCATGGGTCAACTCCACTCGACACATCCTCACTTTGTGCGCTGCATTCTTCCAAATCACAAGAAAAAGCCAAAGCAATTCAGCGCACCCCTCGTCCTAGACCAATTGCGATGCAACGGTGTCCTGGAAGGAATCAGAATTGCACGCACCGGATTTCCCAATCGTCTGCCTTTCGTTGAGTTTCGTCAACGCTACGAAGTGCTTTGCAACAACATGCCAAAAGGCTATCTAGAAGGCCAGGTTGCGGCAAATATCATTTTGGAAAAGTTAAATTTGGACAGATCCTTCTATCGGGTTGGCCTCACAAAAGTCTTCTTCAGGGCTGGAGTCCTGGCCGAACTGGAAGAGCAGCGTGACGAACTCATCCGCGATATAATTTCAAGCTTCCAATCACACGCCCGAGGCTTTATTCAACGACGCATTGCTCACAAACGCCTTTACCGTGCAGAGGCCACTAGAATCGTCCAGCGAAACTTCCAAGTGTACCTTGGCCTGCAGTCTAGTCCATGGTGGAGACTCTTCGTACGTATGAGGCCAATGCTTGGAGCCACCAGACAGGCTGCAGAGGTCAAAAGACGTGATGAGATGATCGCGAAGCTTGAAGAAAAGATGCAAGCCGAAGCATCTGAACGCCAGAGGATCGAGGATGAACGAAGACGCGCCGAAATGGATATCCAGCGTGTTCAACAGACCCTTGAAAGCGAACGCGCTCTTGCTCTTGACAAGGAAGAAATTTTCAAACGCCTACAGTTCCGCGAGGCTGAGCTCTCCGAAAAGCTCGCTGGTGCCATAGAAGATCAAGACAAGCTTGAAGACCAGCTTGATGACCTGATTGAAGCGAAGAGAAAGATCGAAGAGCAAGCCGAAATCTGGCGTAATGAACTAGAGCAAGCTGGCCAGATTATTGGACGGCTGGAAGACGAGAAGGACGATCTCCAACATCAAATCGCCAGCCTAGAAGAGCAGTTAGAGCAATTAGAAAACGTTCGATCACAACGGAGTCAAGCTGAAGAGAGTTTGAGTCAAGAAGTAAAGATGCTGAAAAGTCATTTAGCTTTGAAGGAAAGGAAACTCCAAGATCTCGAAGCCAAGCTCTTGAAGACGGACCAGGACCTCGACCTCAAGCTCGCTGCGTCTAATAAGGACCTGCAGTCAAGCAAGCGACAGATCAAGGAGCTTCTCGACGAGAACCGGCAAGTGCGTCAGCAAATCTCGGATCTCTCTTCGACGTCCACTAGCTACGAAGATCTTATCCGTCGGAAGGAGAGCGAGTTAGCCATTGTCAAGACCGATCTCAAAAAGTACGAATCCGATCGACGAATTTTCGACGATGAAAAGCGAACACTTGCTTCTAAGCACGATGACCTCCAAAGCCGACTACGCGAGGCGAAGGCGGAAATGGAAGCCACGCGGTCCCAGAAGAGTCAGCTGGAACGTGAAGCCGCAGATGCTAAGCGACTTCTCGAAGAGAAAATATCCGAGGACGCCAAGTCCGGGCAAGGAAGAAGAATGCTTGAGGGCCAACTCGAGGACCTGAAGTCTCAGCTATTCGAAGTTCAAACCGAGCTGAGCCGCGAGCGTCAATCCCGCGACGATGTCGAAATGCTGGGAGAGCACAAGTATGACACTTTGAAGCGCGACTTTGATGCTCTGAACGACTCCAAGATTACAATCGAGAAGGAAATGTACATACAGCAAGATGTCCTGCGTCGCGCTACCGAATCTCGTCTCCTAGCCGAAAAGGAACGGAAGGAATACCAGACAGAGTTGCGCTCGCTCCGGGAGAAGTTCTTGAAGTTACAGGAAGAGAAACTTGAGGCAGACACGGCCGCGGAACGTTCGGCTTCTCGGATGGCCATCGAACGACAAGCCATTCAACGAAAAGAGCTTGATGCGAAAGACAAACAGCTCGACGAACTCGAGGCTGAACGAAACAGCCTTGCTAAGCAAGTTCAGAACCTCTCACAGCTGATATCAGATTCCGACGCGTACAAGATCCGCCACGATCAACATAAAGAACGTCTCGAAAGGGAGCTCGTCACCATCAAAGGTCGGCTCGCGGCATCCGAAAATGATAACCGGGCACTTCTCAACAAGGTCCAGCAAAAGAATCTCGACATTGCCAGATCCAATTCTCGAGTCGGTGATACTCAACGGTCTCGTATCACGCAGCTCTCCGCAGACAAGACCAAGGCGGACGAAGAGAACAAGAGGCTTTTCCGTGAACTCGAGAGCGCTCAACTCACCATCACCTCGTTGGAAAAGCAAAAGGAGAAGCTGGCTTTGGGTCTGGAAGACTTGAACCATGAGATTACACGGGAGCATAAGACGAGCCGCAATGCCGAGAAGACTTCCTCTGCAGCCAGCCTCCAGCTAGCTGAGGTCAACCGGAAGCTGGAGACCGAACGCCAACTTCGCACTCAGGCACAGGCTAATACTCGCACCGTACAGTCAGCCCTTGACAATGCAAACAGAGAACTCACGGAATGCCATAGTCAGCTTATGCTCCTTCGAAAAGTCTTCGATCCCGAATCTGGCGATACGTTGATCACATACGAAGCCGCAAAACCAAGCATTTCTCAGGCAGTTGATTTAGCGGAACGTGTGGAATCGGTCACTCAAGCGCTGCGTGTCGCAAAGGAGCGTTACTCGAGGGCAGAGGCTCAATTAGATGAACTTCGTGAGAGGCATGACAGCGAGCTAAACGAAATGGATGCCCGCCATACTAATTCGAAGCGCGCTCTTTTAGAAGAGATGAACAGTAGCCAAGTCAACCAAGCATCCAATGCCAGACGTTCCCCCACCCAATTCCGCAAGGAATTTGAGAACAGGAAAACCTTCTCGGGTGCCAATACTCCAACTCACCAGAGGCATATCAGCAATGCTACAGTAGACTCCGCACGCTCAGACCGTACCGTGGACACCGTCGCATTCAATAACCGTATGGACCTTGCTGCCGAGCTCGAATTAGTCCAGAACCAACTTCAGATGTCCGAAATGAAGAATCGACACCTCCAGAATCAAATCAACCAGTCACCAACCAGGAACGGATGGCAAGATGAGAGTCCCTCAGTTCGCCGCGTCCAGAAATTGGAACGTGAGAATTACCGCCTCCATGACATGCTTGATGATTCGGCAAAGAAAGTCTCCTCTTTGGAGAACAGCCTCCGAACTGGTCAGCTATCATTGAAGGAGGTCCAGACCAAGTCGCACGTGGAACTCTACGATCTCCTAAACTCTCAGGAGCACTCCCGCAAATCCGTCGTACAGGCACACAAGGTTGCCATCAACGAGCTTGCGGAAGCAAAGGCAACTTTCGACGAGATAAAGCAGGCGAAGATCGCTCTTGAGGTAGAGCTTCGGGACGCTCGTTCCGAGCTGGATGAGATCAATTATGAGCGCGAACAGGAAGGGGCAAATCATAACCAGCTTCTCCAAGAGTTTGCAGACCTCCAGATCCGACTTGACGAGGAGACGTCCAAGCTTATTGACGTTACTTCAAGCCTGAGCATGTACAAGAGCCGCGCGGACGAGTACTTCAGCAAACTTGAGCAAGCTGAAGTCGCCGTACTCAAGGCGTCTCGTGCCGAGCAGTTCGCCAGGACCCAAGCTCGGGAGGCCGAGGAGACATGTGCAACTATCATGGCCGACCGTAACCAGATGGATGGTATGGTGGAGGATCTTCAACGCCAGACTCAGCAGTGGGAAGAGCGCATTGAGGATCTCTCGGCGGATCTCGACGGTGCGCTTCAAGCTAAGAAGCGTCTGCAAAACGAGCTCGAAGATTACCGCAGCCAGCGAGCGATCGACATCGAAGACACAGAGACCTCTATGGAGCAAACCCGCAAGAAGTATCAGTCCGAGCTATCTACTATCACACACGAACTCGACCTCGAGCGAGAGAATGTCATCTACATCCGGGAAGAGAATGGTCGTCTAAGAGAAGAGATAGAGGAACTCCGCAACAAGTGGGATGACGAGGTCTTGAACAGCTCTACGTGGGCAAAGGAGAAGAGCCGGCTGGAAATCACCCTCCAGGATATCTCCAACTCTCGCGACGAGGCTGCCAACGCTCACAACGAGGCACAGGGCAAGATTGTATCGCTTCTTACGCAAGTGAGGAGCCTACGCACTTCGATTGATGATGTTGCAGCTGAGCGCGATAATTTGCTCAACGAGAAGAGGGGCCTCGAGGCTCGTCTCCAGCACGCCGCTGCTCGTTTGGAAGAACTCGCCCGTGGAGAGAGTCCCACTATGCGCCAAGCAGCCAGCGTGGACCGAGAGCTGCTCGATCTGAAGTCAGGCCTTGCGCAGCAAGAAGACATCGCCGCCGCCGCAGTTGGCAAGATGCGCCGCGCGGAGGCCCTCGCACAGGAACTTCAAAAAGACATCGTCACTGAGCGGGAAACAAGCGTCCAACTCCACAAAGACAAGGCAGCCTTGGAAAAGACCGCAAAGGAGCTCCAACTCCGCCTCATCGACCTCGAGACAAAAGCCTACTCGTCTTCCACAAGCCAAGATGTGCGCTTCCTAAACGGCCGGATTCAAGAGGTAAGTCAAGGCCACCTCCCCCTCTACCCATACATATGCTAACACGTTTCCTCCCAGCTCGAACAAGCCCTCGAATCTGCCGAATCAACTCGCACCGCCGAAGCCCGCTCCGTTCGCAACGTCGACCGCACAGTTCGCGACCTGCAGACCCAAATTGAGCGACGCGACAAGCAAAACACCGCCGTCGCCGACGACCTCGCGAAAGCTAGAGACAAGATCTCGAACCTCCTCAGCACAATCGACGACCTCCAATCCTCCGATTCTGCTGCGCAGCTCCAAGCCAAGCGCGCAGAGCGCGAGCTCCGCGAGGAACGCGAGAAGTGCCTCCGCATGGAGCGCGAGCTGGAGGGGTGGAAGGGGCTCCGGATGGAGCGCCGCAGCGCGCTTGGCGTGCCAGGCGCGGGGGGCAGCGAGGCGGGAGATGTACGGAGTCGGCGCGGTAGCTCGATTGGGCCGTTGGGCGAGTTCGGAATGCTAGGCGATAAGGAGAAGGCAGCGCAGGCTACGGGGAGTCTGCGGGGCTTGCGGAGAGTCAGTGGCCAGAAGGGTTTTTTGTAGATCACGTCGCCCTTGGTGGGATGAAGCGGGCTACGGTTGAGGATGTAGCCGAGGAAGATGAAGATGGGGAGGATTTGGTGGAGGGAGCTGAGGGCGGCAATATGGGGGAAGCGGGTGTTGGGGTTGGGGGCGTTGGAGTGAGGAGGAGGGTTGCTGTGACGATTAAGTCGAGGGCGTTTTTGTGATTGGGGTTCGTGGGGGGTGTGGGAGTTTGGGGAGGTGTGGGTTGCATATTCAGCGTGTACGGGTTTGGGTTTGGGTTAGGTTGGGCTTGTTATTGGAATTAATGTTCGTTCTATCAAATCGTGGAGAGCGCTCATGTGATTCGGGAGAACGTAACGTGACGCGGTGGTCTGAGGAGTATAAGATCTTCCGAGAGGGCTCGATGCAATGGGCATGGAGGAGCAGCATGCAGTTGAGCATGTTTCAAAAAAAAAAAGGAACCACGACGTATGATGTTGTGTTGTTGTGTCCAATAACGGCAACAAAAGCTTCATGATGTTGTTGTGGTGGTGGGAGGTCAAAAACCTAGCTCTTATATCCCCATGGTCTCTGTTCAACTTCGCAAGAGGAAAAGACCCATGGAGGTGTGGTTCTACCGTTGCATCAATGCTGCTCACTACCTTCTCAACCCGCTGCTGACTTCAATCCCTTTCTTTCCCAAATCGCAACCCTCGACTAAAAGTGCTGCCCAATATCAACCTTTCGAAAAGATCACCACTGCAATCCATACATTATAATGGCGAAGCCCATCATCAGCAACTAGCGAAGAGGGCGCCAACACTCGCGACACGCTCCGAACCACATCGTGTCCTCTCGGAAATGAAGTTTGATTCACCCAGCTTCCGAGGCCATCAGGTTCCAACCTATCCAATTTGAACGAAAAATCATGGCATCGTTCCTCGGATGGCTTGATCCCTCCTCCAGCCCATATCGCTCTCCTCCGTTTCAGATCTCGATCCACCCAGCTCCCAAGAACATGACATCCCAACCAATCCAATTTGATCGAGCATGAGAAATTGTGTTTCCACAGTTGACCTCTCCTCTAGTCCACATCACTTACTGGCGGTGGAGATGTTGATCCAGAGCCCTCCCCCTCGCAGCTTCCTGTGGAAGAAGATTCCTGAGCTGCGAGGTGGGTTTATATATCGCCAACGAGGTCGAGTCAGGTCACGTGCTGCACGTGCCACATGTGCTTCATCTGCGACGTCTCGAAAAAGAGGTACAACACTTCATCATAGAAATCCGTCCACTCGATCACTGATGCATGAGGAGCTTCATAGCAGTTTCAGCATTCTGTATGAGAGAGAAGTTCGGCATTTCGGACAACTAGTAACATCGCGAAGCTACCCCAGACAGCGTGAACAAGTATATCTACGGCAAGGCATTATCAGATTGCTACTTCTCACGCGACGCGGCTTCTTTCTCGACATCTCTCTCTTTACTCTCCGTCTGCGTGGTTTCGTTTCCTCCGCCGCGGTTCCACACTTTGAGTCTCCATCTCGGCGGCTTAGTTGTGTTACCTGTGAGACGTTGATTATCCGATGGGGCCGTCGTGGACGGCTGCTCGCGTGCAGGAGTTTTATCCTCCAATTCTTCATCATTCACATTCGTCGTCTGCATAAACTCCGGGCCCTTCCCACTTCCTGGTGGGAGTCGCTCATCCGAAGAACCCCTTCCGTCGTCTCTCTCCATTCTGGCGCCTTGGTGATGCCCCTGCCTCGGAGGCAAAAAAGGGACGACTCTGGGTTTCGGCGGTTTATCCAGCGGCGGCTCCCAAGGCTGCTTCTCCCAGTTCGCCAGCCAGAAGAAGCCCAGCATTACGTTCTTCACTCGCAGGGTTCGCCAGCGCTGCGGGATGAGGTTGTTTTTCAGCCAGTTGATGACGGCGCGCCATCCGTTCATGCCGCGCTCGCTCATGAAGCTGCCGATGAGGGTGTAGGAGGGGATGCAGATGAAGACGAGGGCGATGCCGAAGGATTTCATGGAGACGCTTGAGGGAAGGTTGGTCATGCCGAAGACGGACTGGGGGTGTTAGAATTGGGAGGGATGTAGCAGAAGGAGGCATCGGAAGGGATGTATCAGAAGGGAAGTATCGGATGGGAAATCTTGCGAAAGAGGTATTGGGAGGGAGGTATTGAGAAAGAGGGATTGAGCGAGAAGAATTTGAAGGGAGTGATTGAGAGGGAGGAATCGGAAGAGGGTATATCAGAAGGGAGGTAGGCGTAGTTTAATGAAGCGTGAAAAACTTACTGTCACGAAGGCTAAAGGCAGAAAAAATATGGATACCTGAGAAGTTTTAGTACTGCGAAGCTATTTGACATCAATGAAGAGGTAGGTACTCACAAGGGTGAGGATCTTGATGTTTTCACCTTGCGCGATGGCAATCTGGCTTTGCTTGAGAGACTGATCTGCCGATTTCGAGGAATTGCGGCTTTCAAGGACTGCAGAACCATTGAAGAGCTTTTAGTGAGCGAATTGTTAGCGGGATTCGCATTGCCATTGCCAGTAGACTTACGCCATCTCGCAAAGCGGCGATTTCTTTTTGTTTGGATTTGCAATCTTTGATCAGGCCGCGGAACTTCTTAATCAGATCGTCCATTCGGTTCGACACCTGCTCTATTCTGGCCGCGTAGTGTGTCGCTTTTTCCGACGAGGGTTGGGCCTCTTTCCGAAAGTCGAAAAGATCCGTGTGGGAGCAATAAATTTCCCATCGCTCGATAATCTCCTTCAGCGTGCTTTGAATCATCTCCAGGCTTTGGTATGCCCAGAAGTAGAGTTTCGATTTCGTGTATTTCTCGTCGTCAAACAAAAGCTTCTCAATGTAGTCCAGGTTGAACATAAAATCCCTCTGTAACGTGATTAGCGCAATCGATCATGTTTCAAGATGATTTTTCTGCTTACCGGAGGCGAGACTTTGTCGGATATTTTCTGGAATAAGCTCATCATATGATCAAAGACGTATTTGTGTTCTGCGGCTATGATCCAGATCCAGGCCTCGGATGCATTTGCGAGGCGCACGTCTGTTTCAAGACGATGCTCTCTCCACAGGCGCAAGTCTGGCACAGCAGGAACGACAAGGATGGACCATGGTCTGAAAGGCGCATACGGTGGAAGGCCTTTCGCTCGGTCGATCTCCTCGCTCAATTGCATCGCCGTCGTACCAAGCCCGATGTAAAAATCTGAGTACAGTTTGTCGTTGTAGAGTTCTTTCACTCTCAGCCTATGCCGCATCGGTAACCGAGCTCGGTCTTCGAAGCTTAGGACATAGAGAAATTTGATAGCATAGTGTCGGGCTCGGGATTTGGTTCCTCGGATCTGTAATGCGTTAATCTAGACCTACGGTGCTTTCGCGCGCCAGTTTGCGTACCATTTCGTCATAAGGTACGTCTGATCCCAGTCGTAATTCTCCGGCATATAAGTCGATGGTGGTAGTGACTGCGAAGTAGTATTCCAACGCTGTATGGAGTGCGACCAGCACTTTGGACGAGATTGTTTCGACGACGCTAAGTACGATGAGCTCATCTCTAGAGTGATGTTGGAGCGCCATACATGATGCGTCCAACTGTAGGAGATTTGGTTGTAGAGAGATGAGAAGAGTTCATGTGCAAGCCTCCCTTGAACGAAGGTGGCGCATCGCAGCCAGCACTCTATTGGCGTGGGTTTGATATCAGAACATGAAACTGCATCCTATCCAACGCGTGGAACTTACTCGTATCACATCCCAGAAGGCCCCGTTGGTGAGGGCATCTACGCATCGAATGCAGTAACCTTTCTGACCGAAATCTAGTATTTCTCCCACGAACGCGCATCTCTCTCTTAAAGCGCGTGAATCAGACGCCGGGTTTGCTTCTTCGAAGAAGTCGGTGTCGCTTGTTGTTGGGTCAAGCCCGTCCGTCAGAGTGAAGCCCTCTGGGTATACATCCTGAATGTATAGAATAACCTCGCGAAGGTAGGAGAGGTCGAATTCGACGTGCTCCAGCTTACCAGAGACAAGACATTGCTCGGCAGCGGTATCGGATGAGCCATCCTTGTCCGCAATGCTGTGGATTCTGGCGATGGGCGACTTATCGTCGTAGACGATTTGTCCCAGAAGGGAGAATGGCAGCTTTCTCGAATACGCCGGTGCTTGTTGTCCCCGCGGAGTCTCTGTAATTGGATTGTTGATCTGCTCTTGATACAGAGCCGCGCCAAGACCTGTCAGTGGGAAGCGTTCGGCCATAATGTACACCTTAGCATCGAATGCTAGATGTCTGCGCTGCTTGATGTCTTGTGCTTGCTCTGCGCCGCGAAGTAGAGAGGGACAGCCATTTCAGCTGAGGCGTCCTGGCGCCCAGGGTGCCTTGCTTATCGATACAATTCGGCTGCACTTGAATACCATCCTGGTATCTTTACGCGAGTTTCATGCGGTGGTGTATTTGGGGGCTGAAAAGTAGTTGGGGCCCTTGGGCGTATTTTAATCACAGCCGTCCTCAACATCAGCCTTCTCTCCGTTGAACAACACACAGGATATCACCTCGATCGGGCCTGGTATCAGTCAACCTTTGCCCTGTGCGTATAAATGTCAGGTGACTCGGCTTGTGGAATTTGGTGTCAAAGATGCAGGAAATAGATTCCCGCGAGGGGCCTCTGCCAGCTCCTAGCCTTGTCCGCCGCTTCGGCACCGTCCTGCCAGAGCCAGCTCTCCAAATCGACACGTTGGCTCCACGCAACAGCTCCGTCTTGCCTGATACAGCGCACGAGAGTCCCAATCACATCCCAAGGTCTGTGATCCCAATGAATCACTTTGCACTTTACTGACGGCGATGCACAGAGGTATCGTAGCTGAAAGTTACGCTCGCCTCAATGAAGCAGTGAGGCGGACGAAGTACATCAAAGCGAAAGACATCAGGAAAAGCGACCTCAGCGATGTCCTCGGTCGCTTGCACAGGCGTGAGGAGAGGGTTGACCGTAGAGATAGGGCCGATCGTCGACGAGTCAGTACATCTGATGTTGCCGGCGCACTCGAGGTTTGTAGCGTCACTATGGATCGACTTGCATTGGACGATGACCCGTCTCGTTCATTACTCTGGGCTGCGCTTGGGCATGTAATGGATGCTCTGCGGAATCGCTCGGCATTGTACGCTGAATTTCTAGAATTCTTAATATACGTCGGCAGAGTATTTGAGCGAGTGGTGGTTCATGTTCCTTCTGCTACACCTAATGCGATTAAGCATTTGGCAGGCGTGCAGCAGTGTTTTATAGACTCTGTGACCATTCTGGTCACGTTCGTCGAGTCTAAAGGTAAGGGTTGCATGCAGACATTCAAACCGTAGCTAACTCTTCCTGATCAGCAATAAAACTAGTCATAAACGCTTCCTTCGCCCAAGGTATCTCCAAGCAGCTTGACCAAAAGAAAGACGAAATGGATCGCCATGAGTATTTAGTTGCAAGAGAAGGGATGATGCAACTGCGCGACGACCTAAGACGAGTCGGAGGAGGGTCAGAGGCGAGAACTACAGCCATACGTGAAGAGATGCAAAGTCAAATTCTAGAGTTCTTGCAGGAGCATGGGCGAGGTCCGTACTTTACTCCTCGAGCGTGTATACTATTACTTACTCTCCCACGATACAGATCTTCGCGACTACACGCAATACATTACTGCTCCCCCGCTGATCGGGATGCTAGACTTGCACCAGGGATTTCTCGTCGAGGATGCATCGCACGTTAAAATAAACATCCTCGATGAACCAAAAGTGTCCCAGTGGATGGAATCAGAAACCTCGTCACTTCTCTGCCTCGAAGGGTTTTCCACGGGAGAATTTCTCAACTGGACCAGCGAATTCGCTCTTGACGTGGTCCATGCGGCTCAAGAGCGAGGATACGTCGTTCTTCATCACTTCTGCGACTTGCTGGACCCTATCCGGGCTAAATTATTAGAAGATGCCCGAGGAGCTATGGCAACAAGCACCATATTGAGATGCTTTCTGTGCTTAATTCGATCGCAATACATGGCGCACATCGATTCCAGCTATTCCGCTGAAATCACAGACCTCAATGACGCGGCTTTAGCTGCTCTTTCCGGCAAGGCGCTCAAAGACCGCTTCAGAAGTTTCATAGAAAGCTTCAAGCCTGGCATAATTCTCTACGTCGTTATCGACAGTGTCCAATTGCTTGACGAATATGCGAACGGAAACACCGACCGCATCAAGAAATGGTTGATGAGCATTACAAAGTTAGTCGAATACGACAAGATTATCGTGAAGGTTCTTTTCACATCGATAAAGTCAACCACTAGCTCTATCGACTTCTTCGAGCACTGGGAAAACAATGCCAACTCTAGCTCTTCTCCTGCTGCTGATAAGCAACTAACCCGCGATGATACTTTTCCGCACCAAGTCTTACGGATTGTGGACGACAAGAAGAGTGGCACGAACCAGGCTTCTGCCAGGCGGCAGGGGACACCGTCTAAACCGATTATACCTAAGCAGCCTTCATCCGTAGAATGATGAGGCGACGATGCAATTTCAACGAAGAAGACGGTTTTCAGGCAAGCTACTTGAGGTCTGCACATCCCTTTATGCCATCATTAATGCGGAGTCCCCTCGGATCAATAGGTACGACTACTACCCCACGGATGATCGTCCGGCTTACCCTTGTGGACACGTAAAAGTCTGCTGCCAAGATACAAGAACTGAATCAGAAGGGATATGATGGTCGGGATCTTCGGCACGACAATGATGTTAGCCAAGCCGGCCGAGAAATGCTTCGGCTACATTTGATAACGTACAGGAAGCTTGACTTCCACATGGTGTAGCGGGTGTGGCGTGATCTGAATGTTGAAAAGGTTTGAACTGATGACGGATACAGGTCGAAGCGGCTTGGAACCGCTTCAATTTCGTTTGTATCACGTACCAGCTTCGCTATATTACGAACATTGTCGTGTCGAGTAAGATCAAGCCGGAGCGAAAAGTCCCAGCCACATTCATGTACACAGCCGCCTTTTTTGTCTGAGCTTGTTGGCCCTAAGACCGCATACAGACAAGCCTTCGCATACGGATTTATCCATGACCTTGCATTTTCTTAGATTTATAGTGCAGTCTCAATGAAATGCGGCCAGCGGTGTCCCGCTATAGTAAAACAACATCTTTGTTGACACGTTTAGAGGGGGTTGGATGCGGCCGTCTCACGAACGGAAGTTTCGATTTCGTGTTTGCAGTCGGAGTAGTGATCCTCCGCACCAGGTGACCATAATTATGGCGGAAGCGCCGAGACTGTGCTCCCAACCGAACCGAGGGATTCGTTACGGGGTATAGTTAATGCTATTCGGGAAGGTGAACCCTCGGAGCCCGATTCCGGAGCCTGATACATATGCCTTCAGCCTTACTATGTACTGGCTAGCCTTTCCAAAGGAGGGGCTCTTAAGCGACCTCCAGATTCTACATCGCAGCTTCAGGCAGGGATTACTAAATTTGGCGGTGGGTGCTCAAAACAATTCACTGCCAAGGAAACCTAAATGAACACCAGGGGCATCAGCCACAGCTAGCTCGTGCCGCAATGCTCTACCTAAAAGTGCCAAGATATGTTGACCGGTTGCGACCCCTGGAACGAAGCACAGCCGCCGGTGCCAAACTGGGGCGGGTAGACGGCACGACGGATAGAGGTCGCAGCACGTGACCGGCGCCAAGCTCTGACTTCCGCCCTCTCGCTTCCACCCATCCCCTGGCTCCTCTGATCTTCCTTCGGATGGAAGCAACGAACTCACACTCGTCATCAGCCCTACGATACCACTTAGCCACAGCCAGCAGTAAGCATCCTCAGTAGCATCATCTCAGATTATCAAAATGGCGATGCCATCCGAGAGCGGCGGCCATACCCGTGTCAGCCGCAATCCCGAACAGGAGGCGGCACTTCCTCAAGCTATTGTCTTGGCTGTCCATCATGACACCGTTTGATTCGAACAAGATGCAATTAGCTGCTTGGCATACCGTACACCGGGCTCGAATCCCCCAAGTTCTGTTACCGCGCCCTTCAGCCCATCTTGGCACCTAGTCACCTTTGGATCACCATGTAATTGTGCAGAAACATCGAGGGGCGCGCCCAGAGCCCAGAACCCAGTGCTCAGCCCCATGGCTGTCAGTGCGTGTAGAATCCTTCGCCCAGACGAGCATGAGTATTAAATGAGGGCCGTGGTACGCCAATTCTCGAGTTTTGAACACAGTCACTTTTGTCATAACTTCGCGTTATGTTGTTTGATCTCTTCCTTCTCAGCGGGTTCGTTCTTACTGGCGGGTTTCTAGTCGCGGCTCAAGATGAACCTTGTGCGACTGTGAGTGCGCTGTCTGCGTCCTTTTTGGCCGATTATCCCCAAGCCACGGCGGCCTACGTGCCTGCAGAGGACGCGGTCGCGTGTTTGAAGTCTGTTCCTATCCAAAAGGATGAGGACAAAGCTCTTTTGAACGAGATTCTACTGTAAGTATGCCCTCGCTATGATACAGTGACAGGTCATAAGTCTGTGCACACGCATTTATCACTGTTTGTGGAAACCCCATGAAATTTCAAAAGCCTAGGCACTATGTCAAGTTTCAAGCAGTGTAAATCAGACTGCCTCTTGCCTAACTAGCTACTTACTGGCCGGGCTGCTCCTCACAGCGGTGTTGGGTGAGTAAGATTGGAGCCAAGCAGTGATAAATCCGTGTGCCCAGACTTATGGTCTAGTACTGTACAATCTGATCCAACATTGGTCCTCATTCTCACATTCTGAGGATAAGTACTGACTTTACACCATCTTAGGTACTTGAGCTGGCAATCAAATACTGCCTACATCGCCGACCCTCCCGCAGGCTACACCGAAGAACGCCTGGACATCATCGGCAACCTGAAAGCTATTTACAAGAAGTTAGACGGCGATGGGTATGACGACGAGTACACCTTTCAACTCGATCTTTCCACCACGATCACCGAGGCCTATGACTTCCATCTCTATTTTATCGCCGATATTCTAGGCATATTCATCTTCTCGAGGGGTAATCTCTTTGGAGGTGGTGACGAGTTGTCCCTAACTTCTCTATCTTCCGACGGAAAGGCTCTTCCCGAGCTGTACAACGTCTACGATATTATCAAGGAGCGTACCGACGATTTCAAGGCCTCCCCTATCACGGAAATCAACAACAAGACCGCGACCGAATACCTGAATGATTGGGCTAAAACATACACGTATCACGACAAAGATGCTCGCTATGAGCGGAACTTCTACAACCAGGCCGGTGCCTCGATTGGCCAACCCGTGGATTCTTTTGCCAGCGGCAGCTACCCAGATGGTGCTTCTACCTTCATCACTTTCGACAACGGCACCTCTGTAGAGTTCCCCAACTACGCCAAGATCAATGCGGATATGTCCAATGTTGCCAGCGGCGAGGAATTCTTTTCAGCTTTCTGCAACCAAGGACCACCCAGCCCGAGCTCCAAGGTTAAGCGTGAGCCTACACTCGTTTCCAGGGCTGACCCGACGGCTACTGGCTACCCCGACGCCGTTCTTTTGCACTCTGAGGGTGTAATTGGTGGATATTATCTTGGAGGCCAGGGCTACGACGACGTCGCTGTGCTTGGTATTCCCTCTTTCGGTCCTGAATCTGACAAGGGTGGACCGGAGTTCCAGGATGTGGTGTACCAGTTTTTCGCTGACGCTACCGCAAAGGGCAAGAAGAGGCTTGTGATCGATACCCGTGCTAACGGCGGAGGACGAGTCTTCCTGGGCTTTGATCTTTTCAAACAGCTGTTTCCTACTCTTGAGCCATGGGGTGCGACACGCTACCGTGCCAGCGAGGCTTTCGACGTCGTCGGCCAAGCCTTGAGCAAGCAACTAGAAGGATATACATACGAGCAGGCCATTGCAGACTTCAACGCTAAGGGCCTCGATAGCTTGCTTGCCGCTGCTTGGAGCAGTATTTTCAACTACAAGGTCCCGATGACCGTTGATGGCCAGAACTTCTCATCCTGGAAGGATATGTTCGGACCTAATGTGTTCAACAATGATAACTTTACGGATCTTCAGAGATACAACGTAAGTTCTCCCATTACTACAGTACTAGGCCACACGTCTAAACGCACCGAAATCATTGCTTGGAAGCTACTTTTGAGAGCTAGTTACCACTGTCAGGAGCAGCTCCGTTGCCAGGAAGCCGAGCTGCTCCTTACAGTGGTATTGGATGAGCAAGATTAGAGGCCCAGCAGTGATAAATCCGTGTGCCTAGACTTCTGACCTAGCACTATATTCTGTCGACTCATAGCTAATCAACGCAGTTCAACAACTTCTTCTCCGACGACCTCACATTGGATGTCAGCGGCTACCGCACTCGCGCCAATAAACTCGGTCCACAGCCTTTCCAACCCGAGAACATCGTCATTCTTCAAGACGGCGGCTGCGGCTCCACCTGCGCCATCTTCGCGGAGCTCATGAAGGCTCAAGGACACGTGCAGCAAGTCGTCATCGGTGGTCAGCCAAAGACCGGTCCCATGCAAGGTGTTGCCGGCTCAAAGGGCGCCCAAGTCCTGAACTTCCTCGAGGTCTTCAAACAGGCCTCCAGCGCCTATAAATTCCTCACCGACGACCAGGACAAGATCAACGGTACCGAGCTCGGCGCCCTCGTTCAAGCCCAGCGCCCCCTCATGCGTGCTGGCTACAGCGCGGACGGGAGCCCCTTCGCGGCAGTCAACCTCCGTGACAACATCCGCGAAGGCGACAACTCCAACACTCCGCTGGAATTCGTTTACGAGGCTGCCGACTGCAAGCTCTTCTACACCCCGGATCTGTTTGGCGATGTCACGGAAGTCTGGAAGGCGGCTGTCGACGCACGCTGGGCCAACGGCAAGGGCTGTGTAGAGGGCAGCACAGGTGACAAGAGCAGTATCAGCGGTGGCCTTACGCTACCTGCTGCAAACCCCAAGGGGCCGCAGACAGGCGTTGCTTCCCGCCGCGACAGCGCAATGGCGCTTGTGATTGCAATGGCTATGAGTGCGCTTGTATTTGTGCTTTAAGTGCATCCAAGGCCTGCGCATGTAGATGATCTGGCTTATGTTGTATAGCTCACGTATATTGAATAGACGTAACGACTCCCGTATGAACGTAGATGCTCTGACTGGCTTGTCTCCGTGTGATTTTGACTTCAAGCTTTAAACGAGGCCGATGAATCTTTCACGACTGAAGTGATGACACTGCGTTGCGTATGGGCTCGTGTGGCTTTCATACGGGATCAACCGGTGCGAGGTCAAGCATCTAGAGTATTTAGAATCGCTCAGTCAGAGCCCCGGGCCTTTTCATGGATGAAAGAGGTAATCCAGAATCCCCGCCGCTGATTGGTCGCCATGAATGACAGCACACATTCCAGAACCAACGTTATATTAAGCTTAATTGAACCCCATAACTCACTTCTCTATCCGTACTTCAAAGATCGGTAATCCAGATCACTTCGGCACGATCACAGCCAAAAAACACCATTTCATCCAGCTATGTCGTCGCAATACCGTTCTACTGTGCCCCATTCCCGCGAAACTCTAAACCCTAATCCAACATCTCAACTGCGCCGCTCGGAACCAATTGAGGCACAGCCTAGAACCATAACCCATCATCTCAACTCATTTAGAATTGATTCACAGGCGCACTCTTCACAACCGTAAAGCCGACACAAGATTCATACGTTTGCTTCGCGCTAGTGCCATACCACCACCATTGCAAGACCTATGAGGGTATCATTAGCCTACTTTCTCACCCAAATTATCATTCATTGAAACGATCCCCAGCACTCGCGCACCTATCCTCCAACCCCCCCGGAATCGTTACACTAAATTCCGTCTGAGCAACCGGCACATCCCCGCTCAACGGCCCCACTTCCCCCGCGACATAGTTCTGCACGTTCGCGGTGTTGTCGGCGGACTGGAGCCCTTTGCAGAGCCATAAGTTGCAGGTGGGGGTAGAGTGGTTGTAGGAAGGGGCGGGTGGGGAGGAGGCGTAGGCTTCTGGGAGCCCTTCGACGTGAGAGGTGTTGTCTGCGGTTATGAGATTGGAGACGCCGGTGCCGCAGGCGGAGATGAGGGAAGGGCCGACGGCGCGGGGTGGGGGGCTGGCAATGATGCCGTGGGCGGAGATGAGGAGTGGGAAGAGGGTTGTCACGGCTTGAACGGTGAAGCTTGCTGCACAGCGTAACACGTGATGTTAGGACCCGGCGAGAGGCCTTGTTGCAAGGGCCTATGCGAGCCTTGGCAGGAGTATACCTGCCGACCGCCGCCCTGCCTCCTTGTAGCTCCTTGAGCTACGTCTTGTTATTCAACCCGCCTGCCTGCCGTGCATTATAGAACACGTAGTGAATTCAGTTATTACTTCTACCTACCTGCCCGAGCTAGCTAGGGCAATCCTGCCGCCCGAGACCGTGACAAGGGTAAGGAGAGCAATTAAGAGGAGAGGGTGCATGTCAGGTTGCGTTGAGGTGTGAATGAGCGGAGAGTGAGACTGAGGTGCGAGATATAAGGACTTGTGTATGAGCGAGCGAGTCGAAGCTAAAGTGAAAAGCTGATATACAAGAGATAGACAAGATTAAAACACAGCAGCGACTGACTACCTACATCGACCTTCCATCCTTCTAATTACACGTATCACCATCCCGCCAGACCCGCCTCTAGATCTTGCTATGGGTATCGGCAAGCGTCTGATTCGTGGGACCCGTGGTTGCTGGACCAATTGTGTCTGGATTACTTTAGCAATTTTAGTGACACCGCATACTTCGATATGGAACCCCCCTGCTTCTCCACATGCGGGATAACGGAGCGGATCTGGGCCCTTGCGGATTTATCAGACGTGAGGGGGTGGACGTCGATGTCTGGCGTATGAGAAGTGAAAGATAGGGGTCTAGAAGAGCGGTGTGATATATTCAGTTGCTTCTCATGTGTCTCTGATTGCTTCTCATGTTAGCCTAATGTGAATATCGGTCGCAATTTCTTCAGGTCTCGCATCTGTGGATTGACTGGGTCAATGCAGCGAGGAAGACATCAACTCTGTCAGCATCAAGATCATGCTACCCTCATCGCCTGAAAGCATTTGTATTAGTGCCTAGAAAATGTCAAAACCAAAGGAACATTCAAACGAGACAGCTCGCCAAAAGTAAAGAATTTCCCGAACCACCTATTCTCTTCCACTCATTCGCGCTCTCAAAGAGTTCGACCCAACCGAAAGCTCCTCCCTCTCATTAATATAGCAGTCTTCCAACTAAATCACCAATAGTCACCATTATACGCAAGCAAATTCGGCGTCCCAGCTCCTGGATCTTTGACCAAATCCTTCGTTGCAAGACCATGAAGAACATCGATAGCCTGAGTTGCGGAGATAGAATTATAAGCAATCAAATAAGCTATCAAGCCCGCAACATGCGGCGTAGCTACCCCAAGTCAGTACAGCTCCTAACAGTAAGTGTCGCAAAGCAAAATGGAACTCACACATGCTCGTCCCTGAAATCGTCTCAACACATCCAGGACAGCCAGTCCAGGAGCTCGTGACATTCACGCCTGGCGCAAAAAGATCCACGATCGGTCCGAAGTTCGAGAAGTCGGCCCGCGTGTCTGTACAGTCGGTCGCCGCTACGGTAACGGCGCTAGGCTCGGAGGCAGGCGACCAGTAGATAGAGTCGTCGTTTGAATTGCCTGCTGCGACGACGACAGCCATTCCAGCAGATGTGGCGACGCGCACAGCTTGATTGACGACCTCGCTGCGGGAGCCGCCGAGAGACATGTTGATGACGGAGGAGTTGGTTATGCCGAGGGACATCGCGTTGGTGACGACTGTGTGGTTGGGTTAGCGGTGGGAAGATGCGAGAATGAGAGCGCTCCGTGTGGTGGAATGGTACGGTAGGGATGCTTTGCCGGGGTGTAGAAGTGAGCTCACCCCATTCGATGCCACTGATGATATATTCCCAGCTCCCACTGCCGTAAGAGTTGAGGACCTTGACAGCAACTAGAGTGATGTTCTTGGATACTCCGTATGTACCGCCGCCTATAGTTCCCGCGACATGTGTTCCATGGCCATAGTCATCGTGGTCCTAGAAAGAAGAATTAGCGACTCATAGCGAAGGCTTTTTGGATGCTCACGGGCGCTCCAGGAACAAAATTGGCCCCCCAGATGGCTCGGCCACCAAACTCCTATCACCTTGTCAGCAACATTTTGACGCTGGGTTTCAAGAATCTTACATTATGTTCGAGGTAAATTCCAGTGTCAATGATGTATGCGCGAGTGCCAGTGCCAGCAGAATAGTCGTATATGTAGTCGTCGTTGCCACATCCCTGGGATAGGGTATGTGAGATTCGGGAGAGTCCCCATACCGCACCGGGCTGATAGACGAGCTCATTGGACTTCTCTATGCCATTAACTTTCATGGTGCCTTCTTGTTCAATGTACGCGACCTATGCGCCGAAGATCAGAAACTTAACGAAGATGTTGATGTGGCTTTCAACCACTCACCTCAGACGACGACTGTATCTTGGCCAGACCTGCTTCATCGGTCTCAATCTTGAATCCCTTCAATCCAGGCATGCTCCACTTCGTGCCGATACCCTTAAGGCCGTCATTTCGCTTGGCATGCATAGTGCTAAGTTCAGATTCCAGGGCTGAGACAGCTGCGAAGTCAACCTTATCATTGTAAACGACGATATAGCTGTTTGGGATCGCATCTTTCATATTCGAGTTGATTACGTTGGCACCGAATACCACAGCAGTGAGTGCAAGGGGCAGGACGACCGCCGTCGTAGAAACGAAAGAAACCCGCATATCGGCAAGAGGAGTGGATCAAACGAATGTGAATGTTAGGAAGTGAAACTATGCACTTCACTGTGAATGAAGGAACTCCCTGAACTTATTTGAGTCTTTGAATCCGTAACCTGGATGGCGTATGCATCGAAGATGGCGGTCAAGCTGCTCACGACAGCGTAAGTGCCCATGATAGGTTCGATAGTGGTCGAGCAAAGACAGCGGGGCTGTGAGAGAGAATAAAGACACCTGTGCCGTCCCTCGCCCAGTGCTTCGGGTTGTTTGTTGGAAGCCGACGAATTGGAGCTCGAAGATGCCTCGATTGCAATAGCGCGTGTGCCTTCATGCACATAGTAAAATCCCACCGTGCCACCGTGCCAAGCTAGATGATCAAAAATGCAGGCAAAGAGGTAGAAATTTGTCTGTTCTTGGGTAGATTTCTGTGGACGATGTTCCCTAGTCTGTCCGCAATGCCGAGACTGGAAGACAATCCTAGTATAGTTCGTTTCGCAACATGAAGGTAGTCACAGCAGCCCATTCTTAGTGGGCTTAGAAGCATATTATAGCTTATGGTATGAATTCGTGGTTTTAGGAACTCTCCTATAGCTTTACGTTCGGGAGTAGATTGAAGGACTCTAAGCATTAGCATAGAGAGGTACTCGGACTTGGTTTATCAGGTCTTATTTTGGTTGGCAAATCTTTCGTTGCACTTGTACGTTAAACATTGAATAGCCCCTGGCCTTTGCATGGGTGGTACTGAGAAAATGACCTTGGGGTGCAAGCTCCAAGACGGGCGGTGGCATTGGTTGAGCGACCAGCAAGCTCTCCTGACCACAACAGGCACATTGCTTGACTTGGCAAATCGGTCTCTCTCCATCCAACTCAAGTCCAAAACCTTACCACGAAACAGCAGCCCCACAACTGACGTTCTTTTGTTACCTATTTCGGACCTGACGCGAGCAAAGGATAGCGCTCTATAACCACCCCACTTAATAGCTTCCACATTCTGCCGGAGTGGGTCCAGCTCGTGCTCAAATGCCTGCACTCGGTGTTTGAAACATCAGACGGGTAACTTGCAGGGGGCGTACTTGTGTATCGTAACGACTGAGTAGGGGTCGGATCTTGGCAGGGCGCGCATAGCCACACGGCATTCACTTGTACAGGCTTTGCGCCCTTCCCCACGACTCGTAATAGTGGAGGCCAGTCTTGGGAAATAGACGGCTTTGAGGTTTTTGAGAATGATCTCCGCTTCCCTCGCTTAGCCTGGATGTGTAGGATCACTTCCTAATTTACACCCAATTTCGAGAAGCAAAAGGTATATACTGTTTATGTCAGTATAAGCAATGAAGTCAAATGTGAGCAGTGTCGTACCTCGCTTTATTGTTTTGAGTCTCGCTGATTTCCTAGATCTTTACGTGATCCATCGGTCGCTACCACTTCTAGTAATATGCATTTCCACCTCTTTCGTCCCGAGGTCCTTGTTTTCTTCATAGTTCTCCCACGAACGTTCTCCAAAACCCTGATGTCCTATCCTGCCTCTTCCAGCGACCCTGCAAGCAACCTAGGCTACCTCAATCTCGAGAAGACTAAGGGCGAACGCCCAAAAGCCAACTCCGCCGACCTCTACATCAAGACCGCCACAGACCCGTCTGGGGTCCCCGCAGCGCACTTCCATCGCAAGAAGGGGTACCGGCGTGCGGAGTACCACTCGCTGTTCTACGCGACTGAGTACGATACCACGTACTATATTGGGTACCAGGTGATGATTCGCAAGATACGGCATAATCTCGTCATTTTCCAATGGTACGTCGTCATCCCTCGTACCTCAATCTCGTAGTCCATGGACGTGGCAGTGGAAAATCGAACTGACTTCCCTCTAGGAAAGAGCTCGTAGAGCAGTCCACCCAGCTCATTCCACTGAATCTCGAGTTCTCCTCCGAGCACAACGAGCGTATCCTGACGTTCAATCATGAAGCGCCGAACAGCCATACGCGGACTACTTTCTGGAACCGCACTCTCGAGGATGGCGTTAAGTACTCGATTGGAATGGCCATCCACACCGGCACGCCAGGCGGCGAGGATGGTTGGGCGCAGCTGTATTGGGATGGTAAGCCTCAGAAGATGCTGGATGGAACTCATTTCATCAACGGCACGATGGTGAGTAGCCAGGCTGATCCGAAATTTGGTGCTTATCGGGCGGAAGAGTTTGAGATGGATACGTATGTGTATTCTGTCAAGATTGGGACGATGTCTGGGGACGTGAAGGACGTGGCCGGGTGGTAGCCACAGAATAGTAGCCTAGTCGTCCTTTTTGTCAACAAGATTAACAGATCGAACCGTGTAGAGCTCGATTTGATAGACATCGGGTGGCTGTGAATACGCGGCGTGCCCCGCGTGGTGCCTACTCAACGTGAAGACTTGTCTTGCAGTTATGTTAACAAAAGTAACGAATCGAATCGCACAATTCTCAAAATCATAGATGCCGCGTGAACATAACCGCCTCGCGTACCTACGGATTGTGCCAAGGCTCACGGGACAGAGCATGTCTGAGATTCGGGAGCAACGGCTGACTATTTCGTCTCTAGTCGTGCCTCCATTAATGTAACACCTAGACAGAAACAGGTTAGTCGGAGCTATATGCAGTGCGAGCTTGCCAGCCAACCACACGTATGGTATCGCAGCACGTTTCACGACACCAGGCCCATCCTTGGACAACACTTTGAATTCGCTCTAAACTGCTTCTGTAAACAATCCGAGCAATGCCTTTTATCAGCCGTTGCGCAAATAGCTACCTATATGGGAGCTAGTGGCACGCACTATGCCCCGCGGTGGCATTCCGCGGTGGCGATTAGCACAAGAAGACCTCGATAGATTGCCATGCTGAGCGGGGTTCTTAAGCGATAAAGAGATTGAAATAGCAATCCGATGAATTGAGAGGCGGTCTGTAATTCATGATGGCTGTCTCCAAAACTCAGTGCGACTTCTTCAAAGAACATGGATATCTCATATTGCACGATGTGCTCTCGAAAGTGGAAGTCAGCGACCTTCAAAGCTGGGCACAAGAGGTGCACGACTGGCCCAGGGAACAGGATTCGCCTTGGATGCCATACGAGGCATGCATGGTCCTTTGAGGTGGATCTCAGTCCGTCCGCTAAATATAGATAGGAAGTAAATGCTCGAGGGAAACGAGTCCTGTGTAGGACTGAGAACTACGCCAATTATCATCAAGGTTTCAACTCGCTGCTTCGTGGACGCAAGCTGCTTGATATCCTGGATCAATTGGCGGGAGAAGAGATGCTACTGTTCAAGGAGAAGATCAATTACAAGCTGGCGGGCAGCGGCGGATTCTCTCCGCATCTCGACTCGACAGCGTACACGCATATCAAAGACATCAAGCACTTGACTATCCTTTTGGCGGTTGATCCGTCGAACCCGACGAACGGTGGTCTTGATGTTGTGGACGGAAGCCATGAGATGAATGTCCCGATCGCTAAAAGCGACAATTGCATCGAGCCGGCGTGGGTTGAGAGACAGACCTGGACGCCCGTAAAGTTGGAAGCTGGTGAGTAATCGAGTAGGCCATGGAGGTGGCACGTTAATAAGTTCGAAGGTGAGCTCCTCGTCTTTGGATCATATCTGGCGCACAGGAGCGGCGCCAATACGAGTGCCAATGATCGCAAGGCAATCTATGCCACGTATAATTGCAAGAAAGAAGGAGATCTCCACGATCCGTATTACGAAGACCGCCGGAAACTTTGGCCTCCCACGCATTTGAGACAGGAGGGTGAGCAGTACTCAGAAGGCTCACTGAGATATGGATTTGGTTCTCCGATGCTCTCCATAGGGCTGGGGAAGCAATTCGTTGTATGAACCAGATGAAATCATGTACTGTAGTGCCTGGCACATACACCTTTCTTAGCAGATGCTGAAATGTCGGAATTATGCCGCTTTCCCGTCATAAATATACCTGCACTGTGAGAAGTCAATGGTTAACCCCGAACTCCAACAATCACCTCAATTTGCCACCCCAACATCAGCCCTCCCATGAAACTCACAATGTCTACAGGTTCTTCTTTTTCTTCTCCGACCCCACCAGCCTCCCCACCCAAGATGACACCCTCATCCACCGCCACCCACATCCTCACCCTCCTCACCGAACACGGCGAAGCCGACTACATCGGCGAGCCCATCACCCAACTCGCCCATTCCCTCCAATGCGCACACTTCGCTGCCCTCCAATCCCCTCACGACGACGAATACATCGCCGCCGCCCTCCTCCACGACATCGGCCAATTTCTGCCTGCCTCTACTCTCGCCTCTCTCACGACATCTATTCAATCAATGGACGGGAACGTCGGCCGTATAGGCCACGAAGCTCTAGGCGCCTCATACCTCCGCTCGCTGTCTTTCCCGCCCAAAGTAGTCGCGCTAGTCGAGGCGCATGTGCCCGCCAAGCGGTTCCTATGTGCGGTGGAGAAGGAGTATTATAACGCCCTGAGCTCAGCGAGTAAAGCGAGTTTAAGGTTTCAGGGCGGCCCGATGAGCGAGGAGGAGGTGAGGGCGTGGAAGGAGGGGGAGTGGTGGGAGGAAATGTGTCGGTTGAGGAAGTGCGACGATGCGGCGAAGGAGGTGGATCTGGAGGTGGCAGGGGTGGAGGCGTATCGTGAGGTTATTGAGCGGTGTTTAGAGGTCGGGAGGACGTGATGGAGGCGCAATTGGGTTTGTGGTGATGGAAATTTGCATTTTTGGGGTTTGGAGGGAATATCGGGGTGCTTAATGGGTCTACCGAGGGGTGCATTCAAAAAGGGTGTATTGGGTAGCTTTACGACAACCACCTCGACTCCGTCACCACTCTTTGACACTAACTGCATGTTATCCATGCAAAACTAGGCTATCATTCTCCACACAGTGATTTAGTGCCGCTTGAAGTGCGTCAAATGATTCTCGGCAACGTAAGGGAGGTTCGATCTATCACCGTATCTGTAACTACTCAAACTAGGGATTTCCTAATACATACATTGAAGCACCACAAGCAGTGTCAGAAAGGTTCAAGGACCCTTATTTCCTTATACTATACATACGGCCGTACACCTGGCAACGAAATCCGAGATCCGACCTTCGAAGCTCAAGCTATCCACCTGCCTATTAGGGGCATGAGCTGTCCCGCAGCTTACGGCCAAGCTGACTGTCAGCAACTATTATCTACTCAACTTTGCTACCTATCTTCATACTCTTCATATTCTTCGGTCTTTCCTTTGTCTCCAATTCAATCTATTGGCTTCCTATCCAATCTTCCAACACGAATCCTGTTTCCTCCTGTCATCCATCATGACGCGCCGAAAGCCGGAACCAGTAGTGATGCCAATAGGAAAACCACCAGCAGCTATCATGCCATTATTAGAGACCGACATGAGCCAATTGGCCATTAGACAAGCTACCAATAACTACCAAACCTACTACAAACCCTACGACTCCTCAACTTCCCCCACAACCCCAACCCTATCAGACCCTCTCCAACACGATCCAACCCTCACCCTCATCACCACCGACCTCCTCATCCCTGGCCGCGGCCCCCCCACCAAAGCCACCGCCGTCGTCCTCTCCTCCAAGACCAACAAAATCCTCTTCGTCGGCCCTATCCCCTCCCTCCCCCCAAAATACACCCACCTCCCCCACACCCACACCCACGTCCCCATCCTCCTCCCCGGCCTCTGGGACTGCCACTGCCACTTCCACGGTGCCACCACCCTCAATCTCACCCCTATCGCCACCACCCACCCGGCGACCGCCGGCGCGCGCCTCGCCCGCTCCGCCGCCGACACGCTCGCGGCCGGCTTCACCTCCGTGCGCGAACTCGGCGGGTACGCACCCGAAATCGCGTCCGCAATTGAGGACGGGATTATCCCCGGCCCAACCATCTACAGCGCCGGCGCGGCGCTGAGCCAGACGGCCGGCCATGGCGACCTGTTCGACCTGCCCGTGGGGTGGGTGTGGCAGTGCCAGGGGGTCGGCGCGGGGATCTCGCCGCTGTGCATCGCGGACGGGGTGGAGGAGTGCCGCAAGGCCGTGCGACTGCAGATACGGCGCGGGGCGAAGGTTATTAAGGTGCTGGCGAGCGGGGGCGTGTTGAGCATTGCTGATAATCCGCTGTACCAGCAGTTTTCGGATGAGGAGTTGCGGGTGGTTGTGGAGGAGGCGGGGCGGGCGCATCGGGTGGTGGCGGCGCATGTGCATGGGAAGGAGGGGGTGATGGCGGCGTTGAGGGCGGGGGTGAGGACGGTGGAGCATGGGACGTGGCTTGATGAGGAGGCTATGGAGGTGATGAAGGAGAAGGGTGTTATTTTGGTGGCGACGCGGACGATTGTGAAGGAGGCAATGAAGAATAAGGACTTGATGAGTCCGGAGTCGGCGAAGAAAATGATGGAGGTGATTGAGCAGAGTGATCGGATGTATGCGGCTGCTATCAAGGCGGGGGTAAAAATTGCGCTAGGAACAGATCTTGGGATTAGCACGCCGGGTCAGGGGTTGAGTCATGGGAATAATGGGGGTGAGTTTGCGTATGCGGTTGAGTCTGGCATGACGCCGTTGGAGGCGATTGAGGCGGGGACTGCGAATGCGCCGGAGACTTTGGGGGAGCAGGCGCCATTGAGTGGGCAGATTCGGGAGGGGTATGATGCGGATGTCATTGCTGTGGTTGGAAATCCGCTAGAGGATATCAAGGTTCTTGGGAGTGCGAAGAATATCAGCCATGTGTGGAAGAGGGGGGAGTTGGTTAAAAGTCCTTCGTAGCAAGTTTGGTTGATGGATTAGTATTTCCTCGTCAATTGGCCACTTTTGAAAAGAGGGAGATCTTCTCATGTAGTGCGAGATTGAGGATGCGTCTGACTTAGATTGAAATCCTTTAGAGACAGAGACACCGAAAGCAGACCTGTAGACCAACCTCATCGTCCACTGTTCACGCTCCTTCACGTCGCGCCAGCATACATCTGCCCCACCGACGGATCCGCACTCGACTCCTCCGCTACATGGCTCCCTAAAGTCGGATCAAGCTCCTCAAACCGCATCAGATCCATCGGCTTCTCCAGCAACGGCATGACGAAAGGATCGAAAGTCTTCCAGTATGGGTTCTGCTAATCATCAGCCCTCATCCTCGTCCCCTCAATCAATTCCAATCAAGCATTTCGCTCACCTCGAGATGATATTTTTGGCTCTGCTGTTCGTTAGCGTAAGTGTGGTAAAGAGAGTGGTGTGATACTCACACTCTCCCGCTCATACCGCTCCACGATCGTAAATTTGCGTGGATCAGAGATATCTTGCATAACATGCCAACCGACTGTCTCGCGGTCTCTGCTGTAGACTTGGCTTGCTTCGGTGAGTTTGAATTGGAGTTTTGAGATGGCGGTGGGGTCGTCTTTGGCGTAGAGGTGGACGACGATTGTGTAGACCATGTTGGGCAACGATAGTGGAAGGTTAGCAGTGTTCAAAGTGGTAATTGGATTGACGGTGATGTTGTAGGAAAAGTCATTTGATGAGGAAGACGACGAGTGCGTCGTTTTGCTGTGACGACATGGCTTGAGCTTTCGAGAGGAGGCCGTGCTTTCCCCGCATTCTTCTTTTCACCACGTTGATCTCCCGCCGCGTGAATGGAAGAATCGCTCCAATGGGATCTTTTTTACCAGTAATGCCTCGGAGAAGGAAGCTTGTAAGAGAAGTCTGTGGTTTACAGCCTTAGGAAGCAATTACACCGTCACGTGCATCTCCACATTTTCTCTTACGGCAAGCACGAATTTCATCTCCATTTTGCCCATAGAATATATCAAAGTCATATGCAGAACTATGGATTGCTTGCTATGCAAGATATATCCATTTTCCCGTTGGTTTCTGCGTTTCCCAAGCCAACTCACTGAAGGGACTAGTTGGGAGATTGACTCGGTAAGCCAAGTTACCTATTCGTTCAATCAACATAGTTTCAAGGGACAACGTGCCATGGACCGTCTTCGTCTGGATGAGGATGAACTCGAGGCTTTCAGGTTGCCTTGCGCGCCAGTTTTTATTCAGATAGATTGAGCTGGCCTCTGGGTACATTGTATTCGATCCTTCGAGAACCTCACCTGGCAAAGTCTCCTCGGCCGTGTCATGACTTTTAGCAGGCTCGGAGTCTGGACTGCCAAGGATAGTGTAGAGCCCAAATCTATTACCGTCGTTGCTGCTGTCCAAGTCACAGGTCCTGGCGACAGGGAAATGAGCAGATGTTGTGTAGAACACCAAGAGCTGCGACCGAAGGGGCCAATGGATAGAGAATAAATAATCTTTACTGGGCCCACCTTTGGGTATCGAGCACCTTTGGGTATCGAGCATGACACCAGTGGGTCTACCCAAGAGTCTATGACGGTCAATTCACCGCGCCGTATGGCCATGAAACATTGTATTTCACGAAACAGGTTCTCATGGTACGAGCAGTTTCGACTTCCAACGAGACCAGACCGAACTTCTGCACCATCTAGCCAGGAACCAGACAGAGGTTCTCGATGTTTCCATCCAGCCCAGGACCAGCTAGGAAAGCCTTCACGGCGTTCTGGGGGAGTTCTGTCCTCAGTCTGCCATAGGAGACCGAGATCCAGCGTTGCTTCCGGAAGCCCTTGGAAGGATTTCCCTACAGAGTGGATATTTTCCAGGGCTCCCGAAATAGCATTGAGGATATAGTTGTCATTAGAAAGGTCGCTTGTGATGTAGGTATTCACCAATTCGGTGTAATGCTTGAAACCATCCGTCGTACCACTGAAGTGCGACAAGAGTCCAAGTCGCTCTCGAAGTTCGATTTCGCCGTTCCAAGAGAGTAATTCCTGAGGCATCGAGTCTTCTCTCCACATAGTAGTTCTGCAACAGTATACAGCTTCTCCGCCGACAAAGAAGAGGAGTCTGTGACTCAGCACATACTCTTGAAGCGTCCAGCCCCTTGAATACCAAGGAGAGTTTTCAATGAGGGGAACGATGTCATGGCGTGTGCTAATGAGCTCCGTCCCATTTATGGAGCTAATGTGCTGCTCGAACGATCTTGAGTTTGGACGAACGCCTGGCAGTCCAGCATCAGCACTCGAACCCGACGCGGCAACGATAGTCAAAACCGCCTGACTATATATGTTAGCCATGTTGCTGATTTGAAAATGCCTGTCGGATTCATCGTCCTGGACGATGCACAGGGTGTCTACCCATAAGTAGCGTTCTCCTAGGTTCTTGCAAAGAATCATGGCATCTTTGATGGTCCTTGGGATCGAGTCGGAGAGCTCGTTAAGGCCGTTTTCGGTGGAGAGGCTCGTGAAGTTCTCAGATGTCAGCTGAAGCTGTGTTGCGCCACCCCAAACATAGCTCAATGCTAAATATCGCACCGACGAGGCGATTCTAACGATACATGCGTCGTCGATGTTGATAAGTCGTATGTTAGGGCACTCTTTAATGACTGTGGTTGTGCGGACTCGGCATGAAGGGTGGCATCTTTCACAATTGGAGAGCCAGCCAGAAACAAGCTTCGTGTCTACTTGTTCCGTCTTTACTTCTTGACCGCGGAACAGATTGCCGAAAGGCTCGCGGTATAAGTATCGAGATTCTTTGAGTTGAATGCAATGGACATATGCAAGCTCCTTTTCCTTTCGAAGTTCCGGATCATGGCCAATCCAGTACGTGGAGTCGTTGTCACTAAGCCCCACGATCCAAAGACGACGACCATGTTTTTCAACAATTGATGAAGACGATTCGTTCCAGATGCGATGGACAGCAAACGCTTCGGTATAACCCTGTATGATGGTGTCCTCGGTCGTTATCGCTTGAGTGTTTAGTCTCAGCACCCTGCTTATGAGGCAGCAGAATGGGCAAGGGATATTTGCCTCTACGGTCCGCAAATCACGGCTAAACACGAGCTTAGCGTTTCGTCGTTGGGAAAGTTGGCGAAGGTTTGGTGCGGATTTGGTTGTGTGCTGGAAGAGAGACTGAAAGTCCAAGCTCTCGCAGTACGAACAGAGCTGGTTCGATCCGGGAAGAAGAGCGGCGGCATGATACATGACGCTCTTTGATGGTATGTCGAGTCTTCGGTACCTACTCCGAATAAAGGCTCAACCTGTGCTGAAGGTTTTACATGCCAACGATGTGAATCGTCGATAATTGCACGTGCATCAATGATGGCTGCTTGGCTAGCGAGGCTATTTTCCCCTCTTCCCTCTCTGGAATCGGCTAGAGTTGCTTCTATTGGACATCCAGAGCACCAGTATTAGGAGCGCTTTCGCATAGGTTGGATTCATGCTCAAAATTCACATTCTCAACCATCCGGCCGAAAACCCGTGTAAAGAACTTATTAGAGCTATTCCAACACATCTAACATTTAATCTTTCCACAGATTAATCATCAATGTTTGCTTTTTGATATCGAGGTTAGTTCCCTCTTCCCCCTAAGCGCATAGAAGTTCCCAACACTACGTTTAGTTCTGGCTTTGAGCAGGCTCCGGGTCTGGACGACCAAGGATAGTGTAGAGCTCAATCTTTTACTGCCGCTGTTGGTGTCCAATTCATAGGTCCTGGTGACAAGGAAATGAGCAGACGTCGTCCAGGATGCCAAAAGCTAAGGCTGTGCTTTCCAAACGAGTTGTCAATCGGCGCATGCCGGCGCGATTACTGCTTATTGCGGATCTGGAGTATTAAGAGCAGCCTGTTCAGACCTCACCATCTCCCCTGACCATCGTAGTTCTCCGTCGGAAGCCTCTCCACAAATGGTTATCCGACATCATAGTAGACTGCTTCCGTCCGACAGAAGGTTCCGTCATCTTTGTCGACAGCCTCCTCTTAGCAGACATGCCAGTCGAAGCTGAGCGCTGTCGGTCCTTCGCTACTTCGCGCCTGATAAAGAATTCGCGAATAGTCTCGCCTTTCAAGACGACAAGCGCCGCAAGCCCGATAACAATTGTCGTGACTGGCAGCGCGATGAGCCAGAAGAGCCACTGGCCTTGAGACAAGTTTCGAATGTCTGAGGTGTTCATACCAAGGTATGAGGTAGCCCATGAGAGCGGCAAGAAGATAATTGTCACAATGGTGAAGACAATGATGGCGTTGCCGTTGTTTTCTTGTTGTATTTCGAGCATGCGCGACACGTGGTTACTCACGTCTTCCAGCCGGGAGTCGAGGTCACAAACCCGTAGGCGGACGGAATGGGCTCTTCGAAGCTGGGTATCAATGAAAGGGGCCTCCGCTCTGAAGCGTGCAGCGCGGATGAAGGTCGTTGCTCGAAAGGTACAGGGTTCGAGGATGCGGAGGTAGTTTCTCAGGAGTTCCTGCTGCTGGAGATTGATGCTGGCAACTAGGCCGAGCTCTTCGCGCATGCGCCAGATTTTGCGAAGCACCCGTGTTCGGGGGTGTTTCATGGCATCGAGGTGCTATTTATGGCAATTAGTAGAGATATAAGTCAGCAGAGATTTGGTTGCCTACTAGTCTCCGATAGAACCCTGCGTAGACGAGGTCAATCGGTTCATCTTTATGGAGAGGCCGATTGTATAAGCTCGTCATGATGGTGGCCAGGATGTATTCTGGGCCAACACTATCGTAACTGACACTCTCTGTATCAATATCGGTATACGCCATGAGCATGACATCTTGTTCGGCTTTATTCATGAATTCCTTGACGTCATTCCCAATGTTCAATAAATCCTTGCCGGTAGTGTCGAGCAAGTCTTGGTCTTTCTTGATCTTGGATGCGGCATCCACGAAATGCTGGTTCATCGGATCAGAGCAACGATTGATGATAGGGAACGACTTTGCTGCACAAACTAGTAAAAGAATCGCATTCTCAAATGCGTTTACGAGTGACTTTGGAAGCATAAATCGCGAAGGCATTGAGCTATTGTCGCTTGCAACGCCATCCCAGATGCCTCTACCCTTACTGTGGACTTCTCGAAGAGGATCTATGATGAGGCCCAAGTAGTGGGCGTAAAGCTCTAGTCGATGATCGGCATGATACTGGTTATCGTGACGCAGCCAAAGTGCAAGCGTCTCGTCATTAGGAATGCCGTCGTTATTCTTCGGAACGCCATAGTAGTGTAACTGGACGTGCTGCATGGCCTCACGAAGAGTTTGATACTGGGTCCAGTTTCGGCAGACTTCGCATTCTTTCCAGGTAACTGTTGGCTTTTCCCGATCCGATAACATGTCAAGAGCTGAGGGATCTCTGACGACCCACCACTCGGGATCTTGATACTTCAGCGCTTGTGGCTCATTCTGTACGCCCGATGTAGTAGCCTAAAGGTAGCCATCAGCGAGACACAGATTGTATCAGCAAAGCACGCTTACAGCCATGATCATTGCAACTGCTCCCCAGCACTTCTGCACTAGAGCATGGTCTGATGCAGACGGCGAAGACAACGGAACGTAGAGTGACAAGAGACCATTCAATACAGTATAGAGGTGCCTCAGCTTAGTGTTACAAGCCTTCAGCAGACTGGCGCGAACGCGATCGTTGTGTGCACCACTCCCAACCAGGAGCGGGTGCTGCTTATCAAGTTCTTCATCCTTAGGGACCGAGAGGGGGGCTTGAGGGGTTTGAACACTTCCACCTGATTTTAAGGCGGGGAACTCAACTTCTAGTTCAATCTGCGCTATTTCTCTGGACCTTCGATACGTCTGCCCATGCCTTGAAGGCCTCACTGTTTGTAGTGTCTTATGAACCGTTCCCAATATCTTCACTACGGATTCAATCGATGGCTCTGATAAGGTTTCCTGCACTGTGGGCTCCGGGCTTGTGGCCCAACTGAGAAAATGGGGAATGTTTATGCGTGATCGTTTGTCTGGCTCATCACTTTCAGTCGTATCGGCTGGTCCACCGTCTTCAAGCTCATCGACTTCGGCGTCTCGGGCAGCTTGCTCCTGGGCCTCAGAGTGTACTGATGACTCCTCCGGGATTGCGCTGGCGTTTCCGGATGGAAGGCGGAATCGAACAACAGCAGTGCTAGGCGGCACGTAAATTTCTGGTGAAGTTTCGATAGCGCTCGTGTCAAAGACTATGATGCCGTCCTCTTCCAGCTTTGTTTCTCTCTGATTTGATTCAGATGAGACAACGCTTGCTGATGCAAAGTTATTGACTGTGTCTTGGTGTGTTAGTTGAGGTAAAGATAGCACATTCGACCTGCTGAAGGACAAAGCCGTTGAACTATATGGTACTAATCTGCCGTCGGTTTGAAGCGTTGGCTTTGATGAATGCGTAGAAGGGCGTGGGATGAGTGCCAGTGCATTGGGAGTACGCTCGTTGGAATCAGTTTCCGAATCTGAGCTTGACTCTGACTGGTAGTCTTCACCGGTGGCAGCATCGCCGCGTGGCCTAGTTGGAATGACCCCCTTGGTATTTCCTGAAACTCGATCAGATACCCCTGGCTTGACGACTTCAGCAGGTTTAGAAGGACTGGCTGGCTTGGATGCTGCTGTGGCTGCAGGCCTAAGCTTCTTGCGTCGGAGCTGTAATCTTATCATGCTAGAGCCATGCTCCTGAAGAAGACCGATCCACTTTTCACCATTCACGGTCTGATTGTTGGGAGTAATGATGTCTATATCGTCAAATGAACCTTGCAAGTTGACGGAGCAGCGGACCTTGATCGACTGCTTCAGCGCCTATCCCAAGATCAGCCAGCGATACACGCAACGTCTTCAAGAGGAAACTCACAAAGAACGTTCGACATTTGTTTAGGGACAAAGCAAATTGGCAACCTCGAAGGTCTGTGACTTCGACTGAAGTCGCACATCCTGACGCCTTTGGGTCCAATTCGAGCACTTGGATTGAGTCGTTGTTTATGAGGTCATTGAACGCCACTTGACCATATGTGATTATTGCTACAAACAGTCAACTCATGATCGGGTTTCCCATATGTCGTAACTTACTATTATTGAATGCAAGTGCCCATACATGGGGAACATATATGATGGAGTCCTTGTCTCCAGTCCCATCATTCATGAGACGAAATGACTGTTCCGAGTCCCACTCTTTCGATGATTCGAAACGATCGTCCCATTCGAACAAGCTCATGATCGGATGCTGTTGGTCAGTCTTCCTCGGGCCGTGGCCAAACATGGAGCCAAGTGCGAAGCACGGAAAGCCGATGGTTGTTGCTGAGAGCGTAGTATCCCCTGCACCCGGCAAGCCCAACTCAGAACTGTCTGCTCTGAGTGTCCAAGGGAAGTAACGATTCGTCGAGTGATCGTAATGTAGCTTTCGGATTCGCTTGAGTAGGCTCAGTAGCACAATGTTCCAGTCTCGGGATAGGTTCGGGGTGCTCAAGACAATGGTGGTGAATTCATCAAAGTCTAGGAGTTGTCGCTCTACATGCAGCCATCTCATCGTATCTTTTGTCGGTCCCTTTTCATCGTTGGATCCCGAAGAGCAAGTCAAGTCTAGCGTATGGTGGCTTTCGCTGTCGAACCACCGTTTTGCTCCTACAATACTCAGCAGCTTCGTCTCTCTCCCAATAGAATGACGTTGTCCAGAATTTGCATCCGGCCATGTCCATAACCCCACGGAGTTCTTCTCCAAAAGTCGGTTTTTGCCAGGACCACGGATATGGATATCGGTTGATAGTGGTTCCCCATGGTCTCCAAAAGGAATGTTATAGGGGTGGCATTTCGAATCTTTCTGATCCCGTTCGGGTCCTGCTGCAGCTAAGTGATCATAATCACTATAGGCTGGCCTTGGTTGTCTTCGTTCTTTCCACTCCCATGACTGGAAACCTGGTTTTCGACGCGACGAATACGATAGGTCTGGTCCGTCTCTATCGGAAATAATCTTTGCAGGGCCTGATGGCCGTGAGCCCGGGCCATTTGTAGGCGGAGATGGGGGCGGCGGCGGGGGAGGAGGTGGTGGTGGGGCTGGAGGTGGAGGTGGTGCTGTTGCTGCAGTAGGGACAAACGGCCCGCTACGTGTCTCAAAGTAGGTCGGATTATATGAGTCGGGCATTGGCGGCAGAGCATACGGGTTTCCGTTTGGTCCATATGGTGGTGCGTAAGGATTGGGTCCATATCCAGGCATTGGTGGCGGGGTATAAGGGTTTCCGTATGGCCCATATGGTGATGCATAAGGATTGCGTCCATATCCAGGCATTGGGGGGTATCCGTACGGGGCTGGCGGAGATGCGAACGGATTGGCAGCATGCCCGCCATATGGATCACCCGATATGATTGAAGGCGCATTTCGCGGCTGGCTGGATCCAGAATCATCGTACCAGAGGCTTTCTGGCGGACGTGGGCTTGGTCGTGAGAATGGTGGTAAAGGTGCTTGATTGTGTGGCAGCCTATACCTAGGATAGTTATCGTGATGTGAGCCGGGGACAGTACTTCGGTGCTGACCGCGTCGAGGTTTTGAGGACTTCAGCCGAGACACACTCTCATCCGGTTCTATCTCATCATCAACGTATTCCCACTCTTCATCATCGTCTTCTTCGCCTGCGGTATACTCCTCCGGCCCAGACGAGACCTGTATTCCGGAAGAGTCTTCTTTGTAGGTTGCGGTGTATTCTTGCGAGCCCGTGGCGTGATTGATGGTTTCGTTCAAAACAGGAGAATGGTTATCTTGTTGCTCGCTCGGGGCTGGCGACTTTTTCTCTCCACTTTCGCTCAAAGCAGGCCATTTGTCCTCATGGCGTTCGCGAGATTTGGGCCTTTTTTTGCTTCCGAGCCAAGAGGCGTCCCAGCTGTCGTTTTCTGCGTCATTCCCTTCTTCAACCGTGGCTTTCTTCCCTTTGCGGTCTGCACCGGGATCACCAAAACTTATGTCAATCTTCGGTGCCCCTTCGTCGTTAAGCTTGATGTTGCTGAATGTTGTCTCTAAGTCTGCTGCAGGAGGCTTGAAAGATACGCTCGCCCTAGGACCTTTCTCGTCCAGCTTCGGCTTCTGTGTAGATGTGGTCAGTTTCCCTGTGAATCCTTGTACCGTTTCTTTCTTCTTCTTCGGATTCCCTCCCAGCGCACGAGTACCCCTCTCGTCTTCCTCATTATCAAGCTCGTGCCGAATTGTTATGTGTCGGGGCATCCTTATCAAACCAGGGCCATTCCGGTACCTATTTGTCTCATAGATCTTGAGAAGAGGAGGCTGAAGGCAGCAGAGAGGGCTGAGGTTCTTGGGATCACAGAGCGCTAACTCGTGTGGGGGCCACCTGCAGGTCGTGCAGGTATGGCCGGCTCATCTCGGGGGCGGCTCCACGGCTGACCCACATGTACGAGGAGCTCGTATAACCCAATGACACCAACCAGCAAACTTCGATTTCTCTATACACGACAGTCTGCCATCCCTGAGATGTTAACGTTAAGCTTGGGTATTCCGTGCTAGGGAGCTATACCCTGCTAGCGCTGAATGGACCCTGCTAAATGTCTCTAGCGTTACTTTAAAGTTGCTGTCCAGGTGACCCAATCAAAAGCCGAGTCTCACGGGGAAAAGCGTAGGTCTTTTCTCATCTTTTTTCCGTAGTTGAACTCCAAACTTAAGACACATCACTTGTTACATATATTGTTTTACCCTCATTACTTTTCCCAGCAGGCATTCCGGAGTACAAAACAAGAATTAATCAGCAAACCATAAAGAGTTGCGAACACTTGATACTCATCCGAGGACAATGTCAACTTTTCTTCATTTTGTCTCTCCCAGACTTTCGCCCAGATGCGACCAGTTCCGCAACGATAAGCAATACTCCCTTTCCAATCAACCCAGAGAACCTGAACAAACTTGTATGGATCATCAGTTTTGATTTCAGAGCGCATAGCCATTTCGTCATAAGGCTGTTCGGTCCCTTCTACCCTTGATCTAGCCGCTTGACAGATAGCTATAACAACGCATTCATCACTTTCCTTATATTCTTGCATGTCTGTGACGCAAGGAATCATAACGCCGGCCCAGTGGCCAGTGGAGTCGTAGATGTTGAGCCCTATTGGGTGACGTTGGCTTAGGCGTTCTCCAATGATGAATCGTGCAGTCTGGACTGTTCCGTACAGGAATGGGTCCCAGGACTTCATGTCCGGCGACAAGACATCCGAACTGAGGGGTACTGGATGGTATAGCATGTAACGGCCCAATGGTATGGGCGGGAGTGAGTCATGTTTGTACGATCCGCGAGATGTGTTACGCGTCCAACCTTTGGGAAGCTCGCCTTTGGCACTGGTTGCAAACTTCTCCCACCTGTAGTAGGAGTTGTCAATGTCTTCCATTTCGCCCGAGCTAGTACTTCGCTTTCTTCATTGAGCTAGGGGTTCACGGAAGGTACGAAGTTTTGGTCGAATTGTTGGATCCCAGTCACCCATCTCTAATGCACCTTCCCAACCAAGCCAAGACCAAGAAGGGAACATTCGTCTTCTCCGCCCAACCTCTCCAGAATGATGCCATGTAAGTGCGATGTCAAAGGCAAGTTCGGGAAGTGCGTAGATAAATCCCCCGGGGAAGGAAGCGGAAAACACGTTGATAATGGCACTGAATGCTTTTAGTGAGTCTTCCTGATAGGATAACTCCCGCCCTGAGAACCCAAACCACAGTCCTATGAATTGTGGTACATCCGGCGACATGGTGATCGAAATATTGTACCAAGGGAATGAGGCCTTTCGCTGTTCGTACCAGGCATCGTATAATAGGCCCCTCTCTTTTCCAACACTGAGATGTTCACCGTGCCTCTTGCTCAAGTCGGTCTGCTCGTCGAACTCTTTGACTTGGCACTCCCATTTGACGGTTTGTTGGAAAAGCACCATGGCTCTTTTTGACAAGGCCCTTTCTTGAAATGTCCATGCCCTAGTATGCCACTTGCTCCCTCTCTCTTCCTCTTGCCAGATGCAAAAGCTTATGTCCTTGAAACGAAAGTAGGGGTCATAGTTTCGGGGACCAGAAGTGATTTGAATGCCCCTGAGACCAAATTCAGCATCAGTTCCTTCGGCGGCCACGATGGTAAAGTATGCGTTCGCATATATTGAAGCCATTCAGGAAATATTGTGTTGCATAGAATTTTCGTCGTCCTGGACAATGCATAACCGATCTACCCAGAGGAATGGGATTTCTAACTTCTCAGTCAGGAGGATCGCATCTTTCACTGTCATTGAAAGCGCTTCCCAATGTCGTATGAAAGACCCAGGCACTTCCAGTTCCTGAAAATTGGCTTTAGTGGCCTGGAAGACCGTGCCTGTGTTGCCCTATACGTACGATAAGGCTGTGTGTCTTCTATCGGACGGATCTGAAGTGAGATTTCTATTCTTAATGTCGATGAAAACAATGTTGGAAGGGAGAGGCACGCTCATATGGCGTGGCAGCTGATAGCAGGCACCATGATGATGAGAATCACAGTATGTGATCCATTCTCCGAGTTTTGAAAGGTCAATGTGCTGTTGATGTACTGTCGTCCATGAATCTGGAGGAAGCAGATGTAGAGTGCCGTGGTTATGGTCTACGCTTGCTCCTTGGCGAATCCGTGCAATCGTCAGAAGGTTCACAGTAAAAAAGCGTTATAATTACCTTTTCATGTGCGCATTTTCCTCTATTGCAAAAATCAGAGCAATATCCTCGAATTTCATAGCATACCTTTTCTAGGCACTGCTCCGGTTCACAACAAAGGCTAAGTTCACCACTACGGTTGCATGCTAATTTTAGCATGTATTCTGGCTGAAATGGCGTCGTCAAGCGATGATTCTCGAAGTACTCTACTATCTTTTGGCATGTTGAACAACGTTCAGCTGTCAGAAAATGATGCCACGGTGCAATCGCCATAGAGCGGTGTCGCTGGAAGAAACCAGCCCAGTCCCGTACCTCTTCGGCAATTCTACTACAGTTAAGGCAAGGATCCATTTCGTGAGCGGAGCTGGGTTCAGGCGGGACCGAGAGCGACATATCATCCATCGCTCTTCCTATTTCGTCGACACCAAGGCATCTGCTCCAAATTGAATTTCAAATGAGTCTTTAGAGATGCCATATGTCAGTCTCAAAGATGTGAGATGGAGGATTGCATGCGTTGATGGCTGCCTGACTGGCAGGACTGGCGAGGCTATATTCATGGCGCGGTCGGCTACAGTTGCCTTCTATCTCTTCACTCCATCAAAGTGCTCCCAGTCTCCTAGTATCCTTCCTGCACTCTAGCAACCATCAAAACCGCCGCTAATTCTCGACCTGTAGATACAAACATGCCAGGTGCAATTGATCACTAACCCACCGGACTTTCCAACTCGAAGGTGGATGAATCCGACGTCCTTATGCACGTGACTTCCGTAGTCTTTCAGATTACGTCTATAACTACTCCCATAAGATATATGGGCTCCGCCCCCCGAGTCGAATGCAACCAAAGATTCACTTTTAAAAAGGCCTTATCCAAGCTATAAATGTCAACGAGTTTGGCTGCCCACTGTTACTGATTGAGACGGGTCAAGAGGAGGACAAACTTGTGGCTCAAATGTAAATGATTGAATCATTCCTGGAATTGAAATCTCCGTCATCATCTAATCATCCCTAATAATGGTAACCCCATAGCAAAAAGGTATCATCATCCTATAACTCCTAAGCCCTCTCCCCGTCAACCCCCTCCCCTTTCCCGCTTCCCATCCTCAAGCAGAAAACAGCTTATTCTCCACCCGACTATGCTCCAAATCCTTCTCAATCTCCAGCGTCCCGTCCACATCCACCACCCCCTCCTGAGTGCCCACATGACTATCCCGGTACGCATCCAACTCCTTGCCCTTAAATAGATTCAGATAAATCGGGAAACTCCACGCAACCACGAAGAAAGAAAGCGGTACCACCATCGCCTTCCGTGTACCAATCTTATCCGCCACATTCCCCAGAATTGCGGGCACGACCGCGCCACCAGACACGGACGCAACGATGAAGGAGGCGCCGCGCTTCGTGTGCCTCCCCAATCCACGGAGCGAGAGCGTGAAGATAGTCGGGAAAATACACGACTCAAAGAACAGCACCAGCATCAGCATAGCCAGCCCGCCCCAATTCGCATGCGTCGAGCCGCCCGTGTTCACCGTGATCGCCGCGATGATAAAAATCATAATCATGGTCTGGTACGCGAGCAAGATCCAGCGCGGCTTCGTGAAGTACATCAGCCCCGCAGCGGAGAAGCGGCCGATGGCGAAGAGCGCCTGCGCGACGGCGTAGAAGTTGCTGCCCTGCTGATGCGCCTTGGTGACATCCAGATCCGGGCGGGCTTGCGTGAAGTAGTTGATGAAGTAGCCCGCGATGCCGACCTGCGCGCCGACGTAGCAGAACTGGGCCGCGACGCCCCAGAAGAGGGTGTACTGCTTTCGCAGGGGCTTGTCGATGTAGCCGGTGGCGCCTTCGGTCATCTCAGCTTGGTCGGCCATGTCTGCGTCCGTGATCTCGGGCAGGGGCGCGAAGTAGAAGACGACGGCGAGGAGGCCGACGAAGATGGCGATGCCGAGATAGACCCACTGCACCGAAGATAGGTCTTGGCCGTCGGTGCCGACGTTCTTGAAGATCACGTAGGAGGCTAGCACGGGTGCGACGACGGAGCCGACGGCTTGGAAGGACTGGGAGAGCTCGAGACGAAATTCGGACCACTTGGGGGGACCGCACACGGCGATGTAGGGGTTGGCGGAGGTCTCGAGGGTTGAAAGACCGCTGCCGACTATGAACATGGACCCGCAGAACCCGCCGAAGGAGTGCTTCACGGCGGAGGGCCAGAACATGAGGCAGCCGACGCAGTAGATGCTGAGGCCGAGCATAAAGGTGTACCGGTAGCCAAATTTGCGGACAAACCAGCCTGAATAGGTCAGAGGGCCGATGAAGTATGCGCTAAAGATGTGAGATTAGCTGATGGTTCTATGATCAGAACTAAGGGATGAGACATACCCAAAGTAGGCGCCTTGGAGGCCAGAGGACTCTCCCTGCGTGATGTGCAGGGCGACCTGGAAACGGGAGTTCAAGACATCGAGAAGACCGTACGCGAAACCCCACAGGAAGAATAGGAGAGTCACGAGCGCCACGGGAATGATGGATTGACGGGTCGTGATTTGCGAAGCACCAGTAACCACAGCATCGCCGACGCTCTTGCGGCGGGTATCAAGAGCAACCGCTTCAGCGGCTGAGGGACGTCGGCTCTGTTGATCGTGGATGTCGGTGAGAGAAGGCTCCCCGCCTTTGAAGAACTTGGATAATCCCATGATGGAAGTGAGGAGCAAGGATGAAGTGCGGGGAACAGAAGCTGGAGAAGAGATAAAATGGACACTGCTCAATTGTGTGGGGAAGTGACGATAAAGTGGAGCTACCAAACTAGGTGGACCAAGGTTTGGATACCCCAGAAATTGGAGAAGCTGGAGACTGGAGCTGATGTCTGGTCGACCTGGAGATCGTGACAGCGGTATATATACTCCACTGCAGACTTTGGGGTAGAAATAGCATTACGTCCTACCTCACACGCGCCTCACGCCATGCCTGTCTCTCCGCCATGCGCGCTAGCATCTCAACAGGCCAGGATGCACCATCTCGTCGCCCTGATCCATGCTGACACGGCATGCAGTCACACCCATCTCCCAACTCGGCGTCGTCTTCACAACACCGGCAGGATTTTCAGATGCCGCCGTCCAATAGCCCCGATGCCTGCGACGGCGGCGGGAGGTTGCGGTTGAGCAACGGGAAGATGTTCGGGAGATCCCTCTTCGGCAGCCAATCAGTGTAGTAGAAGCATGCAGCTAGGCCGTTCCATCCACGGTGTTGCTCAACTGCCGGGGTTCCTCCAGAATGCTCTCCACAACGGCACCCCAGACTGCCCACAAAAAGGGCCTTCTGCTGCTATGCAGTGTCTCCATTGTAACCTCCACACGGAGCTTCTAGCTGCGTCGACGTTCCCCGTGGAGAGGGGGCAAGAATCATCAAAACCTCCATTTCAAGGTTGTTAGGTGGGAATCATTGAGGGAGCCCCATCAGCGAAATCAGTGTGCTACCACCTACGCGCATAACTGCCCAGATTGCCGTTCCGCAAACCCATGCTTCAGCCCATCGTCATGATCGCGTTGGGTCGCGGCAAGACATTGATGAGATGTGCATGCAGCATGCGCCCAGCCTGTTAAAACTCCCCGCTAGAAGCCCAGCGCATGGACCTTGCTGCGATGCTCGCCTCGAAGTGTGGTCTAATGGGAGCACTCTCGACAGCTAGTCCCTAGTTTTCCAGCCTCGCGTGACCGATGCGGGGGACTGGAGAGCCGCTAGCTGCAGCTTCGTCATGGAAATGAGGGGTGCGGAGAAGCATCCTCGACTCAAGATGCTCGAATCGACACCGCCAAGCTGGTAACGAAGGAGTGGTGAATGGTGAGTGGATGTGAAGGCGAATCTGGCGTTGCGGCTGGAGCTGGCTCGATCCGTCTCGAGTGAGGTGTGGCCATGAGGGAATTCGAGTCGAAGTGCCGGCCGCTGGAGATGCATGCAAGTCAGCACGGCCTCCCGAAGTTCTCCCTCGAAACCTTCCGGAAGCTTTTGTTTAGCCAATCAAGAGCAAGAAGGGGAAGAATGGTCTTCCACCTGCGCATCCATACCTGAGCCTGTTGAGATCTTGGGCATTGTCGCCACCACACAGCTGTGAATAATCCCGCAGGTTAGCAGCCTCCATTGCCGGCTAAGAGCTTCTGGGAGATGTAGACGGCCTCTAGCTCTGGTGCCCAGCTGCCCCGAAATCGGCTGCCCTCCTCATGGTATAAAATCACAAGGCCCGATAGTCGGCCCGTTCCATAACTAGCAGACCATCTCCGTCCCACAAATATTGAGAAAAGAGCCTAGAAGGACGCTAGAAAAGGGCCTTCCGCGGCATAGATACGCACTAAGGTCGAAACGGTCGCCGAATTAACGCATCCGGTATTTCTCCAACCGGTTTATAGAGAGGCTATCACACCATTTTGTATCGTAAGACGTGTTCTAGGGTTGCTTATATGGAGGCGGTGAGGAGACCAGAGATGAACAACGGACGGTCACGTGACTGACCGTTGTACAACCCTTCCACATGACCTGATTCCATCCCCCCTCTTTATGTCAAACCTTCAGTACCATGTATGGAGCGAAATTTGGAAAGAGAGGTATTGTGTGGTCTTTTCTGAATCCGGCAAACTTGCTAGACGGGAACATATAAGACCCGAAATAAGATGAGTGCCATAGATGCTGCTATTTAGATTCCCTATATTCGGATAATAATGTCGCATAAGTCCAACAAACCGAAAATCGTATCGTGTCACTTCCCCTATGCAGCACCGAGCGATACTCCGCCTTCCATTCTCTTTCTCTTCTAAAGACAACCATTAGATCGACGACACCTCCTTCTCTGCAAGCTCATTTCTTTCTCGTACACTGGCAATAATACAAAGAATCTCACTACGAAAGGTCGTTTCTCTCTTTCATCTCTTTCTACGTTTCCTGCTCTTACGGATCAAGGCACCGGCGATCTTCTTCTTGTGCGACTCCGTCGTAGCGATTGCAGCATATCGGCGGCCTCTTCGCCTAAGGTTGACGCATTTAGTAGCATTCACGCCAATCTTAGAAGATCGCAAGCGTATGCTTACCCGATTCCCGCCCGAGGCCGGACCCGCGCTCCACCGTAATCGGATTGCTGTCGACTACCTGGACACTCGAGCCGCCGCGAGATGAGACGGACGGCTCGCTGGTCGGGCTCCGGATGCGGATCAGAGTGACGCGGATGCGCCAGGTACCTTCACCACAGATGGCGAGGTCGGGGAAGGAGACATAGCCGACGCCCTGGGAGTCGGTGTCGTCCTCGGCAAAGGGGTGGATGGAGTCGAAGACGCGGCCAGAGAGCAGAGCAGTCAGATCGACGGGGTCTGTGGAGTCGTTGATGGAGTCGGAGGTTAGGGTTGCGACGGCGAGGAGGTTGGTGGGATCTAAATCATCGGTTGTGTCGGGGTTCAGACTGCGAAGTCGAATTGTTACCGGGGGTTGCAGTGCGGTGCCCAGACGGGCGGTTGGTGGAGGTTGCACGATGACATCCATAGCATATCTCGCCTCTCCGTCGATTGTTGTAGAAATCTGGGGAGAAGATTGGTGAGGCGGGGGGTGGTGGTTGGCCGGCTCTCTATAGCGCTGGTTTCGTGGTTCCACGTCGTCGTTAGTCCTGGTCCGCCGTGGTCGAGGTCTCGATCTCTCTCGCGAGAAATCGGGGTTAACAGCTCTAGATCGTACTGCAGTTTGAGTCCGTCTCGCAACGTCAGCCATTGGGTTGTCTGTGTTGGAGTTGGCTGCAAGTCTTGCGGAACGTCTCAGTGAACCGTTGGTTCTTGATACGGAGACGGAGACGGCCTGGCGAGAAGTCGATGCGTTTCCTCTTCTGGAAGTGCTGCGGGTGAGGTTGAGATTTCGTCCTCGTCCTCGGCCCCTTGGCATCTGATGAGGGGGTAGGCCTAGTCGTCGCTTAGCAAGTTGTTCAAGTCCGTGAGGCGATTCCTAGGTCATGCCGTCATGCCGACGGACGACCACGGGAACGAAGAGACAGAAAAAGATGAGAGCAAAGAGAAAAGACGAAGTGGTGCAGCTGCCAGCTCATCCGGAAGCCCACACGCTTCACGACGAATGGGCAGACGCGCCAGATAAAGGAGATTTGGGATCCACGGCGCGAGTCAGCCATTCCTACAACTGTGCCTCTTCTGGGAGTGCGAAGTCGACGTGATAGTGACGAGTGCCATAATGAAGGGTTGCAGCTGATCCAGGGCCACATATAGAGCCCTTTAATCTTAGCAAGAATACGTCTGATAGCAACGCATGCAGCTGGACGACTAAGCAGGTGACGTTTGTCCTGAGGCCACAATCAGGAAGGGAATGGCCAGCCGGGACAACTTTCTCGCGGCACGGAGATCATTGTAGGGGCGTCAATGCGGCCCAAAGAGTGCCCTCGGCAAGCGAGTTGTTTGGGGGTCGGCTGGAAGCAGCAAGGCGAGTGCAGAATACGGCGGTTGAAACGTGAGCAGTGAATGAAGGGGAGCGGCCTAGCAGAAAGCAGCCACGCAGCGGGAGGCCATTGCATTGACGTTCCCGCTCGGCCTCCCTGCACGGCAGCATCCCGCCGTTGCCATGTGGAAGCGGGGATGGGAGTATGGAACGTGCAGCGGCGCGTAGCGAAATTGTCTCCAAGACTCAGGAATCCGCTCACCTTGGACTCCAACAGCCTCCGCTCCAATGCCCGTCACAGCACTCTCGCTCTCCCCACTTAATATTCGGACCCCAAGCTGGCACGAGTGCTCACCAACGCCCGGTCTGAGCTCCGCGACCGTCTTTTTGGGCACTCTGATACGACGATGCGACCTGGCCGATTTCGGGTGACACGCGATGTTAAGGGCGTCGGACTGCGGATATCAGCCACGAAGTGGTCCGTTCCTGATGCGTGTGCAAACGCCTGCCGTTCTCTGGAGTCGGTTATCGCGGAAGTCTGCCCGTGCGTATCGACCTGCGTTCATGGATATGTTAGCCACTAGACGACACTCAATTCTAATATCAACCACCTGCTGACCGCCTGCCGGTGAAGATGACCGTGTTGCCTCCGATGAAGCTGACATAGATACTCCGTAGCCGAATTGGCCTTGACCCACCAGCAGGGGGGTGGCGTGCGAAGGAGAGATCTCGGGACGAACCTTTTTTCGGACCCCTTTCGACGACAGCGAAGCTACCAGCCGGGTCAAAGTCCGGAGAGGCCCGTAGATCGTGGGCTTCGCTGCAGATTCTGCACGTTTGGCGCCGCCTCGACGTGTTGACCGCTCAGAAGTAAGATGAAAGAGTTCTCTCAGATGAAGTGGTGGCTGCTGGGACCAGTACCGTGAGAGTGAACCGAATACGCAGGACACACACGTTGCTCCATCATCAGAGGTCTGCGAGTCGATTTTATACGTCTTTCCTCATGTCACGAGAACATGAGGCCGCTTCCGCTCCTGGTTTGTGTTGCAGTAGAGTCCTAGGGCTTGCCGCCCTCCCCTATTGGTCTTCCTTTTCTTCCTCTTTCTGATAGCTTCCCGAGTGCGTCGCTCACATATGGCAAGACTGATTCATGTGCCGAGTGCTCAGCTCATTGGAGCCACAGCGTCGGGAGACGGCGCTGCTGGGGGTGCCAGAAGTCAGGAAGCAGGTGGCTTCACCGCTAGATACCTGTCCAAACATTGCCGCATGTCTGGCCGCCGCCTTGCTGCACGATGGCGCATCCGATCAGGAGGGACGAGCCACTGGCACATTCCAGGCGTCCGGCTTCCCATCCACATGGAACCTTTTCTGCAGCTTGGGAGACGCCACCACCGTGTTGCCAATACCAGCTCTAAGGGCCGCATTTCCTGGGGGTCCTCCTGTCCCACCAGCCCTCTGGGATGGGTTCCTTGTCTTATTGGTCTCATTGGAGCATTCCCTGGCTAACCCGAGTCTCTGCTTAAGCCCTCAACTGTGTCGGATCTAGACACTTTGGATGGGGAGATCACTTACTCAATAGAAAGTGTCTTGGGCCGATCCCTGTGACATAAAAATCCCAGCCATGCCCCGGACCAACCTGTGGTAACGCAACAGTCTCTGGTCCCCATGACACTGCAGTTTGGCTTCAAGATCCTGGCCACTTATCGCCTACTCGCAGACTTAAAAGCAAAAAAACGTGACAGGTCACATGGAGTTCAACTCTCACAGAATTCTCCGAGCAAAGATATCCAATCAGAAGCAGTTCTAGCATTTGTGATGACGGAAGCATGCAAGGTGCCATTTTTCAAACAAACGCATTTTATGCCTTTCCATGTAAAGCTCAAGGCCGACATCTTTACTTCGCTCTCAAAGATTCGTGCATAATCGTGGCTCCTGGCTCATCCCGCCGACGAGCCGGGATTCATTTTCGTTCCCTGCTAATTATTCGCCCTGCCTAACATGCCGTCCAGGGTAGTCGCACATGTCTATGGCCCATCAAGATGTCCCACTGTCTCGTAATAGCGTGGGTTGCATCATCTTGATCTGTCCGTCACACCAGATCCATGACTGTGCAGCATGGCAACAGCAATCCGATTACCGGGCGATTGGGTCCAGGACCGCTCTCCAGCGTAGCGGTAAGATCGCTGTGGGGGTCGCAAGACTTTCACAAGGTCTCCGTCGTGGCCTCCTGCATAGTCCCGTCTCAACATAGTCTGGCTGACCCTTTCAACTGCTCTGCTTTGGATCGCGGATGCAGCGATGATCCTGAATTCCAAGAACGCCCACGAGCGACATGGGTAACCCCACTTATCCGGAAATCCAACCTCAATTACTGGAATAGATAATTCCACCACAGTGATACTGCACCTCATCAATTTCTTAAGAATTCACATCCACGTCAGGTGGACGGTATCAAGCGGCCCACACACCTGTCTCCACTTTCCATGTGCACAGGAATGAAAATGGACAATCGCCTCTCCGATGCCAACTGATCGAAAAGAAGGTCGTGAAGTGGGATTGAAGGGAGCTTCTTCGCAGCGAACCCCACGATGCAGCGATCTCTTCCCAACCCTACTCTCAAGTATGCCAGTGGTATTCTTCATACTACCGAACCCGTCGTACTGTCCATGCCACAGCCTCGGAGCTTCGTCTGAATTCTGAAGACTCTGCCACACACCGAGCACATGCACACCTGACACTGGCCAGATATGGAAATCTTCAAGTACCAGGACATCCCGGCTGCTCACCCACAGCGGAGGCTGTGAAGAAGCACAAAGTTGTTGCTGACTCCATCTTTAGAATTCAGAGCATTGCACGACGCCAGTCTGAGACAAGAGACACTTCTCCTGACTTTTGCCCCTTTTCGAAGCTGTGGAGTTCAGTAGCCCCTAAAAGACTCGCGCAAAGCGCAGATGTCCATAGCCAAGGCGTGTGTGTCTCTTGAGTGCGCGGCGCTTCTCTCAATATGTAAATATCTGGCCACGCGCGTAATTAGTGAGGGCTGTGATGACGACCATCTGCGCGGAATTTCAGTCTTGAGTTTGCACCTGAGAGCTCGATCGACTCACTATCAGGACCGACACAGTCTCGTCAATCAAATATCAACTCACGCCCTAGTGGACGCCATTACCGCGAGTCGGGAAACCGGTCTCTCCTTTAGTGCCATTTCCTTCGAGTTCACCCGCTCCAAGCAACTCCGGTGTCTCATCCACATCTCCATTATCATGATTATCGCGCTCGGTTAAGGAGCTCTAGTTTAGTGCGCGCTGATTTCAGGCCAGGGTTAGTTACCTCCTGCTTTGGACCTTAGATTCACATCCGCATCGGCGACTTGATTCTGAATTCCACTTTACCACTGTAGACATGTTGACTTTTTTGCGTTCAATACCTCTTTGTACTAAGAGTTACCGCATCCGGACTGAAAAAAACGGCTCTCACACCCAAGATCACTCAATAGTCAGATGGGCGATGAAGATACCGTACTTCTACCTAGAATAGAAGCATTGATCTACAGTCTGATTTAAGAAACCTATTCCGTACCTATGCCATCTACAGATATATAGTAGCTTTTTGCTCGAGAACTCAGCATTAAGTTAAAAACCATACCAGTTCATGTGAGAACTGCTTTTATGTGAAGAAAATATATGATTGACTTGTGGGTGAATCAGCCTTGAAACCGTCCAGGCTGCCCTTGCCAAAATTGAACAGGGGTTTAACAGCCATCTTCGTGCTTATGTGGAGACGCAGAGGCCATGACCGCCGACATGTTCAATGCTCACCTCGAAGATTCGAGCCTCCCAAAGGATTCTCCTTTCCCATGGTGAATTTAGATGAACCTTGGAAGGGAAAGTGATTAGGGCCTTGGCGGGCCAAGAAGCGGGAAATGACTAGTGGCCGGCATCCCCTCCAGCGACCTCCAGAATGGGCAGCTCAACTCCCACCTTTCCTCCCGAGGCCGACGAGCTTTCCTTAAGCTCTGCACACGCGACCATGCGACTCTAGGTTTCAGCGATGCGCCTCCTCTCCCTAATTGTCACCGACTAGACATCAGTAGACCGCAATGGCGTCATCCATGACCGCGCGCATGTTCTCCAGGAGGGCGCTCCTCCGGCTTCTCATATTCCTTGCGATTGCGTTTTTGTTCAGCTGCACACTATTCCTATGGTCGCATCCGATGATAATAAGGTCCGGCGGCGGCTCTGTGATCTCGCACCACGACGCAGGTGGCGGCAAGAAACCAGCGACGCACCCTATCGACACGTTGATTAAGAAGGCCGAGCGAGAATACCACCGTCTTATGGCCGAGGAGACCACCGACCTCGAATCTACAGCGAAGGCATATCGCTACAGAAGAGGGCGGCATCCACCCCCATGGTTCGACAAATGGTTCAAATTTGCGCAAGACCATGATGCCGTCATCGTCGAGGACTTTTTCGACCAGATATACCACGACCTGGGACCATTCTGGGGGGTAGATGCAGCGAAGATACGGACACAGGCGAAGAACTTCGAACAAGTGGTCATTGTCCGGAATGGGACAACGTCCCAGAAAACGGACAAACCGAGGGATTGGATGAACATTTGGACCGATCTCACCTCGACGATCTCGGAGTGGCTGCCAGACATTGACGTTCCGATCAACGTTATGGACGAGAGTAGGCTTTTGGTGCCCTGGGAGGATATCGATCAATACATGAAGGCGGAGCGCGCGTCGCGGAAGATAGTCCCCAAGCCAGAGGTCATAACGGAGTACGCAGGGCTGCAGAAGCTAGATGAGAATCCCGGGGAGCCATTCGATCTGGACTGGCACGGTGGTAACTACTGGGAGAATGCGCGTGTTGGTTGCGCCCCAGGATCGCCTTCTCGGAATGTTGAGGCCGCGACCAACTTCTCTGGACCTCCGCCTATGCCACACGGGTTTCCCGAACGGTCGTATGAAGGCTATGTCATGAATTGGACGTCTGCAAAGGATCCCTGTCTCCAGCCCGATATCCGCGAAAGCCATGGGACGTTTGTGGAGCCAATCTCTCAGTCGACATCCAAGTTTCTGTTCCCGATATTCGGTGGGTCGAAACTACCCATGAACAACGAGATTCTGCTTCCGCCGGCGATGTACTGGTCTGACGATCCATTCTACTCTGGCGGCGAAGAAGACCACGGAGGTCCTTGGGAAGAAAAGAACCCGGGCGTGATGTGGCGCGGAGCTGCCTCAGGAGGTCGCAATAAGGAAGACACCTGGACACGATTTCAGCGTCACCGCTTCCTGACAATGATCAACGGCACTTCTGTCCAGCTGGCAGAAAAGCATGGCAACGGCGTGGGCAAGAACTTCGTACTCTCGAGCTACAGCACTTACCATTTGACAGCTACTCAGCATATGGATCTCGGCTCATGGCTGAACTCCATCGTTGATGCTGCTTTCGTCAACCTACTGTGTTTTCCACCCTCCGGCGATGAGCACTGCTGGTATACGAACCCTTTCTATCAGACTAAGCCGGGCAAAAAGATGCAGGAGCAGTATGCTTACAAGTATCTGCCCGATATCGACGGCAACAGTTTCTCTGGGCGCTATAGAGGCTTCATGAGATCCACTTCGCTTCCGATCAAAGCGACCATCTACAGCGAGTGGCACGACTCCCGACTCGTCCCTTGGGTGCATTTTGTCCCAATGGATAACTCCTTTGTCGACATCTACGGCATTCTGGATTACTTCATTGGTACCGGTGTCGAGGAGAAAGATAAAGAGGGCAATGTGTTCATTGAGGGTGCTCATGATGAGCAAGCCAAGGAGATTGCCCTAAAGGGACAGGAGTGGGCAGAGCGCGTCTTACGGAAAGAAGATATGCAAGTATATGTCATGAGGCTCTACTTGGAGTACGCGCGTATCTGCGACGACAATAGGGACAGATTAGGATTTATCGGTGATGTTGGATAATGGGTACAGTGGCGCTGAGGTTGATTTGATTTTGCATAAATATGTATATACATATGAGGTTTTGGATACCCGACGAAATGAGAGATGTTTTGATCATGGAATGGCTGTAACTGATATATATCTGTCTAGTATAAGCTGACGCTTACTGACATGGGGCCGTATGACGGTGTGAAAGGGATAGGTCGTAATTGATGTTGATGCGTCCTTCCGAGGCTCGCGGATTGGATATTTCTATGTGGAGCTCTCTATAGATCTAAGACACTGGAAGAGCGTTTAGTACAGCAATATAATATATTTTGCTGTCTTGAAGATAGAACTGTAAGGTCTAGAGTGATTGCTCAGGCCAAATTTTATTGGCACGTGCTTGGGCAGAAACCTCAAACTTCAACCCACTATTGCAAGTCCCTCTCTGAGCAGCTCCCCCATTCCCAATTGGCGCCTCTGATACTTGGATGCCGTGTCGCATTACACCATTGACCACGCGCACCAGGCGCCTCTTCGATTCTTTCAACCCCAATTTTCTGAGGCCGCGGGCGACTCACCATCCTTTGACTCACAGCCCACCAACAAACTTTCTCAAAACGTCTTCCGTACCCCTCCACCGCGCATTCTCCTCCAAACCACGCACACACATCCAACTCTTCGCGATGGATGTCTCTAAAGCAAAAATCACGTCGGTTGACGACATCGCCGAGACGCTAAAGCAGTTCGGCCTCGATACCGTGCCCCAGGCCCCGAATACCTTCCCCGCGCTCAACCCATTCGATGTATACCGATCGCATATAACAGAGCTGCTAGCGAAGGCGTCGGGCATAGATGCGAAGATTATATACCCGGCGCTACAGTGGACGCAGACGCTGGAAAAGGGAGATCTGTGTATTCCAGTGCCCGCGCTGAGGGTGAAGGGCAAGAAGCCTGCAGAATTCGCAGTGGAATTGGCTCAGCTGGTATGTATGCTCTTAAACCCCATGACACGTCTTGCAGCATTCTCAAATAAGGGAACGCGATGCTAACTGGTTGTTTGTTGTATCAATAGTTCCCCGAATCCCCCCTCGTCCTCCCCCCCACCGCCAAAGACCAATACCTCCAATTCTTCTTCCGTCCCGCGCCCCTCACAGCCCTCCTGCTTCCTTCCATCCTCAAATCCGGGCCGTCCTTCGGCTTCAACCCCTCTCTTGGCCTTGAAGACCCCTCCAACCCCTCCTCACCCCGCAAGAAGCTCATTGTCGAGTTCTCCTCCCCCAACATCGCAAAGCCCTTCCATGCCGGCCATCTCCGCTCCACAATCATCGGCGGCTTCCTTGCCAACGTCTACGAGGGCGCTGGCTGGGATGTCATCCGTATGAACTACCTCGGCGACTGGGGCAAACAATATGGTGTCCTAGCCGTAGGATTTGACGAGTTTGGCAGCGAGGAGGAGCTGGTCAAGAACCCGATTGGGCATTTGTACGATGTGTATGTTAAGATCAGCAAAATTTCGGCGGAGGAGGCGGACAAAGTGAAGGCACTGAAGGAGGAGGCGGCGGCGGCCAAGGAGAAGGGAGATGCAGAAGGCGCGGAGAAGCTCGAGAAAGAGTACACTAAGATACAAGAGGAGGGCGTGGATGAGCGGGCGAGGAAATACTTCAAGCGGATGGCAGACGGCGAGGAGAGGGCACTGGGTATCTGGAAACGCTTCCGTGATCTCAGTATCGAGAAGTACAAGGCTACCTACGCCCGTCTGAACATCCAATACGACGACTACTCTGGCGAGTCGCAGGTCAAGGAGGAGAGCATGGAGGCTGCGGCGCGAATAATGGCTGAGAAGAAGGTCAGTGAGGAGAGCGAAGGTGCTGTGTTGGTCGACTTGACCAAGTACAGCAAGAAGCTCGGCAAAGCGCTTGTCAAGAAGAAGGACGGCACGTCGCTGTATCTCACCCGTGATATCGGTGCGGCGTTTGAGCGTTTCGAAAAGTATCACTTCGACAAGATGATTTACGTGGTCGCTTCGCAACAGGATCTGCATCTCGCGCAGTTGTTTAAGATCGAGGAGGCCATGGGCCGCAAAGATGTAGCGGAGCGCTGTCAGCATATCAATTTTGGTATGGTACTAGGCATGAGCACTCGTAAGGGAACGGCAAAGTTCCTGGATGACATCCTGAGGGATGTGGGCGAAAAGATGCACGAGGTTATGCGTGGGAATCAGGCCAAGTATGAGCAGGTGGAAGACCCTGTCAAAACTGCTGATACGTTGGGCATATCGGCCGTTATGGTGCAAGATATGAAGGGAAAGAGGTATGTCTGTTCATTCAAAAAACCCTTTTTATTAACCGTTATCTCTTGTTTCTCCTTCTTTCTTCTTCGCATCCATCTCTTACTCCATTGAACAATCTCTTTAAACATGGACATTGTTGACAGTATCTAGAATTAACAACTATACTTTCGACATGGACCGCATGACCTCCTTCGAGGGCGACACAGGACCCTACCTCCAATACGCCCATGCCCGCCTCTGCTCCATCTCCCGCAAAGCCGGCTTCGCTCCCGCCGACCTCACCACCGCCGACCTCTCCCTCCTCTCCGAGCCCCACGCTATCGACCTCGTCCGCCAGCTCGCGACGTGGCCCGATGTCTTCCTCAATACGGTCAAGACCCAGGAGCCAACGACTGTACTAACGTATCTATTCAAAATGGCGCATGCGTTGTCAAGTAGCTACGATCATCTCCAGGTTGTGGGTTCGGAAAAGGAGGTTAGTAAGGCCAGGGCGGCACTGTATGCGAGCGCGAGGCAGGTGCTGTGGAATGGGATGAGGGTGCTGGGGCTGAGTCCTGTGGAGAGGTATGTGCTGTCGCTTTCCTATGAGGTGATTGTGGGGCCGTGCTAACAGCTGTGTAGGATGTGAGCATTTCCGCGCCAGCTGGAACGAGAGGTTTTCGAAATAGTCCGTTGGCTACACAGGCAGACGCGGGCCTTTTAGAGCAAAGTTCGTAGACGCGATGGGTCGACGGATGGGAGAGGTGCCGGGACGGAGTCATGGTGTTTGGAATGCATGATATCACGGGTTCTACGACGGACACGTCAAGTACGGGTCGGCAACGAAAAAAAAGAAATGGGCTCGGAGCAAACGGCCCGACTGCGATGGAGCGGTGGTGTGTTCTAGTGAGGCATTTTCGGGATACCGAGACCTCCGCTGCTCCCATGGATGATGGACGATAGAAGAAAAAGATAAGCCGATGATTTCAAGGATGTTCCTGGGCTGTGTTCTCTTCGCCTCAAGGCACGCTACGTGATTTCGAAACTAGAGGAGGTACGTGTCATTTTTTGCTGACTTGAGGGCGTTCGTGATGGGTTGAGGGAATGGTGGAATGGGTGCGGATCTGACCACACGATGGACGTTTTGAGAGATGCGGATTCGGGGGGGGCGGGGTGAGCACACGCTGCCCACTCACAGAGCCTGGATGTCAGACCCTTTCGCGAAAAGAACTGGGAGAAGTTCTGCCAGATCTCCGGTAACAGGACATAAGTGTTGGGCACCGCCGTCTTTCCATCTCTCGGACTCATGACGATGTGCTGCAGCACCACAAACAGCGGCCAAGCAGGCCAATTCTAATGCACGAACCTCCCTGATTCAAGCTCCCAAGGCCGGCCTGTACATCTCAGCGCAGTGTTTTATGATGCGTTTCGAAGCATCTCGAACGGTGGTGGTGCGCGGGTGCACCTAGGCTTTTCGCAAGAACTCTAGGCGTGTGAGTTCGTGTTTAGTAGCCATGGCATTTCCCTCTATGTCTACGTATTATATAGTACCGCCCGTGTGTGTGCACGCATCGCTCCAAAGTAGTGGAAATTCTTACATGTCTAACCGCGGGATTTGTTTCTCCATTAGACGCAGAGGGGGGCGCTGCGTAGTTCCTTCTCATGACAGACAGCAGCAGGAGGATGTAAATCAGCTCTACTTCCTCGGGCTGCTTTTAAGTGGGGAAATAACGTGCCCGAGGACCTCAAGTGGTGCTAGGCAAGTTCGCACAAGCGTAGAGAGTTAGTGTATATCTAGAGTATAGAAAAATTAAGGATGGAATCACGATTCGTGATGCCACCTTGTATCAGATTCCGGCTTGTCACTTTGGATTTAGCTTCTTGAGAGAATAGCTGATCGGCTTGTTGTGCAAAGCGCCATGTAGTTCTGATAACGCCGAAGTCCGGACAGCACTAGTCTCTTGAGTGCTTATGGCTAGATTGATGGAGAAAAGCGAGATCGAGCTCACATTTAATGCTTCTTGACTTTATGATTTGTGTCGGGGCTGACGATAGTTTCGCATAACTTGATAAGTCCCACCCACCGCGGAGTTTCCAAAGCGGTACAGAGCATGCAGAGAGAAATCTCCACCACTCGGAATATTGACTTAGATTACAACGCCGAGCAAGCTTCATGTTTCTTGAATAGAACGTGCATGGGCACTGACTTGGCAACGTTTTAGATTCCGGCGCTGTGATAATACGGTGACAGGCCATGAGTCCGTGCACACTCGGTTACCACGGGTGCCTCCCACGTGCCTCCGTAGGCGTTTCATAATCTAGAAGCGATGTCGAGTTTCATACCGCGGAATCTAAGCTGTCTCATGACTGGCGGGTTTCATGATAATGGGGCTGCTCCTGCCAGTGGCGTCTGGTTTCTAAAAGTACAGTACTGTAGAATGAGGCGAGCCCATCAGACCCGTTAGTCGTTCACGAATTCATAGCAAAGAGTATCCATATTCCAAGTAAAGAATGTCACTGCGAGCTGATATTCAGAATCATACGACACGTGCAACGACATCGAACATATCGAAAGGAGCAGCAGTAGCACGACATCCTGCGCCTATGCCTTTCCAGACGGGTGGCGGTTGACACGTGCGTGGGAGGGTGTGCGGAGTAGAGTCGAATTGGTGCGGTGCGTTGGAGGCGGGGTTCGGGAATGTAAAAGATCTGGACATCGTGGGCTGACGTTTTGTTAATCCTGCACACGCCTCCATTCGAAGAACGTATGTATTCGCTCCTAAGATAGACTGCTGGTGGATTCGATAGCGCTGTCGTACTATTGATTGCGATCGTACGGCTAATTGGGCGAAAACGACAGACATCTGTCTCTCGCTCCTCGCTCAGCAGTTGCGCAAGAGTGGTAAAATGCGAACATCTGGTATCAATCGCAAGGAGTTCAGGCTGCATCAATCGCGTTCGTTAGCACCATCGAAATCGCAAAACGCGCGAGACCGAGACGGGAAGCCGAGTCCGCGATGCTGTAGGGCGCCGGAGGAAAACTCCGTCATGTGTAACGCCCGAAGGCGAGCCTGGTTGTCGGATTGCGTTGGTGGTGTGTGTATTTCCATGGTAGTGTGAAGGTTTGCGAGGGAAGGGATGGAATGGAGTGGTGGGACAGATCTTAGTGGGGTGGTGGAATGCATGGCATGAGACTTGCGTTTGGAGTTGTACGGGTTGTGCTTGGACAGTATCAAGGTGATGTTGGAGGTCAGAAATTCGTTGAGATGATCGAGATTCTTGCTTTGTGCCTTATGGATCGAATACGAATGAGGACTGATTGGTTGTAGTACAGATGTGCCTTACCGCTTACCTCGCTTGCTAGTGCATTGCTATGTGCAATTAATCAAACCTGGTCGGTGCAGTCTACGAAGTGGGGGCTGTCTTGCCACATCGATTGCTTTCCTTTCAAAGAGGTCAGGTGTAGAACCTCTGCAAAGTCTGCAAACATCCGGTGATTCCGGATCAGAATGGGGCGTCACTGACCACTTTATCGCGGTCGAAACAGCCTGCAGCCAGCCTCCCCGACGACACGTGGTGGTCAGTGATCAAATGACATGCGTCTCCACATCTGTGTGTTGTGGAAGAGGACTACTGCTGTCACTGGTCACAGCTTTGGCATCCCCGTCCTCAAGAGTGGAACTAGAAAAGTGTTGAGGGTCGAAGGATGCCCACGATCTATCAGCCTCACTCCAGATCTGTGACGAGGATCACGGCTGGGTTCTTAGCGATGCTCGCCTTGACTATGCGAGTCACTGATTCGGGGCATTCGGGGCGGAGCCATTGGGGGCGAACCAAGTTACGCGGCTCGGACCGCGAGCAGGGACGAAGGAGTCAGTCATCCGGTTACACAGGATACAAGTGTTTATATGTCGTTGGAGGCGACTCTGGCTCGATGCGCTGTCCGCGCGCCAGCGACACGGGCCGGCCAGGCGGCCCGGCCAGTGAAGGCTCACTCGGGGCTCTCCCGGGCGTAACAGTGGCGAGAAGTGTTTTACTAGCGCGCAGAGTTTGATGAATGGAGTGGAAAATGTCTGCTGTTCCTGCAGCGCGATGACTAGACGCTCTCTGAGGCGGAACTGACGTGGCTGAAGTGTGTGGCCTGGCAGCGAAAAAGAAAATGACTGGATTTGGGAAGCCGAGTGTAATTGGCTAAACGCAGTCTGCTATTGGTTGGACGGAGAGTATTATTCGCGTGCTGAAGCGGCAAACCGCGCCCAGAGCAACAGAAAGGAAAAAAGTATCAAGTGTCCGACAGGCTGGCATTTGGTAATATTCTTTGAAAGATTTTTACAGTGGGTGTTTTAAAATTGCACCGATGGCGCAAACCCCTCGCGAGACGCAGCGAGAGGAGGGGCATACGAAGCGTTATATGCAACTCGATGATGTGGTTATTGGGCCCTCTGCTGAGCCCAATTGGCTCCACTTGGCCGTAGTTCGCAGCAAAGGGCGGTGAAGACGGCTCCTAGATGGTCGGGCTGGACTGCGAGGGAGAGCAGCCGAACAAGCTGGAATACAGACTGCGGATGAACATGGTGAGCAGGGCGGACATTCCCGGGTAATGCGAGCACAGCGACGCCATTTGCGGCCTTCGATTCGCCCATCAGCGCGACGCAGAGGCACCATGGGGGCCCGCGCAAGGGATTGATGAGGGCCATCCAGGTCAAAGCTGGCTGGGTTCCTTCAAACGGACCAAGCAGCGCTGTCGAGTGTGTTGCGCATCGTGCATACACCCGGCACCCTATCACGGCCTCGATAACGGCCATAGGGCCGCCGTCGTGATGTGACCGCGGTTGAGCCTCTCCGCAGACGGCAGGTGGCCAGCGGGCTTGCTGCTCTGGCCATGGTCATGTCGATGCTGGAGAGCAGGCGTGCCGGTGAAGTGGCAGCGGTGGCACGTCGACGGCGTATTTGCTTTTTCTCCCCCTTGGCGCAGTCGGCCTGCTGCATACGAGAGCGCAGCTCAACTCGCCCTGGCCGGTAAGGGGAGTCCTAGGAGCGCGACAGCCACCGCGACTGAGAGGCCTTCGGCATGTCGTGAGCGGCCCGTGAGGGCACGCTTTGGTCGCGAAGGAGCGTCGTTGAGAGCCAGTGCGAGTGCTGCGTCACCACACCTCCAGGCAGGGCCAATGGCCGACGATGGCTCCATAGGCTGCGATGGGCGTGGAGGGAGGAGGCGCGAGGGGAGATCGCGGGAGAGGGAGTCTGTAAACTGACAGCCCTTGGCGCATTACTCATTCACAACTCCCTTCACAACGCGAAACAGCCTCGCGATGGCGCCTTCCGGAATGGGCCCGCGAGTTTACGGCGTGTTTGAGATGGTAGGTGTGCGTTTCCTCTTGAAGTTGTGAAGTGATGGAAGCACCTGAAACAGCAGCAGACGGATATGAACAGAGCCCGAGACGGTCAAGCGCTGCCACTTTACAAGCCCCCTACCCGGCACGCCGAGCTCTGCGGAGAGGGGATTTAGAGCGCAGAGTGCTGCAGCCAGCCAGGCAACTTCGCGCGCCCGTGATGACAGCGGGATAGCCAGTGTCACAGGGCCGGTGGCACGCCTGGGAGACCGGAGCCGGCATATATTCGCAAGCCCTCGCTGGCTTCGCACTGTTTTCCTCGTCGCCCGTTTCTGCGCGTGTCTGTGTGTCCCTCACGCTCTTCCCCCGAAGTCCGTTCACGTTGGGCGTTAGTGATTGGAAGCCCTACCCAGCTGTCAACCCAAACGCCCTTCAGGCCGCGACAGCTTACCTAGTCGCTGTACCGTACTTAAATAACTTATGCGCCCAGCCTGGCCCCCGACTCGAAAAAATTCCGTCGGCCTGCGAGCGAAACCACACCACGCATTCTCGTCATACCCTCAGACGAGCTGCCTCCCCTCTCTCCCAGCATGGGCGCCCACCCGTAGCACCTCACTCTTCACACACACTTCAGGCCCCGCGTGCCAGGACTCAAGGTCGCTCGTCCAGCCCGGCGAGCCACGGCGGCTCTTGTACCCCTCCGCGACTTATCGATATCACGACTCGCTCCGCTCCACCCGGGCTATCGCGAGACTCTCACCCCTCACCCCTCACACACCACCACCACCACCACCACTTCCCCCAACGTCATGGCGGGCACCAGACCGGTGCCAGCATACTGCGAGGACGCCAATTCCGACGATAGCGATACGCAGACCGACACCCGCAATCGCCACAGCAGCGGCGGCCATGCCAACGTGGCCGCCAAACGCTCCCATCCCTCCGACCTAAACAACGTCAAGCCGGTCGAGGTCGTCGGGCCAGACGCCGCCTCAGACAGCGGGTACTCGAGCCACACCGCCGCTACCATGAGCAGTGCTGATTCTGCCCAAAGTCACCAGTCGAGTCCACCGACGAGCGCTGGCACTGGCCCGGCACCGAGTCCGAGCAGGAGGAGGCCGACCCTCGACAACACCAGAGAACGCAGCAGTCAGAGCAGCCCGCGGAAGCCGCTCGTGCGCGTCGGGTCGTCGGCGCGGAGGGCTGAGAGGGAGGAGGAATGCACCGTTCCGAACTGCGAGTGTAAGCAGAGTCAGAGCCAGCGACGCCGCCGACCGCAGCTCTCTTCGCTGGACTCGGCCGTCGATGTCAGATACCCATCATCCTACGACCAGCGTTCACAGCGCTCCGACTATCCTCCGCCGTCGCCGCAGGCTTCACGTCAGCCGCCGCCCTACGCCCAGGGCTCAGCCATCATCCAGCCAGCCTCATCTGTCCGTCGTCGAACATCTTCTACCTCGCGGCCTCGCCCCGTCAGCTATCATTCAGGGGCCCCCTCTGAAGCAGGAGGATACTGGGTTCCCGGCATGCTCTACCCAGATCGAGGGCCACCTCCCTCCATGTCAGCTCACTTCACCGGCCCATCACCTATGCAGCCATTTCCCACCATCGGCCAAACTCCACCCGGCAATTACTATCCTCCTGGGCATCCCATGTACTCAGCACCCTATGATCCGTCCCGACCACCTCTCATCCAGCGAAATTCTTCCCAATACAGCACCCGGCGACCGACCTCCCAGTACGGTGCACCGGTTATATCCTACGAACAGCAACCGTATCGTGAACCGAGTGTTTCGACTCGTCCTCCTCCGAGTGCTCGCTATGACTCCAGACAGTCTCCCACTTTCGAGAGCTCAAGCTCCGAAGAAAGCGAATCTGAGGAGGAGACCGATCGGCGTCGCATGCCGCCTCCACAACGACGGCCAAGCATCCGCCAGTCAAACCCGAACTCTTACGATCGCATGAGCCAGTCTCAACAACTCCCGCCGCGACCGCGAGAACGTGAACGAGAACGAGAACGTGACTACGAGTCCCGTCCACCTCGCCCAACAAGCCGTCCACCGCGTCCCGCAAGCACTGTCCCGCCTCGTACCTCCTCTCTTCGTCGACCCTCGCTAGTTCAACGAGATGTGCCGAAATCCGTTTCCTACTCAAATTCAGCCGGCAATGCTAAGGTCGTCGTCGAGGCTGCCAAATCTCGACGGCGACAGTCCTACATGGGACACGAGCTGGCGTGCGAATTGGAGTCCAAGTCACGAAACAACCACCCCCTTTATCGTGGGGAGACCGTTGTCAACAGTAGCCAACCGAGACGCCGCCAAACTGATGCCGACGGCCGTCGACGCGATGAGAATTTCGTGGACACCAAAAAACGTGATGCCGAAGCATACCAGCAGCGCATGCGCGGAGAGCCCGTTCTCCCACTTACGGAGCAATTGCTCAAAGCATCTAAAAAATCGTCACGTGTTCCCTCTGGCGGATCGGAAGCTGGTTCCACCCGTAGCAAGAATTCCCACGACCGAGCCAGCCGCGTGAGCCAATCCGGCCATTCCGTCGTCACCAACTCTGGAAACGGGGAAATCAAGCTCCGGGTCGATGGTGGGACCAGCTTCAACCTGCAACTCTCAGGCGGCGAACGGACCATCCGTGTAGAAGAAGCAGAGGACGGTATGCGCGAGCTGACCATCGCAACCCCACGAGGAAACGAGGTCAACTACAACAAGAGCGAAAGGGGCAGCATAGCGGGATCACGACGACCCCTCATCATGTCAAGACGAGACGCTGAGGAGGACAGCATCAGGAGCACGAGAAGTAGCCGCAGCGGCCGAGCTGAGACTGAGCGGCGTCCTCTTCGACGAGAGAGATACGAGGACTAGGACGATTTACGTGTGATGAGGCAATGAAGTATGAAGTCCGAGCAGCGTTGATTTTCAGTTTTGGATGCAGCGGGCGCCACTTTTGTTTTTGCATGTGGTTTTTTTTTGATTCCTTTCACATGCACGCAACTAGCATTTGACCTTTTCATCCTATATAGTACATTTCTACCTTCCATGTTGTGCTACTGCAGCGATTTTACTTTTTCATTGGGCGGACTGGATTGGAACCAAAAGCTTTTGACCAAAAGTTTTACTATCTCGCCGCCATTGGGAAAAGGAAAAGCCGGATCAGCGCACAATCTTCTTTTACTACTACCCATTTTCTGCCGCGTTTTGGCGTTTCACTGGATTCCCCCATTTGACATTTTGTTCTTCTTCCTCCATCGGCCTGCAATCTGATTGACTGGTTCACGCGTTTTTTTGGCTCCTGCAACGCGCGCTTTGGGTTTTGCTTTGCTTTGCTTTACTTAGATGTGAGTGCGTGCTCGCGCACAAGCGTCGAAGGAGAGAGAGGCATGGAGCTGGGCCTTCATGACCATGACTTGAGAGAATACGGAATACGAATTTGAGACTGTACGATCCCCTGTCTACGGCTGTTGTTTCATCTTCTTGCTTTTCACCGCCTTGTCGTTATTTGTCTTGATTCTAGCGATGTCTTTTTTTCGTCATTTGGCTTATCGATTCTTTTCATCATTCCTCATACCCTTCTTGAGCTAGCGGATACCTCTTTGCTTGGTCTATTAGCTTGTGGGACTACGCGCTAGTGGCTATGCCTACCTTCCTCTTTTCCTTCGTAGGCTTAGCATTCGTGACTTTGTGTTCTTCAAAACTTGTGGTGTGGACCGTTTGTATTGGGAGGATTTAATACCCTTGCGTGCCCTCTGTTCTGGTTTGCGACTCTAAGGGGTGGACTGGGTTGGTTGGCTGGGTAGGGTGAGCGGGTATGAGCTCCACATTGGGTTGGACGGAATTGAATTGGGGGTTACGGCTGCATGATGGATTGGATGGATCCATGGGGAGAATGGAGTTCAACACCCGCAGGCTATACATGCTTGAGGGTGGGCATGCCGCGACTATGGTGGGCCACCGCAGCCTGGCGAGCGAGCGAGCTACGTAGCATCAAATCTTGAAAATGACGTTTGTTGTCTACCACACCCTGTCCTTGTCTGTTTTGCTTCAATGGTGTCGTTGCTGATGTGGCTGATACCGTTTCTAGCAGCATGCCTCAAGCCTGCGCGTCGAATATCTCAACGTCATAGAGAGCCACCTGTATCTCTCTCAATCGAGCTACTGCCTACTCAGCTTGCTAACCCCAGCTCGATCGATAGTCACGACATCCCCTCCATCCACCTCTCCCCCCCGCGCTCACCGGCTCCAACCGGCCCGCATGCACAGCTCGCGCGCGCTGAGCCCATTACCCGCAGCCACGTCCCATATTCACCGCAGGTCCCTTATCGCGCCCACCCCCGCGCTCCCCCGCACCCCCAGCACCCCACAGATGGGCAGATGACGACTTCTCCAGGCGGTGAGAGCTGCAGGCGATGCGGCTAGGAGGGCTGGTGCATGGGGCTGGGCGTGGCGGTGGGGAGGGCCTCTGGGAGGGGGACACGTAGGTTGGAGGTGATGTCATGTGATGCATTCTGGAGCTGGGAGAGTTGGAGTGGTGTTATGGAGGGAGATGGGTCCGATGGCGCGGAGGGGCGGTGGTTTGGGATTGGATGGGGGAGGAGGGGAGGGGGATTGGAGATGGTGGGTGGGTGGTTGTGCATGGTTGGATGGATGAGCATCGAAGGGGACTAGTCGCTTTGTTTTTCGATCCCGATGCTCAGGGGTTGAGGAGGTGGAGAGGTGTGGTTGAGAGCTGGGCTTGGGAGATCACTGGTGTATGATATCAGAGAGTAGAGAGATTGGGGGCGAATAGTGTCGAGGTATCTTGCGCGTAAACAGTACGTAAATGACTCTCACCACTACTTGTCGTTGTTCTTCCCCAATGCAGCACAGCTCTAGAGGTGTATTGGAAAACAAACGTGGGTCCTTGAATCAACGATGGTTCCGATATGGTTAAGGGGAGCGTGTAGATTATTTTAAAGTGTGGAGAGCGGAGCTGGGGAATCACTTCGCGCGTGCAACCCAGGAACCTCCCTAAAACGGGCGATGGTCGAAAGGTGCATAGTGACTAGACGTCTGAATTAGATCCATGTGTTGTATGAGCAACAATGACGTCCGAATTAGACCAGGTCACTCAATCCATTTCATCAATCAAGCAAAAAAGTGAATACCTTCACACAAGCGCAGGCCCAAATGATAGAGCCAACCATCCGCATCCAAATCGTCGTCAAGGAGACGAGTACGTCGTAGGTGTTTTAGATAGATAGACATTATGGACCGAAAGACCAAAAAAAGAAACTTCAAAAAAGTAAATTTCACCTCCCCAACAGGGAATCGAACCCTGGCTGCCAACATCCGTTAGCATGATTGTAATCATGAATGGTTAATTGTGGTAGCTTACTCTCCCGCGCTTGTTAAGCAAGGTGCTTTGACAAGCGGAAATCATGACCACTAGACCATTGAGGAATGTTTGTGATATCCGTGTGATGGATGAGGTGGTGGCGGAATTATTCGATACATAACGGCTGATACATTGAACGGAGGGGGGCTGTGGAGGGGTACTAGGGAATAGTGGATACCCTTGTACGGAAGGAGAATTTTGCGAGGGTGTAGTGGGGTTTTTTGGAGTGGGGGGGCTGGTTTTGATGGGTGCCAACAAGTCTAAGTTTCAAGCATCACTTCACAACCATACGTCTATCTTCCATGCATCCAATACATCTCTACTAACAAACTCATCTAGATCTACCCAACTCCCTATCCTAATCTCGTCTACTCCCACAAAGCCGAGGAACAAGCTTTTTCATCATGACGCGGAGGGAGCCGGGCAGCGGGTCGGCACGCGCCGAAGTTGCCGTTGCATCTCTTTAATCCAACACACTTTCCAACCCCAAAACTTGGCTCGAGCCTTACCACATACGTCCAAGGCACTGCTATGCTTCGAATCTCTTGCCTTGTAGCTGATGTCGTAAGCAAGATAGCTGGAGGCTTTACTTTCGAAATGTAAAAGCCATTAGCCCCAGCACTCGCCTTCATGTTCTCTAGAAAGCGCCGGGGCATTCTGACGCCCATATCCACTCCTCTCGCCATGTCTCCCATCTCATTCTCACTCCCACTCCGTTTCCTTTCACGCTAGTCATAATTCTCTTTCTCGGCGCCTTCACCTCCACAGCAGGGGCGCTGTTCCAGAGCCTCGCGACAGATCTTCCAACATTTCGACGCGCTCTCTGCAGCTCTGCTGTAAATGACGCAGATGTTGCTGTAGCGTCTTTTCGGTCTCGGATCGAGGGCGGTAGTTAGCGTGGAGGTGGTGGTTGTAAACGTATATCTCTTTGAGGACCTGCAAGGTGTTGGATCGCATGCCCTCCGATTGTAAAGTATAGTCAGCTGCGGTACTATAGGGACAAAGGAGAAAATGTAGTAACGCGGCATACCTGTTCATAAAAGTTGAGGGCACTTGGATGCATCCCAGAGCATCTATCGTACGTGTCCTGCATCAATGTCTCTTCTTCTGTCTTCTGCGTTGATCTCTCCTCTGCGGAGGTGCCACTGAGTATCGACTGGCGGCTGGGACTGGCCAGCGGCGAACTCGGATAACTTGCATACTCGGGTGCTTTATCTTCCTCGATGCTTGCAATGCCGGGGAGGGTTGTTCGTGAATTGAAGGGTTTCTCCTTCCGACGAAGGCGATCGGCAACCTTGGACTACATACCGCGATTCGGATCATCAGAATAGAATACAGGATCAAGGCGTTTGCGAGCGCAGTGTCCTCCGAACACCGAGTCCCCTCTGCAGAAAGACCTTCTCTCAAATGGCTTCAGATGGAAGGCTAGCTACGACGGAGGAACGCTTAGGCGAGGATTGCACTTCCAGAGTATTCTAGAGTAGCCACTACTACGTAGAGAGAGCAGCAACTGTTCAAAAGAACAGTAGTTCATTACCAGTAGAATACTAGGAGCGAGCGTGCTGGTGCTCAAAACCGTTATCGAGAGAAGACTAGTAGTTATTAAGGACGAGGTTCGCGACAAACGGACAAGACTCTTTTCTCCCCTTCACCACCTGTCAAGGTCTAAGCCACCACCACGGCAGCCTCGCGGCCTTGTAACACCAATCACGTCCCCTGTTTCTACAGTCCTTCTCCTCGCAATGTTTTAATACCAATAGGATCTTTTATAGCATTAAATAACATCGCATAAGAAGAAAAGACTACGCATTAAAATAGTGGAGTCCATATACTCAACATATCCAGAATAACAGTCCTACCAACCCCACCGCACTTGTCCAGCAAGTTATAGGCATTCAGGGGCGGCGCTGGCAAACTTCTACTACAGACATTCATGGCTGTTGTGTAGCAGAATAGATCGAATTCATAGACTGGAGGATTTGAAATTATGCCAGAGTTAATATATGAATAAATATAAATAACAGGCTAGGGCATCCCAAACGGTGGCAAGCAATGAATACAGCCTCGTGGCCTTGTGCTGAGTACAGTCATTTAACCTCGCGCTATATCCAGTCTTTAATTCTCGCGCTGAGCTCAAAATTCTAGTGTTAATATTGCCCTTAGCTGCTTTCCAGGACCGGAAACGATAAATTGGAGACGACGGAATACCTACCCAATCTCAAGGGGTTTCGGCCTTCTCGCAGGGCTGTGGTCGGCGCAACTCGACCGGAGCAGCTGGATAAGAGTCGTGTTATCAAGCAAGTGTCAGTAATGCTATGACGATGAGGTGGTAGGATCGTCAGATGTCAAGAGAGTCGATGGCAGACATCGCAGCAGTCAAGGAGCAGGATGATCGCGCTCAGAATTGTATTCCCGCGTCGGATGATTAGGATCCGCTCACCCTAGCTCATGCTAGAGCTAGAGCAACTCAACTTCCTGAACGAGATAGGAAAGTGCTTATGTAAAGATGGGGGTGTGGAATTGGCTGTTTTAAGACGAGGGTTGCCAGTCTTGGAGCTGAGTATACTCTTGATCAAACTAAGGACAAATCGAACGAAAGGCCTTGATGCTGAGTAGTCTTCGGTAATCTTGCATAGAATGCTATCGGTATATATGCCCTGGAATCGGTGGCGCAACACGCACAGTAGCAACACTGCAATGCCCAACCTCTTTCCGGCCATCCCAACTCACGACACCCCACTGAACGGGCAGTAGATGAGCCTCTCTATCCTTCGGTGGGCGATGACACTGCGCACTAATCGCAGCGCTACAGGTTCTGACCAAGGGCGCAAACATTGCGCTCCGTGGTAGTTTCCGGAATCCCAAAAGGAGCGCCGTGAAAACAATAACGCAGCCTGCGACTAGACTAAAGATGATGCCCATGGTTGACCAGCCCACCCTCGAAGCATCGTATTCGTAGTTCCGCGAGCCGTCGGCATTCCACCCTGCTGTTTGCACCACGAAAACGCTCTGGGAAATAAGCCAATGAAGGAGCATTGAAGAGCCAGAAAGCGGGATCGCATAGCGCAGCGGTAGAGAGAGGAAGTAAGATGATCGCTGGAGTTTGACAGGGAAGGATACACGGAGCGGGCGTCTATGGCGCGTCATGTTGAGCCACTCGCAGGCTACAAGGATGCTTGTGAAGAGGCTGTTGATGAGCAGATAGTTAAAAGAGCAAAGGACCTGGAACATGTTGGCAAATAATACGCAGGCTAGGAAGGCTCTCGTTTGATTCGCCATAATCAAGACTCCCCCGGTGACTGTGTATGCATGGACTTCTCCGATGCCTTCTCTCCAAAGGCTTGAAAAGTCGGTGGCGAGTTTCCGGGAACGTTGATTAATCAGAGTGTCGGATAGGAGAACGATAACGATGATCAAAGTTACCATAGGCCTGCGGAAGTAAGTTCGACGTAAAAGAAATGCGAGATACGACTTACACAGCCATAGTAGTCACCCATCTATGTTTACTGGCTGCCCCAAACCACCGTGTGTGCTTCTGAGGATGCCACGGAAGTTTCGTGAGCTCCCACACTTGCTTGTCGAAGTCCCCGAAGTTTGAACCACACATTTGGCTTGTGTTTGAATCGTTCTGCTCTAGAAACGAAGCAATGGCGTCGCCTAAGGTAATAAGAGTGGTTTCTTTAACGCAAAATGCGGTATAGCAGATGAGCGCGCACTTTATTGCGTTTAGTATGCAGACGGTGATCATGATAGGCGGACTGTAATGAAAAGAGCACCGCTTGTTGTTGGACCCGGTCCCAGCGCTGAGGCAGTGGCTGACGGTCAAGTGGTAATCTGGTGGTAACCAGACTGTCCAGTTTGACACATGTGGACGCATGTTGTCAAAGTTGCAGAAATCATACCTTCCCCTGCCGGGATAATCACATACCCAAATAGGAGCATCCTCCCATGCATTTCTCACCGTAGGGCGGCGCCAATCGGAAATGAGTGACGTCCCATCGTTAAAGGTAATCGAATTATTCGCCAGGGTTGTAATGACAACGACATCTCCAGCAACGTCGAGGACATCGGTGTATCTTTTGATGCAGGTTGTTTTGTCCAGGACTTCAAAGTTCCAAGCTCGAACTTGAAGTTGAGCTGAGGTGACATCTGAAACGTTCCAGGGCCTGGTATTATCCTGAAAATCGCTTGTAACAAATGCGACCGAGTATGAATTGATAGGCAGTGATGAGAAGACTGCAGAATTCCAACTGAGTCATGATTAATCTCTGTTATAGATGTGTTTTCTAGAAGCCGACCGTCCTTCATGCAGAGATATTTGGCAAAGGCTAGCTATTAGGATGCTCCGGCGATTCCTACCTGGTCGAATCGAAGATGAATCGACCACCGCGCGTGCGACAAGACATGAGAAAACTCACAAGAGACTGAGGAATGCAGAGCTGACAAGCAAGAGAAACCAGAGTACTCTTCTAATCCAGGCGATGTGTCTCAGGTTGCGCAGACTGGGACATCCAATATCGAGCCACTTCCTCTTTCTATGTGCCTCGTCCACTTCTCTTCGACTCGGTGCTACCAAAATCTGCATGCAAAAGTTGCTTGATCCAAGTAGTACTGTCGATAGTATATTAATAAGCAGGTGGAGCCAAAGATCTAGCTTCTTGACGACGCCACAATCTCCCTGAAAGAGGGTACCGATACCATTCCTGGTGTTGTTCTTGGACATCGCCCAGGCCGTCCAGACAATGTTTACGATGAGAACAATGGCTGATATCGTTTGGTGAAACGACAAAGACACCTTTCTATCGGAACTCATTTTTTTCCATGAGGATATCAGCTTGTTTTGGTCGGCGGCGGGGGAGAAGCGCTGCACAGTTTGCAAACTAGCGACCCGAGTGCTACTTATGTTAGTTAGCAGGTGACAGCGGCTGGAAACAAGAGGGAGGGAATACGCACTTGATTAGGGTAGCACGTTGTGGGGCGAAGGACAATGAGCAGCGACATTCCGGTGTTGAACAATCTGAAGAACGACCTCCTTTATTTGAACGGTTTGATTCGGAAGGAGGGAAAGATATAGTAAAGTTCATATCGTAAGTATTGTGGGCGACTGTTATTGCTTAGGGGAGGCGATGGTGCCGATTGGCTGTTCTCGTTCTGAGCTGGATGGACAAAGAATAAGGTGAGGGATCTTGGGAAATAGGAAATTCAGATTTCCTATAGCGAGGGCATGGCAGAGCATAGATGAGGCTTAGGCCTAGGCAGCCGCTGAGCCGCAAGCATGGGATGCGACAGACGTGCCAGCTGTTATCTTAGGAACCTCAGACGCTTCACAGAGAAATTTGAGGCGGTGCTAGCCCCACCGGCCCCAATGCATAGCCACAGCCCCACTCCTGCTGACTCCTGAGCCAATAGCACCATGCGCTACCCCTTACCCCCATGCTGCCCCCTGCCACACCCTTGCCACACCCCTGCCCCCCACCCAAAATTCCTCTGTGAAGCGTCTGAGCTTGAATGGGCGCGTGTTTGGTGTAAGCAGGTCGGAATCTTCAACGCGTCTTAACTTCACACACGGGTAGCAAGGTCATTTCGTCAGGTACGGTCTTAGTTGTTAATGTAAATTAATTCTAGTCCATTTTTCTACTACAAACTATATAGTATAGCTGGCTAACCCGCGTATTAGGGGGCGAAGTACAGCGTCAAAGTTTGTATACGCGTTTTTAAAGCTGTACGGAACTACCGCCTCCTATTAATACGGCAACTATACACCACCACCACAACTCTATTGTATACCAAACTTCTAGAGGCGCATCTCCTACCCTATTACAACCACCTTGTTAAATAATAATACCCTCCTACAACCTATAACGCGCTTTCCTAGCCAGTTAGCGGCCGATGCAACCAATTTTAGGCTCCCAGCGGCTGATGTAGATGTATAGGCGGGTTAAGATACACCTGTATACGCTTGTACTTGCCCCTAGACTGGTCCACCACCTCTTAGGAACTTAGGTAATATGCTGGGGAGTTCTGTAATATGGAGGTTAGGTTGTAGGAGGGTATTATTATTTAATAAGGCGATTGTAGCGAAACGGTAGCGAAGCTACAAGCTGTATAAGAAAACGAGAAGTAATAGGAAATAGTTAATTTGATAGCAAATGCTAGCCAGTACCTCCTAGCAGGTGCTAGGACGTAGCCGTAGCCGTAGCTAGGCGGTAGCCGTGGTGTTGTATGCGATGTGGTGCTTGATGTCCACAAGTCTAATCTGTGCAACGAATTTCTCGTGCTTTTGGCGGTCTAGTGCCTTGGTGAAGCTGTCTGCAATCATTGCGGCCGTAAGGGTCTATTTGATTTCAATCTCGTGCCGTTGTACTTACTGGCGCAGCCAGAGATGATGAATGTCAACGTGCTTGAGCCGTTGCCAACGCATCGATTCGCTTCTGCCGCGTTGCTTTCCAGTTGATCGGGCCATTGCAATAGAAAAACGGGCAAGTCTGGACTCTATTGCGGATGTGTTGTATAGAACAGGCAACAGGCTTTTGAATGGAGGTATCGGTGAGGCAATTAGTGGTGTATTAGGGGGCGATATATAGGCTTGAAGCAACACCACAGGTTTTGTTATGAGGCAAACGCGCCCATTTTCCCTCAGACCCTCGGAGAGGAATCCCCCTCGGCGCTCTGTAATTGGCTGGAAAATAGCGCAAGCGCTAACGCCTGCGGCGTACAGGGGGTAGGGCAGCACTAGCCGCCTATTGGCCCAGGAGTTCGCAGAAGTTCCCGGGGCCACAATCGTGTGGCGGCGGTAGCCGCTGATTGGCTCAGAAGTTTGCAGGACTTGGCAGAAGTTATCACGTAATCTACAATTTTAGAGTGTCTGAGGGGAATTTCTCTCCGAGGGTCTTTGAGGTTCCTGAGATAACTGTAGGGTAGACATTCGCGTAGCGGTAGCGGCTGATCAGCGCCACACATAATGCGCAGCCACCTCTGGTTCAGCCTTGCCAACGCAGCAGATAGCGATTCGCTCACGTATTCCAGTCTGGTGTCGAAAGCATGGGGCCATATCGAAGTGACGCGTATGTCTGTGACGAAGGTACACATAGCTGGAAGGGCGGCCTCTAGGAGCTCTCCGGCCCCCTCAAAACCTCACTCGTCTCCTCCTCCAGCGTCTTTAACTGCGCAATCCGCACATCCACCAAGAATGTCTTGCGGGCCGCCCGATCTGACCTCGTCACCCAAAAGCCAGCAACTCTTCCGAATCCTACGCGAACAGTCACGGCGACCATCACACGCACAGCATCTGACGCGGAGTACATAGAGATGCTGGCCAAGACAACCGTGCCGTACGCAAGCAGTCTGAAGGAGGAGATAGCGAGCAGGCCTTGATTAGGGAAGCTGTCGGCGTCTGTTTTGCGCTCCGAAGGATAACGGTGACATCTTGTAGTTCTCTTCCCGAATTTGGGTACTGTGGTGCTGAATTGAGCTCTGATGGCCCGCTGAAATCCGGCCGGTGGGTGACGAGCTCGATGTTCTCGCTGTCGTGTGGATCTGAAATCGCGCCCCGGAAGCTCTGAGAAAGTTTAGGGACTTTTATCCGTCTTGTTTCGAAAAGCAGAGGCCGTAAAGCTATTGTGACACACCCAAGTAGCTGAGTAAGGCCAGCCCCGAGAGGAACATTGGCTTTGAGTGGGATGGCGAAAACAACAACGCCATATCTTGTGACATCGACAAGCATGTACCAAAGAACGGCACTAAGACAGACAAGCACAACGCAGAAGCAGGTGAACTGCATCCGTTCGTTCTGCAGCCAGAGCTTGAAATGGCCATGGATGGCTCGGCGCAAAGCGTGGACATCGCGTTTCCTATGGAACTGAGATTCTGGCGACTTGAAGTCGAGACGCGATGAAAATGCCGTGATGGAAGAGAGAGAAAGCAGGACCGCGAGAATAGGCGAGTGATAAGAAATGGTTTGAATTTCATCCAAGCTATTAGACATCAGACCCAGTATCGTCCGTATAAACGCTAGAATTGACGCCGCGGCGGACCATCTGGCTGTGATATCACTGCGCACATTGTTGAGGATGCAGGCGAAGATGGTGTAGTGTTCGGTTGGGCTGTGCGACTGCTGGTTAATGCAGTCGTCGATGATGGCGCCGGCTTCAGCGCCCTTGGCCTGGAAGATGAACTTGCTGTCGAAAGGCATAGGCTGGAGCGATGGATGATCCTGATGGTGTTGATAGGCATTGAGAGAGAAAGGCAGAGGTGCCCCGACGCGCCAGGATGTCGCCCACGCGTTTCCGAAATCTGCTGTAGATCATTGAAATTTGTTAGTCCCTGTTTGTTCTGTAAGTGGATGGGTATTGTGGATGTGTTATTAGGAGCTGAGCATGTGTTCAAGTATTTAGGGTAGCCCCAAGGCAAAATGTTTAGTCGCGTAAGCCTAGTATCTACAACAGATCCCAATGTCTTTAATAGAACCAGTATCGTGACAACCTCCTATGATTGCTCTTCAAACTCCACTAGCGCTGTGCCCGCTTTGCAAAGATCCTGTAAGATAGTTAGCTTATCAAGTTCCGATGTTGGTTTTCGGGGATAAGTTGTGACGTACTCCTTTGCCATGCACGACCTTCGCAATAACACCATCGTGTGGACTCCGAATCACCGTCTCCATCTTCATACTCTCAATGACCACAAGCGGCTGGTCTTTCACGACCGTGTCGCCCTCTTGAACCTCTACTCTCAGCACCTTACAAGGCATGGGCGCCAGCACGCTATTCGTCACATCCTTGATTCCCAGCGCCTTCTCTGCCCATTTTGGTACAACGAGCTGGAGTCTGTACTGCTTGCCTTGCTGGAATAAGATCACGCGCTCTTCGTCTCGGATGAAGGTAGTAGCGAGGCGCGTGTGTGGATAGAAACTCGTGATTGTTTTTGAGGCCGAATCCAGTACACTGTCCACATTGAGGTACTCTGTGTCATTCACTTCGACGTTGAACTTCCCCGGTGAAGTCTGCCGCACCCGGACGGTTGTGGCCGTGCTCTCGCCCTTGCCATCTGCTGGTATCTCAACGAGATGGAATTCGCGTTGCTGGTATCCAGTGCCAAAGCCGACGACGGAGCCAGAAGCACGGGCAAAAGCGTCGTGCTCCACTTTCTCAGTCTCTTGCAGCAAAAGACCAATTGCGGCCTGACCGAGGACTTCTAGTTTTATTGTCTCCCGTTCGAAGAGTTCTTCGCGGTGTTTCTCGATGTAACCAGTCTCAACGTTACCGGCAATAAAGTCGGGGCTTACGCAGACTTTCTTCAAGAACTCGATGTTGGTGATGGGCCCGGCGATTTCGTACTCTTCAAGCGCCGAATGCAGTTTCTGGAGTGCGGCTTCTCGCGTCGGTCCCTGAACGATGAGTTTTGCAATCATGGGATCGTAATGTGACGAGACTTCATCACCGGCAACGAATCCTGCGTCAACACGAACTGTGGGTGTGACCTTGGGCGTCTTGAGATGGAGGAGAAGGCCTGAGTCGGGAATGAAGTTCATGTCTGGGTTTTCGGCGTATATTCTGGCTTCGATGGCTGCTCCCCGTTCTGATATCCGCTGCTCAATTTCGGCTTGGGTTAGAGGGAGCTTGCCGCCTTCGGCCACGATCAGTTGCCAGTGGACTAAATCTTCGCCTGTCACCATCTCGGTGACGGGGTGCTCAACTTGTAGTCTAGTGTTCATCTCCATGAAGAAAAACTCGCCAGAGTCATTATCGAAGATGAATTCGACGGTACCAGCACCTTCGTAGTTGACTGCTAGTGCTGCAGCGCGAGCCTTCTCCCACAGATCTTGTCGGACATCCTCGTTGAGATGTGGCGCGGGCGACTCTTCTAGGACCTTTTGGTGCCGTCTCTGAATGCTGCAATCCCGCTCTCCAAGAGCAACGCAATTCCCGTGCTTGTCGGCGAAGACCTGAACTTCGATGTGCCGTGGTGTGGTAATGTACTTCTCAACCAGCATCACGTCGTCACCAAAGGAATTCCGTGCTTCCGATTTTGCAGACTCTAGCTGATCGAGAAACACTTCTGGGGTGCTCGCGATGCGCATACCCTTACCTCCACCGCCCTTCACGGCTTTGAGGAGGACTGGGAAGCCAATCTTCGCAGCTTCACCTTTTAGATACTGCGGGTCTTGTTCGCTACCATGGTATCCGGGTATGCAGGGGACTCCAGCAGCGATCATGATGTCTTTTGACTTGCTGTGATCCACGAATCAGCTCATTACCCTGAGGTCTTTGGTATATGTAGGCCCACCTTTTGCTTCCCATAGCTTCTATAGCTTCCCATGGCGGACCAATAAAGGTAAGGCCCGCCTCTGTGCATTTCCGCGCGAATGTTGGGTTCTCGCTCAGCTATGTGCTCTGTCAGACTTGATGTTGGCGCATCCTACAGCTGACATCTGAACGTACGAATCCATAGCCCGGATGTATCCCCTCACAACCTTCCCGCTTCGCGACTTCTATTATCCGGTCTCCATCTAGGTACGCAGCTGGATCTCCCAGATTTATCGCAAATGGAGAGCTTAAAGCATGCTGTGATCGCGCGTCAGGGTCGGTGTAGAGGGTCGTCGTTCGAATGCCGTACTCGGATGCGGTCCGTCCAACTCGCCTGGAAAGCTCTGGTCAGCTGAAGGATTCGTGCATGTCTTCTTCCACATACAGGGCTATCTCTCCACGGTTCGCAATTAGCACTGAAGTTAGTGGCTTCGCTACCGGCACAGCTGTGGAGCTCCTGCGGGCGCCGGAAGCTGTGCTGGCATTGAGAAGGCGGGCGAGTTGGTTTGGTCTACGAAGGGCGCGCATGATTGAGGACTGGTGAGAATGGGTCTTAGGAGTGGCATCCGATCTGAAGTCTTTAAGAGTGCGGCATTTCTCGGTGTTTGGGAAGGAAGGAAAGAAGTGAATGTATCCGGGGAAAGTGTCCCGCGTCTAGCCGAAACGTGGGGAAAGCTGCTAATGTGAACGTCTTGGAAATATCTCAGCGCGCCAAATTTGATAATGGAGCTGTTTTCAATTGTATGGTATGTCTATCTAATAGCGAGTATGCTCCAACGTGTTTGGGGAGGAATGCATGGTGTTGTGGAGTGTCACAAGGTTCGCTCGTTGGCCACAACGTCCCAAATGGACAACAGCGGGCAGGGTTGACGGACAACCATCAAGACTACACTCCTTTACCAAACACCAAACTTCGAATTGCCTCCCTTTAAGGTTATCAATCACAATACTGATCTATTCCACGCATCGGATCCTTCCCAGCTGCCTGCTTCGCTCATCTCCGACGTCAGCAGTGCGCTGCCAATCAACCCCTCCCTCGACGCGTTCAGCTCCGCGTTGTGGGATGACCCCATCGCGGCTCCTGGCCTGTTTAGCAACTCCTAATCCGCGTAATCATTCCCTCGAGATCTTTCACTATCACGAACTCCACTCCGCACTTCGACGTACCGACAGACGCGCCCCGCCGAGCGCCCGTTACACTGCAGCTGGGCAAACATGAGCGACTATGGCGATGGTAACTACTCAGACGGCGATTACGACCCGTGGTATTACATCGAGGAAACATATCAGGCTGCAGTAAGATAGAATCTGGCCCGGGAACGTGCTCTTGGGAGCAAGTCCGGTGGGACTCATGCGCTCAACCGCTGACTTGTTTCAGGATGACCTCGCAGAACACGCCGTAGCTTCACCCCCGCCTATATACCTCGACGAGGATCAATACGACGATTTCGACCTGTTTGACTTCTGGTACGACATAGAGGAGGGTTCTGACGCTGATGTGGAGGAAGCAGAGGGAACGCTAGGATCTAAAGGCCACTCTAAAACAGGCCAAAAAAGGAAGAGGGGCGCGAAGACCATACCTGGAAGGAAGAGACGCAAGGTGGAGGGTGGGAAAATTCAAGCGCTGCCCGTCAGGTCAACGTCACCAACGCCCACCGTTTTGTGGCTGTCGCAAAGCAACCGAGACGCCCAACGTGCTGCGAAAGTTAAATTTCTTGACGACACCGTCAAGCCGTACGCGCTACTCAAAGACTGGCGAGAGCTTGCCGAAAGAAGCCCGAAAGGAAAGGGTCTGGTGGTACACGAACCAGAAGAAGCATCTGAACATGCTGTTGCTCAATCAGGCAAAGGAAGAGCAGCGTCAATTACGGGCCCGCTTTCTCCATCACCAGAATTAGAAGACGATGAGATGCAAGAGCTCATTGCAACCAGTGGGATTGATCCAGGAGCCCTGATGACTGCGCTGCAGAATCGTTTAGCAGACGCTCAAGGTCTCGAAGGATTTGACCGCTCAGTCCTGTTGAAGTATGCCATGCGGATGATGGTCAATGAAGACGAATCCGAGGATATTGCCGGAGAATTGACCGAGGATATACTCGGCCGCGATGATGACGACCCTCACGCTGCTGGTATTGCGTCGTGGATTTCTCAACAGTTGGGCACGGCAGAGCAGGATGAGGACGTTGAACCCGTTGGGGCTAGGAACGATAGCTTCGCAGATTCATCTACTCGATCGCCATTCGCCATACCAATGTCTCCAGCCGTTACTACAGCTGAACAACACCCACCCACTCCATCTTCTACCGAGACAGCTAATAGCACGACCACCACGGCTGGATTGGGGCTTACTGCGACACGGGTTGGCCCAGCAAGTTTAACAAAGGCCACAAATAAGAAGGCTGCTGCAAAAGCTTCGAAGGACAAGGAAGCATCAAAGGCCTCGGCGGCACTAAACACGTCGGACGCTACTCCACAGCCACCTACGCGCAAAAGAAAGGCGCATGCTGACGATGCAGAAACCACCGAGCCTGCTCCGGAGCCGAAACGAGCAGCTCGAGGAGCCCGATCTTATAATGCTCCTACTGCAGCAAGCCAGGCCAGGTCAACCGCACCCGACGCTTCAACTTCGAAGACCACCAGGTCTGGGAGGGCACGGCGCGGTTAGCATACCTCATCACCACTAATCGTGGTGCCATATCTTTTCTATCGCTCTGAGAGCCCTTTTCATGCATAATTATTGGACATATCTTCTTACGGGGTTTCTTTGGGCTATCGCGTTGGACACGGTGGCGGGTTTAGGCATCATCGGCCCTAGTGTTCGGGTAGGTATCTTGGGTATGCATTGAAACACCTATGAGCATTAAGATTGCCTCTGGGGGCTTCTAGGCACGTATATCCCGGGCTTTAGACTCTGGAAAAGCAGACAGCTATGGCTATAAGTTGAATACTAGCTCGTGGGCTTTTCATAGCTCATGAATTACTCATGGTTATAACTCATCCCACATTCTTCACTTCTGAGTAAAACTTCTCTTCCCATTTCGCACTAAGATCCTCATCCTTGCCCCTCCATCCCCACGTCACGATACCAACTCTCTACCCCGTGACCTCAGCATCGGACATAATCTCACCGTATCTTCCGTCACGGAAGCAAATCGGGCCGCCACTTTTCGACACATCGATATAAAACTCTTCTCTTCCTTCAGAGTCTTCCCTCCGGTTTGCGATTGCAAATTGTGAATGGAGTAGTGTGATGGGGCTGGTCAAAATCAGGATGTCGATCCTCCTTCATGAGTGTGTTGTGCTCTGAGATCAAACACCATGCTTCTGGAATTCATGGTCTGGGTTGGGAGTAAGTTTCGGTGGTCTTGCTGTGAAGTGGGGTGATGAGGTATATCTGTCTTGGATGATGATGTTGAGCCTCGTCCATGGATACGGAATATGTTTCCTAGAATATCCAGCTGATATTGGTTTAGGTTCTGCTACTTTAGCTCATCAGGCTTGGTTATACTGACGATCATTAGCAGGTTTTGACGGGACCGGCCCCCAAGCCTCCCAGGTCCATGTTGCTGTTCCAGTCTGTATTTTGCTCCAGTCCACTACACCTACTTAATCATTCCATGCCAGGTTGAATGGGTTTAATCTGCAGGCCCCATGGGGTCCTTAGTTCCGGCGATTTGATCCACGACCCCAGCAAGCTTCCATCAGGGCGAGTGTTGTCGATATTTTGATTCCCTCCTAGTTCCTTCACCCATTCCGAGAAGACCAACTCCCACTCCCTTGGACGATTTTTTATACCCCTCCGCACGAACAACGTTCGGTGTTCCTGTGCTTCACGTGGCTACCTCTGACCGCCGAAGCCCTCGCGCACGTGCTGGAGCAGGTCATTCGCCATATTCCGGTCTCATGGTATTGTAGTTGATTGGTCCGCCGAGCTACGTGTAAGTCATGTGACCCAGCTCGTTTTCTGCCTGCACGCGAGGTATAAAAGCAGAGGAGTCTGTAGGCTTGTTCGTCATGGGGTTGGGGCTGGGAGGATCAAAACGGGACATCCTAGATGGTCATGGGTCCCTGCTGGTGGGATCAAAACCCGACGGTGACCACAGATATGGGTGCTGGTCGGGTTTTCAACACCGTCCGGCTTCCAAATCGATGTTTCTTGTGGAAAGTGGAGCGTCTGGGAAGTGAAGGATCAAAATCCTGTTTCGATCGAAACATGCTGGCCAGTGGGTGCTGGGTGCAAGAGCCGAGGTGTGCAGTGCTCAAAAGACTACTAATGGCGTTCAACATCTCCATGCTTTTATCATAAGCAACACTACCTTCAGTCGACGATCTTGATAAATACTTGAAGCTGACGGGGACCACTACGTATAGAAGAAGCTGATAAGACCGTCAACATTCTTTCAGTCCTATTTTTACAGCACACCTCCAACATGGGCAGTTGCAGGACCTGTGTTTATCACGCCCGAGACGTAGTTCGAAGGCCTGTAATATTTCGAACCTCTCTACCATCCCTCCATTATCACCATCGAGTATAATTTTTTTTCCCTTTCCCTAGTCCCTCGGTGTTAAACATCTCTCTACTTCCTCTTTTGAAAGCGGAATAGAGAAGTTTTATACCCGTCGGTCACGTTACTTCGAGACTTCGACATGGGGGAGGCACACCCGTTCACTTAATCGTGCTACCCGTTCACCCCTCGTTACGAGTTCCAACGACTAGCAGTAGCGTGTTCGATAACCGGTAGAAATACCTATGAGCCTTCTTCTCCCATCTCCAACGTACTCCGCAATCCACAGCACATCCTTTGTATATGGCCCCGCCAGAAACCAGTGCTAACGCAAATCCAGCCGCGTCACAGAATAGGTATGCGATATGTTCAGATTGGCCCGACGCTACATCCATCTGGCGAGTAAAACCGGAGACGGCCTGAATCTGACTACGCAATTAGGAATAATTTCAGATGTGCTAATGAGAGCTAGCCTGGTATTGAGATGTCAGGATAGCATGGTACCTATAGGCACTCTCATCAACCTAGTAAGCTACGACAACCAAAGCGTCGAATCATACCGTGGAATGAGATTCACGGCGCAGGGGGGGAGGTAACGGCGGAGTAGGAGCTGGCGCCGTAGTGTTCGCCTGCATTGTCGCCACTCACAGAATCCTTTCTCACATTGAATGTTCCTCGCAGACTCATCCTCAAACGATGAACGCTTTCCCCCACCAAGTCACCTCTCATCCCATCACGTGCTAACCGCTGAGTCCCATGGCTGCCAAGCTCGGGTGTATGGAGGCGTATATATACGTCTCAGACCAGCAATCGAATTCTTTTCCGGCAGCGGAAGCAAACAAGGAGGAGAGAGATCCAAAAGCCAGTTGAAAACGCCTCATAAGCGAGATTGGTGTGTTTTAGAAACCATACACAAGAGGATCTCATGGTCGGGTCTTGTCTGGATCAAACCAAGCTTCGGATTTCGACGATGTGTGGACCTGCAGAGGTCGGATTGGCTCGTTAAGCAGTGTTGGTGATATGCTGACTACCATTTAGAAGAATGTGGATGTCCAGATCTTGAGTGGGGTATTCTAAGCGTAGCATCATCTCCTCACGTCGAATATTAGCATCTCTTCAACATAGTACTCTTTATCAGCGAAGTCAGTCTTCAGCCGCCCACCACAAGCACCCCATATGTCGCGAACGTGTCCTGTTTCGATCAACCATCCAGCGGAACTCTCAGGAATTTGAAGCACCAGAGCTGCCACAAGCCATCGGATAGCGTATTTGCCTCTTTTACTCCAGATTCTCCATTGTACGTTGGACCGTGCACTTTTGATCATCCTCATCTCCTTTACCTCCCCCACTGACTTCCGGAAGATCACCACTGGCGAGGTTATATACGCAACTCCCAAGGACATCACACGTGCTTCCGTGCTTTACTCGTGACGTCCACGCGGACACCGAAATCGAATAATCGCACAGCGCCGTATTAGTCTTGATACATGACCACGTGCTCTACGCGTGACTCTCAACTCCCCTCCTTTCGAAGGATATAAAAACCTCCATCTTTCCTCAACTTCCAGTCTGCAGGGAAGACACTCGGCGGGGGAGGGAGCAAAACACTCGATGGTATGGAGTGTGGATCGGCTGGAGAGATCAAACCTCCCGGACGAAGACACGATGGGGTGCGGGTTCGCGGAGCAAACGAGCAAAGAGGAGAACCATGGTGGGCGATAAAACGATGGTGGGCGATAATCGGGCTGGTGGTTGCAAAACTCATTATCTCAGCGTACCATGGTGGGGGTGTGCGGTGGTTCTGGGAGGGGCTTAATGGTGGGGATGTTTTGGTGGTGGTTGTGAGGAGCGATGGGGGGAGAGAGGCATGGGTGGGCTTGATGAGAGAAGATGGTTAGTATTATCGTTCGTGAGGGGTGGCTAACTCGGGGGCGGTCCCACCGAATCCACCATGAAGTTTTTTCTCCGTAGCTGTTGCTGTTGCGAGACACATGGACCTCTCCGTGTTGTTGTTTTGCAGGCCGTAGCATCTGAACATTGACAGAACGCGATATTGTGTACATGAAAGCGCCCTATTTGCTACCGGCAGTGATTGCTGTAGGTGATTGTCATAATCTAACTCGTGTCTGTATATTGCCAGAACACCCCTCCATCATCGCCTTCACCCGTGGATTGTTGAAGCAACCTCTCAGAAGCTCCTCCTTATCGAACAGCAGCGTTCTTGGTTGAGGTTTTATATGGAAAGAAAGGAACGGTCATGTGACCCACTGGTTTTCTCGTGACTTGTCCCGGATCACTTGTAGCATGGACCATATTTTTGTTGCCTAGATGTGTCTATTGCTCGTTTCAATACTATTACGAAATACTACTTCTGACGATAATATGCTATTAAGGGAAGAGTGAAATATGATGAGGTCCTGAAACGCCGCCCAATGATGTATGCAGATTACAGTATACAAATGCGAAGGAGATTGCGGACACATAGTCCCCGGACCTAGTCCGAAATGAAAAAAAAGGAAATATGGAGGTGATGACGCCGAGATATGCAGAGAAGAAAAAAAGTCCCATGCGCCAATAGATGCAGCCGAGAAATGCAACCCAGAACCACGAAAAGAAAAAGTCGAAACACTTCCGGCAATGATATCCCAAACGCCAACACAATGCAACAAGTCACCCCGCATACCCTATCCCGAAACACCCTCCACAATCCACCACCAGCCGAAGTCATAATTTCGCCCGTTCCGACCTCCGGGTTCCCGTTCGGTCACCATCATCGGTCGCAGTCCGCCGCTTCCTCTCACGCACCGGGCTCTCCGCCTCCTCCACCTCCGCGACGGTGAAGAGCTCCGGACTCGGCTCGCGCCAGCTATGCCGGTGACCTGAAAGCGTCCTGCTCGCGCGACCCCGGCGCGACCGTCGTCCTCCAGGCACCAGCAGCTCCTGCGCACGGCCCCTCGTCGGCTGAGACAGCGTGATGGCAGGCGTCGAGAGCAAGTCCCGGGCGCGTGGCGTATCTACCAAACGCGCATCGTCGAGGTCGAGAATGAATCCTTCGTCATCGTCGTCGTTGCCTGGGCCTTCCTCGGGGGTTGGGTGGTAGAGCTCGTGGAGGTCGGCGTGGTGACGCGCGACGTAGCGAGCCCATTTTTGCGCAACGCTGGACTTGAACTTCGTGGTCTTCGAGGCCGTGGGTTCTGGGGCGGAGATGATGCCAGCGGAGAGGGAGAGCGCGTCGTAGGGGTCGTCTTCTTCGTTGACGGGGGTCAGGAAGTGCGAGAAGGGGTCGTCGTCGATGTCTGGGAGGCCAGTGGGCTTGGGAGAAGCGTCGGCCAGGCTGGACAGCGAGAGGTGAGTGGGTGAAGGGGGCCAGGAGTAGGTCCTAGAGTTGACGAAGGACGGCATCTTGACAAGCAAGGAGGTCCAGGTGTCCTTTTGATTGAGCAGTGAGGCAGGGTTTGGCGCGGTATTTGGCGTTAACGACGGTGATGCCTCAGAGCCTTTTGATTTCCGGCCCGCGGCCGGTCGATAGGCTGGCAGTAGAGTTGGGGGAGATGGAGAGCAAGCGCCAGGAACAGTAACGACGGCAGTGCTTTGTAGAAGAGCGGGGAGAGAAGAGGTAGCGGAGCGGGAAGATGCACGCGCAGGTTGCTATATACGTGACATACGCATACGCACTTCGCAAGAGCCGCGTGGAATATCACTGAGGCGCAGGGGCAGAGTATGAATCATAGACTGAGACAGAGGAGTGGTGCCTTGAGCCTTAGATGCTATTGCCTGGAGGAAATGGAAACGTGGAGAGGCAAAGGGAATAGAAAAGCAACACCCACCGCCCACAGCGCTTCCTCTGATCTCAAGAACGAGTCGTGGGGCGGATCTTGATAGGACTATATAGATGCATGATCGGGAGAGGTGCTCGCTCAGCTGGGAATGCAGTGTACCCTGCAGTGCAGCACACCCACAGTAGCGGAAGCGTGCGGGAAGCCGAGGCGTGCAGGGTGTCTAAAAGCAGCAATACAAGGCGTTCATGACTTGTGAGTGTGGGCGACGGCGGCGACGCGTGATGGGCAACGAGGGTCGCTGATGGTGTGCTGAGAGAGACGCTGAGCGGTCACCTGCATCTAGAGACCTGGCCGCATGAGGGCCTGCTCATGGGGCAAGCAGCCGCGTCTCACGGCAAACAGAACATGCAGGATGGACGCAGAGTGCCGGCCGATCTGTACGCGCGAGAGGAGAGTGAATTGGCCAAAGAGGTCATCGAGGGGCTTCTTCGGGGCCTGTCAGGCGCCTTTTTGCGGGGGCGAGGCGACACCAAACTCCCCCTCGGAGTTCCTACACCATCTCTCCCTCCAACGATTCACCGCTTCGCCTCCCAACTCTCTGTTTAGTAAAGCCATGCCACCCCTTATCAGCTTCTTCGCACCCGCGGCCATGACGAATGGCTGACTGATGGCGAATCCATGCCTCTATCCAGCCCTGACAGCGATTACAGTGCTGATGCGTGAACGCCAGTTCGGCCTAACCGATCTACTCAGCCCTACCTTCCAATACACCATGTTCTTTCGGGACTCTTGGACGCTCATGACAGCTTCTGAGGGAGCAACGCCTCCATTCCGAAGCGTACCAGGTAGGTGACGACTTCGAAGCCACATGCCCATCCCAACCCCCCACCTCTCCACAATATGCACGCCTCATCGGTCTGTTCCACTCAGCCAGCCCTCCATCTCAGTCTCACATCGGTATCGACTCCGACCGCTGCGAAACTTCCGTGGTCTGATTTCTGACGCCTTCGCTCAGATACCAGCGGGGCTTGGGTGGTCAGCGGCCATCGCGCCTGATGCTCGTAATCGGTGAAGCTTATATGCAATCCTGTTTTCGTGAAAGCAACACGTCTAGACTCCCGGAATCGCTTCCTCTATTTCTGCGTCGCTAACGGCGGTTGTCGGATTAAGAAGCTGTAGTTAGCGGGTGCTAGTAATTCTGTAGAGTCATCCCCGCCAACCATCCCTCCACCTCTTTCACAGATCTCTTATCTGAGTTCTCTGGTACCGCATGATCTGCTGTACATCCTGCATTCCTCCAATCTCACATTCCTTCCTTCTCCAATTATATTACCTGCATTATCTCCATTTCTCGTGCGACCTATCACCTTCATCATGCACAGCACCGCGCATTGCAGTATGCAGCATGCAGGGCGATCCACTCTGCAGCTCCTCTTCTCGGCTTCAGCTCCCCTCTCCCCACCCAACACCTCGGCATACCCGCGTCGCACGCCTCCTCCGATCGGATAGGCTTGCCGATGGCTAGCTGCGATTCCGTATCGCCCAGCGTGGCGACTTGCGAGATGTAGCTGGCTTACCCAAGCCGAGAAAAAGGAATGCTGGCTTCACGATGGCTGGCTGGATCTACATATCGGGCGGCAAGCTCCATGCGGGGTTCGTATCTGATCTCCCAGGTGGCCGGAGGCCTGATGAGGCAAGCGTATGCTGGAAAAGGTTTCCCTAGCCGCGTCAATGACCGGAAAGGGAATCACTCGCGTTGTTGCTTTGTAGAAAAGGAGGAGGGGGTAGATACGGCGAAGTTTGTACGAGCATGCAGTTGGTACTTCGAAATTCTTTTGCCCAGCTACCTACCCGCCACCGTCACTTCGCCCCACCCTTGAGCACCCGGATAACATGATTTTCGTCATGCTGGATCATTCTTTAACCTGCTGGGCTGTTATAGGTAGTTACAGGACTTTGATATTTCCTTGAAGCACGACACGGTGACGGAAGAGTGTAAGGAAATATCATAGATCATTGTAGGCACTTCGGCATGATTATATTCGGCTTTTTGCTTCTTTTAACCGTACGAATTTGTACGTTTGTTTGTTTGATTGTGTGTTTGTTTTCTACATACATACAGTCGTCGTCCAATCCCATCTCGATTCATCCCAGCTCCATTCATGCCTATGCTATACCATGCCATGCTACACAGTCGTGCAGTCTGGAGTATACCCAGGTCCCAAAACGCCGACACCGACAAAAAGCCGTGGTATACGCCATCCATCTCCATCATACAACGCTCACGTCCAGCTCCATCAAAACACACCACTCCCTCTCGTCTCCCTCACGAGTCACTATCGCTCAAACTGTCCCTCCGTCCCCTCACACCACCCCGCCTATACCCATCCATCACATCCCTCCCCTTCCTCGGGCTCTCACGCCCCTGTCTCTCACTCCGTCCACCAACTTGGCTCACGCTCTCGCTCACGCCGACGCTGCCAGCGCTGAGGCCAGGGATGTAGCACGGATAGCTCTTGGTGCCCGTCTCTTGAGTGCCATCGCTGAAGATGTCAGACGCAGCTGGTGACTGGCGCGACGACCGATGCTGCTTGCGCGGCGACGACTGACGCGAGTGCGACTCAGGGCGGGCTTCACGGTCGCGCGCCTGGGATTGAGCTGCCGCGTGCGGGCGGTAGGACGAGTAGTACGAATTGTCGGCCTCAGATGGCGCGGAGGGTACTGTGTACGCCCCAGTGTAGACCGTGTTAGTGTCGTCGCCAGAAATGAAGGAGTAGGCAGCCGACGGGGCAGCACGGCGCGCGGCGTGGAGAGCGTCGGGGTGCGGGACAGAGGCCGGCGCGCCAACAGGTCTCGAGGCAGAGGCTCCAGCGGGTTCAGCGAGGGTAACGGCCGCGGCCATCTCGGGTTGTTTGGCGGCCGGCTTGGCCGTCTTGTTCTTCTTGCTAGCCTTCTCGGCCTCCTTGCGTGCCTTTTCCTCGGCGGCGTGGGCTTTCTTCTCGGAGCGCCTGGCTTCTTTGGCGCGTTTCTCCTGGGCTTTCTTGTCGGTTTTCTTGGGCTGGACGAGGGGCTGTTGCGAGATGTCGGAGCTGTTGGAGTAGTCGTGGTAGGTGCCGTCGTGCGCGCGGTTCAGCCCGCCCACGCGCGCGGCCTTCTCGTGGCGGTACTCGCGCAGCTCGGGGTCCTTGTGCTTGGTGCTGCTGCTCTCCTTGCGATGCTTGCGGGCGTCGCCGCCGCGGATGCCGAAGCCGTGGCGCTGGCCGGCTTCCGCTTCGCGCATCTCGTTCGAGTCGGCTGATGTGCCGGTCTCGTCCGTGTAGCCGTCGCTGACCGTCTCAGTGTTGCCGTAGCTGCCTCCGTGAACTACGCTACCGCCGCCTAGTCTCGTGCTCTTGGTGGCGTTTGACAAGGTCTTTCCGTCTGGCCCCTTGCGTCGCAAGACTGTGGATTTGTAGTCGTCCCAGTCATCTTTCTTCCAGTGGAAGCCGCCGTTCTTGGCCCAGAAGAAGAACCAAATGCTGCCGAGTACCATGCCGACGCCGATGAGGGCGAAGAGGACTTGGAAGCCGACATTGTTGATTTCGTTGGCTGGCTTGACGCCTGCACTGAAGTCGGCAGTTTGGAAACGCTTGGAGAGGCGGTGGTGTAGATCATGGACTGCGATGGGCGAGAGATCGGATGGGTTGCGCGGGTCTAGGTCGGTAGTTGATGTGGCCGAGGAGATGAGGTTGCGAGGCAGTAGGGAGAGGAGGGATGCTGGGAGGGGCGCCATAGTTTGGTTTCCGTGAAGTGATTGTAGGAGGAATGTGGTTCGCCCGAAGGCTTGAGCCTAGGCTCAGGTGGTGGAATGTGGTTTGCAGTCGGTCGTGGAGTCGGAATGAATGCCGGCCTTGAGACTTCGAGAAGGCGGTGTTGACGATGAGGGTGGAGGATCTAATTTTTAGTCAGACGTGAAGTGCAGTACGAATGTTGATTGTAAAAGAAAAGGTGGTTTAGCCCTGTGGCGCTACAGATATGCGTGTGGTGGTTGGGATTTTGGGGAGCAAAATGGAGGTGGTTGAACGAGGAGGCTGGGGATGACGGAACTGAAACAACAAACGCCGCTGGCCGGGCAACACCAGACGATCTTCATCGCCACGACCACCACCGCATCTTTGCAAGCAGTTCAGCACCGTCGGAGGTGGCCCAGAGAGTTATCATGCTTGCCAAAGCTGGTATTTCATGAATAGTAATAGCATACTGGAGGACCTCAATCGGTGCTAGACAAGCGTACACAAGCACAGAAACAGTATGCATACCTCACGGATTTGTGGACTGCCACTTTCTATTGACACTTATTAACCACGCTGTCTCATAGTTGTACCTGTCCATCACTGCTTGAAGTGCTTCAACAAGTTCCTACGTAACCCAGAGTGAAGAGCTTCTTTCCCGTTTAGATTCCTGAAAATGCATTGAAGCACCCCAAGCACTGTCACACACGCGCACATGTAGAGTGCCACCTTTCTCATGCTCCGCGTGAATGCTTCGAATTGAAGCAAAATCTAGGCTGATTCGAACGACCCTGACTTTCGCATTATTGTTTCTTGTCTGGCGCTGTCCACGGCTAAAGATGCCGCACGCTGTCGCGTTTTCTCACGCCATCAGCAGATACTTGTAAAACACATCTCTCTCCATTATGAAATCAAATCCGACTTGTCTTGCGATCCGCTCCATATTAATTACTGGCCGATGCAGACATCGGGGTCTGATCCAGTGCTTTTTGCCCTACGACGCATTCCGAGCAATGGGCACAACGGCATTGAGAGCAAGCACGCAGGCTTGCTCGCAAACAATTACTAATCTTTTTCGGAGGAATTACCAGGTGCATTGATCCTCACTAAATAGTGTTCTAGGCTTATACTCTCATTAGTCTCTTCTCTTCAATCTCTTTCACACTACCTAAGCAAATCTGTGGACACTTCGGTACTTTAATAAAGTTGGAAGATAATCCCCACCCTCCTCTCGTGTTGATCTGTGAGTGTGTATTTAGGCGATTTGAGCCTCTCAGAGGATATCTAGTGGTGCAGCTGCACGTTGTGGCTCAAAGCCTTATTCGAGATGTGGGCCCCATGTATGTTTCTCCTTGGGGTAACCATCAGGTGGGGGGTCAATAGCTTGACGGCGACTCACGGATGACTCGAGGAGATGGCATCCGGCATTCCTACTGAGAAGGGCAGTTTAAATGTAACATTTAAGTCAAAGCCTCATTTGCACAGGTAGGCACGTGGTAGGTCGATTCGAAATACCGAAACAGAGAATGATCGGATAAAAGTGGACTATCAGAGTGTTGAGGTTAGCGAATTCTCGTGAACCGCCCTTATAACAGCTCTTCGTTGTCATTCGCAGCATGGACTCTATGCGGGAGCCTATGGCCTTCTCAATCAATATATTGCAAGACTGGTCGGTCGATGTGGATAGATTGCAGAGAATCCATACTTGATCGGTTTGTAATTCCGAAGAGCCTTATCTCTTTTTTGGTAGTATACGACCATATCCTTTCTCAAATTCTGTCCCACCTCTCCGTACGACCTAAGTTCACGGAAAAGTAGACGGACTGGGAAAAGTAACGTGACGTCGGCCTCTCTCGGCTCGGCCCGTCGTCTCCGCCTGCCGAACGACCTCACTTCCTCGCTTCTCTCTCCACGCGGTCCAGATGGCAGCGCTTCGATTTGACGACTATGACCTGTGGAAGCTTTCAAGCGCTTCATTGATGCACCCGTCGACATCCCTTAATTGCATCTCTTCTCACGAACATAATCGCTATTGGTCATCACATCACATCTTTAAGACCCGTGCATCACTTTCCTAACGTGTCGCTTAGCCTTGCTCAGCCGACCAGTTTGACAACTCATTCGCCGTCATCGCAGACCTACCCGCGCCCGACAATAGATATTCTTCCTCGTTGTGACTTCATCTGCGACCTTCACTAGTTCATTCACAAATCCACCACCCCTTCCTCTTCGGTTCTTTCTCCGACGCTTCTATTTCTGAAGCAATACCATCATCGGCGATCTGTCCCATTCTCTTTATATTGTATGAACCTTTTGCCCAATTTCCTCTAGATTTCGTCAAGGCTTTCGGTACCTCTATCCACGCTTGATCATGTCGCAGCACACTGCGACGAAGCGACCATACGATGGCGACCCCGTCACCACGGAAGTCCCTCTAGAGGCGATCAGCGCCTCTCCAACGTTTCTTCCATCGCCGGATTCTCAGCGAGACGGCCAGCATCCAGATGCCCCAGAACCCAAGCGACGCAAAGGCGAATCTGACACCCCGGCGACTGCTTCCTCCAGCGGCAAAGACATATACGGGAACCTCCTAGGGGTTGCCGGTTCCCCCCTAAGTTCGGCGGCTAGCGATCTTAGCGACTGGCCTGAAGCTCTTGAGGAACGGAGGGTCAAATCTCTCACTACTAAATCGCGTAAGCCTCCAACATCGAAACAGGCCACGGCACGGCAAGCTCCAAAGCGAGTCAAGTTGCTACAGACGCCGAAGGCATCAAAAAAACTTCAAGCTCCTAAAGTGGTCAAGGCAGCTCGGACTCCAAATTCAGTCAAGGCAGCTCGGACTCCTAAGCCAGCTGGGGCGCCTAAGACTCCAAGACTAGCCAAACAACCGCCAACACCGATCTCAGTGATAAGACATTCGGGGAGAGCCAGCGCGATTGCGGCGTCTTCAGCGATCACGAATCTCTATGCGCTATACCCTGCGGGAAACGGTCCTGCTTCGTCTCCCAAGGCGGCACCCGTTGCGATCCCAACCAAGGACGCTGTTGCAGAGAGACCCAGCACTCCACTTCTCCAGGATGCTCACGATTTGTCTACGGACAACCGTAAGGACTCTCGCAAGGAGTTGCCCAAGCGGCCTCCCGTCTCCCTTATTACACCTGTTGCATCTCGAAATCCTATAGTCAGCGATGAGGCTCCTCTAACGCACTTCATGATTCCTCCTCTCGCTCTTTCTTCCAGTATAGATACAACAGGGAATCAGACTCCTCTAACACACTTCGTAATTCCTCGTCTCGGTCTTTCTATTAGTATGGATCCGACGGGGAATCAGGCCCCCGATGTTCTCGGGGACCAAATCAGTCACTCGGAAACTTCAGAGGATTCCGGCTCTCAGTCATTCGTGAATACCCCGGAATTTATGGACGCCGAAAAAGAGCTGTATCTTCGGGATATTGCAAATCAAATTCAAGGTGCTCGGCCATCTGCACCTAGACCGAAGCCCGCTCCTTCAAAAACCCCTCTCGTTTGGGCCGACGGCAGACAAGCTCTCTGCGAGACGCTGCCGTACTACAGGGCGTATCAAAGTGGCGGCTACTGCACGGATGGGCTAGCTCGAGCTTTCATGTTTGACTCCAACAGCCACCCCCGGGATTACATGGATCAGAATGTCGTCGTCTCCCGTGCTGGTGGCGGGAAGTCCAAAGACGAGACATCTGGCCAGATGGTCATGGCAGGCGACCAGAAGCAGACCACTCAAGTATTAGATGTCCTCAACAACATCGCACAGTGTAACCCTGTGGTTATTATCGTGGGAGAGAACAATCCGACCTGTCCTTCCCAACCACCCCATGCTTACTGTGTGATGGACTGGTTCAAGCCCACACATGTGTGGTTCGAGAAAACGAAGGGCCATAAAATGATCCGGTACCGGTTTGAGAAGCTGAGGCCTTATGAGAACTGCTGGTGGGTGCCTTCAAATTGGCCAGAGCCGATTGGTCTCGGCGATCTTGAGCCACCGGTGTCGAAGCAGTGCAATGCTTGCAGTAAAGACAGCCTGCAAGTCTACATCAACGGCTGGATGTGTCTGCAACCAACTTGCTTGAGATTTTGGAAGCTCGCAGATGGATCGGAACCAAGAGAAGAGGATCTGCTGTACGATCCACGGTTCCTCACAGCCAATACTCCATGGCCTCACTGCAGCGAACCGTCCCCAATCCGCCCAGAACTGTTAACCATCAGCACACTCCCAATTCAAGGGCAAAATCTGTCTTTCGAAGCCTGGAAAGGATTCGCCTGCCCCCAGTGCGGACGTTGCAATTCTCGAGAGGCTTGGGAGGGCTGGGAGTGCGGTTCTGACGGTTGCGGCTTTACGTATAGGTTGGAGCACACACTCGTTCCTGCTACATCTCTGCGCGACCCGTACTTCCCGCTAGGAACTGGGTATGCCTTCTCCAGGGATCTCATCGGGAAGGGCTCTCCCGTCAAGCTTCGTGTGGAATTCGCACACAACTACCGGATCAACTACTTCGGCATCGCCGGCATCGACGGCTTCATTGCGCATCTCATCGCCAACAAGACCGTCAACGAGGAGCCCAACGGCCCTAACGACATGTTCGAAGACCTCCAACTCAACTCCATCAAACTCCGCCGCAGCCCGCTGCCAACCGCCCAGCTCAAAGGCCAATCCCTCACCAACCACTTCGTTGTCAACTACGGCATGCCCTACAAATTCATCGCCGGCCCGCAAAGCCACCCCTTCGAGCACGCAGCCCGCGCCATCAAAACCACGCGCTCGCGCCTCAACTGGGCCGGCCGCCTCGTGGCGCCCGACATGCCGCACGCGTTCAACGAAGTCCTCGCCCTCGGCTACTTCGAGGACCAGACCATCTCCTACCACGACGACGGCGAGTTCGGCCTCGGCCCCACCATCGCGACCCTCTCGCTCGGCTGCACTGCCAAGATGAAGGTCCGCATGAAGGCGAACCACTACCACGGCGTGTCGAAGGGCGGTAACTACGACAGAGCGCAGCCGATCGCCGGCTGCCAGAACTATGAGGCACGCAAAGCCGCCCACGATGCCCTCATGGCGCTCAAGGCTGCGGATCTTGCGGCGTATAAGGCGAAACTGAAGGCGCTGCCGAAGGAGCTAGGGCTCACGGCCACGGGCACCGCGCGCGACGCGCTTGAGATGAAGCTCGGCCACGGTGACGTTGTGATTATGCATGGAACGGGAATTCAGGAGTACTACGAGCACCGCGTCGAGCCGATGGGGAAGCTGCGCTTTGCGCTGACGTGCAGGTATATCGACCCGGATAGTCTGAAGCCCGCGGACCGGCCCGCGTATGCGGTGCTGCCGGATGAGGAGGGGTATGATGGGGGTTTGCTGCCGGATGCCGAGTAGGTGGGGTCTAATTTGAGAGGGGGGGAGTGGGGGGGTTAAATGGTAGAGTCAGGAACGTTTGCGTGGCCAGTCCTTTGCTTTGGAGTTTTCGAGACGGGTTTGGAGTGGTTTTGGAGTCTTGCAATTTACGGGCGACGGGACGGTGGGTATACCAAGATGGGGGTTTTTCTACAGTCATCACTACCGGGTTCAGGTAGAGGATTGGAATATCATTTCGTTTGGGTGGGGGGAGGGGGGAACAAGGGGGAATAGGGTTAGCCGGAATTTCACAACTCTACACATTTACTTACACTGCCCTAGCCTACCCGTGCCGTTCCTTTCCTAAAGAACCCAAGAAAAGCGCCAGCGCCTTCAAAATAACCCAAACCCCCCACCAAAAAAAACCATGCCCGCCCCGAGTCGTGAGATATTCCACCGCGCTAATCTGTTCCCACCCACCCACGCACTCACCGCATAACACCCGTCAATCAAACACCACTGCATCTGCAACTCCCCAATGGTATGTGCTCTTCCGCTCCCTCCCGCGGTCTGCGGTGGCAGAACAGAAGTTCAGCCTCCCTTGTCGACCACCAAGCCTGGCTCTACAAAAAACACCCCCTTGTGCGAAAACCCCCCCGGCCCGGCGTCTAGGGCTGGTTTAAGGAGGGGAAGAAGATGTAGGGGGTGTCCCGATCTCACTGCGGAGGAGGACAGGAGGCCCTCTACGCGGCGGGACTTGGGGCGTTGGTGGTGCGAGGGAGGGGATGGGAGGGATAGAGGGGGGTGGGAACGGTGCTGTAAGAGGCTAGAGGCTGGAATTGGGGGATGGCGGGGTGGTGGTGGGAGGGTGAGAAGGTAAAGAGGGAGCAATGGGAGAAATGGGAGAACAAATAGTGTCAATTCTACTGACCCATCTGTCTCCAAATTAACGATTAACTACCTAGTCATCATTCTCCAGATAATCCAGCCTCACCCCCCTTTCCCTGCTCCTGTTTCTTTCTTTTCCCTCTTTCTTAGCTCATCGAAATACGTACGTGTAAAGCCGGCACGCTTCCCAGGTGCCAGCGATCGAAATGGGAAATGCAACCCGGCACCCAGCACCCAGCGAACCCGCACCAAGCTATGGGGGTACGATAATAGGTAGACGAGTTCCCCCAAATAGCAAAGGCTCCATGCTAGACCAAAATGCTTGCAAGAACCCCATGACGGTTTGACGAAGGAAATGTGGTATATGGATGTGACGGACGGGCAACGAGGCCTTTTGACGCTTAGGTGCATCGGTAACGGTGTGAGCAATCTGCGGCCAATGTGACTCGTGTGATAGAAGGTTCGAATCGGGTGATATCGGATGGGTGGAATCTCAGTCTTGTTTGCGATAAAGTACGTGACGCAAGAAAATCGAGCAAGGACGTTACGTCAGATCCCCCGAGCTATCAAGCGGACTCGGGGATTCCGACTCCTTCTCCTCGACAACCGGCCCGCCCATGCCAATGCTGTCTCTCTTCTTCTTGTCCTCCTCCTTTTTCTTCGCTTTGCTCGCGGCAGCCGCTGCCGCGGTGGCAGGAGAAGAACCGTTAACACCGTTTGCTAGGTTGCCGGCAGAATTCGGGCTGAGATTCGAGCCGGCCTTGGATTTTTTGGACGTGTTGATGGAAAAGCTCGAGGTGAGTTTCGAGGTGCTCTTTGAGTTGTCGGATTGCGCGGCGAAGTCTTTCCATTTGCGCCAGCCGTCGAAGTCGATCAGGGCTTGCATGCAGCCCCATTCTTTGACTTTGCGCTCGAGCCAGACGAAGTTGACGGGCTATGTATCTCATTAGCGCGGCATTGTTCGCCGGCATTTCCGATGGAGACGTACCTTTGTCAAGAAGTCATTACACCCAGCCGCCAAAGCTTCATGCCTGTCACTCTGCAACGAACTCGCCGTGAGCGCCACGATAATCACCGGACTCTTGAATAGCAGTCCATCGGCCAGCTTATCTTCCGCGGGAATCTCCTTCTCTTCGCCCAGATTTGGAGCCACGTGGTTTCCACTGCTAAAAACACCTATGCTGTTTACCCTCTCCAGTCTCCGGATTTCTTTTGTCGCCTCCAGCCCATTCATGATGGGTAATTGAATATCCATCAAAACAAGATGAAAGCCTCCTGACCTCCATTTTGTTACAGCTTCCCGCCCGTTCATGGCACGCTGCCACCGGACCTTCAGTCGCTCCATGAAGGCTCCCAGAACTCGCAAGTTGATTATGTTATCTTCCACGATCAAAACGTTTATAGGAGGCACAGAGCCATCGAGCAGGCCTGAAGGTAGTGAGGGAGTATCCAGTCCAGTTCCTTTCTTCTTGCGACCCTTGGGTCGAGGCGATGAAACGCGAGGTGTTGGCGGGGAAGACCCTTGCTTTATCAAAGGAGCCCCCTCAGCAGCTGGAGGAGTCGATATGGGAACAATAGCGTGTGCAGGGTGTTTAGCTTCTGAGGCGGTGGAGTCATGACGAGGACGGTTGTTGGTGCGCGCGGACGAGCTCAGAGAGGCTGTCGAGTTTGGCATTGTTGTTGGAGATGCGGTATTTTGTCGAGGGTATTTTGGTCGTAGCGAGTGATGGCCACGACGGGTACCTCCTGGCGATGGTATTAGGGGTAGCTGGCCAGTGTTGAGGATGGATATGGAGTGTTGCTGTGGGACATGAGACATTGAAGCCCGGCTGTCGTGAGAAGCGTTCGTCAATGCGGCTGGTGAAGGGTTAACTACAGGCATCGGCGGGAAGTATTCTGCAGCATTCTCAATAGGGTTCGACTGGTCATAGTAGTAGGGAATGCCTTGTTGTACCGCTCGTGGCGACGGGCGGGGTGTCCGCTTGTGAGGGACGTCTATAATAAGAGCCTCGTTAACAGTCTGGCCGCCGGGATAGTACGCATCGATGGTACGGCACATCTCTTCGTCAGGCCCCAGCACGCGATCTCCAGATTTCTGGGTTGCATCTCGGGGAAAGATACGCAGGGTAACGTCGGGGGCGTCGAAGTTCCTCCCCAGCGAATTTGCATACTTCTTCAATATCATCTCCCGCACATCATCAACCAAATCATCCTCCCGTACCTGCACCAGTGTAGCCGACGCGTGCGCCCGCTTAACCCAGACCTTCCGATGAAGCATGCCTGCGGAGAAGGTGGAGTTGCCAGCGGCGAAGTAGTCCTGGGAGGCGGGTCCAAGGGCAATGCTGGCAGACTCTGGCTGGTGCTCGGAGTCAAGAAGAGTCTTTATTATGCGCGCATTTGAGGTCGTCACGAGTGATTGTCGGCGGACGATGGCAGGCGGCTCTAGTTGATGCGATTTTGTGCCTTTGGGAGCGCGGCTGCGGAGGGGGGTTGCGACGTCTGAGCCCAGAGTCTCCGCGTCTTCCAGCTGCAATTGATTTGTTTTCAAGCTCGCGGATTGGGCGGGAATGGGTATCGGCGTGGGCTCCTCGAGGGTCACAGCCGGCAGGCCCGGTGCTACTGGGGGATGCGCGTCTGCTGCAGGTGCTTCTTCGGCGATGGAATCAGCGAGCGTGGGGCGGTCCTTTGACTTGAGGCTGTCGGTGCCGCGGCCGACGTCGGAAGCGGGAGATGGCTGGCTCCTGGCGGACAGAGTTCCGGAGTGCTCGAGGTTGTGGGCGTCGTCGTCGTGCTCGACGGCGTTGGTGGAGACGTCTGGTAGCTTCAGCGACGAGGAACGGCGGTTTGGCGGATGAGGTAGCGCCGCCGGTGGCTCGCCGCTAGAGGCCGTCGACTTCAGCGAGCCCAACGTCTTGCTGGAGTTGGAGGAGCGCCTTCTCAGCAGCGTGGAGAGGCGGGTCTTCAAGTCGCCCATCCCGCTGGCCCTCGTCGCAGGCGCTGTTGGCGGACGGGGCTGCAACGTTCAGATGGGCGTGGTGGGTAGGTGTGGCGCGTGGTGCTAGGGCGGCATGTTCAGGTGCTAATCATCTCGATCCGACGCGTGGTGGGAGACGGGAACAGGTGGGCGCGAGGCGGTGCTGCGGAAAGGGGGCATAAAGGAGTGAATAGAAGAGGAGAAGCAGAGGAGAAGCTGCGGTGGTCTGTAACGGCACCGGCACAGCTGGGTTCTTGGGCGAACTGCGGAGATGTGGTTGGTTTGGGCCTCGCCAGATGCCGTGAAGCTTGTTCTAATGCAAATCGAGATGCCTTTCGCTTCACCACCATGGAGGCCACCCAGGCCAGGAAATTGCCACAGCGATGCACACACTCAGGCCGCACGCGTCAGCTCTATCAACACCGGCGCGCCCGGTCTCAACCCCGGCGGCCGTGGCCCAGAGACGGCCGTCTGTTCGCGGCCGGCCTGTTGCAAACACCTGATACTCGCATTCGCTATCCAGCATCCCCCCGCGTGCCGTGAGGACAGCTCACAGTCAGAGAGGCGGGCTTCAACCGCCAACGGCCGGGTACGATCGCCGGCATGACACTCGCCACAGCCAGGCCGCTTCGGGCCGTGTCGCTGCTCATCTCTCGTGCCGCTTCCAACTTTTTTCCTGCTCGAGGCTGGCACGGTTCCCCCAGCTCGAGCCACACGCGCGGCCACAACGGCGTGGCTGGAGCTCCACAAACGTCGAGTGTACCTCCCGCTGGCTAAGTACACCACGCTAGATCTCCACACAGGCGGCCGGTGCGGCACCAAAGGCTGTTTTGCGAGCCAGAATTCGTTCTGGATTCAGTAGCTCGGCGCGCGCCACGCTAGGACAGTAACTTACGGGCTAGTTGCTTATCTAAGCAGCCCCGCCCCTCTCCTGGGTATTCTATAGCTGTCAATGCAGGATTATGACCCACGCAATCGTCTACCTAGCTACCCTTGTAAGAACTCATCTTAACGAATCCTGAGGACAGCATCCGCATTCAGGCCTAGACCCGCTGCTTTACGTGGCGTCAATGAACTACAGCAAACGCAGTAGAAGAAGATAAGTATTACTAGGAGGTATAAACCCCCAATTTAGCTAACTTTCCAAATAGCTGTACACCCAAGACCTGCTTTCGGACTTGGCATCGCCAATCTTCAGTCATCCCTGTATTCACGATTAAGCTCGCTCCACCAACCGGGCGATAAGTCTTCTATGTATGTAGCAGCATGCCGATACGTAGAGCAATGCTGCAAGAAATAGATATACGATGAATGTGGATGCAATCTGTCGGAGCGCGTCAGTGTCATATTTGTTTTCTATTAGGATCGAGAAGATTGCTTTACCTGCATCTCATCTACTGACGGATGATTCCACAGAGGGCTAACCACCAAGAGAGTCAAACCGATGAGATAAGACATAATAGAGTAGCTAAGAAGCAGAATTGGAGTTTGAAAGATGAACAATCCAAACTTGCTTGACGAAGATTGAGAATCTCCCCTAAGGGATTCCATGAGCTCCTTCTTCCCGCCCACTCGAATATCTGCGGTATTGATCACTATGCTGAGATGAAAGGCAATAATGACGCAGAATAGACTGAATATCAGGCTACCATCCCAGGTAGCTCTCACGAGCCAGTGGGCTTCAGTGGCGTTGCTCCATTGCAATGAGCCCGTTACGGCAGAGGCGACGACCGCGCCCTGGGAATTCGCATGCTGAGTCAGTCATTGCCGTTACCACGCCGCAACCTGGTTCATACCGCGATGCCCGCGGTCTTGTATTCCGCTTTCTTACCATGTTGCCAGCGTGCCACTTTCGAGTCTTGATCCTCCAAATCGTCTGTGTCAAGCACTTGCTCTAGGGCGCAATGGAACATCAAGAGCGGCGCAGTGATTATATAAAGCCCTGTCGAGATGAAAGATCCACACGGAATTATGCACTGTACGAAGAGTAATCAAACGGTTAGCTTTTTTCCGCGCGAGGCTGATGTATAGGAACAATTTAGCCATACTTCTCGAAGTTTTAATCTACATCCTCGCCATCTTTCGGATATCAATGAGGACAAGGACGCTGATCGGAGATGCATCTCCTCGTCGGCCAAGAACCGCGAAGGCTGAGGTCAATGAACGCGTTAATCCTTTGAGGATACGGACTTTTCTCATCTCCTGGACAAAGAACGTCGTTAGAATCGCTTGTTTAAATCTCATTTTCATTGACCGGTGTCAAACTGATCGCCATTTTCGAGTAGTAAATACGTGTTCTTCTAGCTTCGTAGAACCTGAACCTTGTCACAGATTGGGCGCCCTTTAAGCTCAGCCTTTCGCCGCACCAGTTGGCAGGTGCCTGATGACCTGGCATTGCGCCTCCAAGAAAGTTGACTGGCCAGCCTCGCGCAAATTCGTGATAGATGCCTGCAAAGCTGCAAGGCTATTATCATAGCCTCACCGGCGAGCGGTTACATAAGTTTAATTGGACAGCCCCGCGTAACTAAATACCTCGCTCTTGGGAAAAGCTGCAGTGCAGTTATAACCGTGGCCTTCCCATACCCACATTTTCTTCTGAATCGTACAGTGTTCCTCAGTATTGCGGCAGGATGATGACTCACAGGTTCTTGAAGAAGCTAGGCTCGAATTCAAACCTCGAATCGCGCGGATCATTACCCTCAGATAGTCAATCGGACCTTACTAGCAGCAATTACATTGATCCACTGGGTTTGAAGGTCATACAGGATGATGATGCAGCACTTGCTGAGTATGCTCTTCAGCGCTTTTTGATGTGCATGCTAACATTAGCTCAAGTGTCATTGCAATTCACGGACTGAATGGTCACTGGAAGGATACGTGGACTGATCCGGTCAGTCACAAGTTTTGGCTCCAGGACTTTTTGCCCAAGGCCATTCCAAAAGCACGTATCATGTCATACGGGTACGATGTGAGCACGCACTCGCCTCAACCGATACCACAGCAGACCGTGTACGACCATGCGCAGGATTTTGTGAGTAAGCTGGTACAGATGCGAACACGATCAAAGGTCTGTGGGAATCCCCAATATCAGCGTCAGATATTGCCAACTCTTATGTGTTACAGACTACAGAACGTCCCATTATCTTCGTAGCATACAGCCTTGGGGGGATTGTACTAAAGAGCGTACGTAGCTATCCTTACATGTGGGTGCCTTCTACTAATATGAGTAACATAAAGGCATTGATACATTCCCACAACGCATCGGCAAGTCATCTACCTCATCATAGGCCTATCAAAGCCTCCACGTACGCCGTTCTTTTCATTGGAACACCGCAGCAGGGTGTCGATGGCACAACTATAGCTTCATTGGTGTTGGGTGTTGGGTCGCTCTTTGTGCACACAATTTCCAGATACTACAAGGCATTGAACAGGGACTCGGAGTGGTTGCAGCAGCAATGCTCAACCTACCTGTCTATTAGCATGGACTTTGTGACGAAATGCTTCTACGAGACGAAGAAAACAGCCACGAAAGCGGGTCAATTTCAACATGTACGCCCCTCCATTCTAGTCTTACTCACTGCTTGTGAATTTGTGTTGACATCAGTAGATTGTTCCCAAAACTTCCGCAGTCCTTCCAGGCGCTGTGAACAATGAGTCGATTGGTATCCACAAGGACCATTTGACATTAGTCAGGTTTGCTCACGAGGATGATGAGGACTTTAGAAATGTCTCAGAGACCATATCCGACCTGGTGGAGGAAGCTCCTACAAAGATTGCGGATGTCTGGTCCCGCGAGAGAGAGATCATAAGTGGGTGATCAAAGAATTATTTGTGACTAATAGGGCGCCGCGTAGGTGAGCTTACACCGTATATAGGGATAGGAACTTACAAGCCTCCCTTTTCCGTTCCTTTCTCCCAAGACCCGAAATTTGTTGTACGACAAGCTTTGGCAGAACGCTATTCAGACTTCTTCAGCAGGACAAAGCTCCATAAACGTCTCGCTCTCTTTGGCCGAGGAGGCACAGGGTATGAGAGCCACAAGGGTCCTCCGATCTCATAATCATAGCTAATTCGATCGTAGGAAAACGGCTCTCGCAATCGAATTGGGCTATCAGTTCAAAATCTTTTTTCTCTCTACTGCAGTCTTTTGGGTGCACGCCGGAAGCCGCACCCGCTTCGAACAGGGCTTTTCTCAAATCGCGGATGACCTTCAAATCCCAGAACGAGATGAGCCCGATAAAAACGTTATGCTCTTAGTGGCAAACTGGCTGAGCAGGCCGAATATGGCACCCTGGCTTCTGATACTCGACAATGCTGACGACGTCACTATTTTCTTCGATCCAGACCACCAGGAAGACGAAGAAGAGCTCTCAAAATACATTCCCCAAAGTCCGCAAGGTGCCGTTATCGTCACTACCAAGAACAAACGTGCCGCAGCAGTTCTTTGCGACAGCGACAATATCTTGGAAGTACCGCCAATGACCCCGGAAGAAGCGCGCAGTCTTCTGCAAAAGAGACTTGGTCGTGAAATTGAGACGGATAATACCGTCGATGAGTTTCTCCGGGAGCTAGAATATCTTCCTCAATCCATAACTCAAGCAACGGCATTCATGGTATACAATTCGATTGAGGCGGATGCATACCTGATTTTGCTAAAGAGCGAGTCGGAGCAGATGCAGCTCCTGGAGGAGCCTTATGCGGATCTGCGCAGAGACAGGCAAGTGCCAAACTCCATAATCGCCAGCGGAAAACTCTCGTTCAATCAGATTGAGCGAGAAGATCCAAAAGCTATAAAGGTCTTGTCGCTCATTAGTGTTATCGATCACCAGGCAATCCCGCAGTCTCTGCTTGACGAAGCATTCGAATATAGGCCCCTCGAATCTACAAGATCCATGGGCACGCTGAAAGCGTTCTCTTTACTGGTACCGCATAAGGATAACGCGAACTATGATATGCACCGATTGGTTCATATGTCGATCCAGGCGTGGCTCAAGTCAAGTCAGGCGCTCAAGGAATGGCAGCAGATGGCTGTTAGACTCCTAGCGAGATGCTTTCCTTCGTCGGACTTTGAGATGTGGGCACTCTGTTCTGCATACCTTTCTCATGCCGACGTTGTCTTGAGATACTCTACTGATGGCTTACCTGATCGTATGCTCCAAAGAGGTTCAATATTGGTGAAAACGGCAGCGTTTCTAGATCGAAGAGGTCACTACACACGCTCAGAGACTCGAATTCAAGAATCTTTGTCCCTACGCGAGAAGATTTTAGGGCCCGAACACGAAGAGACCTTGGTGGTCATTCAGCAGTTTGCAGTGAATCTCCGGTATCGTGGCAAATTCGAAGATTCCGAGCGAATGTGCCTTCGAGCACTTGATGCACGAGAACGCCTGAACGGAAACTCCCACCCAAAAACCGCCGCAGTCCTCAATGACCTCGGCATCTTGCTCAGGAACCGCGGAAGATGGACAGAGGCTGCTTCAATGCACCGCCGAGCTTTAGAAGCACGCAAGAAAAATCTCGGCGGAGAACACCGTCGTACCATTGAAAGTACTGTTTCTCTCTCGGCCGTGCTATGGCACCTAGGCCAAAACGAAGAAGCGGAGATACTCAATATTCGTGCTATTGAAGCTTTCCAACACACATTGGGGACGAAACATCCAGAAACTCTGACGGTCGTCAATAATATAGCCAACACCTTGTGGAGCAAGGGGTTCCTAGAGAAGGCGGAAGAGATGTTTAATGAAGTGATTGAGGCTCGCGAAGCCATACTTGGAGAGGAACACCCAGACACTCTGACAACTTGCAGCAACCTGGGCGCTTTATACTGGCAAATGAAACAGTTCGAAAAATCTGAAACGATAAGTCGACAGGTTCTAGAGCTCAGATCATCGGTGCTGGGCCCCGAACACGTGGACACCATAACCAGCATGAACAACTTAGCCATGGCCATCAGGGGTAAAGCGAAAGCAAGCCAGGACACCACAAATCTGAACGAGGTCGCATCACTTTTGCGCGAAGTAATATCAGCTAGGTCAAAGGCCTTGGGTCCGGACAGCCCAGATGCCTTGGGTGCCGTGAACAACCTGGCTCTCACATTGAGGGACATGGGAAGTTTCGAAGAGGCGGAAGCCATGTTTCGACGCACAGTAGCAGGCTTAGAGAAAGTCGCTGGGGTGGAGCATCCGAACACTCTTTCCTGCTTTGCGAATCTTGCGACCGTCCTTCAGGAGAAGGAACGCTTCGAAGAAGTGGAATCATTGTTTCGTAAATGCCTCAAGGGCAGGATAAAAACACTTGGAGAGAACCACTTCAAAACACAAGAGGTATCCAAGCAGCTGGAAAACCTGCTTAACACTGAACAAATTGTCATAAAGGAGAGGATATCAGCTTTTGGAGCGTGATAACGAGGTATAGAGGTATGTTGACACGCGGAAAAGCTGCGCTGGACAAAGAACTGTTAATGTTAACATATTCTAAAGTTACTCCACAAGCCAGCCGGCCACCCAAGCGAGCTGGCCACCCATCTGAACCCTTTATCTCTACTCGCAATACATATATACCCTGCACCCCTGCACCCTAAATCCACCCTCCACCTCCCCAAAGACCCCTACCCCCCTCCACCCTTCCCCCCCGCCGTCCTCCCACCGTCCTCTCCACACTCCCACTACTCCCCGGCCTTACCATCAGCGCCGGAAACGCGCAGAACCCCTCCGCCGCGCTCGCCCACGCCGTCGCGCACGTCGCGCACTGGTGCTGCGTTTGGTGGAGGTCGGCTTGCCCCGGCGCCGACAGCGTGAGGCGGTGCATGACGACGCCGCAGCGCGGGCAGCGGAGATGCTGCTCCATGACGACGGTGCGCGAGGTGGTCGCGGGGCTGTACAGCGGGGGCGCGCGGTAGAGGCGTGGTGTGGATGTGGGGGTGTGGGAAGGGGTGCTGCCATGGTTGCGCGAGCTTTTGGTGTGGGTGGTGGAGGGAGACGTGCTGTATGTGTTGGGCGGCTTTGGCGGTAGATGCATCGGGTGGTTCGCCGCGGCGGCAGGCCGGGGGGCTGGCGACACGGGGAGAGAGGGGGTTGACGAGGCGTGTGGGTGGTGCTGTTGCGGCTGCGCGTGGGGTCTGGGTTGGTGGCTCTGGCGGCGGTTTTGGGGTGGGAGTCGTAGACTTTCGGTATAGAGGAGCCAGAGGTGCAGGGAGAGAGCGTCGGACATAGGGGTATAGTGGAAGATGCGGGAGCACGGTGGGCACAGGGGGTATCTGGGGTTATGGTTATGGTGGTCACGGAAGTAAAGCTTACTAGTGGGTGGTGAATGAATGAGTATTTCTTAGGGCTATTTTCTTAGTTTCAGGGCTGCGTCTACAGCGAGTGATGATGTTACGTGTGTTAGGGATAGTTCGCAGCTGGTGCTGGACATCTTGCTGCCGCGCTGTGGCTCTTGATGTGAGGGGCGCGGTGGCTTAATGTGGTTGGTGGTGGTGCCAGCACGCTGCCGCGTCGGGGTCTGCAGTGTCGTTAGGGGAAGGGGGCGGTTATTTACTTACAGCAATCGTGTTTAGCATGTCGTCTTCTCCTATCCTTCTTCATGGGAGTAAAGATTTCCGTCTCGACTTGCCCCAGATAAGGACGCTATTGTTACGCTGAACTCACACGTTCAGCACATCCCTATCAGCGGACGCTGGCTTCCTCTAACTCTTATCCCAAACACCATCCGATTTCTGATATGATACATATCCAAAGACCCGGTCATCGCAGACCCGATCTCCGCTGTGCCGCCCGCACTCGAGACCGTGGGGTCCAGCTTCGCAGACTTCGGCTCTACGATGAGAGCTTTCGGGGATTTGACTGCAGCACCTGTTTGGGCAAATTCGTCATTCTCTCGGAAAGGAGGGAACTGCGTGAGGGAACGGAGTGGGTCGGATGTGGATTTACTCATCGCGTGCTGTTGATGCTGTTGATGCTGTTGATGCTGTTGATGCTGTTGATGCTGTTGATGCTGTTGATGCTCTAGAGGCTTGTGCTGATCCAGGATTGCGATGAGAAGAGTAGAAGAAAGGTGTGTTACAGAGGTTCAATCTGGTGGTATGGTTGGTATTTATATTCCGGGGTAATGAATTGTGCAGATGCAAATCTATAGGCGTCTGCACAATGAACGCTGTTCAATTTCTGTTGGTGAAAAAGTGAGTGAGGTTGTGTAAAGTATTAGCAATGTCGGCATTGTATAGACGAGCGTTCAAAGACCAACACAATGATTTTCATGCCAGATTTCGTTGATGCTATCAACTATGCGGTTGCTAAAACGAACTTTGAGTTGGCTATAGAGCTGGCTGTCATGAGTGTAAAATGGCTTGTGCAAAATCGCAGTCAGAGGATGTTCTCTCTCTGCTCACTGTCTTCCCTCAACTTTAGAGGCAGTGGTCTTAGCCGTCTAGATTTTCTTGGCTCATGAGCGTAAGATGTCAGAATTCTCGGCTTGCTGGTGGATGAGGCTTGATATAGGGATCTCATGAGTCGAGAAGAAGCAGAGTGCGAGATAGGAAGTAAGCTAGGAAACATTTTACATCAAAAAGACACCTAGAATCTACGATACGTCTCCTTGAGGAAGGGAGAGAGAGATGACGGAAACAGTCACCTACTGGATCAAACACCGCCACCCTACCATCACCCACCTATGCAACCTTCCTCGTCACCCGCCCAGACTCCCTTGCCCTTCGCCGGCTACTCCCGTCGTCCCCTTAAAGCACGCCAAGCTCCGTATCTCCGCCAAGCCAACCACCACAATCTCCAAAACTCCGCCTTACGATTCCCATCTCGCACAACAGCGCTTGGCCAGGCGTACCTACCGCCGATCTCTTGGCCTGCGTTCCGTAGCTCCGCCAGTTCTTGGCAGGCGCGTGCCAAGGGGCGGACAAGATCGGATCTGGCGCATTGCCAAGGTCCATGCGAGACTTGAGACCTCGCTGGGCACCGCACTGACGCCGATACCCGTTTTTCTTGTCGTGCGGAGCCGTAGTTCGAATCTTGGGTGCATAACGATTGCCTAGATGGTGGCGCGGGAGCTAAGGGATGTCCCGCATGATGCTTTTCGTTCGGATCTAGGGCCGGTGTGGGTTTCCTAAGGCTTGGTAGTGACAAACTGGCCACGGTGGGCGATCTTTCGATAGTCCTTCGCGGGCGGATCGCCGCGGAATGGTTTGCATGAAGTTGATGGTGATGGTGGTGGTGGTATGGTGGTTGGGATATGTTGCAATCGATGGAGCTGGAGCTGGTTAAACGCCAAGCCCTGGCAGTATTCGTACGCGCTCCGTTTCGAGAAAGTCGTTAGGAGTTGTAGATGGATCGGCGATTCTTCAGATCAGCCGCGGCTGCTTCATCAGATGCCAGATCAACTCCGCAATAATGCGTTGTCGTCGTCAGTCGGTGATGTGGTCAGTCTGGGGCGGAGTACGAGATGCCATGAAATTGACGTGTAGAACTGGGCGGTGGAGTCGCATCGAGTCTGCGTGTATGTGGGTAAGCCGCGCCTTACTTCGGACACCGAAACTATCCGCATTGACAGATACACGCACGAGTTGCTGTTTAGAGGATAGAGCTGGAGTACAAGTGTATCCCCAGGATTTGCCAAGCACCGACTTACGGGAGCGGAGGTCTACACGTCTCCTGATGACGACTGCCGAACGAAGAAGTAAGGAAATGACGATGAGCAAAACGTATCATTGGACATGCTTTGTTGGCCTCAGAGCAAATGTTGAGAAGCTCATGCTGAAACCAAGTAACCTTGGATGCTATTGTTGGGCATGGGGCCGGTGGCCGCGCGCATGCGCCAGCCTTGATGCGGAGATCTTCGGACGACGATTCGCCAAGGCAATGGCGGACACGGCCAATTGATGTTCTCCTGTGGCAGGGTGACACGCTTGCAGGTGTGATTGCACACAAGAATGCTAACGCGGCTTGCGACTGTGAGGTACCAGGTAGCACCTCGTCTTCGCCCAAGGCACAGCCGGGGATGGCGGAGCGATCACAGTGGAATTCTTGGCTGCCAAGGCCAGAGTTGCAGACGGGGTTGAGACCTGGAAATGAGACTCTGTCCATCTCTCCGGCGTCCGAAGCTCGAACTGCACACCCGGTTGTGCGGCCTCGGCGGCTCACAGTGACAACAGAGGAAACAACTCACGTGCGGAAAAACCTTTCATATGCATGCAGGCGTTATGCATGCAGCCATCACAGTGGAATGTGGAGAAGCGGTTGACTCGTGGGGGCCCGTAAAGCACGGGCCTATCACAGCCGGGGGTGCTCAAGAGGGCATTCTCTGCATTTTCGCTCCTCGGGACATGGAGGAAGCTCTTCACTAATGCAGGTGAGCTGTGGGGGATGAGCGGATGAACAGCCAGCCGGGCGCTGGAACACATCGACCGGTGAATGGGAATCGACCACAACGCAACCAGCAGAGCTGAAGCGTGAACGATGCTCGTACAGATTAGGTTTTGGCTCCACACGCTAGAAAAAGCAGTCAGCTACCTAGAAACAGCAGTCCGTTGCGCTCCGGAGCCTCTTCGCGAGGAGTGAAAGGAGCCCGGCGCGTACACTGCATATCAAACTACACACGCAGTACATGCTGATGTGGTCTCTCCTAATACACTTCCTACATGAGCCAAGAAGGCAGTTAGATTGAAGTCGGGGCCGTGCCCGGGCTCTGATCGGTGAACATGGTCGAGATTGAGGCCGCTGGGTACACGACATGTGCGGGGTGCGAGAGTGCTGGCACTGTGGGGATCTTGTGCTCGAGAAACTTGCGGGCGTTCGGAATTGGGCAGCGCCAGTCGCTATGGAATCCAGCAGCCCTGGAATGAGCGGTGACAGTTGCGATGAAGCTGTTGGCTGTGATATACTGTAGGTGTAGCTTTCATGCCCGCCCTCGTCAATGCCCAAGGCACCCCTCATCGCCCCCACGCTCTTCTTTCCAGTCGCGAAGGGCGGGTAAGGAGCGTTCGGGACCCCAGAAGCAAGCCTTGAAAACAGCCGGGCTGGCGTCAAGCTGGGCCTGAGTCCACAACATAGAGTTTGCTGCTGCATGGCATGGTCGGACTCTGGCGAGGGTGTGAAGCGTCAGATATCGGCAAGGGAGCATCAGCAGACAGTCGTTCAGTCCAGGCGTGCGTACATGCTGAGGCGGCTGAGACGTCGAAACACAGGCTGGCGGTGTCTGGGAAAAGTGGCAGTCAATTCCGCCACCGTCTGAGGTGGCCCGAAAAGCTGAGGCTCGTTCAGACTGTGGTTTTATAGTTTTTGATAACGCACCAGAGCATCCCAAGCAGTGCTGGGCAAGTGCACACAAGCCTAGAGAGTGCGTTTATCTAAAGCATGTGAGGTTTCATAAGAGCCACAGATTCGTCGACTGCCACTTTTTGCTCAACGAACGCTGCCGGGGGAGATGTGTGCAGGACGGGAGGGGGATAATCGCGCAGCGTCATATCTCACCAAACAGGCGCCCACGATCTCTCTGCTCGGGTCAGCTCTCTGCTGCTCCTGTCCTGTGGTCCTTACATAGTACTGTACAGCATGGAGAGCCCTGGCTGCTGCAGGCCGTCGACGCCGAGTGCCAGAAACGAAGCGCTGGCAGACGGCATGGGCAACGCTGCTTCGGGCAAGCCGGCGAGGGGCGGTTCGAGCAGCAGTCCCGGCGGTGGGGGCGATCCCGGCTATCGATCATCTGCAATTGCGCGAAATTCGGGGTGCTGGTCTTGCAGCGGGGTGCCAGGGTGCGTCTGAAGCCTCATCGCGGGTGGGCACTTAAGGCGGCCGGCAAGCCCAGCACACCAGCACACGCGGTTGACTCGGCGGCTGCAGCACTGCAAAACTCGCCTCGCCGTACGCCGAACGAGGCCGAAGCTCGCTGTCGGGCCTGGTTCACAGCTCGTCGTCCGATAAAGAAGCGCCGAGGCCGCCGCGCCCATAATCACAACCTCAGCGTCTCGTGGTCGGCATATGCTACCCGGCTTCGACGTCAAAGGCCTTGCCTTCCAAGCATCTTGGCAAGCTACACCAACCGTGGAAACACACCATCCGCCCCCGGCCTGTGTAAAAGCCTCGCAGACCCGCGCTCTGATCTTGCGCTCTGATGCGGCTTGCCACAATACAATAACACAGCTCTGAACACGCGTATGGCCTCAAAACGCATTCAATCCACCCTCCACATCCACGACCCCCTCGACACCGTCCCGGCCCTACGCTTCTGCTCCACGAACCTCGCCTCTGCCTATCACCGCCCCAGTTCGTTACAGCGCGCGTAGTGATAGCAGTTCCAAGACCGCCCAGCCGGTGTCAGTCCGCCGCCGCAGTTCGAAACGGTTACACGGCCTGTGCAGACGCGTGCAGATCGCAATTGAGACCACCACAGCATCCCCACAACCGCCAAGAGTGCCATGGCTTCCATCCAAACTCAGCCGCTGATCGAGCCTCAGGGCCTCTCCGGCCTGGCTCCGTCGAGCGGCCATAAGACCGCACCCGTGGACGCCCTTCTGGAGGTCCAAAACTTCAGAGACTCCCGTCTGATCGACTGCCAAACCCCCATTCCCGAAGAAGACGAGAACAACGAAACCGCAAGCGAGCCTCCGGAGCCCGTTACACCCACCAGCGACACCGCGCCACACCCTTTCGACCACGAAGGAACCGTCGACACCGCCGCCGGTATGCCTCGCGCTGAGACGAAGCTACGTCCTCTCGCAGCGACCCCTGCGCGACCTCAGCCGACCCCGCGTTCGCAGACCAGCACCTCCATCGACACGGCTCAACAGCCCAGGCAGGGTCTGGGGAAGCGCGTGGGCTCGTTTGTGCGGAATAAACTTCACCGCACCCCGTCTGCCGAGCCGCCGCAGCAGTTCTCCTTTATGACTACTGACGTCAGCGTCAGCAGCAATGAGAACAGCAACGGCAACGGACTCATGATCAAGACCCGCCGCTTGAGCTCCTTCTCCATCTCGGGCCGGAACACGCCCAAGTCCTCACAATCGAACACCCCGCCCTCACCTAGCTCGCCTTCGAGCACCATTTCACACGACCCGACGTTTGCTATGGAAAAGAACTCGAAACATTCACAGTCGTCCACCGCTCTCAGCGGCATGAATTCACCACGGCAAGCCCTAAGTTTTGGTCCGAAGGGGAATAGAAAGCCATCACAACATCCCCAGCGGGAGCGATCCGCGTCGACCGACCAGATTCCGACACTCGTCAAGAAGGATGAAAACACTGTGGGCCTGATGGCGAATATTTTCACGGAGAAGGCAGCCGAGGGCGTCGGCATGAAGGCTCGCAAATTGAGCACGAGTTTACCGGACCAGTTCAACGTAGACCACGTCGAACTAGACAAGGAGTTCAAGAGCTCGAGTCTGATGCCTGGGAAGCGTGGGAAGCTGCTGGGAAAAGGCGCGACGGCACAGGTGCGCATCATGGCGCGGAAAGAGGCAGCTAATGGTGAAGAGCAGCTGGTTGCCGTGAAGGAGTTCCGCGACCGGATAAAAGATGAGAAAGAAGAAGACTACATCAAAAAGATCAAATCCGAGTACAGCATTGCCAAGAGCTTGCACCACCCCAACATCGTGGAAACGGTGCGCCTGTGCTATCACAATGGCAAATGGAACCATGTTATGGAATACTGCAACTACGGCGAGATCTACTCTCTGGTCGACCGAAAGCTCTTTGCCTCGGACGGCTACTACTCTCAAACCGACCGCCTCTGCCTCTTCAAGCAGCTGATCCGCGGAGTAGACTATCTGCACAGCCACGGCATCGCTCATCGGGACATCAAACTGGAGAATTTGCTGCTCAACAAAGACGGACATCTCAAGATCTCTGATTTCGGTGTTGCTGAGGTGTTCAGTGGTGAGCATCCAGGCCTTCGCGCCGCAGGAGGAGAGTGTGGAAAGAACATGGGCAAAGTGCGTTTATCGGCACCTGGAATCTGTGGAAGCATGCCCTATATTGCGCCCGAAGTCCTCGACAAGGCGAACAGCTACGATCCTCGTCCTCTCGATGTCTGGTCCTGTGCCATCGTTTTCTTGACCATGACCTGCGGCGGCTGTCCCTGGGATGCTGCCCGGAAGGACGATGGCAACTATACCAAGTTCATTGAAGGTTGGGAGAAATGGCTCAAGAATCACCCCGACGGCCAACTCACCGATGGTGACGATGGGTATCCCAAATGTGGTATGCTCTTTGGCCTAATTGGCCCACCTCCCATCAAACGCCTCCTCTTGAAGATGTTGCACCCAATCCCGGCAAAGCGCATCGCAGTCCGCGACATCGTAAAGCTCTCGTACTTCAAGAACATCGAGTGCTGCTGTCCCGAGAGCTTCGAGGACCAGACTTGCTGCATCGACGTATCGCAGGCCAAGAAGGGCTCCTCCAAGATGATAGCTCAAAAGAAACACCTGCATCGTCACATCCCCCCAAAGCCGGAGAAGCGCGTCACAAAGGTGTTCCAGCATCGCTTCGATATGGGTGAGGGCTGGAACTAGACGGAACTGTCTTCTGATCTACACGTACATACGACATGCGAGGAACCAAGCTCGCTTCTTCTTTGGTTTGTTATAGCGTATATGCTTCATCTGCATGAGTGGCGTTGTGTTGCTTTTATCTCGAGATTCCATTTTACCCTTTTGGATTGATCCCGACGAGAACGACGGATTATATGTTCGGTGTTTTTGCAAAAGGCGCTCGTGGGAGGCAAAGACCTCGGATTCGAGAAGGATCTGATATTCGAGGCTGGTTTTGGGTTGGAGCTGGATCACACTACCTACGGCCAGTGTGCCCCCTTCTGCACTACATGATTTTCGATTGCGCACTACTTGTCGCGATTATTGTATATGAAAGACGGGGTTCGGAGAAGACACTACAAGCTAGGGGAAGACAGCAAAGTAGAAGGGTCATTATTGCTAGGAATCACTGGTATATATTCGTAATGAACGGCCGAAATGTCATTCCAACTTCTCGTCGTCTACTTTTTCACAAGTGCCCGTAACCTTTCGATATATCACAGCTTTCTATCAGCCATTACTTCAAACTCCTTGAAACTCCGCACTCTTCCCCATCCACTCTTCCCCATCTTCACCGCTCCAACCCATCTCCACCCAAACCGCTCTGGGCATCCCCAAAACGGGTAATCCACCACCCCTACTCCTGCATCCTTTCTCTGCCCCATTGATCGCCCACACGCGCGCCCAATCAACCCCACCACGTTGAGGACCAGACACCCCTCAAAGCGGGGCAACCTCATGATGCATGATGTCAGCGCCCTGCCCTCGGCCGAAGAGCACCCCGCTTTCTTCGTACGGCAACCCACCTCCACCCACGAGGGGGGCAAGGGTGCCGTCCTTTGTCATCGGGCAAAAAGGATCCCAGCCACGAGCCCAACAGCCGCGCCGACGGACCGTCACAAGGCCCGAAGGCGCGAGGGTGCCCATGTTTACGCAAGAGGACGTGGGGGGAGTTTGTTGGAGATCGGGTGGCAGGTGGGGTTGCTGTGGTCTCGTATGTAGGTAGTACAAAAGACTTTTCGTGGGTAGGGATGCGCGCATCAGCCCAGCGTCAACAACGTCCTCAATTAAAGCTCTTGGCGCGCCTACGTGTGGAGCTGTGTGATGGAAAGCGGCTGCGCGTGAAGCTGTGGGGGGGTGATGGAGCGCGAATGCTGCGTCTGCGGAAGGACCTCCCTTCACGAGCGGCTTGCGTCCAACCCAGCACCCCAATGACTTGCATATCGCGGGTGCGTCTAACAGCGGCGAGGGGGGCTGGATGCGAGGGGACGGGGGTAGCGAGGACGCCTTGCGACGCGGATGCTGCGTTTCTTGCCCTATCTCGCTGGCTACGGGTGGTGGGATGGTGGAGAGAGAGTTTGGGACCGAGCGCGGGAAGCGCGAGGAGAGCTGGTGCTCTAGAATTTCTAGAACTTGCGCTGCCACGAGGAGATCGAGATTGAGGATTCTGGGATGGGAGTGGAGGGAGGGGGGTGGTGGATGGCCGCGTCTAGATCTCTGGGTATCTGGGTACCAAGGAGCGCGATAGCGAGCGGGTGGGTGGCGATATCCATGAGCTGGTGGTGGCCTGGACCTTTGAGCAGATTTTTCATGGGGAGGGAGAGCTGGCTGGTGGTAGGGCTGGCCGGTGTCGGTGTTGGGTTGCTATTGATCTGGATTTCCCTGTCATACTATCCTAAATTGCACACTGCCCAGCTACGCTGTATTTGGAACTGGATTTTGAACGCACGGTGAGGTTTCGAATATGTGAGGAGAAATGCGCTGGAGTGATGAGATATACACCGGTTGGGTCGAGCTCGCTTGAAAAGTTATGATATTTTCCTTATGTGAAACATTCTCCATCACAGCAGGAAAATGACCATAAAAAAAGGGAACACATGCCTAATATTCTACGCTCAAGCAAGGAGAATTTGCGTGTTTGAAGACGACTAGTTAAGGATTCTATCAATGGAGGCTGTACCGCCGTAATTGAAGAGCTCTCGCTCAACCTCATCAACCCCATTTCCGCCATTCCTTTATTGCTCGACTTCAGTTCCATCACTCGTTTCCGATGAACAATTTTCTCAAAAGCATTCGTAGCCTTACACGCAGGCCAGCATCACGTCCGCACAGAGGCAGCTCGTCGGGATTTGCAACCCTTGACGAGGCAGTTAAACTCGAAGAAGAGCGGATGCCACATTACGAGAAGTCTGTCTACTACCCAGTCCGCATCGGAGATGTCTTTCAAGACCGCTATCGCGTCCTCAGCAAGCTGGGGTTTGGCGCAAATTCGACTGTGTGGTTCTGCCGCGACTTAGGGTGAGCAAGAAACCTCGATTTCCGAGCTCACACTAACACTAAATATGAAAGGCAGCAGAGTTATGTTGCGCTGAAAGTTTGCATCACCAGCTCTTCAGCGAATCGCGAGGTCGAAGTGTTCAAGCATATTGCAACAACTCGATCAAAGCACAGCGGAGCATCCTTCGTGCGCACCATGCAAGATTCTTTTGAAATTAAGGGTCCCGCTGGTCTCCATCAATGTTTAGTACAGGAGCCACTATTAGCGAGTCTTCACGAACTGCAATGCACGCTGACTCCGAAAAGTCTGCCTGAAGGCATGCTTAAGCCGGCTTTGCAGCAAATATTCGCCGGACTCCATTGCCTCCACTCCGAAGCCCACGTCGTACACACTGGTAAGTGATGACTAAATACATGTACGGAGACAATAAAACTGATCACAAATCTAGATCTCCAAGCTAAGAACATCATGATCGCCTGCCCTGATCCAACCGTGTTCGAAGAGTGGGAGAGGGCTGAACAGCAAGAACCAAGTCCTCGTAAAGTCGATGGTGATCGAGTAATTTACAAATCTCGAGAATTCGTTCTACGCAAGTACCTGCGAGGTATTGGTCGATGCATGATCGCAGATCTGGGTATGGCCCGTATCGGCAAGCAGCACGACGGCTTCATACAACCGGAAATCTATCGCGCTCCGGAAGTCATGTTTTGTATGCCATGGGGCTCAGCAGCAGATATATGGAACGTTGGTGTAATGGTATGCATGAACACCGTTTCTACATCCCGTCCTTCAATAGTTCCTCGCTTTGATAATCAAAGTCCATGTTCTGACTCAGTTTTGAAAAGATCTGGGATTTATTCGAAGAGGGACACATGTTCAGCCCTGGAGGCGATGATAGGAAACTCTCCAACGCGCGTGTGCTTGGTGAAATGATTGCTCTGCTCGGTCCTCCTCCGCGAGGGTTCCTGCGAAGAGCCGACGAGACTCTAGCCTATTGGAACCATGAAGGCAAGTACTACTACGTTTTTTGACTGCGTCACTAATAAGTTTTATTAGATCAATGGAAAGGATTCGCAGAGATTCCGGATTACTCTTTAGAGGACTGTGAGGTTTATCTCGAAGGCGATAATAAGAGACTTTTCATGTCCTTCATGCGGAAAATGTTGCAGTGGGAGCCAGAAAAGAGAGCCACGGCGCTTAAATTGCTCCAAGATGAGTGGTTGAATAGTCCAACGGAAGGATCTTGATTGGCTTGTGAAGCGTTGCCCTTTTCGGTTGATAGAGAGGGGTAGGAGTTGCTTCCGGTTCCCAACAACCTGTGCGAAGCGGCTTGGCATGGCTTGTCTTGAAGAAAGGATCTGGTCATTGCGCCGTCTTACTAGCAATAAAGTGGCTGCGTCAATCGGCTTGACACATCTGGACCGGCGAGGAAAGAGTTCACGGCGCTAGAAAACGTTAGACGGGCTACTGCACCCCAGAACCCAGATGGACGAGAATGCTGAGAAGCCTAGCGCGAGAGCGCCGGGAAGATGGAGGGGAAAATGATAGCCTGGAACTGCTACACCATGACTGCGATATTGTGGTATGGTGACTAAGTGGTTGGGAGTGCGTGGGGGAGGAGCTGGATTACGAGATGAGAAGTGTTGGCTTTCTACAGGAGTGGGGAGGTAGAGCAGCTTGTTACAAGTATGTATTGGACTATCGACTTCGAAGTCTCCGAGGAATGGCGTCAATTCAAATCACTTCATCCTAGATTTCATTTCACATCCAACTCTGGCACACAGTCCTCTCTTGTTATTCATTATACCGATACTGCCTTTTCAGTTTTCGACTTAGAAGTGAACGTAGGATTCGTAGTTAAGAACTGACCATATTCCCACATATCTACCTTCTCGAAGCACTCCTGGTCCCTGTTTTCACCCCTCAAAACCTACTAAGCCACGCCTGATTCGACCACTGGATCCTCCACTCCATCTACGCTTGCCAATAGCCCTACCAAATCTCCAAGTCTCAACACCCGATACACTGCCAAGCCTTACCATTCCCGGCCACATCACCCTCCCACCTATCTCCTCCCGTCTCCAACTAACCTCCCCCAACAACCCCGACATGAAACCCTTCCCGCATTATCTTCCTCTTATCTCGCCATCCCAACCCCCCTCCCATGCTTTCCCGAAAATCTTCCCGCCCTCCTCCCGCATTCCTCCGTCAGTGCCCAGCCTTCCTATCACGCCACCAGCTAGGCCAGGCGCTCCGCTCCGCCGCACCGGAACCTCAACAGCTCGGGCTCTCGACTGCCATCTCGGCTATCGCCGACTTAAGCATGCAGATGGTAAACAAATCCCGCATGTATGCTACTGGGGTCGGGATGCCGACTTGGGTAGGATGGCACGAGGACGCGGGCAGAGAAGGGTGAGTAGGGGGGTCGAGACGTCTATGGAGCGATCCATGAAATGAAGGTCTGAAAAGTGGTAGAATAGACATACTTCCTGATTTGAACATTTCGAGATTACAAGAATGTATTAGCCACCAAAATTAGATCTACGAGTCTCGTCTTAGGAGACCACGTGCATTATATCCATCCCCAAGCTGAAAGCTAGTCCCAACCACGAACCTGCAACCAGGCAACCACTTTTCCCTTCCATCTTTCCTTCCGTCTACCTCCCTAGACCCTCACTCCCAGAACGCCTCCCCCCTCCCCTAACCAAGACCTAATCACCTCTCTCAAAACGCCATTCCCATCTCCCCATCAAACCCATTCTCCCACCCCATCCCCTGCCCCCCCAACCCCATATCCACCGGCAAAAAGCTCACCCCCCAAAACCCCCCATCCTCCCCCTGCGGCGCCTGCCCCCCTTGCCCGCCACCCATCGCAAACTCGCCCACCGCCATGAGATCCGTCCAGCTGAAATCCCCCATCTGCTCCGTCACCGCCGGACTCTCGCCCGTCGTCACCGACCCCGCCTGACTCGGCGGCGGCCTCGCCATCCCTGGCGTCTGCGGGAGCGTAGTCTCCCCGACACTCCCGCGCGCCGCATGGTGCGGCTGCGACCCACTCGCCGGGTACGCCGCCGCTCTTGCGCCACGATCCTTGCGGCCCGCCTTCGCCCACAGCAGCTTGAGCAGCTGGCTGTACCGGCTGCCCGGGTGCTGGAGCCCGCCGCCGCTGCCGACCGCGCTGCGCTGGAGGCGGGCGACGGTCTCCTGGATCATGGCGCGCACGGCGCGCTCCTCGTCGGCGCCGATGACGCCGACGCAGCGCGCGCGGTAGAGGAAGACGCCGGCGTAGACGAGGTAGAGGTAGAAGCGCAGCGGCATGAAGCGCAGGGATTTCTCGGGGTCGACGAAGTTGTTGGCCGTGCTGAGGATGGCTTTGGCGGCGTCGAGGCCTTCGTAGATGAAGCGCGCGTCGCCGACTGACGCGACGTTGTTGTAGAAGACGCGCGAGGGGGCTTGGATGGAGTGGTTTGAGGGCGGTGGGGCGCTAGGGTGGGGGTGGGCGGAGGCGTTGGGGGAGGTTGGGTTCGGGAGGGTGGAGGAGGTGGTGGTCGTGGTGGGGAGGGCGCGGCGGACGGTGGCCTGGAAGGCGAAGGCATTGGTGTAGAGGCGGAGGTAATCGTAGGACATTAGGAGGGTGGCTTTTAGTTGGGGAGAGCCTGGAGATTAGGTTAATTATAATCGATTTAAAGATGATAGGAGACGCACATGTCAAAGTTCCCCATACGCTTTTCCATCCGTAGATGGCGGATCGGAAGTCGTCGATGAATTTGATGTAGCCACCGCTTAGATGCGACCTAAAACTCGACCCAGGATTTGAATACAGGACGTCGTGGACATTACTGCAAAGCTGGGTCAATTCGAGGGTGGCCTGGAATATGCTTGCGTAGTCCTCCTCGTTCGGGCTCTCTGGTAACAAGGCCGGATAATCTTCACGGCGAAGCGTCGTCAAAGGGCCAGGTCTGGGAGATGTTAGAGAGTCCTTGTGGATAGAAGACACATCGAAGAGGACACTAAGAATGAAGACATGGTGCGAGTCATGATGAAAGTGAGCCAAAAAAGCTAGGAATAGGACGTGAGGTATATTTTATACATATGCGTAGCTGGGTACAGAGACGTGGAGAGTGATTATGTGACTCTCAAGCATTTTGATGTGTTTTACAGTTGAGTTGATGGGGCTGGAGACTAAGGGACAATGTTGCTGGTCGTGTGGAGGTTCACTGGAGTGCGCTCAACGGGCTTCCACCGTATTTTGTCATCCCGAAAGCATGCACTGATGAACACATAAAGAAAACGTTCACGTACCCTCTAGACCAAAACGCCTTGCCAATTCGAATCGAAATCTGTCGATCTGATATATAGCAAGCTGTCCAGACCAGACGTTTGCGGTTATGTTGCACATCTTTCCCATCATCAATTACTCGGAAGGAGTATTTGTCAAGACCTAAAAAGTAGCCAATTCGGAGAGCTAGCCCTACGTGCATCCAACTCTCTTTGTCTTCTTCACCACGGCCTACCTTCCCGGAGGCACGCTGGGTATATGGTGCCCACTCTGCGAGAATTAAAAGTGCTTCAACGGTTTCGACGTCGGCGTCTCCACCGGCGGCGAGATCGGATACCAACGTTTTCATATACTCTGTACACGACTCGTAGATTTGAGGTTCCTCTAATAGATCCTTTGAGGATATGAGTAGTATAGCAGTCAACAGGTGGAGATCGCGTTGAACTGTTTCCGCTAACCTTCTAGGATCGAAAACATGTGGGGCAGCTAGAGGATAATAAGGATGATAATGTTGACGGTAGCGCATCAGCAGGTCCATCATTTTGGGAATAGTGAGTATTCCCAGATCCAACAGCCGGTATGACATCTGTTGCGCCAGAGACGGCTCACTGCGATGCGCCATGGTATTCGCAAGTCGATGACCATTTTGAATGCCTGCATTGTCCCCGGTACTGGTCTCCGCGACTCTTGCTAGTATTCCTAGAGCATCTGAAGGATTCTGTAGGTTCGGAAACGAGATGTCATCTTGGGTGGACGAGGAACCGGACCGCGGCATTTGATCGTCTGGCCGCTGATGGGATCCATCTGCGGCCCGCTCTTGCGCATTGGGTTGTGTGGTCCATGTTCCGACATTCCCTAGGCCATGATAGCCTGCATCTTCTTGATTGTAGGGGGAGGGTAGAATTTGAGGATCGAGGGTCTTGCGCCGCACCCGTCGGCCACCTCGATTCGAGCCGCCGAGTATACATTCGAGGTTATCGCGCTTGCAACGGAGGCAGGGGACTGTGCCATCGACATGTCTATGGTAATTATTCCATCAGTATATGTTGACCATCTCGCGGCGGCATAGAAAGAATAAAAGTAGTGCGTTGACTGTGCATGAGTCGCCCGGGAGCTCCGTGAAAGCATGCTCTATCCATCGAAAGATACGGAATGCCAGGCGCTGGGTTTGAGATGTTTCAAACCGCCATCCGTGCGTGAGGAAATTCTATATTTGCGCTGTTTCGGCAAGATGCAAAACATCCGGACTTACAAGAGGCATCGCGACTTGCGCTTTCGGCAATTCAGACAGGCCTGGTTGGCTCTCTTGATCCTCGCGGCGTTCTCGTCAGCAGACGGCGGAGCACCAGGCGGGAGTGGGGCGGAAGCATCCATGCGACCATGTCGCCCTCTGCAATAGCTAGATAGAAGCTAGGAGGATGTGAGAGCAGCTGCCGACGAGATGGTGAGAACCGTCGCAATCTGGGGACACCACTGCAGGCCGGCGGGGACGGGCGGTCCGAGGACGTTAGCCGGAGCTTCGACTGATGCGTACTGTCCGCCCCCGACTTGCTCGGCATGTTGCACATGTATTCGGCGGGTTTTCAAGGACCATTGTGGCCATTTGCCGAAGGCGTGATATGAGGGACGACGCTGCTCTTGATTAAGCAGATTTCATGAGTATGGTGTGGCAACGATGGACTCAACGGACGGGAAGTCCGCGGCCACTTGGCCGTTCTGGTTTTGAATAGCCGACATGTAATCATGAAATGGAGGAGAATAGAAAGACAACAGAAGTTTGACGCCAGAATTTAATAGCTGCTTTACTTGATTTCATGGTATAGACCTGTTGAGACAAGAGAACTTCAGCCTTTACCACAGAAGTGACGGAAACTCAACACTCATCACGTGATTAAGTCTGCGGACGCTATACCTAGGATATCTCGGTCTACCTCACTGTATTCTCAACCTTCGCTCAACTTCAACCTTCCAAAGCGAAGAATGTGACATCCACCCTATGACAGCCTATATTAATAACAAAAGCGCCCTCCTTAGGTACAGACAGAGGCGGCGTCGTCTGGAGCACGTCCTGCATCAAGTAAGAGGCCGTCTGAGCAACCCACGAAAGCCCCTAAATTGGAAGGTCACTGGATTGTTTCACTCCCTCCCCCAGGAAAATCTAAAGCCCCAGAATGTGCCTCGATAAGAAGCTTAACATTGGTGCCCGCAGCAGGCAGCGGGAGCTTGGCGGGGAGGTGCCGTGATCTTCTACAAGGCCCAAAGAGGAATCTCACATCTAATTGCCAAGCGGCCGGCGGGCTACGCTCCTATTGTCACGCACGTAGGACTTGGTGACACATCTTGATTTATATTAATGCACCCAAGTACTTGGAATCGACCTTGTCCTCGTCGGCGATAACGAGTGTACGACGTCAATATCGGGGACGCGACAGGAAGCTGCTATGAGACGCAAAGAAGGCGCCTTCGTGGAGTCACCCCTGGGGAAAAGTATAAGAATGCGCGTTTCGGTTCCTTAAGATGCTATATTTCTATCAAACGTCTCTGATGAAGTTCCTCACGCTTGCTCTCGCCTCTGCGGCGCTCGCGTCTGCTGTCTCGGTGCCTGCAAAGATTACCTACGATGGCTTCAAAGTCTACCGGGTCTCAGTCGGTTCGAACGTTGCCGCTGTCAAGTCAATAATGAGCAAGCTACAGCTAGAGTCATGGACTGGCAGGCCTAAGGCCAACGGCTTCGTCGATCTTATGGTGCCGCCAACTCAAGTCGAAAACTTCGAGGCAGACACGGCCGATCTTAGCATTCAACTTATGCACGAGGATCTGGGCCTGTCGATCGCGGATGAGGGCCAGGTTTCTGTTTATGCCGGTATATTTCCCCTGCTACCTTATAACTATACTAGCAATTTGACTCTGACGGATGAGCAGCCGGAAGTGCGAATGCCACTTGGTTCAATGCCTATCATCCAATTGCAGACCATACCCAGTTCCTCAAGGATCTCCAAGCTTCCTATCCATCCAACTCTGAGATCATTTCCGCAGGGAAATCGAACAGCGGACGGGATCTCACTGGCATCCACATCTGGGGCAGTGGAGGTAAGGGCTCTAAGAAGGCCATTGTCTGGCACGGAAATGTCCATGCGCGGGAATGGATAACTTCAATGGTGAGTCTGAGTTACCATGTTCTAGCATTGAACTTCTACTGATTCGCCACGAGGTCGTGGAATACGCAGCCTATACCCTCCTCACTCAAAACGCATCGGACACCTCTATGAAAGCCTATGTCGACAAATATGACTTTTACATTTTGTAAGCCGCCTCTTCACATCTCATCCTTCTCGTCCTAATACATTCATCTAACCTTCCACCTAAGTCCCATCGTCAACCCCGACGGCTTCGCCTACACCCAAACCAACGACCGCATGTGGCGCAAAAACCGCCAAGCCAACTCCGGCAACTCCTGCGTCGGCCGCGACATCAACCGCAACTGGCCCTACGTCTGGTCCGGCAGCGGCTCGAGCACCGACCCCTGCGCCGAAGACTACAGAGGCGCGTCGCAGGGCGATAGCACTGAGACCAAAGCCCTGAAAGCGCAGCTCGATGGACTGGCCAGCGGGAAAGGAGTCGAGATGTACCTTGATTTCCACTCGTACTCGCAGCTATTCATGTATCGTAAGTCTGCCTTACCAAACCTTCCCGTCTCCCTTCGTATGCTTGGGGCTTTCGAACGCTAATATGGCTGGAATGTACTCAGCCTACGGCTACTCCTGCACCGCCGTCGTCGCCAACAGCGCCAAATACGCCTCCCTTGGGACCGGTGTCGTCAACGCTATCAAAGCCGTCCACGGCGTCAGCTTCACCGAAGGCCCCATCTGCGACACTATCTACCAGGTCGCCGGCGACGGCGTCGACTACGCGACCGATATCGCGAAAGCGGCGTTCTCGTTCACGGTTGAGCTGCGGGACACGGGACGTTACGGGTTTGTGCTGCCAGCGGCTCAGATCTTGCCGAGCGCGGAGGAAATGTGGGCGGGGCTGGCTTATTTGCTTGCGAATATGTAAGGTAGGCCAAGGGTGGCTGGGTAGCTGAGAGTGCTGAAAGGAAGGGGGTTCGTTTCATCGTTAGCCCAAAAAAATTCTTCCTCGCCGACGGTGATGATTCTCCTAGATCCTTAGTGCGCTGAGCGCAAGCAAACATTGCTACTGAATTCCTCGTTCTAGATAATAGCCCTTCGCACTCAGTACTTAAATGCCTTTCAAACTTTTCAGCAAAGCGTGACAAATGACCCCGCATAGGCGGCAGAAGGGACAGAAAAGACTCGAGGCCGCTTCGAGAGGGAGAAACGAATGGAGGCGTGGCATTTGATGGTAGAGTGATCAAACTTCACGTGACTCATTGACTCGTTCAAACTTCTACCGACTCGTTTTCAATTTTTGCAGACTGATTTTCAAACTTTTGCAGACTCATTTTCAAACTTTTGCCGACTCATTTTCAAGCTTAATCATTCTTTTGTAGGCTCATTCAAAATATTGCAGACTCGCTTTCAAACTTAACTCTTGCAGACCCTAGCTAGTATAGAATAAGTCCGGGAAGGTTCTATTTCCATCATCTATGAAGACCTTGTACTGGTAATCTTCCTCAGCGGAGTGCCGTTCATCTCGAGCCCGTTTTCGAGGTCCCGCAAATTGGTGCGTTTGCCATCCATTCCCCGCCGCTTCCAAATCCCCCACGCCACGAACGAGCCAGCAGTCAGCGGCACCGTCACGGCGAAGTAGAGCCATATCCACTTCGAGGCACCGAAATCCTGTGCCGTTGGTGAGGTGAAGAAGGCCATGCTGAATATGCCCTACAATCAACATATCAGCACAATCCGCACTTCCAAAACCATAAAGCCACTAAACGCCATCAGGGTTGAGAGAAGGGGGTGACATACCGCAACGAACGTCCCCGGCAGGAAAAGCATAGCAAGCACCGACAGCGCTATCATCGATTTACTGTCTTCTTTGGTGAGCCGCGAGATCCGCAGATTGACTGCTGCGTTCTGGAGCTGGACCACGGCGTTCCGCTCGTTGATCTCGTTGTTTTTCTGTACGTCGGCGTGCCAGAGCATGTTCTCGTACAGCGAGGTGCGGGATTTGTAGTTGTCGGTCCAGCGCTTGCAGGTGTCTATGCCGCTTAGTAGTTGCGCGAAAGAGTCACTGACGCTGTAGGGTCGGTCCAGCGACCACGCGCTGCTGTCCTCTCCCATTTCAGATTTGGATTTGCGGTGGGCGTTGGATGCCTGGATCGCGGTGTTGTAGCGTTCGTGGGCGGTACGGAGGAATATGCCACAAGCTTCAAGGTCGGCGAGGTGCTCGAACATGCGGTGCGTTTTCGTGCAAAGCTTGTGCAGCGTGTTGGTTGCGCTGTCGGCGTCCGAGTCGAGGGACGGGGGAGCGCTGTGGTCGTCTTTGGGGTTTTGACTTTCCTGGAACTAATCTTAGTGCTCCCAGTTCCTTAAAGATATGCGAGATATATGTGAAACTTACATATGAGAGCAACTTTCCCCGATAATGATCGACTCGGTCTTCCCACGCTTTCAGACACTCGTCTAGAAGGAGTGCATCTAGTCCCAATGGTCGATCGAGCACGTGTGGAGAGTCCTGCGTCACGTAGTGTACGATACGTGTTTTAGCACTGTCGGGACAGTTGATGAGGATGTAGGTTGCGGTATTTGCTGTAAAATCAACGACGAAGGCGGTTTGAGGGTGCGAGTGGAAGCCGCATTCGCTGCGGTAGAAGAGTTCTATGGGCATTAGCAGGGCTCGCTCAATCATTCCTTAGAAGAGCGTGGAAAAAAGGGCATGGATACCGAATTTCTCTGGATGTCCATCAGGACTTTGACTGAGAAAGCATCCGTTGCCGTCCCATATCATGTCCTTGAAGATTCTTTCGACGAAGGTGTTAGGGATGGCGTATGTTTTTACGATGCTTCGGAAACTGGATGCGGACATGTTGAGGCTTTTTGAATTGCTGTTACGATTTTGCATGCTCAGGAAACTGGAATAGGTGCTTAGTTAGAACGTTCTGATGTAAGGCAACTGTGCTGCGGTCGCTGAACATACAAGACTCTTGTTCTGAAGGTCTTCGCATTTTTCTCATTGGCACATTCTATGTTGTTACGAAGAACCTCATCCGTAACCTTTGTCATCCAAGGTGTTGTGCTATTCCCTGTGTCGAGAAGATCAAACGAAGACGACGGGCTGAAATGCTTATTAGAGTCGAGGACCGAGCGAAACTGCTTGGGATCCTCTATCTCTGGTCTGGCTAGAGAAGTACGGATGGAAAATGGTGCAGCCATGACGTCTATACTGCTACATTAGACTTTTGTGAGTGCCGATTCTACTGAAAGTGTGACAGATGCTCAGAGTAGGACTTCGGAACGCAGGCTGAAGACCATGTGGGGCTCCCGCAGCTTTTGAATTAGATGTGGGCGAATACGAGGGATATAGGCAACTTGGACGCCTTATTTGCAGGGCGGAGTCGGGTTGGAAGGCTGCGAGGCTGCGAAAATTAGTGCATACATGGGTATTGAAGCTGTTATGTGACGAGGCTGCAAGGCTCGAGAAATGGAACGGATGTTCTCCACAGTTCTCTTCTGAGACATTGCAGGGTGCTTTTGATCTTTTTTCGCCATTTGTGTTAGGGAAGACGTATCGGAAAGCGCTGATATTCAAGAACTATAATGCCTAGATGTTGAAGGTGGATGGAATGAAATCCGTGGTGAAAATCAGGGGGAAGCGGGGCCGAGAGTCCGGTTAGAGTTGCCCGTCCGAAATACCCAGGTATCTATCCGCCAGCCTTCAGTGCCTCCATAGCCTTTCCCTCAACATACTATCATGCCTCACCTTGTTCCCACCTGCCGCATTTCATACAAGGCAGATTACATGCCTCACTGTCTGCATGGCTGTAGGCGGCAGCGGAATGGGGGCCGATCGCTATTACACAGCCTGCTCCTGGCGAGGTCGACCCGTGAGGTTGATCAATCAGCTGCCATGAACCCATCGGAGAAGGAGACCTCGCAACGACGCTTCAAAGTCCAAATCGACAACCCTTCGCGAAGAAAACATTGACTCCCTCGACTGCCAATGGCATGAGCTACTACATTTGAGAGGACGCGTCAATACAACGTTAGTATATGTGGCACATCGAGGCATTTACTACAGCATTCTTCGACATGGCTTTAGGCAAGAAAGAGCAAGGTGCGCGACTGCCAGTGAGGTTTCATACATCTACATACTACGATGACTATGGGATCAGCTTCACCACTGTCTGCTTCCGTCTCTCAACCCTGCTGCCACAGACTCGTCGTATGCCCCTCAAAGCTGACAGCATCAATCTCCTTGATTTCCTCATTTGAAAGCCGCCACCCCAGCGCTTGGCAGTCATCGATCGCCTGCTCTTCCTTCCTGATGCCAACCACCGGAGTGATCCCCTTGCACAGATTGTAATTGAGCGCCACGGCAGTAATACTTACACCTCGCTTGTCCGCTATCCGTTTCAGGACCTCCAGCACGGGCTCAATATCCGCCATGTCGTACGACGAAAAACGATACGACTTGGGCGGTGGATTATCCTTGGTGTATTTCCCAGTGAGTCTGCCTTGAGCGAGAGAACTGTATGACTGGAAAACGATGCCACGCTCTTTGCAAGCTTGCAGAAGCCCCGACGTTTCCGGCTGGCGACGCAAAACGGAGAATTCACACTGATTGATCGCAAGCGGAACCCCGTATTTCGCCAACTCTTCCTGCATCTTGATCATATCCTCGGTACTGTAGTTCGCCACACCAACACATTTTGTCAGCCCTTTATCCACGCATTCCGCCATTCCCTTCGCGATTCGCTCGAACGATTGGATGTGGATCGGCCCGTGAACAAGGTAAATGTCCACGTAATCTAAACCGAGGTTCTTGAGGCTAGTTTTGAGCTTCAGGAGTGGTGCTTCCGTGGGGTGGAGGATGTCTGTCATTTGTGGCACGACGTAGAACTTGGTTTGGATAACGAAGTCGCTGCGCGGCATATTTGCTAACACGCGCCCGCAGATGACTTCGCTCTCTCCTGTGCCGTAGACTTGCGCGGTGTCGATGAAGTTCACGCCTTGGCTCACACAGTGCTTCCATGCTTCGTGGACGGCGGGCTCTTCCTCAGGCTTCCAGTGGAAGGTCGCCGTGTCGCCCCATGGCCAGGCGCCGATACACAGGGTCGAGGCTTGGACTTCGCCATTCTTTCCCTTGTAGGTAACGCGAGTGTCGCCAGTAGGTATCCAATCCTCCGGCATTACAGCCGCAAGGCCATCGAAGGATGAGGGAACATGGTTCGGCTTTGTTTGGTTGCCTGAGTGGATGCCGGAGACGGCGGACATCCCGGCGGAGAGACCGGCTTGAAGTACGTGCTTGCATGTTGCTGTAGGCTACTTGACAGATGAAATAGTCAAAAGATGCAATGGGAAGAGATGGGTCCGACAATGTGACGGTGCCCGTCGCTGTATTTATACAAAATCCTCGCCTTCGAATGGCCGGTCAAACTATGCTTCCCAAAGCGGTCTTTTTATGTGACGTCGTAATGATCGTTAGATTTACTTCGCAGCCGACATGCTGTTCTCGATCTTGCATGGGTGACATGCAGATGTGCATGCAGAAATCGCATCGCTGGTTCCTGCAAGGGGGGCACGTGGGGGGATCGTGAACGGACTGGGGGATGGGTCAGAAAAGCTCGAGCCATCGGAGATCATATCAAAAGAGTCATAATGACGGACTGCCTCGTAAGGTATCTCAAGCTTCCTCGAAATCTGGGAGTAGTTCCAGCCAGCTTTTTTCGCAGAGCGTGAATCCGGGAGCGATCTGATAGAGAAGGCAACGCTGAGGTGTTCTGGGAACTATAGGCCATCTACAGTCACCAGGAGTTCTTAAGATATACAGTTGGTGTAAGGATCGTTCTCTGAATTCCATGGCTCGAACCTTTTTGCCATTCAGTTCATGATTGCCCTTGTCCCGTAGATTGATCTAACGGTCCCGGGCTCTTCGATGCCGAATTAAAGGGCCGATTTAGGGCGCCGCGTAAACCATACTTAAACAAATACAACTCGCCTAGATCTGAAGTGAATTTCCCTTAAAAGAGACAGAAGTAAAGCCTCTTTATATACCTTTCGTCGTTGATTTTTGAAATAAGTTCTAATGGACGTTTGGGTGAGCTGTATTAATTTTGGTGTGGTGTGCATAGTGCCCTAAATGAGCCTCTTGGACTAAATTCGGCACCGAAGAGCCCGCGCCAACGTCGTGTTTGCGTATTGTTGATGCTGAAAAGGTGATATCACTGATAGCGGCAGTTCAGACGATCAACCTCGGAAGCCTCGGAGCAGGGCCATTGTGAGCATGGTGACGACATCTCAGAAAGGTAAGAAACACAAGTCGTCAGACACAAGAGTCTAAAACGTTGATTCTGGTGGAGCTTGGCACTTGGACTTCCTGGGGCTGGCATGGTAGTCACCAAACCATTTGAAGGATGCTACAAGGAATTGTGGTTCAAAATTATCGGAAGAATATTTGCAGAATTCCAAGGGAGGCGTCTTCGATAGGCCTTAAAGAAGTTACTAAGCCACGCCATATATATATACAAGGGTATATGGCGCAACAAGATTCACCTGTTTGATAATAAATTATATCATTGCAATTAGGTACAAGGGTATAGCTAGCTAAGACTTTAAGAGCGTAGGGTTACGCCGAGTCGGGCACGTGACCAGGATCTCCCTTACCCGATTCGGCCCCGCCTATCACATTCTGACAAATCATCTCCTCGACAAGGCTTTGAGGACTGGTTTTGAGTGGCAGCACTAAACATCGCTCCACGCTTCTTGCTCGATCTTGGCGGCGTGACTGTGGCATTGAGGAAGATTTCCAGCTACATGCACGACTTCTAAAGGCCATCGCCGAGGTTGTTGAGACCCTCCTTGGATACGGACGTGTGTTGGCTCTGGAAGAGTTGGAACAGATTCAGATTTACTATGTCCTGACGGCCAAACATGGATCAGCATTCATCGTCATCTCTTGGTACTCCAGCGCCGTATGGCCAAGCTTGCACAAGCTGCGCTCAGTCGAAATGCAAGTGTATCATTCGCCCAGTTGGTGGGGCTTGTGATAGGTGAGCAACTTTTGAATTTGTTGTCACGACTAATGTTCGTTAGGTGCCATCGATTAAACAAGCAATGTCGTCCCATAGAGGCGATTCGACGTCGAAATCCCAAAAGACCTGCTGTGAACAAGACCGCACGATTAGAGCAAAAGCTAGATGGTCTTGTATCATTAATTAAGTCCGGAGCGTTAAGCAGCACCGTCGACATATCTCCCCAAGACATGAGGTCTCTGGGCAATACTACGCCTCGTGGCACTATCAACATGGATACAGTTACTCCTGATTACATTCAACCTCTTGGAGGCTCATTATTGGGCGTTACCGACGCTGGTACGTTGGAAAATTCGTCGACAACGCCCACCACGGATAGCATACGCGCGTCATACGAGCCCTCCCAAGTCGAGGCAGAGCAATATCTTGCAAGTTTTCGGACGTACAAATCAAGAGGCTTTCCCTTTGTCCACATTCCCTCCACTACTACTGCCAGTCATCTCAAGCAAGAACGTCCGTTTCTGTGGCTTTGTATCATGTCAATCGCCTCGAATTCAACTTTACAGCAACGGTTACTGGGCTCAAGAATACGACAGTTCATTGCACAGGAAATGGTCGTCCAGTTGAATAGGAACATGGATCTTCTCTTGGGTATTTTGACTTTTATCGGTTGGTATGTCATCCTTTCTGGAGTCAACCTGATGCAATCAGTCTGATGCTCAATCTGATGTTCAATCCGATGCAATTAATCTGATGCGCCAAGACGCTGACCATCCGTCTCAGGGCCACTATCCAAACCCACAACAAGCCCTTCCTTTCTGTCTTCACTCAGCTTGCCATTTCTTTGGTTTCTGAACTTGGTCTTGCCAAACCCATTCCCAAGAATTCGCAGATGGGGCTATGCGGTATGCCCAAGCTTTCGAGGGCCACGACTCCTCGTACAATGGAGGAACGCAGAGCTGTGCTTGGTTGCTTCTTGAGTACATCAATGTACGTCTCCCAAAATCAAGTTTTGTGTTTCATGCTCATTTATGCTGTTTGCAAGATTATCTTCCTTTCTCCAGAAGACCGATGCACTCCGTTGGACGCCACACATGGAAGAGTGTCTTATAATCTTGGACGAAAAGAAAGAGTGTCCCAATGATGCAATTTTGGTACAACAAGTACGGTTGCAATTGATAGTTGAGAGACGCATGTCGCTTGAACGAAGTCTCTTGGATTTGCAAAACCTCAAGACGAGTATTGTCTCTCCAACTCATATAAGTGGTACGTTGCCGTTCTCCAATTGATCTAGTACTAACTGATTTGGTAATAGACGTGGTGCTTTTGCATTTGTACGGCACTGAGTTGGACGTCATACTTTCAGAGTTTCTTCACACTGATGAATTGGCCCTAGAGCAGTGGAAATCCCTTGATGTGGCCCTTGAGTCGATCAAGTCCTGGTTCAATGTCTTTTTTACGATACAACCCCTCGCCTACCTTGGATTTTCTCACTTCATCTTTTTACAACTAACCCGCTGTATAACGATACTCTACCGGCTCAAGACTCTTGACGATTCAACGTGGGAGGAGAATCATGTTTGGAAGACGGAGGAAGCACTACAAGTCTTGGACCGAGTTCTCAACAACATAGAGCAAGTGACGTTTCTTGGTGGATTCGATAACACTGATTGTCCTGACGGAGACGTCTTTACTCGAGCAGCACATCTGTATCGATCTTTTCGACCTGCGTGGGAGACAAAGGGAAATTCGGTTCAGAGCAAGTCATCTCCGCAGTATATTGATGATCAGATTCTTCCAGATTCAATTGGGACGGATAGTTTTGACGTTGACTGGTTTACCGATTTATTTCTTTCATCCAATTAATAACGCTGAATCCATCAATATTAGTTTGCTGCCTGTGTTTATATTGGTGCCTGTATTCATATCGGTGCTTATCCTTGTATCTGGTGAAGGGCCGATCAATATTCGACCACAGTTGTATAGAGTCGACGGCAGTTATTCAGAGATTCGGCGACAATCATCCAGACGTTCAAGTTCAGCCACAGTCGTCCAGAGATTCAGTGAGCATAGTCCATAGATCAAAGATTGTTTATTGATTTAGCAAAGGTTGTCTAATGATTCGGGCACAGTCTCTAGTCAGTTATCAAATCACAGAACGAAAATCTACTTACGTTCTGCTTGAGTGGATCTGATTCTCGACTACGACCCGCGAACGCGCGTTGGTATCGACCTGAATGCCGAGCAGTTCATGCGACGACGATCCATGAAAAGACGCGTTGTCCACGAGCAACACCGGCTTTGCGGTCGCAATTAATCAGCGCACCAATCGTTACCTGCATGATTGGCATGTCCCATCAATTTGTATTGGTAATTCATTACTCGCCTGGGACAATGAGACCATTTTCTGCGACCAGATTTCGGATTTAAGAACTAGACCGGGTTTGGGCTTTCGATTTTCATGAATCCCGATGCTAGCTCCATTTTCCTATTCACATTAACCCCGAAGAATGTCAACTCGCGCGGTTTTTTATAACTGGCCATTTTCTAGACCGACGGGGACTTTCTTCGCACCGTGTCCATCAACTCATGTTCATGACTGTTTAGTTGTGAAAAATGCCATCGCATGAACTTCCTCCTGCTCTGCCTGCTCCCCAGCAGCAGCCCTCTGTTTCGCTCGACCATCCAGAAAAGACCAGCGACAATAACCACCGGTCACCCACCACATCTTCCGTTCAACATGAACCTAATGGTGAACTTGTTGATGGTAAACCAGGCGCCGCAGAAACAGGAACAGCAGCAGTCTCCAGCGTGCCCCTCTCCGAAAATCAAAGCCCAGAGCCCGAGTGGGCTCACGGCTTCCAGCTTTTCACCATCTTGGCCGCCGTGTCTTTCGTTTGCTTTCTCATCCTTCTCGATGGGACCATTGTCGTCGCAGCTGTTCCTCGCATCACCGATTATTTCAATTCCCTGGATGACATTGGATGGTACGGAGCTGCATATCAGCTAGGAAGGTACGTGAATTCGAGCTTTGAACGAAACGGGTACCATGAGTGAACGCGAAACTGACATGCTTGCAGCGCAGTCTTTCAACCGCTTACTGGAAAGATTTATATGAAGTTCAAACCTAAAGTAAGTCGGGTTTCAGATCCCCAGTCTGCTCCCCTTTCTTGATTCTCAGCTCACTGATTATCGTATTTAGTGGACATTTCTGAGCTTCTTCGTCCTCTTTGAAATCGGTTCCTTAATTTGTGGGGTTGCGAACTCATCGGGTATGTTGATCGGAGGACGAGTAATTGCAGGCTTGGGAACTTCGGGCGTGTTGAATGGTAGCATGCTTATCGTCGCGGAATGCGCCCCTATGCAGAGAAGACCAAGTATGACCCAATGCTTCCTGAATACGTGCGGTTGGATAGCTGACATTAGTTATAGCTCTAATCGGAATTGTTATGGGTAGTAAGTCCATCTCTATCTTAGCTGATTGTCATATGCTTATTATTACTTCAGCTGCGCAGCTTGGCCTAGCTAGCGGTCCGTTATTTGGAGGATTACTGACAGAGTACGCAACTTGGAGATGGTGTAGGTCACCCAACTCGCTTTCCTACTCTTGGGCTTGGAGTAAGCTAAATGTGCTAGGCTTTTACCTTAATCTTCCCGTCGGTGGCCTTGTTGCCGTGATGGTGGTTTTTGTCCGCATCCCCCAACAACACCCCAGGCCTCCTCCCATGTCCGTCGTTCGCTCACTACCTTCAAACCTCGATCTTCTGGGCTTTGCCATCTTCGCTCCTGCTCTCATCATGCTGCTACTTGCTTTACAATGGGGTGGCACTACATTCGCTTGGAACAGTTCTCAGATCATTGGCCTCTTTTGCGGCGCTGGTGCCACGTTCATCGTTTTTCTACTCTGGGATTACCATAAAGGCGACGCAGCCATGCTTCCATTATCCATAATCTGCATGAGAACTGTCTGGACGAGTTGCATCGTATATGGATTATTCGGAAGCAACTTATACACCGCTTCCTACTGGGTGCCAGTATACTTCCAGGGAGTCAAGGGCGCATCTCCAGCAATGAGTGGTGTATATATTCTGCCTATGATCATAGCTCACATCTTCGCAGCTCTATCCTCAGGTCCCATTGGTAAGGGAGTTGTTTCCCATGGCAAGCACTACTAATGCTTTAACAGTCAACAAGGTGGGCTACTACATACCGGTAGCTCTTTTTGCGGCGGTCTTGTTATCGAGTGGTAGTGGCCTTATTGCTACCTTCTCTCCTAGCACCCCGACGGGCAAGTGGATTGGATACCAGATCCTCTACGGGGCTGGTCGTGGTCTCGGATTGCAAATGGTATGCTTGATATTCCCCATCACGGATTCTAGTGCCCACCTACTGACATTACTTTTCCTCGGCAGCCACTCATCGCGGTTCAAAATACAGTGCCACCCCCAGACCTCCCCATCGCCATGGCGCTCATCATGTTCAGCCAATCATTTGGATCAGCCGTATTCCTCAGTCTCGCAGAAACTATATTCAGCGCTAGTTTTGGAGATCTCATCTCCAAATACGCACCTTTTGTCAATGGTCAAAGTGTCATTGATGCTGGGGCTACTGGATTTCGAAAGATTGTCTCGGGACCAGATCTTGCGGGTGTATTGACTGCTTATGCTAAGAGTATTGATCGCGTTTTCTATTTGGCAGCAGGATTGGGAGTTGGCTGCTTCGTTTTCGCATGGGGAATGGGATGGAAGGATTTGAGAAAGAAGAAGGAAGTATCAAAAGCTTAGAATTTGGATTTGTTCTAGGGTGATAAATGCCATAGAGACTCAGATAGCCTAGATGTATATCCTGCCGTAGTGATGGTATTAGGGTGAAAGTTGAGATGGAGAGAAAGGGGAGATGGAGCCGTTAGAATAGTTTAATCCGGCTACACTTGCCTGTCTAAAATATATATAGTGCTAGGTCATAAGTTTGGGTACTTCGGACATCTGCTCCGGGTATCCGTATATCCTCTTAGAGTTCTATGTATAACGTAAATGTTGATGCGTTGGGAATAGAGCTACCGTTTGACCAACTGAAGACATGCTAGTTGGGGTACTCCTTACAGTAGTAAGGAGTGAGCAAAAGTGAAGCCTGACCAGCGAGATATCCGCGTGCTTAAACTTATGACCTAGCACTGTATTACATCTCTGAACCTCTGCCGCTTTTCCTCAGCGTTACTATTTACACCCTACCATGTTTCTACCTCCCGCATCTCACACAAAGCAGAACTGTACGGCTGGCTGTCTGAAGGAGTGCAGCCAGCAGTGACGTAGTGCCTGACCTCTGCTCTAGAGCCTACTCGTGGCGCCTCTCCATCCACGTGCTAACGGAGCCTGATTCCAGTAGCATCTGATACCATCAGTTCACGCCATGGAGAACAAGCTTTACCCGAAAGTGTATCAATATGAGAGACTTCAGCATCCCGATTCTTTCCGCATGCTCTCCAAATACCAAAATATGTAGTACAGCAACCCAGTCTCTCGCCCGGATCCAGTCTGCATCGCCTCGTTATCTGCTCTTCATAGTCCATATAACATCAATGCAAGCATAGTTAGATGACACCAAACGCCCACATGTCACGACAAGTCGAGTCAAGTTTCTACGCCCCACAAGCTAAAGTCGCATGTCAATGGATTCGCGCGAATCGGCCTCGAAGCCCGCGCCAGTACCTTCCCCAAAGCCTGTAGTTTGGCTCGGATGTCGTATTCGCGATTTATTTTGGCTCTTGAGGGAACGGATCTATTCAAATGCATTTGACCAGCAGGCCGGCGGGCGGGAGGGATGGGTTGCGGTAAGGATAGGAACGAGCCCGGGGAGGATGTGTCTAGTCTGTTTTGGTAAAGCTGACAAAAGGAAAGAGGAGTGAAGTAGCGAGATCCTAGTGGTGGTTCTGAGAAAGGAGTGGCCCGAGTTCGAAACCTCGACTTCCAAATAGTATTTAATAAATCCTCTTCCTCTGATTCTTATTTCTTGCGGTGCTTTAGATATATTTCATTTAACCTTGACGGGGTCGAGTTGCTTTCGCAAAGGAATATACCCCCATAGGCATTACTCATGACAAAATAGACATTAAACCTCATATCCATGTGAGCCTCCGAAAGATCGGTGAACAAAAAATCAATCATAGCTCCCAATGAAATCCTTCAAAACCAGACTCGAAAGCCCGATCAGTCCTACGGCAGAACTTTTGGTCCAATGTTTCGTAAAGACGACATCTTGGTGGAGTCGTCAGTGCCAAAGTCGTTTATGAGTACTTTATAGGGCCGAACAAAAAGCCTTTTGTCGGGAATCGGGTCGTTTGCGTGCATGGTACTGAGTGCCTTGAGGATTTTCCTCATACCGTCTATAGGAGTGGCTTCTTTAAGTCGTGTGACGACATGTTTGTCCTTGTATTTCAACGCTAAATTAGGCTCATTTTCGTCCATGTCATTGTAGTAGTTCTCGAGCTCATGGTGAGCCTTCAAGCACTGGAGGATTAGAGCAGCCAGACCTACAGCATAGGCCGTGGCAAATGAGCTTCCCTTGTCCGATTCGCCAGCGGAGGTCGTAATTTCATGGGGCATTAGAAAGCCTCCCATACGAAACTCCCCCCTGGCTAGTGTGATATTGGTGAGCGGGGACTTGTAATACCGCAGTAAGCAGGTTATCACTGCTGTAGTCCACTTAAAAACGTACGGTCAGCTGAAATATATCACTTTGTAGAGTAGATCACTATAACCCGATAACACTATACTGAAGTTTTACTGTAGGTCCTACCTGAGTAAATACTCGAGGGCCCGTCCCACCCGAGGAGGAACTTTTGGGCAGATGGTGCCATGCAGCCTACACGTCGACCGTAGACAGGCCGGTGGTGGATGCAGGTGGTGCAAAAAGCCCACAAAGCGACCACCGGACCGCCGTGTTTCAGCGGGAGATTAGTAACGTGACTAGTTTCATGGATTTTTTCGCCTAAAAACTGTCGCATGATCAAATCTACCTCTGAAACACTCTCCCGCTGAAACACGGTGGTACAGTGCCGATAGATCAGACCTTGCTATGGTCGCAGCCTGGTGGTGGCGCTGTAAATGGTCATTGCTTGGTTTCAAGCTGCAGCAACAAAGGTAGAATCGCCCAGGCAGCTTCACTCCCATTCTCTCGAGTTCAGGGCTGCAATGGCAACGAAGATGCAAAGAGATGACGAGAACGAAGACCGATGGAAGCACACGTATGATAGTTTCTGATGTTTGATCCGCCGTGTGAGTACTTACATGATTTGTCTAGCGTCTATTTGGTAAACTTCCCTGGAGATCTTGGACATTCAGACACCGAGAAGACTAGCTTTCATGTGTCTGAAATACTTTTTCACCTTGTGCCTGAAGCTCGAATCTTGCGACACCATATCTTTGAGGGCAACGCTGCTGCTCAGCATCAAGTCGCAAATCCCCCTGAGGAAAACCAGCCCCAAGCCCACTAGGGGCAATATTTTGGCGAGCAAAGTACGCAGTTAGTATCTAGCGATGCGACAGGATTGGACGGCGGAGTGGATGCTGCAGAACGGATGTCTCTGGACCCCCGGACAGACTGGGATGCGGTATCTATTGCCAGCGCGGCCACAGAGTCCTTTCCCCCAATATCCATTGAAAGGGAAGCTCTGGATCTTCTCGACATTATTCGACACAACAGTCTTACAGACAAGAGCGCAGACCTGAGCAGAATTGTCTTGGCCGGTTACGGATTCGGAGGCATTGTCATCAAGCAGGTACAGAGAAAACCACTCAGGTTGCAGCACTACAACCTAGGATCAACAACTCATATGCCAGAAAGCTACTCTCCGAACATCAGCTGTAGAGAACCCAGCTGAAATCTCAGCTGTAGAGAACCGAGCTGAAGCCTCAGCTGTGCAGGGCTCATCTGAACTTACTAGCGCGCCACCCTGGGGGTGGCCCCCTTCCTTCCCCTAGTATATATACAACTAGCTAGACGTCTATAGAAATCAGAGTTCACATCAATTTAACCTGAGTAGTTGTATATATACTAGGGGAAGGAAGGGGGCCACCCCCTGGGTGGCGCGCTAGTAAGTTCAGCTGAACACTGCACAGCTGAGCTTTCAGCTGGGTTCTCTACAGCTGATGTTCGGAGAGTAGCTTTCTAGCATATGAGTTGTTGATCCTAGGTTGTAGTGCTGCAACCTGAGTCCTGGACTACGCTTGCCGGTTTTGGCCAACCCACTTCCTACGTATCGAACGTCCAGACAAGAAACTCAGAGATGCGGTGGTAGCCTTTTTGTCAGCACCGGGGGTAGGGGAAAGTTGGTTCAAACTTTATTTGCTAGGCCATGCGGAACCCCTAGATTTGGTCGGACACCGAAAAGAATGGGTATCCACAAATTTTGGGGGTCGTCAAACAGCGACATGGGCTCTCGCTTCAAAGTAGAGGATGATGGACTCACTGTTTCGTTTTCAGGTGGGTTACCACTCACCATTGGACGCAATTTGTTAACGAGTGGCATCAGCGCTTCAAGACAGCGCCGATGCCGACATAATCTGTCTCCGTGCCGACCACCCACTTCCACCGAGACCTTTCCCTCCCGATGACCCGAAAAGCGTCTATTTCGAAATGAAGATATTCGAGACAGAGACACAGACGGATCCCGATTCCAAGGACTCTGACTTGTTGCCTCCAGAGTTGGCTATTGGTTTACGCGGTGAGTTTTCGGACCAATCAGGAGCACACGTAGGCTGGCGCACTTGGACGGTAGGCTATCATGGGGATGATGGGAGGGTATATGAGCACAATTATCCCGTAAGCTCCGACACAGGACGCAAGTTCGGACCGGGAGACACTGTCGGTTGCGGGGTCGACTACAGTGCCGAGGAATACTTTTTTGCTCTTCGTAGTGAGGTGATTGGTACGTCCTCCCCCATAGTTTTCTTGCTATCATATACGGCGAAGGTCTTACTAATGGTACGTGCCTATGAATATAGCTCGCCGAAAAAACAACATCATATCTAGGAAAATGTATCCTACGGTTAGCCAATGGAGAACTGCGTGTAAAATCAAGGTTAACTTTGGAGACGAACATTTTCTTTATTGAAGGACGAAAACTGGGTCATGGAGAGCCTTCATCAGTCATCAATGGAACCTGTTGAGGCTTTTCGGAATTTTTGTTCTAGTCAATCTATAGAGCATATATCTAAAGATCCTGTAAAAAGAAGAGAGAGTGTAGCCAACAAGGATTTTGATGGCCCCCACTACTCGGCGCCTATCTAACAGCACTAACTGGGCAACGATGAGCGCTCCTGGGCAACGGCTTGGGTTCAATAACGTACGTAACTTTATGTTAACCACTATCTCTTCGATAAATCTCACGGATGTACGAAGAGTCGAGCCTTGCTATTATGCTGGTTGCGGCTCAAAAATCGCAATTAGTGGTTTTTCCCCTTCAATTCATTGAAGACCTCAAGACCAATCCCTCTACTCACCCCTTTCCGCCCTCACATTTAACATTTTCACGACTCGCTCTTCTTAGCCAAAATCCACAAGAAGAACTTCTCATCCGGCAAATCCTCCACCGTCTCTCGCACGACCACCTCCAGCCCCGCCTCTCTCACCTTCTCCAGCGTCCCCTCGCTCCCCCAGCCACTCCAAAACATCCACCCCTTTTCCTCCTCCAGCCAGTTCTGCGCCTCTGCCCCTGCAAACTCGTCCGCCGCGAAGTTCGCCAGCAGCCACCCGCCCGGCTTCAGCCACGCCACGATCTTGCGCAGCATCTCGACCTGCTCGGCGCGCGGCAGGTGGATGATCGAGTACATGCCGACGACGGCGTCGAAGACCGCCGGCGCGAAGTCGAGCGCGAGCATGTCGCCGTCGAGCAGCGTAAGGCGGCCGTGGGCCGGGCCGGGCGGGTCGTCGGGCAGTAGGTTGGCGCGGGCGATCGAGAGCTGGGCGCTGGAGATGTCGTTTGCTGTGACGGAGAGGTTGGCGTGGGCGAGCAGCTTCTGGGTGACGGGGAGGCCGCAGCCGGCACCTAGCTCGAGCACGGAGACGGGGGCTGATGGGGAGGTGGTGGTGGGCAGGCGGCTGAGCAGCTGGTCTAGGTAGCGGAGGCGCGTGGCCGAGTGCGAGACTGTCCATTCGTTGTATTTCGGGGCGATTGCGTCGTAGGAGGCTTTCATGCGGGATTTGAGGTCGGCAGGGGGGTCGTATTGAGGATTAGGGTCGAGCGGTGGAGCAGTTTGTTCGGCCATTGCGATGGGATGAGTGCTGTCTATGGGCGGGGGGAAGGTGTCGGTATAGTAAAAAAGGTGTTCAGAACTGTCAGGATGAATATCTCTAAAGGTATGCTAAACTTAAGTACATTCGGTGTTGAATGTGAGTCACCTATACACTTGATTCGAGAACGCGGGCTGCATTCTAAGCGAGGAATCTTCCATCCATGCGATGGTGCGATACGTGAACTAACCCGATCCGAGGTGGTCGTCCAATGCCTCTTGTTGAATTTAGCGTTGTCGAATTCTGTGCAATGTCCCTACAGGGGTAGCTTGACGTGCAACTGTCCCCTGCCACTACGCTCGTTCACTACTCGCTTAACGATGCTACTGTTAGATGGCGCCAACTTACCTGCTCCGATATCCACGCAATGGCAAGGGCTACTCGCATGGGGGTCCCTTTGCAGCCCTTTGCAGCCCTTTTGTTTTGGAGTTGATGATTCCGCAATGCATCGCATAAGGCTCAGAGAAGATTTTAGCGGCATGGACCGAGCTTCTCACCTTTTCTCGCAGTCACGTGCACAGATGACTCGAACATGATCGGAACCTGCTGGTTGCATAGAATCATTTTTGGACATGTGAATTGTGACTCTTTGCATGAAACTGAGATCTCTAAGTTGCTGAAGGTAGGCTGAGGTGCCCCCGTAAAGAAATGGCGCACTTGAGTTGCGAGTACTCACAAAATCAACTTTGTAGAAGAAAATCTGATAGTTGTGATGTGTACTGGGAGGAAGTAGACTGTTGTAGTCACTTTTTACTACCCAAAAATAGACCCGTAATGTGCTCTACGAAGACCGGATCCAAGGTTTCGTTTTTTACCACTAATGTACACTTGTCTAAAGAGACATCTATGATCTTTCCGCGATAATTTAGTCCGATTATACGCAATGGAGTGCCAACCAATCTAATGTAGATTGAGACTTATGTACCTCAATCGTATACCATGCAACATCCCAAGACATCTCCCGGGGCCGTACTCTTGTTTCCACACCTCAGAAACGAACGAAATAGAGATCAAGCCTCCTAATACCCCCGATCCAACCCCTTCTTAATCATCCGACTCGTATTTCCTAATCCATATCAGCACCGCTCTCTCTCACGGATCGAAACTACGCACCCTTAACCACCCTTCCCGCCCCTTCCCTCAACACCCTCGGCAGCACCTCCACGGCCTCCCTCGTACCCGTCTTCCCCGCACCTCCCAGCTTGAACACAAAATCATCAATCCCCACAGCCCCATACGTCGTCCCATCAACCGTAAGCCACGCATCACCCCACGTATCAAACGGCGCTAGTAACGACGCAGGGCTATACGGCAGTATCTCTACTACTGCGCGAAAGCCGACGAGCTCGCCTTCTGACAAGCCGGAGGGGTAGAGCCGGATACTGACCTCCACGCCCGCAGCCGCAGCCTGCTCAGGCGTGACGTCGTTGAACGCGAGGATCGAGTCTTTGAAGTTGACGCCGTTCGCGATGAAGGTGGCGACGTTGAGGCCGGGGCGGTCGGCATCGGTCGTGATTTCGAGCGTTGTGTTCGTCTTCGTATCGGTGTAGGTGCCGATGTATGTCGCGTTTGCTTCTTCCCTCGCGGCGGCTTCAAGGGCGGGGACCCAGGTGTTGGCAATGAGCGAGGCGAGCACGCCACGGTTGTTTGTGGTCTGGCTCCCGGCGGCGAGGATGCTGAAGCCGATGTTGTGGTCGGTGTCGAGGGCGAGGGCGGAGGCGTAGTTAGGTATGTCTCCGCTTTTCGTGTAGAGGTCGACGAGCCTTGTTGTGTTTGTCGTAGAGGAGATGGGAATAGATTGGCGGAAGATTTCCCAGGGGGCGCCCACGAGGTGGAGAGCGTGTGAGGTAGTGGCGTGTGGTTGTATCCAGCGGCGGGTTAGGGCTGAGGGGAGGATGGCAGATTGTAGGATTGAGCGGCCAAGGGTTATAAGATCGGAGGGTGTGGAGAAGAAGGAGCCAGCTGGGTCTTCGACACCCAAGTCCGGGAGGAAGTCACTTTGTTCCAGGCCGCCAGGGATGATTATGTTAGTGTCGTTGGGTGCGATGACGGAAGTGCGGCTCATGTTAAGGGGCTGGAGAATCGCGGTGTGGAAGGCGGCAGAGAAGGACTGATTAGTGATACTTTCAATGACGAGGCTGAGGAGGACGAAGCCCGCGTTTGAGTAGATTGGCGTATTGTAGGTTGAAGTAAGAGGTGTTTGGGAGAGGAGGCCGGCAATATATTCTAACATCGTCAGTGATAGTTGAAATAACGATGAGGAGAGTTAGAGGAACCTTTTCTATCACAAGGTTTTAAGAATCCAGGACCGAAACCACACACTGGAGCATTCGACTCGGTGGGGAGGCCGGTAGCAGTTGCATTGAGCGTTTGGAGGTTGGCGAGGTCTTCTATTCCGTCTTTTGAGGGTTTAGTAAACATTTAGGAGTATAGACTGGCTTTTAAAACTCACAGTCTCGCGTAATTCCAGCCATCTGACTTGCTAGGGCTTCAACGGTGATATCGCTCCATTGTACATCGTTCAATGAGCTATTCGTATCCGCAGCTGCAAGCTCGGGAATATACTTCGTAATAGGTTGGTGGAAATCTGCAAAACCATTCTTGGCGAGAAGTGTGTACACCGTGAAGAGCTTGGAGAGACTGCCGATACGGTAAATAGTATCATCGTCCAAGCTCCCTGAAGGTAAAGACCCGTTGAGGCCTGGTGCTTCGAAGTGATGTGAGAGCAAGGTCTTGTTATCGGAGGTCGAGAACACGTTGATAGAGAATGATGTCGTGGAGTTGTCCAGCAGCCCCGTGCTGAGGGCCTCATCGAGGACCTTGGGAAATGCCTTTCGCGCTGCTTGGACGGCTTTTGACGTGTCCGGGTGCGAAGGCGCAGGAAAGACAGGGCCTCGGAGCAATGCATTCTGGTTGGCTTGTGCGGTTGTGATGTCAACCAGCCAGGCAAGAGAAAGCGCATTGGCTAAAAAAGTGAATGATTTCATGGTTGCGCTTATGAGATGAGGTAAGAACACGTTAAAGAAGATAAAGTATGTGATGAGAAGGAAAATAAGAACAAAATAGCTGGACTATATAGCAGAAACAGGTACGCCTCAGCCTCATTGATTGCATCATGGTTCGGAAGAGTAGTGCTGATCAACAGGACAGCATAAACGATACAGCAAATGAGTTCTGTGTTCCTGGGCTAGTGTCACATAGTGTGGGGAATCTGGGTGTCGGGTTTGAGGCCGTTGGGATGAGGCTGAGCCTGCTACGTGGCTAGAAACAAGGCTGAGGCGGGTGAATCCGCTGTCAGGGATGAGCCGGCGATGATGCTTGAGTTCGGTTAAGACAACTTCTTTCCTCCGGAGCCATGGAATAAGCCCATAGACTTCAATCGGTGTCGGTGGTTCTCAAAGACCGTCGAAGTGATTGGCAAGGGGGTGATTTCTCGTTGGCACAGCCTGTTTTCCAAGCCCCGAGCCTCCTCATCTTGGGACTGTCTTCTGGTCCAATCAGTAATGGGCCTTCGATGGAGTAGATGGTAGGATTTGAAATGCAAAGGCAATTAGAGTAGTAGTCCTCCGAACTAGTGGGACGAAAATGTAGCGACAGCCGCCAAGGCAGAAACGAGCGGCACCGCCCCTGTTGTGCTCACGCCAGCTCGGCTTCGGATTGGTCGGTTCGTTTAAAAACGTTCCGTCAGCCGGCATCTTCAAAGCTCAATCCGCCTCGTGGTCTAGCTCCACGGCCAGTGGCCAGGGCGTCTAACACAATCTGCCCCCTCTAAGCATTTGGGGCTGTGACATCTATCTTTTATATGGAGTCTGGCAGACTAAACCTCAACAACCTTTGGACCCGCGGAACCAGAATTAAAATCTTTTTGCTGTGAAAGGTGGTAAGCTCTGAGGACGAAATTTCACTGCTTGCTTTTGGTGTCACGGACTGTCCATCTGGTGCCCCGAACTCGCTATTAAACCTCCACAGCCTACTCGTTAAACCTTCATCATAGCCAGCTCAATGTGTCCCTGATTGGCCTGGTCGTTCAATCTCAGAGGAAATAGCACGCGCGTTTTGGCTGTTCACCCAGCGTCAAGATTCCCATCTGACGGACGCGGATCACTCAATTTACTGGGCGTATTGCTCGATGCAGTTACCGTACTCTGAACTAGGGCTGTACAGTAATAAGTATGACGGGTGATAAAGAGAATTACGGCACCAGCGACACGATCGATACCAACGACGCAAATGACACCGACAACACCAATAACACAAACGACACCAAGGACACCAATGACACCAGAAGAAGCGAAGGAGCACCTGGAAAACCCCGCAAAAAGGTCTGGAAAACAAAAGTCAAGACAGGATGCATTACTTGTCGGTAAGTAGCACTTTCTTTTAGCACCATAGAGCGGCTCGGGCGCTCCGAGACTACCTAAGGGTGGCCCTCTATCCTGAGGGCCCTCCGTAAACATAGCCATCTGACGCATTCCAGCATTCGACGAGTCAAGTGCGACGAAGAGAAACCTAATTGCAAGCGATGTACGTCTACTGGACGAAAATGCGATGGATATGAACCCCCTAAAGCCCAAAAGCAAGCCAATCAAGCCCTCGTGAGAACAGCGAGGCCTCCCACATCCACCCGATCATCACCAGATCTTGTCCCAAGATATGGCAAATCAACCCCAGCAACCTTCATGGACCCCGCGTTTGCATCTGAAATATCAGCAGAGAGGCAGAGTCTGAAGTTCTTTCAAATGTATACCGCGCCTGAAATGGCAGGATTCTTCGACTCTACGTTTTGGGTCCAGGACCTTCTTGTGGCGGCAGAGACACATCAAGCTATCCGATACGCCGTCACTGCGCTCGGTGCTCTCCATCAGAAGTTCATTGGCTGCACCCTCCCTGTCCTCCCTGACGATGTATCAGACCAGACGCTGCGATTTGGATTGAAGCAATGCAACCGCTCTATCCAAGAAATCATAAAACAGTCAGGCTCGAGCGGGATGTCAAGATTGGACCGGATAAACGCTATGACTGCATGCGTCTTGTTCATGTGCTTTGCCAGCATTCAAGGCCATAACTCTGAAGCTATAGAACATCTCCGTGGAGGACTGAAACTCTTACGAGAGTCTGACGCCATCCAGCAGACTGCTCGTCACGACAAGCAGACTCACCCAGTGTCCATGGAGTCGCTACGAGGCATGTTTGTCACTCTCGACATTCACGCCCGTGGCATGATTAGCGACAAGGATATCATGTCCTGGGAACCTATACCGAGCGCCGACCCGCATACGATCCCGTTGGAGGTCAAATCTCTCCCACAAATACGCTACTACATGGAGGGAACCTTCAATGAAGTGCTCGCTTTCCTCCAAGGCCTCGACCTCTATCCACCGACTACACCAGAAGCCGTGGATGTCGTGACCTCTACATTCAATGGCTTCATGGAGAAAATAGAGCTAGGCGATAAGGTGCTCGAAGAATACCTCCGTCGCCCGACGACCCGGCTTAGTCAAGAAGAGCAAACAGCCGTCCTAGCGCTGAAGCTGCACCGGAATGATATTGCCGCTTTCTCAATTATGTTCCAGCTGCAGTCCGAGCTCGCGGAGATGGCGTGGGATCACTGTGAGTCACAATTCATTGACATGGTCGCCATCTCCACTCAGCTGTTGGGCGCAGAGCAAGGCGGACTAGTACAGCTCTACCCTTCCACTTCCATACCCGCATTGCCCCCGTACGGTCCTTCGTTCTCCAAGATCCAAAACGCATCTAGCGCTACCCAGCGCTCCCGGCGCCCGATCTTCACCGTCGGATTTGGCGTCGTCATCTCCCTCTTCCTCGTCGCCTACCGCAGCCGCCACCCCGTCATTCGCCGCCAAGCAATATCCCTTCTCCTCAACTACCCCCGTCGCGAAGTGCTATGGGATGGCGTGCTAGCAGGGCGAATAGCACGAGAATCGATGATGATGGAAGAAACAGCATACTTGAACCACGTCGGGCTCCCACTATCAGACATCCGGACAGTTTTGACAGCAGCGGGGGATCTGCCGCTGCACCTGCGCACGCGTGATATTGAGATCATCTATACTGGGATGCGCCAAGCGAATGCCACTTTCAGGAGTATAGCGGACTTTCAAGAGGGGCGAAAGGGGGTGACGAAGACGATTCATTGGTAAAAACGACGTTCTTTTCGTCTCGTTTGATTTTCCTATCTACTCTTATGGCATGGAGGTTGATGGCAGGAGAGCTCTTGTGTCAAGATCGAGAACAACGTGTGAAGGGTCCTTAGTAGTTGGATACCTATAAGTACTTGCTTTTGCTTATCATTTCGCATGGGATTTGCATGCCTATTTACAACCATCTTTTCCGCTTGGAGCGTTTCAATGGGAGGGATAAGTACGAGCAGCCTGCACCAACAAAATGTAACCACATGACTGGTCCACTCGTTTCCGACTACGGACGCTAAGAACCATCCTGCCCCTCTAAACTTCGAAAACCCCTCGCTTTCTCGCTCGCCGGCAGATGAACTCGGAACCACAACATGAAGAACATTTACGCCCTCGCCGCCAACGCAATGCAGCCCTCCTACTTCTTCCACGCGCTCTATCCCACATAAACCCCTCTTGTCTTCTCAATTGACCATCACAATCTCATCCCACCATCTCATCCCACAATCTCAACGCCCTCAACGCACTCAACCAACTCAACCAACTCCACCAACCATGCCTCCCACCGCTCCCCCCAACGCCCCCAACACCGCCAACTCCGGCATCCTCTACGTAACCATGCAACCCGCCCCGTTCCTCCCCCTCCCCCGCTTCCACGACTGGTACAACAACGAGCACGGCCCGGGCCGCCTGCGCCTCCCCTTCGTACCCACGGGCTTCCGCTACCGCGCCGCCGACGCCCTCGCCCCGTCCCCCGCGCACCCCGAGTGGATGGCCGTCTACGACATCGCCGACATGGCCGAGCTAACGCGGGAGACATACACGCGGCTGCGCGCGCCGCCGGTGCAGAGCGCGCGGGAGCGGGACACCATGAAGGACATCGCGATCCGGCGGCGCTTCTACGACGCGGTGCCGGGCGCGGAGTGGGCGGCGCCGGGGTACGTGGAGCTAGAAGCAGTAGGGCAAGAGGGGACGAAGGGGAGGGTGCTGGTGGCGGTGCTGGTGACGCTGCGGGAGGGGCAGGAGGCGGAGCGGGAGGAGCGGCTGGGGCGGTGGTATGCGGAGGAGCATGTGGGGATGTTGCAGAAGGTGCCTGGGTGGCTGCGGACGCGGCGGTTTGTGACCAGTCGGCATGAGACGGCGGGGGGGAAGAGGGAGTTTCTGGCGCTGCATGAGTATGAGGCGGAGAATGGGGTGGGTGGGGAGGTGTTTAGGGAGGCGGTGGGGACGGCGTGGGCGAAGGAGATTTTTGAGGAGGTGCTGGAGGAGCGGGTGAAGAGGGTGTATGGGTCGTATTATACGTTTGGGCCGGCGCCGAGGGATTTGGGGTGCTTGGAGAGTGGGGAGGTGGTGCCGGCGGAGAGTACGGATGGGAAGACGAGGACGAGGCCGAAGAAGGGGGAGAAGAGGGCGGTGATTGAGTCGTATGTCACTACGAAGGATGGAGTGGAGCTGCCCTATCGACTTGAGGGCGCGTCGGATCCGCAAGCTCCGCTCATTGTTCTCTGCAACTCTATCTTGGTGCAGTTTGGAATCTGGGACGCGTTTGTTGATGCGTTTCTCGAGAGATCGGAGAACAAGAAGTTTCGGATCCTGCGATATAACACGCGAGGACGATCGAGCAACTCCGGATCGCAGCCGGTCACAGTCGATTTGCTAGCTTCAGACATCCTCTCGCTTCTCGACGCTTTGAGAGTGCCGAGGGCTGCGGCAGTCATCGGTGTCAGCCTTGGAGGCGCAACGGCCCTCACCGTCGGGTTGAAATACCCTGACCGAGTTGCAACATTCGTGGCATGTGACACGAATGCCAATAGCCCCGCTGGAAACAGCAAAGCATGGGGCGAGAGAATTGCAATAGCCGAGAAGGAAGGTGCTCAAGCCCAAGGCGAAGCAGTTGTGGGAGATGAGCTGGCAGAGGCCACGGTCAGGAGGTGGTTCGTGAAGGAAAGTTATGACGGAGCAAAGACGGAGGCGGAGATTGAGAGAGTCAAGAAGATGGTAGGGACGAACAGCCTCGCAGGCTTCAAGCACAGCGTGCAGGCCCTCTTCGACTACGATCTGAGGGAGGAGATGAAATCGTATACCGGAGAAGGCGCGTTCCTAGTCGGCGGTGGTGATGGTGTTCTACCCCAGACGATGAAAGACATGTCGGAATCACTTGGACAGGGTGCACCCTACTTTGTGGTTGAGGGAGCTGGACATCTACCCATGGTGGAGAAGCCGGAGCAGGTAGCTCTTTACGTATCTGAGTTCTTGTATTAGATTCTGCATTCATATAGACATCTTGATGGATCGGTCTCTGAAGTGAGCCATTTTTCGAAGGACTTCAATTTTATGGAAACCATTTCTCAAAGGGGTTGGCTCCTGCAGGAGCCGTTTATCCAATTTTCCTGTCCGTGAAAACCTCGGAGCAGCAGAAATGAAGCATGCGTGTGGACATAACTATGAAGCAGGAGCACATGTAATCCTCTACAAACCATGGCCCCTGAATCGTTCTTCTAACTGCAGGCTTCACATCCAAATCGAACATGAGTCTACTACGCGTAGCATCTTTAAGCGTGACTAATCACAGAAAGAACATAGCAACCAAACAAACACCCACCCAACCGGCACCATTCGTTCTTTGATGTTTCAATTCACCCCGCACACGCCAACACGCCTAAAACACTCGGCAATGCTTAGCGAAGCTTGAGCACGGTCCCAAAAGACGCAGCGCCATTCCGTCATCTTGCCTGCTCTAATCGCGCCCAGCCTTCTCCGCAATCAATACTCGTGCCGCAAGCCGCCGCGCAGGGGTCGTCATGAGCGCTGCGCCGTGAGCCTCGTCGCAGCGCGTACCCAACTACTATTAGAGAGCCGGAAGAGTGAAGATCCTCAGCCGCCGACTTCCATCCCTCATTCAGCAGTTCACAAGCCAAGAGGAGGGACGGGCATGTTCCCAGGCGCGTCAGAGCGAAGGAGGGGATTTGCAGTCCGCGTGGCCCCAGGGCAATAGCGGGCCAACAACAGGCTTAGGCTAGCAGCCCAGCACCCAGCAACGCAACGCAGGCTGGTTTGTGCAGGTGGTTTAGTGTTTGCTTGACCTCATCAGTGCCGGCCCCCGGGCGATCCCACCTGCTGCCCGTCAGCCAGCCCGTCTGTCGTGTTTCTTACGCCGTGCCGTGTGTACCTGCGTCTTACACTCTTCCAACATTACGCCTCACTCTCGCTTTTCTATCGCCATCGATCAGGCCTGACCCCTTGGTTGAGTTGCGGCTTCAACCACGACGCTCGTTTGTGAGAACCTTGGTCGCGGAAGAAGCTGAGTGGGGATCAGATGGCGTTTCTACGGACAGCGGCGCATGCGCTGCTTACGCTCAGCCTTGTTGGCAGAACCGTGACGCCTGTTGCTGCGATTGATTTGGATCCGACGAATTCTGGTATGTTTGCTCGTATACTTCCAATTCATTTTTTTCTCGGACGAATATAATATGCCAATTGTGTCATTTCAACCCCATACACTACACAACAACAACATAACTTCTACAGCCCAACTAACACACCAACCTCAGACTCAATCAAAAGCGCCGCCGCAATAGTCGCGAAAGATCTCATGGGATACTATGCGACAGGCTCAACTGGTGCGGTCATCAGCGGTATCCCCGGCCTACTCACATACCCGCCCTACTACTGGTGGGAAGCCGGAGCCATGTTCGGGCAGATGGTGGAGTACTGGTACTACACCGGCGACGACACCTACAACGACATCGTGTCAGCGGGGATGCAATTCCAAGTCGGAAACGCGCGGGATTTCGTACGTTCCCCAGCCTTCAATCTCAACCTCCACCGCAAAGACATCTCTAACACTGAAGCTCGTTATGTAGATGCCCGCCAACCAATCCAAAGACGAAGGCAACGACGACCAGCTCTTCTGGGCCTTCACCGTCATGTCGGCGACCGAAGTCGGCTTCCCGAACCCGCCGGCCGACAAGCCGCAGTGGCTCGCGCTCGCGCAATCCGTCTTCAACCAGCTCACGACGCGCTGGGACACGTCGCTGTGCGCGGGCGGGCTGCCCTGGCAGATCTACACGTGGAACCAGGGCTACAACTACAAGAATACGGCCGCGAACGGCGGGCTCTTCCAGCTCGGCGCGCGTTTAGCGAAGTACACGGGCAACACGACGTACGCGGACTGGGCGAACAAGGCGTACGACTGGCTGGCCAGCAGCCCGCTCATCACGGCCGACATGCAGGTCTACGACGGGAGCAACAGCCTGAAAAACTGCACCGACGTCGACCGACTGCAGTGGTCCTACAACTACGGCATCATGATCGGCGGTGCTGCTTACGTCCGTTCCCCCTTTTCCCTACTCCAATCACTCGCGCTAACCCGCCCCTCCCAGATGTACAACTACACCAACGGCTCTCAAATCTGGGAGACCCGCCTAACCGGCTTCCTGCAGCACGCCGAATCCGTCTTCTTCCCCACGGCCTACGGCTCGCAAACCATGGTCGAAGTCGCGTGCGAAGTGACGCAGAAATGCGACGTCGACCAATGGAGCTTCAAAGCCTACCTGTCGCGCTGGATGGCCATCTCGGCGCAAATCGCGCCCTTCACCGCCGCCAAGATCACGCCGCTGCTGCAGGCCTCCGCGAAGGCCGCCGCCAAGCAGTGCAACGGCGGCACCGACGGCACCGAGTGCGGCAGCCGCTGGTTCCAGGATACCTGCGACGGGAACGTGGGCGTGGGCCAGAGCATGAGCGCGCTGAGCGTGATTAACGCGAATCTGATTGCGAGCGCGAAGGCGCCGCTGAGCGCGGATACGGGGGGCACGAGTAAGGGGAATCCGGCGGCGGGGACGGGGGGGAATGAAGGGAGTGTGAAGACGACGCTGGGGGCGGTCACGGGGGCGGATAAGGCCGGGGCGGGGATTGTGACGACGTTGGTGCTGGCGTGCATGTTGGGGGGTGGGTGGTTTATGGTCAGTGGGGATTGAGGGGTTGAGGGGCATTGAGGAGAGGGAGGGTTAAGGGTGGGGATTGATGTGATCATGATGGGATGGGATCGGGTTTTGTTCGGGCGCTTTGGGTTGTCGCTGGGCTGGCTTCTTTTGCAGCCTTGGGGAGACTTTGGATAATTCCGGGGCTTGGATGCCGCGATGGGTTCGGTTGTATATATTTGATTTGTCCAGAGACGACAGGATATGAGGTCTCTCCTTCAGTTCACTCCGGAACTCATCTTCGAGTCTTTCATCCGCAATTAGCATCAAACCAAGACGCATGCGTTCGTACCTTCGTGAGAGTTTATTAGAGAGGTAGTGGTCAACATAAAGTTCGACACGTCGTTAAACCCAAGCCGTTGCCCAGGAGCGCTTCATCGTTGCCAAGGTGCTGCCGGTGGCTGGGCGCCGAGTCGTAGGGCGGCCGAGATGCGATAGCTGCGTATCGGTTGTGGTCATTGCGGCCTTGGGATCGTGAGAGACGATGATTTCGGAAAGAGGGTGTGCGAACGCGTCCCAGATCTCTGTTGTGAATCTGGGGTGTTGAAGTG